TCCGGCTCTGCCTCTGGTTCCGGCTCTGCTTCTGGCTCCGGCTCTGCTTCTGGCTCCGGCTCCGGCTCCGGCTCCGGCAGCCCCAACGGTGCTTCTCCTAGCGGTGCTAGCGCTGATTCTGCCACGACTCCTTGTGACACCATTGTTAGCGAGACCGTTATCCCTGTCGCTACCAACACTGAGGGTGGTTCTGTCCCCACTGCTCCCGCTGGCGTTGCTGCTGGTGGAGCCGGTGGTGAAGCCTCTGCCTCTCCTTGCGAGACATCTATCAGCGAGACTGTCGTTCCTGTTGCTACCCAGACTGCGGGTGGCTCCGGTGCCGCTCCTTCTGGCGGTGCTGCTGGCGGTGAGGCTCCCTCTGGTGTCGCCAGCGTTCCTGCTGTCCCCACTTCCAGCACTGTTCCTGAGGGAGCCAGCGCTGAATCCAACACCACTCCTTGCGATACCCTCGTTACCGAGACTGTTATCCCTGTTGCTACTCAAACTGAGGGCTCTCCTGCCCCCAGCGGCACTGCCGCTGAGGGAGGCTCTTCTCCCCAGATCACCAGCGCCCCCGTCGCCGGCTCCGGCTCCGGCTCGGGCTCTAACGTGGTCACTGTCACTGTCACCACCACTGTGAGCGTCTCTGCTTGCGACTACTAAGCAAGGCATGACGACCTCCCCGACATGAGACGATAGCAACGGCATGCATGGCGAAGAAAGCTCCTGTATATACCTAATTCTTTTCTAATTCTAATTCTTCTGAAGATTGTTTTAAACTGTCTGCTTCACATCTTTGTACAAAGCTGCAAGAAGGTCCGAAGAACGATGTCTACCTGCTTGCTGGATTGTTTGATATGTTCATCGCTGCAGATTCCCTTCAATGGAGTACATTCGTTTCCCAAATTATCACCCCAAAACTGTACTGGTCTGACCGCTTGTGTATCATAGCTAAGATTTCAGACAATAGAGGAAGAATTGGATTTCAGATGGGTTACCGTAGATGACCAAATAGAATTCCGTAGTTACTCGCGTGGGCAGCATTGTCTACTTGGAGGAATCCCACCAGATCGGCCGTCGTTGCACGAACTTCCCGTCTCTTGCCTTGCCTCGCTTCTTTTCCCGCCCCGGATTTCAGTAGTCAGTGTCGACAAGGGCCAGCGGATGATGGCATCCTTCCCGTTCCTCCCTCTTCCTCCCTCCATCTCTCTCTCTCTCTCTCTCTCTCTCTCTCTCTCTCACACATCCAGGTCATCTCACTAAGCGATCCCACTAGATCCAGGGACAGGCCCCATTTCGTATGCGATCTGTCCTAAATGCAAGAATATGCTAGCAATACTACGAAGTTTCAGGGATATCTCCTGCGCCGGGTTGAATACCAACGGGACTCTTGGATTTCTGCCGGTAATTAACAGAATGCCTCATCTCCCATTTCAGGGGTGCCGTATGATGTGAAGAGCACGACTCTGCATGTAAAGTGTGGTGAGATAGACTTGGACTGTTCAACCTATACCTTATCATCCGCATATGTTGGCTGAGCTTCATCAATCAATACACACCCAGGATGACTGGTCCAGTTCTTCTAAGTAGTCATCCACTCCTGTCTGTCCCTCTAAAAATCTTTGCCTAACCATCAGTACTTCTCATCTTGTCCGGCATCTACTCTTCCAGAAGATAAACTAGTTTATTATCTTTTAGCCTTCTAATTCATTCATCACATACCTAATCAAAAGACTTATGAGAATGGTCTCTCCCGACACAGACATCTGCAGTACTTCGAATGGCATGGGGCCCATGATCACGCGGATACACCGAAGTCTCGTGTCTGAATCAGAGCTCCAACAGTTATGACCGTTGCAATCGGAGAATCCAGAGTAGCTTCTGAGAGGCAGAGAGTGAGCGGGAGGAGGGGAGTGAGGAGAGAGAAGGAGATGGTGAAGAAGACTGTAAGGAAGGAGGATTTTGCAAGACGAAGAAGCGGTGGTCAACCAACCAACGAGCCTGCCATGTTTCAGAAATCACTTCACATCTCGAATGACACCACGAACGTTATCTCATCACCAACGGGTTCAATCCCCCCCGTGATCAACATCTATAGGTATTCACCTGAAATACTCAACTCTAGGATAGTATTGATTTTTCTTTTAAGATTCATAGAGCTTACTTCAAACACTATGATGCTACTGTCCACACATAAGAGTCGATTCAAAAGTCTAGTATAATCCCCGGAGAAGATTCCAGGCCTTCCATAACAGAGTATAATGGAGATCTAGTAATCAATCAAACCAACAGTTAATCGACACCACTATCTCGTAACTTGCTAAAGCAGATGATTACTTATAATAACTACCTAGTGTGTTCTCCACAGCTCACAATTGATAAATCAATCGCCATGAGGGCGGCTTGTGTGTTCCCTACGCACCAGATCGTCGCTCGGGGTACTCCGTCTGGATGTTCAGTTTCTTCTTCGAATTCCTTTCCCTTTCATTCGTCCTCCGTACCGATAGTATTCACCGAGTTTCCTTGCGCGATGGAGTACGGAGTAGAATTGGGGAAGCGGCCTGGATGTCAACTCGTAAACCGAAATCAACTATCAACACCACTATTGGCAGATCAAGTCTAATCAGCCGTTGGAGATTGTGGATTGTAACTAGACTAGGTATACTTTATCCACTTACTCACTACCGGTAACTAATCCGGTCCGTGCCCAATTCTCCAGCATTAACGGCGGGCGAAATTGAAAAGGGGGCTGCGCAATGACACTATCACGGTGGAATGAGTCTCTTCCCCCTTTTCCAGTCGGGTCAACCGAAAATGGCTTTTTTCCCCCCTCCCCTATAATACCACCGATAATTAAGCTTGAATTGTGCACAGAACTATGGATGATGATCTTGAATTTAGCTTCGCTGGCCTCGTGGTTCAGGCGAACAACCGGTCGATCTCAAGAAACGGACATCTTCAGGCACTGAACTCTATTGATTTCCAAACATGCGGGTTGAACTTATTTCCAGACTATCGATCTGGAGAACATGGTTCTGGATTGTCTCTTCGGATTGTTCGAATGCCTTGTTGGGATTTTCTGGAAGGATATTACAGTTCCAGACTATGACTGACTATTGGCTCGGCTCGAGATAGAGAGACCTGACCTAGTAAAAACACGGAGTACTCAGAGCTGATGAAAAGATCATAACCCCGTCGCAGAGAAGCAGCGTAATTGTGTTTGACATTCTCGCCTAAAGCTACAAAGCTACCGAAATCTGGTAGTGTGCATTCATTCGCATTCTCATATGCTGCGCTGGGCCATGCGTCCGTGGATGGATGTGGATTGAGGCTTGGTGGAATTCTCTATGCGGATGGTTTCCAGATGGCTGAGACTACCTACCTACCTTGTCGCTCGGGCCGGTCCGGCGTTTCGCGACGAGCTGCTCACGGAGGATTCTCTCGCGAAGTGCGGTGCTGGAAATGCGGGCATGGGTAGTAGATCGGGAGGGAGCTCGCTACAGTATATCAGGTTAGCTTGTATGTACAATAACGTGGACAATTGAGTCACATGGGATTTTCGGGTAATGAACGGACATCAAGAAAAAGACCATGTGGATGGTTTGGTGGTGGTAATGGAGATTGATCTTCCAAAAATTTATTCACCCACCTCGGCGGCTTCCTTCATCTCATGGTCGCCGGCGCTCGTTCTCTCTGCTGGAGGTTCAGGTCGTCTTGTCGCTTCATCATCATCAGCAGCCATCCTCTGTCGTTTGTCACCAGGAGCGGACGCGGAAGACCGTCTCCGGCCTGCGGGGGCATATCTCTCGATTGAACGACGTCTCTTGCGATCTCTTGCGTCCCGTGCGTCCCTCGCGGGGCTTCGACTGCGAGTCCGACTGCGGCTGGGTGAGTCCTGACTAACGCTGCGGGACGGGCCTCGGCTGCGGCTGCGATCACGGCTGCGAGCCCGAGACGAGCGTCGGCGTCTGCGGTGGTCGTCGCGACTTCTACTGCGACTCAGGCGGCGGTCATCGCGGGGTTTGCGGGCCTTTGCAATATCAGCGGTAAATTCTCTCTTGTCATCTCGTGAAGAATAAGGCGATGATCTTCTCCGTCTGGGCCCGCTGGCATCCGACCCGGGCGACCTAGAGCGCGAGCGGGACACCGGCGAGTCTCGTGTTCTGCGCTTGTCCCTCACGACAGGCGAACGCGACGCACTGCGCGAAGAGACGGATCTCCGTCTCCGGCGGTCTCTTCTGGGAGTACGTGAGCGGGATGATAAATGACTGCGGGAGTAGGATCTAGCGCGATCACCGTAATCAGGGCTGCGTCTGCTCGGCCTTCTCTTGCGGTCTCCGCGGTCTGGAGAGACAGAGTTGCTAATCGACCGACGCCGCCTGCTCCGGTCCCTGCTCGAATACCGCTGCTGGCGACGCGCCGGTGGCGACCGCGATGAGGAGATGGATCGAGAACGTGAGCGGCTGGGAGAGTAGGATGGCCGACGACCTCTGCGGGAGCCGGAGGGGACGTACGAGTCAAACTCCCGTCGCGCAGGTGGCTCTCGGAAACGCTCCCTGCTACGACGCCGAGGAGGGGACCGCGGCCGTCTGTCAAAGTCCCGACCGCCACGGCCACCACCTCTTCTAACTCCACCTCCCCCTCCTCGTGTGCGTTCGGAGCGCTCTCTTCGTCGGATGTCCTCCAGCTCCCTCTCCCTGGCACGTTCTTGCTCTTTCTGCTTTCGGGCTTCTTCCGCGGCTTTTTCGGCTTCGATCTGTGGACCAGGATTTAGCGGGCATCCGTAACAGACTCCCCGAAAACTCGCACCTTCTCTTGTATCAGCTCTAGCTTCTTTGCCTCCAGTAACTCCTTGGGAACGCCCTGAGGATTTTCCTGAGCGCTCAGACACAACGACCAAAGCTCCTTGCAAAACTTGGCAGTATCTTTGTCCAAAAAGCCTGTAAGCTGAATCTGAAGAGATTTCACATCGGGCTAGAAATTGGAGAACACGTATTAGCGGCAGAGCTTCCGGGAAGAAGGCGCACTGCAGGCCGGAGCTCAAGGGCCGACATACAAAACGGGAACCTTCCAACAGGTTGAAACAGAGCTCAATGACAACGTCGTCCTCGTTGCCTAGAATTTCAGAGATCTTGCCGGCAATCCATCTGACGTAAAATAAATAATCAGTAAATTTGTTCTGGTCGTCAAGGTTTCGATAGCCTCAGCGTCACGTACTTCTTCATGACTTCGATATTGACTTTCTTCATATCCACCTTGCGGCTGAATTCCGGCGGGAATTTGGTCTGCCGCAGTAGCTTCGCATCCACGCTAGTCGCCATGTTTGTGCGAATGTGTGTTGCCTTTTGGATAATGATAGCGGACTGTGAAATGTCAGAAAGCTGAGATACTGAGCGGAGGAGCGAATCGGTCGTGGTGACGAGACTGCGGGGATGGTCGGTGTGGCTGGCTGTAATCCCGGAGACTCGTCGGTCCGGCTTATGGCTTCAATCTTGCCTCTTTGGGAAAATGACCCGCAATCCACCGACAAGAAGTTGTCGTAGTTGCGGTTTGCACTATGCTTTGCAATTTATCACTATGCTTCTGCTGCTGAGAAGAAATTTATTCTACACTTTCTACACAGTTAGCAGATGCTGGTCAGTCGGACTGTCTACTCATGTTCTCACTCGAGCACCGGCCTTGTGCCGAAGTCTTTGGTTGAGTCTCAAACCTTTGTTGTCACCCGCATCAGATTGAGTCCTTTAAAATACAACAAAGCCCCTATTCTGAGGTATATGTGCACCACTGGAATCAGGTGTTGATGGGAACATGAGCAGGGTAGCGATCGCCCGCCGGCGTAAACTTGGCCAGGGTAGCATCAAGCTGTGCCATCTCCTCATCCGTGAGATCCACAAGCTTGCTGTTCTCCTCGACGCGCTCTACCGTCGTGGCACCGGGAATGGGGATGATGGTGGGCATGCCAGGCCGTCTGGACAAAGCTCGCGTCCAGTTGATGGCAAGCTGCGCCGGCGTGCAGCCCTTCTTCTGCGCCATCTCTTCCACCTGATGCACCAGCTGCAGGTTAATGTCAAAGTTGCCCGGTTGGAAGCGCGGGTAGTGGCGCAGCATCGAGTCCTCGGGAAGATCCTCAATCTTCTTGATCTGGCCGGTCAACATACCCCTGCCAATCGGCGAGTAGGCAACAAGCGGGATGCCATACTGCGCGCAGGCAGCTGCAACCCCGTTCTCCAGAGGCTCGGTGGCAAACCTAAACACCCGCACTCAGTAGGGAGATTCAACACGGTTACAAGCTGGATAGACACCTACAGCGAAAGCTCAACCTCCACCGCCTCGACCTTACCATGCTTGACAGCCTCGTGGATGGTCTCGGCCCGGACTTCGGAAAGCGAGATGCCGCCAAGCTTACCGGTCTCGATATACTCCTTCTTGATGGTGTTGAAAGTGGTCTCAATGGCCACTGTCTGGTCTCGACGGGCGTGCTCAAACAAGTCGATCTTCTTGCGGCCTTTGATCTGAGCCAAACAGTTGTCGAGGGACTGGCGAGTGCCCTCGGGGCTGCCGTCGGGCTTTAAAGTCTTCAGATCCACGCCACCCTTGATGCTGAGGACCACCTTGTCGGCATCCTCTGGGTATTTCTCGAAGTACCTCTCCAGCAGGACCAAGCTGTTGTAGTGTTGAGGCCCGTAGATTTCGCCACCGTTCCAGAAGGTACCTGCATTATGAGATTAGCATATTGGTGAGACCGGGGAGCTGAAGACAGAAGGGTGAGCATTGGGTCAGCTGGGTACCACATACATCCGTTCTTCAAAGCAGTGCGCATAGTCTCGAAAGCTTGCTCCTGAGAGCATGGCTTCTCGCGCCAAGTAAAGCCCATGAGGCCGAGGCCGATGGGGCCTACTTCCTTGCCGTTGAGCTGGGGCATGTTGAAGATGATTGATGAACGTGTAGCAACTTGGAGAAGTCAATGATTGCGAAGAGTGTTGAAGGAGAGCAAGTTTGGCAAGGATATGAAGTATTTATAGAGATCTCCGTTACATCCGAAAGAATTGTGGAGATACTTAAAGCTTTCTTGAACCCAAGTCGGGCTTCTTATCGGCTTTGTCTATCTCCACCCCTTTAAATCCGGCCCCCAGGTTCGGTCACCGACGTGACTTTCGCTCTTTGACAACCACTCCGCTGGAAGTGGTGGTTCATGGCGAACTCGATCTCCGTGATCCTTGTCCATGAATAGTGAATGTTGGCAGAGTGGTCGTGTTGAGTGCTTCGGTTCACTAATCCAGGTCGCTAATATTGACGTCATGGGTATGAGGAGCATCTCTTCGCCCCCAACAGCGAGCATGAAACTTCAGTGCGCAGAAAGGCCTAACAAGGCCTTCTTTAATGCTCATAGAACGTGGAACCCCCTAACACAGGTTCCTTCAAAGACTATTCGGCAACTGTCACTCAACCATCTTAGGCACCTTCGGGTCTTTCATCCGGTATCATCATGCTGTTATGCGTAGACGATGACTGCACGGTGACTTCGCACACCGGACCTTCTCAGCAAACCTTGAGAATCTCAAGCTCGTTTTCCCCCACACTGAATACTATAGAAACTCCCCATACTGTTCTCTTCCTTCACCAGTCCCCATGCGATCGACGAAAATGCTCTTAGTTATGCCATCACGCTGAGCATCATGAGACTCATACCACGCAAGATTAAAGCTGTCCTCAAGTGTTGTTGGCCTGCCACCAGGTTTTGTAGCTTGCTTGACCTGCCTATCGAATTACTCCGAGCAATCTTCTTCTGTCTCCCCCTCCCTTCGCAGGCATGCTTGGCCCTGACCTGCAAGTCCCTCTACAGTTGTTTCTCCTTCGTGCTGAAGAACGAGCAACTCACCTTTCGACCACCGAGAAACGTACCATACACACTTTTTCCAGGAGACGTTTTACGAAATCAGTTTCTTCTCCTGCTCCAAAATCGCCACTGGCGATACTGCGCAGCCTGCCTAAAACTGCACCCTCGCCAGGAGTTCTCTCTGTGGGACCGGAATTTCAAGCGACCCTATGCGCGGCGATGTGTACCTGTACCGCACGGCCGTATTGTCGACCTTTGCACCTGCACTAGCCTGACACATTATGGAGTGGCCCGCCTAGCAAGATCCCTCAGAGGGGCGACATGCGATCGGGATCGGCGATACCCCATCTTGGGTGAAGCTCCTGACGAACGATATAAATTCTCGCAAGACGGACAGGGAATCGTATCCTGGTGCACTCCTGCCTCTACTTCCTTTCAGAGATTGACCTTAAGTTGCGCAGGGATATAACCATCTCTTCTAGAGGCGCAGATTGTGTCACTGTTACGACAGATTGCACTTATCGAGCCCACCGGCCGTTACCATTGGCGCTTGCGAGGTATGAGGATCCCTGTATATACTTACAGATGCTTATGCATGAAGATGTGTGGGTTGTTGGACCCAAATTGAGGCCGTTTTGACTGTCCTTTTGCATAGTGCATGGCTCGAAGGTGACCGACAGTCGCTGACAGGTACGATGATGGTCACTCGAGCGTTGAGCACGGATATTTCTTGGCCAAGAACACGGATCCAATGTCGATTTCGTGGCTGGAGGTCAAAGTTTTGCACGCGTGGAAGCTCTATGAAGAACGTACCGCATTCATGAGAAAGTGGTTTAAAGGCTCTAATGCCTGACAGATTATGCGAACAGTTAATCAAATTTTCATCTGAACGAATACATTTATAGCACATTGCGTAAGGTCATATGAACACTCCCAATAGCGCCTACCGTAAAACCAAAGCCAGCACAAAGCATCACGCGTGAACAGGATAGAACACAAACAAACCCCAGTTACCATTTCCTGGGGGGGATGTTTAATGACGGCTAAGTTCCAGCAAGACGCGCTGGACATCGACCCGCAACGCAGTCAGTTCTTCGTCCACAGTACCCCGTGCATGCCTGGCTTTGACGTCGTGATGCAGCGCAACCAGTTCTTTGGCTTGACGAAGCTGATCCTTTTCCATCTGCAGAGCAGGGGTCTGTTCCCTGCTGCCGGGTTGCGATTGCCCTTCGACTGCTTGTGAATCCAGTCTTTCGTGAGTCGTAACGAGAGCCAGCGCATCGTGATAGTCCTGCAGATGGTTAGTTCTGTTGCATGCAATGTGGTTGTGTGGGGTTGAGCTAGTCGACGGTTGTTCGGATGAAAGGCAACATACACAGACGCGTAATGAGGTGAGATCCGAGAGAATTTCTGCTACCTGCATGACTAGGGAGAGATATATCACCGAGATGGGAGCATAGAAGCTTGCAAGTAAGATGTTTGGTTGTCAACGTTATCTCAATCTATTCTCAATGCTGTGGTATCCTGACAATGTCAAATGAAGAAGCCGCAGCTGCGAAGATGGCGGCTGAGAAGAACAGCTGCAGCCCGCGTGACGTAAGGACCCAAGTCAGTCCATCTCACTACACAGTAGTATTTCAATAAGCACATGAATTGACTTCATTGTTGCTACTGCCTTGTTCTCCAATCCTCAAGTATCGCAACTCAATCTATATAAAACATCTTCGATATGACCAACCCAAGTCTGGGGCAAACCCCGGCTCCAACCTCCGAACCTCGGAGAATCCGAGCTCTCCGCAAAGGAAAAAGCGCGGAGAGTCATTCCGCTGTCGCATCGGCTGAGCTCCGACAGGCCAGCCCCGATTATATTCTTATCCGCCAGACCATCCCCTCACTTTCTTCAACTCAATTGATTCTCTTTTTTCCTTCGTTGCAACAAGTCATATTCTCTCGCAAAACAACATGGCGTCTGCGATCAAGGCTCAGTGCAGAAAGGTCATCTGCATTGGCAGAAACTATGCGTACGTATCCCCTTCATCGATAGCGTCGATTGACGAGACTCTCGCTGACGGGGCATTTTCTATCTCCACACAGCGACCACATCACCGAGTTGAACAATACGAAGCCCAAGCAGCCCTTCTTCTTCCTCAAGCCTGCCTCCTCCATTCTCCTTCCCGGCCAGGGTCCTGTCCTACGCCCTCAAGGGATCAAGCTGCACTATGAAGTCGAACTCGGCCTGGTGATGGGTAAGACGGTCCGCGACCTCGACCCCGAGGACAGCCAGGGCGCATTGGATGCGATTCACAGTTAGTTTATTCTTTTTCCAACCGGCACCGTGGAGATAACGTGGCTGAATTCAATGTGTTTGTTGTTCAGGCTATCTCCTTGGAATCGACATGACTGCGCGCAACGTTCAGGAAGAGGCCAAGAAGAAGGGCCTCCCGTGGACCATCGCCAAGGGATTCGACACCTTCCTGCCTGTGTCCCAGGAGATCTCCAAGGCCCGTCTGCCGGATCCCCACAATGCGTTCCTCCGCCTGAGCGTGGGCTCCGAGGAGCGCCAGGCCGACTCGACCGGCTTGATGCTCTACCGCATCCCTCGCCTGCTGGCTGAGATCTCGCGCGTCATGACGCTCGAGAAGGGCGACCTTGTCCTGACCGGTACCCCCAAGGGCGTGGGTGAGGTCAAGTCCGGCGATGTGATGACGGCGTCCATCGAGGTGGACGGCAAGGAGCTCGAGGAGAGTCGGATCGAGGTGCAGGTGCAGGATCGCGAGGGTCGCTACCGGTACGCCGAGACCTAGACAGGTGGTCTCTCAGAACTGTATAGTGCCTAAAAGCTCAGTATTATATACATACACATCATACCCCGAATGGAATTCTTTTTGAGTGTTCGTTCATTTCTCTAACAAATTTGGTGGTCTATTAACATCGCCTTCGCAATGAGGATATCCTCCTCATCAGCAGGGACGATAGGTATGAATCGCCTGTGTCGTTTTCTTCGGCACATGTCGAGGGTGGTACCATCAACGGCATGAGCCCTCTTTCCAAGCACCAGGCCTGCCATGCTTCTCCCTGCAGAGCTCCGCTCAGCAGCACAATCTGCATCGTCCTGCCTAATCTCCCGATTCTTGCTTGCCCCGTGACTACCCCCCATCACCGGTAGCACCGCACCACAATCATCACTGCAGCCCTCATCTTTCTTTCCTTCTCCACCACCAAGACCCCAACGCCCCGTCTCCCACGTACAAGTACTATCCCCAGAATCTGTCGAAGACAACCCACCCCCATACCCTATACTCAAACCCCCCAAGCCCCCCGGCACAGAATCCGGCACAAGCACTTCTTCCTCAACCTCCTGCTCCCCCCCTCGCCTCTCACTCGCTACATTCTCCTGCACTAATCCCTTCAAACCACCCTCCAAGCCATCAACCCTACCTTTCAACTCCTCAATCAACCCCATCACCACCTCATGACCATCTTTCTCCCGCAAAACCTGGGCCTCGTTCCCCATCTCCCTGACCAATTCCACCCTCTCCCGAACCTCCCCAATTTCCTTCCGACTCTCCTCCCCCACCCGACACACCATCTCCCGCACCTCACCGAGCTGACCACTCAGCGCATCGAGTTTACTTTCTGTGGCTGCGAGACGGGTGGAGAGTTCGACGTTTTCGCGGCGAAGCTCGTAGGCCCAGAGGAGGGCTGTTGGTGTCGTGGTTGGTGTGATGGCGTTCAGTTGTGTTGTCGTTGATGTTGGGTTGGGTTGTGGTTGGATTTGGGGTTGTCCGGCTGGTGTCGATTTTGGTATAGGAGTTGTTGGCTTTGGCTTTGGGTAGGGCCTTGAACTGGCCCGTTTTGATGAAGATGGGGCTGCGGTTGCTGTCGGAGGTGTCGGTGGAGGCGGAGGTGGTTTTCGAAGAGCGTTCGTGGTTCGTTTTGGGGGCATTACTGGTTTCTGGAGGAGGTTGCCTTTGTGGGGTGCGAAGTGGGTGATTGGAGGTTCCACTGGCAGTTGTGTTTTATCCTTTGTGTCTGTCTGTGTCTGTGTGTAGTTGACTGGGCGGGTGATTGAATCGTGGGAGTCGAGTGATGTGCTTCGATTTGTAGTTGCTTGCAGACGAACCTGAGTAGGCAGATTGTACAGGGGAAGAGTATGATCCGGTCAATTGTGAGATACGGGAGGCAGGCCGCTTGCGAGATGAAAGAGTTGTGTGATGCAGTACATACACCCTGTAGGTTGGTAGGCGCTGGCCGTGTGGGTATTGAGGTCAGCGGTGGTAGATGATCTCTTCATACATTTGAGAGTGGAGTAGATATATGCTACCCAGTCTTGAGAGTTGTAGAACGACTTGGGCCTGTGTTGCGGTATTGATTATGAGGAAGGTGGCAGGGAGTACGATGAAGTATCAGCGCCAAACATTGTATACCAAAGCTCTATTCGCGGACAGCTAGACTTGAATACTAGAGGCAGTCATCAACACCAGCAAGTATGATAGCCCGCCGTACAACCTAGTAAACATAATAATACCCTCTGAAACATAATAATACCTTCGCGTCTATGGAAGCAAAACTGGTATACAACCCAGTCGGAGCTATAACGTCATACATATCATCTCCGTGCCCTCAGCTCTTGAGCAAACAGAGAAAGAAGCCTCGAAGGGGAAATCATCACATTTTAGAAAGCCCGACAACTGATCAAGTATGAACGTAGCATCCTTAACCAATCAGACCGAGCCAGGTAAAAAGAAAAGGGAAAAAAGCGTGAGAAAAGGCGTCCGGAAATCGAGGAACCATGAATTACAGCAATAAAACCGCACGAACATTGTCGCATCTCCATAACAAAAAGAAAAAGGAAACCATGAACAGTAAGTATTCGACAAGAACTCGCAGGACATGCTGGTATCGCCTCTGCAGGCCCTGCCGCCCACTGCTAAGAAAAAATGCTGGAGACACAGAAAGCCACTTTTTGAAGGATTATCCTTTACCAAGATAAGCATGACGATGACAGAACGTCTTTCCCACCGCAGCTCACCCTTGGAGCGTTATTGGCAACTGCATTCGTAATCCGCATCGAGGGGCATGAGGTGATTCGGGAATTAAGGGGTTTAGATGAGGTCTGCAGGAATGGATTAGCATCATTGATAAACCATGTCTGTTCGGAGCCGAACTTACCAGCAACGTTCATGGGCATCTCCTCGATCTGGGTGCTGTAGAACTGCTCAATCTCGCGCATCATGCGGACATCATCAGCGGTGACGAAGTTGATGGCAACACCCTTACGACCGAAACGACCACCACGACCGATACGGTGAATGTAGTTCTCACGGTTGGCGGGGAGATCGTAGTTGATGACCAGGGAAACCTGCTGGACATCGATACCACGGGCCAGAAGGTCAGTGGCGATCAGGACACGGGAAGATCCAGAGCGGAACTCCTTCATGATAACATCACGCTGGCCCTGCTCCATGTCACCGTGCATGGCGGAGACGGTGAAGTCACGGGCAGTGAGCTTGTCAGTGAGCCAGTCGACCTTGCGGCGGGTGTTGCAGAAGATGACGGCCTGGGTGATGGTGACAGTCTCGTACAGATCGGAGAGAGTGTCGAGCTTCCACTCCTCCTTCTCGACGGCAATGTAGAACTGCTTAATACCTTCGAGGGTAAGTTCCTGCTTCTTGACCAGGATACGGACGGGGTCACGCATGAACTTGGTGGTGACCTCGAGGACATCCTGGGGCATGGTAGCAGAGAGCAGGGTGACCTGGGTAGACTGGGGAAGAAGCTGGAAGATGTCGTAGATCTGCTCGGTGAAACCACGCTAATTATGCTGTTAGCACTCCCATTCGACCGTACAGCCAAGTAATGAACTTACAGAAAGCATCTCATCGGCCTCGTCGAGGATGAACAGCTTCATCTGGTCGGTCTTGAGGACGTGGCGCTGGATCATATCGTGGATACGACCGGGGGTACCAACAACGACCTGGGGACCGTTGCGGAGAGCAGTGATGTCGTCACGGACGTTGGTACCACCAATACAGGCGTGGCACTCAATGTTCATGAAGTCACCGATGGCGATGACGACCTTCTGGATCTGCTGAGCCAACTCACGGGTGGGAGCGACAATCAGGGCCTGGCAGGCCTTGAGGTTGTGGTCGATCTTCTGGAGAGCGGAGATGGAGAAAGTGGCAGTCTTTCCAGTACCGGACTGGGCCTGAGCGATGACATCGTTACCTGAGATTGGTTAGTATCGGGATGTGCGACATGCCAGAGACTCCTCAGAACATACCCTTGATGATGGGGATGATGGCACGCTGCTGGATAGCAGAGGGACGCTCGAAACCGTAAGCGTAGATACCTGTTTATCGTTAGCCTGATGCCCGCACTGACCCCACCAGAGCGGATCAGAATTTGTATCACATACCGCGAAGAAGCTCGGGCTTGAGGTCCATGGAGTCGAAGGAGTCGGTGATCTCATCGTAGTTGGACTCGATCTGTCCTGTTGGCATCGAAAGATATCGTCAGTTCATCTGAAATAGTATATTGGTATGCCGTGTGCCCGTGGTTGCAAGATTTTTTCCTTGAGTTCTAGCCGCAACCTTTGACGGACGACCAGGACTATTCTCGCAAAACACACATCTCTCTTATAGATAACGAACAAACGCATTTTCGAATGCGAAATTAGTCGAGAAGTACGTACCCTCGGGGATCTCCTCCAAACCCTTGTCAGCCATGATTGCGGTGTTGTGGTAGAAAAGTGATCACAAGCGACGTGCTGTGATCAAACAAGACGGTGGGGTTTTAAGAGTAAAACTGAAAAAGGACCTGTTAGCGAGGAATGCAAAGACAGAGTACGGAGGGGTAGTCGGAAAAGGTACAAAAAAATAGGGGTCAGATGAATACGTACTGGAATCACAACTTTTGAAGTTGGAAAAATATCACAAGACTACTTAGAGTCGAAGGGGTTGAGGAAGAAGAAGGAAGAAAGATCAAGAGTGGGAAGAAGGCCAACGCTTGGTGTGGGAAAATGGGGCAGAGAAAGCGGCGGCGGAACGAGCGAACTTTTTTTTTCTCTTTCTTTTCCCTGCTCTGCCTTCTGTTTGTTCTGACACTGTTTGAAATTTTTGATTTTTAGCGTTGGTTTAGTGCAGCCGAACTTGACCGCCTACTTCTTCTAGCCCTCATCACACGTTTTTTTCTTTACCCCTGTAATTTTGCCATCAATGTTTTAGTTGACCTCCACAATTTGCTCACCGACAAGGGAGACGAATTAAAGGTCTTTGGAACACTATATGGGATTGGCACTGTGACGCCAGTGGACATAGCCTGCTTATAATTGTTCTGACATCTTTGGTGAGCGGGTATTCCTAGGTACGGTGCATGGTTGGGCATAATTTTGCCTGATTAATGTGGGTGTTAATACTAAAAGTTACTGTAAGTTACTAGGCCCATACCGCCTCTTGACTGACCCCTCCGCCTAATCGGGAAAGTCTCCAGACTTTTTGCTTTAGTGAATCTCCCGCATATGTTGATGCGCAGCCATGAAGATGCTGGATATCAGTTCTGTTGACGGAGTCCACAGTCTGGACCAGGAGCCTGTAACGCATATAAATCCGACTTCGACCTCTCACCCCGAATCGGAGGAAGACATAGATCATGATGCAATTCCCGGCCATCCATTGGGAGTCAAGCCTAGCGGCAATGCCCTGCTTGCGACAGAGAACCTTCGGGACGCCATTGGGATTTTCAATATATTGCCAGATGAGCTGATCCTCATGCTACTGGAACACCTCGATGGATCTAGCCTGGTGCGCATTGGACGCACTTGTAAAGCATTCTATGCTTTCACCCGCGCCGAAGAATTGTGGAAGGCTCTGTTTATCGCGTAAGCTATAGATACCACACCTTCGTGGTTATTGTCCCGGCTCTGTTCTGACACGCATCCCCAGATCTCCTCCCGCCAATTTCACCTGGAAAGGAACATGGCGCTCTAGCTTTCTGAACATCCCCCCGGGCGAAGTGTGCATTCTAGACTGTTCCAATCTCTACTCCGATGTCCTGCACCGGCCCTTCCACTGCGCCCATATCAGCCTCGATCCCTACGTCAATGGCATCCCCGCCCGTAATCAGATTGCGCGGTTATCCGATCTCTCTTTTGAAGAATTCAACGACAACTGGACTGGCACACCGTTCATCCTTACCGAACCTGTGAAAGAATGGCCCGTGTACAAGAAGTGGACCATGGATTCGTTGCTTTACGACTATGGTGAGACCGTCTTCCGCGCAGAGGCCGTCGACTGGCCTTTCTACAGCTATATGGAGTACATGAAGAACAACTCGGATGAGAGCCCGCTATATCTTTTCGACCGGGCTTTTGTGTCGAAGATGGGACTTAAGGTTGGCCCGCGGGATCAGGAACCCGAAGCCGCCTATTGGCCACTTGCCTGCTTTGGCGAGGACTTCTTCTCCGTGCTGGGAACCGACCGCCCAGACAGGCAGTGGTTGATTGTCGGACCCGAACGCTCCGGTAGTACATTTCACAAAGACCCCAATGCCACCAGCGCATGGAACGCGGTCATCCGCGGCTCCAAGTACTGGATCATGTTCCCTTCCTCGTCCAAGCTCCCACCGCCGCCGGGGGTCTTCGTGTCAGAAGATCAAAGTGAAGTGACCTCTCCGCTGAGCATTGCAGAGTGGTTGTTCGGATTCCACGCAGAAGCCCGTCGCACACCGGGTTGCATTGAGGGTATCTGCAAGGAGGGAGAGATTCTCCACGTGCCCTCAGGATGGTGGCATCTGGTCGTGAACATCGAGCCGTCTATCGCCATTACCCAGAACTTCATTCCTCGCGCGCATCTGAGCGCTGCCCTGGACTTCCTGTCCAACAAGGCGGATCAGGTCTCTGGGTTCAGGAAAGATGTACACAATCCTTACGAAAGATTCCTGGCTAAAATGCAGGAACAGCATCCCGAACTGCTGCAGCAAGCGCAAGAGGAGTTGAGGAAGAAGACAGACGGCAAAAAGCGGAAGTGGGATGAAATTGTTCATGGGAAAGCAGACGAAGAAGGACCCGAGGCTGGCGAGGGTGGTGGGTTTAGCTTTGGATTTGGAGCTGACGACAGCGACATCGAGGTCCCTTGAGCTATACTCTACGCAATCCAGGAATTGTCGATGCGTGCAACCTTCTAGCATTGACTATTCTCTCAACGACCAGCCTCTGAAACATGCAATCCAGCGACATCCGCTCCTCGCTATGTATCGAAGATTGCTTCACCGATATCAAGCTACCTTGCTTGCGCGCCCATCTAATGACAAGCAACTGTTTTGCTAGCGGAAGTATCGTCCCCGAAAGCCAGATAGCCCACAAAGGCGCCGATAGCGACCGCCAGCATAACGAAGCCATTATAGGTCATGAAGAGCAACCTGTGAAGTTCAGCTCGGTCCACTCTGGTCAGAGGGTAGCCAGGAAACTCACATAATGAAAAAGCTATAAAACACCTGCACAGCATATAATGCCGCCATGGTAATCTTTCCTCTCTGCTCGACGGACCTTCTGCTATCCCTGCCTACAACGAGGTGTGAGCCAGCGTTCGGGACAGGTAGTGCCAGGCTGGGAGGGTCATTGGCCGGCACAGAATCGTCGTGGATTTCGCTGCCTTCAACCAGGGTTTGTCAGGCGCATCATCTTAGCAAAGGATTGCACAGAACCCATGACCATAGAAGACGAAAAGATATCCCTGATGCCGCTCCCCTCCACTGCCAGAATCGGATAAGTGACGAAAAAGACCACTTACCTCCGACTGCGGCGGTTGTATATGCGCTGAGCCTCTTCGCATGAGCCACCTCGAAACGCCGTGTAAGTTGGCGGACGCCCTCATAGCCGGCGGTCAACAGCACGATGAGTAAAATAGAGATGAGAAGTGATAAAGTGCCTGTGACACGCCACTGTGGAAAGACGATGCAAAGGTTCTTTGTAGACCAGGTGAAAAGCATCTAGGGCGCGTTAGTAGGGCAGCCTGACGCAGGGCAGGTAAAAAAGCAATTATAAGTACATTGCTTCTGCCGGGATCTTTGGCCAGAAGGAAGAAACATAGAAACTTGAGATGAAGAGACAAGTAGTTTGAGACCTACATTCATACTACACTGTCCCATATCCATGTCACCGTGGTCATGGCCGTGGTCCATATCCATCCCCATATGGTGCATTGAGTGATCCATCTTGGGCACTTTTGCTTGGAGAAGAAAGAACAAGTTCTGTACCAGTAAATTCCGCGAGACCCAATGTATGCAAGCAGGTATCGATGCTATCGATATACTCAGTGAATTCTCAGACGTTGTTGGCACATGAACAGAGAAGTAGAACAGAGAGGGAAAGAAGTGAGGGATGATGGCGTGAGTAGGTTGCCTTCAATACCAAACAAACCAAACCAACCAACCAACCCATCCGCTTCTCCGCCCCGGATGCAAACCGACCAAACAGCCCTGATAAGGTCTTGCCGAGCCATCCTGGCCATCGGCCATCTTCAACCGTCGCAATAAACCACTCATTTCGACTGATATCTATCCTTGCGCAGATAACTGGATTCGTGTGCCAACCAAACTCATGCTATCTATCGATCAGTACTACCAGAACTCGCATCATTGTTGCTAATTAGCGCACAAATACCTCATCACTTAGCGCGACTGATTCAAACAACATCCTCACGCTCCCGACTCAGCATCGAGCGCTCCCAGCCAAACCACAATCCCCCAACCTCGAATTGCGCGTCGCAGCTCACTTCTATTGTAAACCACAACATGGCAACGCCAGCTCCTGCTCAACCTGTAACAGCAGGAGGCACCGCTTCAATGCCAGCAACCCAAACAGGAGCAACAGCAACCACGCCCTCCCACCTCCGAGACGTCACGCAACAATTAAACGCAGACGCCAACGCCAACTCCAATTCCAATGCCAGCAACAACACAAATCACACCACTGCCACCACAAATCCCACCTCAACATCCGCAACCCCAGCACCCACGACAGCAACAGCGACTGCCTCAGCGCCAGGTGCAACCCCAGGAACCCCAGGCGCCTCCTCCGGCTCGCACCCCGCCGCCTCCACGTCCAAAAACGGAATTGGCGCAGGCGCAGTCCCCTCGACCACCGATGCAATAGCATCAACAACCGCATCAACGACAACAGCAACAGCAACGGCTCACCGCGGCCTTCCATACTACGAGAAACTGCGACGCGAACTCCGCGACACGCTACAGAAGAAGCGGTTGATGGATAAGAGCATGGTTCGTCCACCTCCACCTCCCCCTCCACCTTCCTAGTCATACACATTCCAAACAACTCCCCTTCCCCAAACCTAACCACCAATAACTCACACCCTGGAAACCAAAACAGGCCCAACTCGAAGACCAAATCTACCGCTTCGAACAATCCTACCTCGAAGAAACCACCGCCGGAAACATCATCAAGGGCTTCGACAACTACATCAAGGGCTCCTCGACCGGCGGCGGCCTCGGCGCGGGAGGACTCTCGCTCTCTTCCGGCGTCGGAGGTGGAAGTGGAGGTGGAGGCGGCGGTGGGGGAAGTAATGCCGGCGGCGGCGGGGGTGGTGGTGGTGCGAGACGCAAGGCGCCCGTAACAGAAGCGGATCGCGTGTTTTCGAGGAGTTCGGCGAGTTATATGCGGGTTTGTCTCTCTCCCTTTTTTTTTTTTTTCTGATGTCCGGGTTGTGATTGTGGTTGTGGTTGTGGTTGTGGTTGTTATAAGTCCGGACTATGGATTGTTGTTGCGTGGATCGAGCTGAAATGCTGACCCCTTAGAAACAACAGGATTCCCCTGCCCCCTCATCCGCCCAAACAACCCCCTCGCACGCCCCGACGCCCAATTCTACCTACAATGGTTCGTCGACGGGCAAAGCCGGAAATAATGGGGATGCTGCCTCCTCGGCGGCGAACAGCGTCAAGGGAACCTCGTCAAAAAACAAAAAGAAGTCCGGTGGTGGTGGGAACAAGGATAAATCCGGTGGGAATAGCAGCAACAACACGAAGGTTGAGGATGAGGATGGGACGGATGCGGATCGACCGCCGACGAAACGGTTGAAGATCACTTATGGACGGGATTAGCGTTCGTCCGCGGCGATTCCTTTAGTCTCGGATGGTGTACTCTGGTTGAGAGGCTGCTGGGATGGGATGTTATGGGTCTGGATTAGGAGCTTTTGGCATGTAGGAGACACGTTCTAAAGGTCTCGAACTATGCTTCTCCCATCTGGTCCTGGCAGTGCTGAAGATCCTGTGCTCCTGGTGGAAGGATGACTGAGGCGTCTTTTTTTCTCCTTTGATTATTTTCTCGTGATATCCTCTTGTACAGTACTACACATAGCATCACTTGGTGTTGGCAATGCTGATCATAGATCAATAACAATATGTTTTCCATTGTGTGGCAGTCTGATACAAATTGACACTACAATGTGGCCTATAAACAGGTATAAGGGCACCCTAAGATACTACAATTGCAGACGGTATGTCGCCACCTCAAATGCCCTCAGCTCAATATCAATATCCGTGGTGCCCTCAGTGCGCTGCACAAGTGCAAGAGGAGTCTCATCGTCCTCCAGAACATTGCACTTCCAAGCCTTGCTGATGGGAAGCTTGGTGTGGATAGTGCCACGGCTCTTGCCTCCAAGCGACTCATAGATACGGAGGATGACGCTCTTGCCGGAACGCCGAGGCAGGTTGTCCCGGGACACATCTTCATCATCTTCGCCACGCTTGACCACATCGATGACCAAAGACGAGTTTCCAGAAAGCGCAACCGACTTGAATACGTCACTGACTCCCTGGCCGCTTGCCGACTCAAGAACAAGAGGGTGGTTGAAGCTGTATCCGGCTCGGATCGTGCGTGCATCCAATGGTCCAGCGTGTGGGAGAATAGCATAGCGGATGTGATGCCGGCCCATGTCTGCGTGGGCATCTGGGGCCTTCGGCGCACGCAGCAACGAGAGGCGCATAAGGTTGCCAGCAGTTGCGAAACCATACTTGGAGTCGTTCAAGATTGAGACTCCATATCCATACTCGGACAAATCGGCCCACTTGTGGCAGCATACTTCAAACTTGGCCATATCCCAACTGAGTAAGAGGTTAGCGACATACTTCGACCTTATTTGTAGATAAGGTGTGACTCACTTGGTATTGTAATGCGTTGGACGCCGGATGATTCCGTATTGTGTTTCATATGATGCCTCCGTGTTGGTGATGTCAACAGGAAACTCGACCTTGAGGAATCTCATCGTCTCCCGCCATTCGACCTCACTCTCAAACTCGACATATGAAGGTTGGTTTCCATTAGCTGCCGCCAGACTGATAGTGGTCTTGACCCAGCTGTTTTCGCTGATCTTTGTTTCGCTAATAACGCTGACACGGTAGGGATCCTTCTCGGAAATGGTTGTCTTTCCAGAGTGTAGCTCCTTCCTGGAGTCAAGATGGAATACCTCCACATCCCATGCCTGCCAGTAAAGAGGCTTATCATCAAAGATAACCAATTGTCCAGCCTTTCCGCCCTTAGGAATGATCTCGCGATCCGCCTTGAGGTCGAACAGAGACGTGATCACACCATTGTGGACATCAACTCTGAGATTTGTGTTCTGCAGGCGGAAAATGCCGGGCTTTATCTCGGAGACAGTAACAGCGGGAGCTGCCTTGGGAGCAGGAGCTTGGCATTGAATGAGGCCAGTTTCACCACTGACCAAGGCATATTTAGGACCACCTGAAGCTACAAACTCCGCGGGAATCCTGACAACCTCGGAACGTGGCCAAGGCAGCGTATTGAGGGCGACAAAGCCCTTGCTAGCCGTGTTCTTGCCGACCCCCAAAGCCCGAAGCGCCTCCTTCCTGGCCTTCTGACCTGTTTCGAAGATCTGCTTATAGAGCTTGTTGGAGTCATCGTAGCACATCTCGATTGAGCTACCCGGCAGGCAGTCGTGAAACTGACACAAAAGGACACCCTCCCACATATCATCGATATCCTTCTTGGGATACTGGTAATCTTTGTCTCCATGGAGTGATGCCAATGTGGCAAGATATTCGATCTCTCGAAGCAAGAATTCGGACTTGCGGTTGTTTCGCTTGTTATTGGCTTGAGTAGTGTAAGTGCCCCGATGGAGCTCAAAGTACAACTCGCCATACCAAGTTGCGAATTTGGTACCAGCTGCTGCCTTCTTTTCAAGGCGGGCAAAGAAGTCATCGACAGATTCTCCCATCTTGACACGAGGAAGCAAGCCCACTTTGTCACTCATGCCGCGGCAACGACGCAGCTTTTCCAAGTGCTCGAAGGTTGGACCACCTCCACCATCACCCTTACCGAAGACCAAGAGTGATGTGTTGTCTTTGTCCAGTGACTTATGCTGCGTCACACTGCGTTTGACATCGCCAAAGTGTGCGCTTGCCGTATAAGTCTCTGATGGAGGCATGTGGCACATGACTTGGCTTCCATCCAGAGCTACCCACTGGAAGGTGGTGTGGGGAAAGTTGTTGATGTTGTTCCAGCTGAGCTTCTGGGTGAAAAAACGGCTCATTCCAGCGAGACGGCAGATCTGGGGGATTTGCGTAGAATAGCCGAATGTGTCTGGCAGCCAGAAGGTTGTACAACGTTCTCCAAAGTGGCTCTCGAAGAAGCGCTGCCCATAGAGGAATTGCCGCACCAATGACTCGCCGCTAGGCATGTTGGTGTCGTGCTCAACCCAACTACCACCAATGGGTTGGAAATTTCCTCTTTTGACCCATTGTTTCACGCGGTCGAATACGGAGGGATAGTACTCTTTCAACCACTTAAATTGCTGGGCTTGGGAACAAGCAAAGCGATGCTCCGGATACCGGTCCATCAGGTCACACTGGTTTGACCAAGAGCGGGCGACTTTCCGTTTCGTTTCCGCCCAAGGCCAGAGCCAGCAGGTGTCAATATGGCAATGCCCGATTGCGTAGACGATCGGATCGGTGTCGGTCTCATACACCTGCGAAGAGTCGACTTTATCACCGATGTACTTTCTGGCAATCTTACGGCCCTCTTTGATCGACTCCTGACTTCCATTGCCCGCAATAAAAGCATCCATTATCGCATTACAGACCATATTGGCCTCGTGCTTTTCCCACGAGTCTCCGGGAAATTCTCTCGCAGCATCTGAAGACAAAGTAAGCAGAGTGCGTATAGGTAAAAAAACACTAGACCAGATATTTATAGGCTCACAACTTACCTCCAATGATCCAGAAATCGTAGAATAACGCTCGGGCTTCAAGATTGACTGCTGTGATTTGGGCCTTGCTCAAGGTGAAATATTTGTCGGGAGCGGGAGGCTGAATGGAATCTCCGCCCGGTGCGTTTCCAAACATGCCATTACAGGCCATCTCGATGTAAAAGACGTGCTCCTTTCCGTCGCGCCAAGCATCGGGAATAATCCATTCGATGCGTTCACCTCCGCCGGTAAGACCTTGGAGGGGCCGGCCATCTTCCGACCAGATCAAACCTTCGTTATTAGCATCCCAGTGGAACTCCAGACGTTCTTTGTCGCGAAGGTCTTCGGGAATAATCAAGCGAATATGGAACCAGTGAGTAGACCAGCTTGGACCAAAGGAGGCCCCAATGTGGGTGGGCTTGAACTCATGGGATGTGGCTTCTTCGAAGGGTGGACGCTGCAGGTCGGGAACGGAGTATACGGAAAGCTTGACATGGTCTTCGTCGGAGTTGACAGCCTCGTAGAACTTGCTAAATCGTGGTCTTAGCGAAGCAATCACTTACTGTGACGAGTGGTGATACTCACGAGAGGAGATTCTGTCCCTGATATTGACCACCAGCAGTGAATTGCTTGAGACGGTCGGTGTAGATGGATTGGATGCGCTGGCCGACGGGGCCCTGGGGGGTCCGGGGAAGGGCGCTGGGAGCTTGTCGGGCCATGTCTCCACCCATGGCCGTGGTTCTAGAAGGGGTGAGGGGAAAGGATACACGGGCACAATGGGAAGACACCGTCCAGTTAATCAGAACGAACGTGTGACTAAGATGAGTATTTAATTGACAGATGAAGAATTGATGATGGGGAAGTTGTTTAGTTAAGAAGAGGAATAGAGGTGCGGAGGAGGAGGAGTTGCCAGGAACGGCCAGGAACCTCAGGCAATGACATACCCGGAGTCAGCTGAGCCTGCCTGCATCATCCTGCAATCCGGGGTATACTACGGATTACGTGCTAAGCCAATGGATCAGTATCATTGACCCATTGTCCTACAACATAACTACAGTAAAGTCACCAGACACAGCGAGTTGGAGTCTCGATGGCATAGCAGGTTAGTCGTGCCTGGCAATTCGCAGCTTGACTGCTTCGGTTTTGGTGGCCGCTTTCGGGTCTGAAATGCGGGGAGCGCCTCCCTCTAGAATGCATGCATCCCGAGTCAGTCAGAGCAGCATCGGACTTTTCAAGAACCCCTCCGTGATCAGCGTATACTTGTCAGAATATGCAAAGAAGAAGTCAATTCAAGTATTTTTCTCCCCATAATAGTGACCTCGATATACCAGACCATTCATTGACCTGTTTATCAGTGACATCATTGGAAGAAGCGGGGAAGGCGAAGCCCATGTACAGAACAATGATCATGGATTGAACTGCTGGTTTGGTTCAAGCCCGGCACCATTGATGGCTATCTTACGAGAGAAGTACGAGGAGAATATGTAAATTCTTTTCAGCAATGACAGTCATAAGTAATGAGGCAATAACATCCTCGATCCTAAAGTTAAGGACGATAAGTAGAGAGATTAGAAGTTCTCAGAATTGCGGGGCAGGGGACCGCAGAGGCTAAACCTGCTAAGAACGCACCGCTATCTGGAATTTTCATGATAAGTAGTCGAACAAGATACGGAGTACAGTCGTCAACGTATCATGTCTTTCCGTATAATAACAATGATCCTAAGCAAGTGTCCTTCGTCACTATCATTGAGGGCATATCTTACTAGTACTACCTTCACTATTTACCTCGATCTCCTCGGGGGGACCTATCGATTTGTCATCCTGGCTGAGTAATCCGATAACCCACGGCGACAATCTCTGCCACTGACCCCGCCAGCCAATCACGTCACAGTCAGATGACGGTTTTTGAGTCAGCCCAAAAAACGAAATCCATCGCCGATTACGCAGAGACCGATTCCGTTTAAGTAGCCATCACAACCCACCATACTTTCCAAAGAGATTCAGACACAAATCAGTTCCTTCGCCAGTGACTCCTCTCCACTCAGCTACGGACCTACAGGAAGACCAGTCGCAATGGCTCCCTCGTTCGTGACCATTGACACCACCCCCGACTTCGACCTGGCTCCCCCACCTTCGGTCAAGTCCATCAACCCCTCCTCGCAGCGGATCCTCCTCCTCGCGCCCCCCTCCATCGCCACCCACGAAGAGAAGCTGCGCGATCTCTTTACAACCTATGACCGCGCCACTACCGACCTACAGATGCTCGACCGCATCGCTGGCGGTTTTGCCTCTCTCCCCGCCAACACCTACGATCTCGTCCTCGTCCTCACCGACACCGATGGCGCGCGCCGCTCGGAGGCTCTCCAGCTTCTCAACCGGAATGTTTATAGCGCTTTGGTTCCGTCCATGAAGGCTGGGGCCAAGTTTCAGACTCAAGACAACAATTTCGGAGAGGCTGAGGAGCGGGAGGCGGTTTTGGCGGGGTTGGTTAAGACGGACGGCGGATTCGAGAAGGCCGACCAAGGCAAAGTGTTTGCCATCCCTCTCCGGCGGAGCGGGAAGAAGGACGCGGCCAAGAAGACGCCTACCGCTGCTGCGACGAACGTTCAACCCATTCCTCCGATCGTCGCTCCTGCACCGACCGCCCCGGCAATGGGCATCATCAATGATGACGCCGATTACGGTGATGACGATGAGTTGATTGACGAGGACGATCTCTTGTCGGAAGATGACTTGAAAAGACCCATTCCTCGTTAGTGTTCCCCTCCCCGACACCACCGTTGGTTAGGCATAGACCTCTTGCTAACAGGTCACCCTCCTACACAGCCCCCGAATGCCAACCCAAAAAAGGCCGGAGAAGACGCGCGTGCAAGGACTGCACATGCGGTCTTGCCGCGCGACTCGAGGCGGAGGAGCAAGCGCAGCGGGAGAAGGCCGACAAAGCGCTGAACGTGATGAAGCTCCAAACCGACGACCTCAACGAGTTGGACTTCACCGTCCAGGGCAAGCCGGGCTCCTGCGGGAACTGCGCACTGGGCGATGCCTTCCGGTGTGACGGATGTCCCTTCATTGGTCTTCCAGCCTTCAAGCCGGGCCAGGAGGTCCAGATCATGAACAATGTTGTGCAATTGTAGCGATGCTTTTTATTCCCACTATTGTTATGCTCTTCTTAGCGGAGTTGGGGGACCAGGGCAACGGGTTTGGGGAGTTTAGTTTCTTTGTCGGGAGGGTACAAAATAGATAGAGTCTTTTTGACGACTTTGGACGAAATTATATCGAGAATTTCAATCGTTCATTTTTAGGACTTCTGGCATTCTCTTGGGTGATGTGGTTAGTCGATATGCCTTCAAAGAGTTATGGGTGCATGACTGGCTATACACCTGCTCAAGGTGTAAACATCTGTAACATGGCGATGATCAATAATTGGTAACATTGAAGTTGTCTTGCCTCCAATCACCACAATCTCCACCTTACCAGCTTCCCAACAAGACTACACATATAGAACCCATAATCAGCATGATGCAGATATCGTACCTAACCCTCCACTTCGCACAAGCACCAAGGCCATCCGACTGGTTCTCTCCACTGGACTGCACCACACATTGCCCTCCAGTGACCATGGTCTTGATCTTAGTGATTTCCTGAAATCCGCAGCGACAGAGATCATCGGTTCCCGAACATCTCCGCAAGCATGGCATTGGACCAGCCCTCAACGAGAGACACGTTGACTTCAACTGTTTCCCCATCTCGCACACCCTAAGACCGCACGAGTCCGCCGCTCATAGTAGCCCCTTTTCAGGTATGGAGCTCGTCGGTACCACCTTCAAGTCACAAGACGTGAATGTGTTAAGAACAAAGAGTGGAGGGCGTCAGCCACTATGAGTATGGCAATAGAGAAACAAAGAAATTCCTTTCCCCCCCCGTGTGAATCGGATTTGGTTGTCCCGTCCTTCTCATCTTGTGTGGTAGTATGGATCGGATAGATGTGCTGGCTGTCAATGCCGATTGAAGTCCATCAGTACTCGCTAAGTTCTCTTCTAGATCCTCTTTTCCAATCAGGGATGGTTCCTGGAAGTAGGATGCCACACGGAATTGGGGTTCGTAAGCGTGGCACAGTAGGTAGTAACAGTAAGGTACGGTAGGTCCACTTCCGTTAGACAGAGCATCTCGATTCGATTCAACGTCAATCATCCCCATTCATGCCCAGCAGCTCTCACCCGGGTAAGTACAATAGGATCGAACAACGAATTCACATCCATACCATCGATAACGACGACCGAAAAGCGAGGAAGCAAGTAAGATAATACCAACCAACCCACCACCCCAAAAGACGCAGTCTCCATAAACAATGAAGCAATTGAACCGTCCCCTCTGAATAACTCAAACAAAAGAAAGGAAAGCCAAATCCAGTCATTTAGACAACAACAACAACAACAACAACAACAACAACAACAACAACAACAACAACAACAACAACAACAACAACAACAACAACAACAGTCAACCCTTAATCAGAACCCCGGCCTGGATACCTACTATCCACTCCCCCGCATCTCCACAAAATCCCACCACCCGGCTCCCCCCCCCCTTGCCACACCACAAGAACATTGAACAACACGCCCACAACCCCCTCCCCTCAGTCTGATACATACCGTCGCTCCTGATAATCTAACTGTTGAAGGACATTTCGTCAGTTAACCCCGACAAATGCGCCACCCCACCGCCTCCTCATTTCCCATCCATGCCATGCAGATATCCTGCCATGGAGTATGAGGCGCGACTTGGCAGAGGTTAATCTCCCGAGGGTGGTACAAAGGGCGAGGGAGGGGCGCATCTCCAACGATCACCGCCACAAAGAATGGGCAGGCGGCGTAATTAAGCATTAATGTGTCGTTGCCTACAGTAAATGTGCTGTACTGTACCAGACGGACTGCCAGAGTAGGCGACTAATGCACTGCCAACGGGGATTACGCATTCCTGGGGTCGGTAATTCGGCGATCGGTTGAGATCCGCAAGGGGCGACAGCAGCAGCAGGCAGCCCAGCCCGGGCACGTGTTGTAGGCTGCAGTGCTTTCTTTGTGGTAGTGGAGGGACCTTGCGAGTGAAACTGGAAGCTGGAATTATTGCCAAGAGTATAGTATGTACGTAAAGTGGTTGATTGGTATCCAAGATAAAAACATGGATATCAATAACGAGGTCATGATTGGTTCTATGATGTATGTATCATAACCTCCAGGCTACACCACCATTCTCGGGATTTGCTTAGCACACGAACCTCAACGCCTAACATGAATTGTGCAGAATGCCAACGGGATATCGAGTATGAGATGAAAGAGCTGAGAAAAAAAAAGAATTACAATAGAGGGATAACAAAGAAAACACGCTAATTTGGCAACAGAAGCAGGGTAGTAGTGTAGACAGGCGGTGACCAGAACCAGGAAGAGAATGCGAAACAGGATAAAATAAGATGGTGTAAGCGAAGAGTCGGCTTATACCCATGGATCAGTCTGTCCTTGGGTGTTGTAGGGACTAACCGGGCCAATGAGTCGGATTTGTGACTTCAGCTGCGAGTGACGGCGCTCGAGTTTGCTCCCAGCGATCTTCTTTCGGGCCCCGCCAAGAGCACCCCAAAGATGCGAAGTGCCATGGTGAAATGCCTTGACGTAGTCCCGAGTATTCTGCTGGATCTGGGAGCACGCTGGGGGGGTCAGAGGAGGCGTGGCCGAGGTGACGAATCCTTTGGGTGTCGGCGGGCCCCTCTTTCCATACTTCGGAAACCGCACCGGACGGTTTTGCCGATAGCTGATGCGCTTCTCCCGACCGGGCTTCTCCCAGATGGACGGCCCTTGCTTCTGATAAGGGCTGAGTGAAAGCGCGAGCTGCTTCTTTCGTAGAGTAAGCGGCGGTGGGCGTGTCACCCTTGAGCAGGTAGTCGATCGTGACGAGGCGCTGGATAGTCGCTTCACCGAGACGGGAGACTCTACCGGGCTAGGCGGCATCAGAGGGCTCACGACATCGGTGCGTTCTTTCGACAGCGACCATTCTAGCGATGGCGTTCGATTGCGCGTATAGTTGGAAGCTACTGTGTCGCAGCGCAAGTCCGGTCGTGAGTCTGGCCGTGAGTCGGGCCGAGCAGTGTCCCGGTTCACCGAATGTTTGGACAGACGGCGCTGAACGTAAGATCGAATCGAGTCTCGAACGTCATGCGCAAGGGCTCGTCCTCCTTTGTCGCGTGAGCTCCAGCGACCGCAAGGCTTGGTAAAGTCGAAGACCGCGAGGTTCAATTTACTAGCGCTCTTCTTGCGAGAGGCAACAGCAGGGTTGGCGGAGCAGGCGGGTAGGGCTGATTGAGGGGCAAGCTCGGGGAAGAAATCCCACTTCTTCTCCCGGAAATAATGATTCGGACCTGCGCGTGTGACTGTCCAAGGGGCTGGTCGGTCGACATGGTCATCGTGCAAGAAAGTGGCGGTGATGGCCAGCGATTTGGAGTCTCGATAGTGATCACTGGGGGCGGATGCGGGAGGATGATCGACTAGTCCAGTCAGATCATCGGACCCTGAGCGAACAAAAACGGGGTAACTCTCGGTGGTGGACACTTCGGAAAAGCGTCGGCTGCCATAGTAACTCGACCTCATGCTGCTGTCGTCGCTCCAGGCGGTTGAGCCTGCATCCATGATGGAAGGGTCCTCTGGTAGGGGTTTGGCAGGCAGCTCGGGGAGCGCTTTATCTAAAAGCAAGGTTGGGCGAACAGACAGCGGCTGAGGGATTCGAGGAGGGATGACTTGTTCCAATCCTTCTAACGAACGAGACGGTCTCACAGGGGGAGCCTCTCGTGGACGCGCCAACGAGGATGGAGATAGCATGTTGATCGGAGTGGGGTTGATTTGATTGACGGGCCGATGGGCGGCTAATGATGGGTGGGGGAGAGAATGTGTATAAACCCGACCTGAGAGGGAGGGGGTCAAAGAGGCTGGAAGAGAACGTGAAAGGATTCACCGACTCCAGATCAGGGACTCTGACTTGTGTCCTTCCACCAGGGATGAAACAACAACTCAGATAATCGAAGAGAGTGGCCAGTGAAGTCCTAAAGAAGGCCCGAGAGAGGGTAAAGTAGATGATGGTTGTGACCGAATAGATAGGCTTGGGCGTGGGCTTAGGCTCCCTGGTGGAGCATGCGCTGGAGCCAGAGATTGGACTAGATCAAAGTCAAGTCGTAATAATAGTTTAGTCAGGCAAGGCACTTTGCTTCTTTTTAACCCCGTCGCGTGCTGCTCAGTGCACCTGTTAACCTTTGTTGGCGTCTGGGATGACAGGCTGGAGTTGATCGAATCAGTTCCCTTTCACACACTTGCACATTCAACCAGTTGCCGTGGTTCTTCTGCGGGACTGCACAGGGGCTGCAGCTAGTAATAAAGAAAGGACCAGAACCATATTTTGTTCACCCTCAGAATTAGAAAGCAGAGGAAAGGGAAGAGAGAAAGAAAAAGAATCAGAAATCAAGCGGCACAAGGAATGGAGGAAGAGTGATAAAGGAGGGGTTGAAGGCGAATGAAACGAGGAAAGGGAGGAAGACGAGGAGGTTGAAGCAACTTGGGGAATCAAGAGAGGATCGGGTACAGGCAGAAAACAGCTCAATGATTGACTGATTTGCCTGTGCTGGTTGCGATGCGATATGCATGAGGCTGGACTAGAGTCGAAAGGGGATGAAGGCTGCAGCTAAACGAGGCCGCATTATTTTCTGGGAATATTATTTTAAAGACTCATGATCATTTACCGCCATGATCTTCACCGTCACTCAATCACTCCCCCATCTATCCAGTCAACCATGATCCCAGCTTAACCCTAGTTTTGTCATGCCTGGTTGACGGCCGGAGTTTCCCGGATTATGGACGAGAGCTGGAGTCTAGAGTGTCAAATCAGTCCCAAAGGGATGGCTGGACCCGCTTGGCTTGGGGTTAGTAGTTAATTGTCCAGATGAATCAAGAACGGGAGAAACCGATATATCTCAAATTCTCGAGGGTAGTTCCTGGTCGGCTGCAGGATCGTCGTGGTCATCATGGGCATGGAGTGATGAACAGCCTCAAAGTGACACATCCATGCAAGGGATGGACTGGGAATGGACCGCGATCGAGATGGGGAGTTCCCTGTTTGCATGGGCTGCTGTTGCTGCGGCTGCTGCTGCTGATAGTGATGAATAATACTATAATCTTGAATTGACTAACGATCGAAGGAAATCGGATACGAAGAAGACCTGAGGAAGACGCAAGAAGAAGAGGAGGAGGAGGAGGAGCTGAGAATTAGAGATGAAGCAGGGCTTAGATCCAGCTCATTACAGTAGGTACCTAGTAACTAACTAGTAGTTACTGCGTACTCCACGTATTGTTGGTAACTAACTATAGGTTAACTTTCCCGCCAAGTCTAGCCCTTTTCTTCGTTGCCCGATGAACCTCAGCGGAAGATGTCTTCCTTGTCGCCTGTCTTTTCCACTTCTACCTCAACCACGTTACCACATTCCCTCTCGTATCTCTCCTATGATCTCTTTAGATCTCAATCTCTCTTCCCGCCCCTCGGACATGCCGACTGTCAAGGATTCAAAGAATTCAAATAATATATATTGTTCGCTTGGTGAGTGCCGACAGCCACTCAAGATCCGGTGCCTGGTTGCTGCAGCTACTAGGGCAAAAAACTAATCTTACACTTCGCTTAACATGACATACATTAGGACACATCACATTGCGGTAGGGAGGATCTCCCTGTGGGTTGCCTCTTTCTTCTCAATCGTCTGCCACGTTATCCTTCCTCCGTTTGCAACTGCAGCCCAATCCGAGAGTGTGAGACTGTGAGCACATTCGGCCGGTTGCAGTCCGATCTCGGAGTTAGAGCCTCCATCCATCCCTTCTGTGTTTGTGGCTTAGTACAAAACCAAAACATCGGTGACACATTATCGCTACAACGACTCTTATGATTATTGTTTCATCTGCCACAGCCGTTCTGGCTGTTGATTGAGTCATTAGATTCACAGAGAGTTGTACACTGCTCGTGTCGTTCTTGGGTTTTGCTTGTTCTTGGTCACACTGGCCGATCTCACAACCCAACCTCTGCCATGCGCGGGATCGACTGGCTGGTGGGTCAATACTTGCAAGGAACTAAGAAATAGTCGTGGTCCAGACAGGTCATATAGCACCCGGCTCGTGCCGTCCTAGTGACCTCTCTCTTGGATGTTCTTGTCGCCTTCCAATCCCCTGTCTCGTTCTTGCTGCCCTGCAGTGTTCGACCCTTCACGGCGGACTCCCAAAGACATCCAGCGACCCCGAGACGAGACCAGCTCCCATGATTGCCTGTTTTGTCAGCGACGACGCCAAAGGCCCCTCTTATCACTATACAGCTCCACAAATGTCCGCCGCAGCGGACAAGCTGTGCGACGGATGCGAGTCGGGCATATTTCGGATGGGCGGAATGAATATGTGCTCCCGGGCCCCAAATAGACACCGATCGTCTCCGCAAAGACGGTAAATATCGCCGTGAGGCCCATTTTCCAGGTTTTCGTTAGCATCGTGCTAGATGGAGCAAGAACTTGGGCCTCACGACCGAGCAGGTCCGCTCCACTCCTCAGCCCAGAAGCCCTGGATCGAACCAAAACATCATTCACCGCTTGGACTGTGAACATTCCAGAACGACAGAGACTCGATGAAGCCACCAATCGCGAGAGACACCGCTCATGCTTTCAGGGATCTGGCCCACTGGCTCAATCGATCTGTTTCAGATGTGTCGCTCGGCGGAGGTTGATCTTATGGCGGTCACTAATACACAATTGCTGCCGATTTTAGCGGCGGCCCGCCATCTTGACAATCGGAGGTCAGACCGCATCCTCCTTTACCGTCCACCAAGCAAGTCACAATGGCTGCCAACAAAGCTTTGATCGGCGTTCAAAGCACTTGCTCTGACATCACCATGACTTATGTATGTTCGTGTCGCTCATCACCTTCACATCGGTGCTACCAACATGTTTTGTACTCTTCTAGCTTTGGGGATACCTGAGTCGCCAGAGTATGTCGGTGAGACACAAATATGTGATCAGCAGACAAGAATACGAGGGCAAGGTTGAGAAGGTGTGGATGAGCGCCGGACCCGCTACAGTCTCTGCCTAATCTCCATTCTCAGCTCAGTGTGAGTTGTAAGCTGTCTATCCAACATCCAAGGCAGAATATGATTGCCATTCCAGCTGCATAGTGCCCCTCACGGTTATACACGGAGTGACATACAGGACAATGAGACTTATGGTCCAGTCGTCTTGTATAGTATTCGTAGTATAATGGCCGTTCGGAATTGGAATAGTTGATGAGAATATTTATTATGCTATTCATGTATAAATGCACTCACTTGTACTGTACCGCCTTGGGTAGGCGCGATCAGGTGATCGGGTTGAACGGTCAAACTGAATGCCGACTTCACCTACTCCTAGTATACATACACCACTGGTCTCTATCATCAATCGGCATCTCCACTTGCCTTGCAATTGTCACTCGAACAAGAGATAAACCGTTCTTCTGACAACTCTTGAACTAACCTCTGAAGGCTACCAACAGCAGCTCATTTAGAGCAAACAGTATTTGAGCATGGAGCACGACCTTGAGCCAACCACAAACATGCAGCCGCCGCCTTCGACCCAAGCCACATTACAGAATGTCAATGCAGCATGCAGAAGTATGAAGATAACAATCTGTTGCTGTCGTTGCTTGTCTCGCATTCATCACGAAACGTTTCGGAGGCCATCGAGCTAAAGAGCCGAGATTAAGATCATCAAACGTTGGGCCTGGCGCTCTGACAAGCGAGTAAATGATCAATTCATCTTCTCACTGCCTTTCATGAATTGACTCTAACTGACGTTCCAACCACTTTCAGGTCATACATGACACCGGTTCACGATTCTGCATTCATGCGTATCTCTTGAACTTTCGCTATACTCAATCTCAAATTATGCATGACTGAACAATAGGATCATCCGAATCAGCTCAGCAGCAAAGTGAATTCCGTACCTTATCTCCAGAGCTAAAGCCGAAGCTATCTTCACCAATTCATCTCCCATCTGCATCGAATTGCGTGTTTGCTCTCTTCAAGCACTAGCGATAAGTGGCTTGATATAGGAGAAGCATTCTCCGAGGCCCGAGCGTTAATGTCTGCAGAGCAAGTTGCACAGACCCAGCAATCAACGGCACTACTACGCAAACACCCTTTGAGCCCAATTCCCCTGGCATGATCACGAACCCCGATGCAAATGAGATAGACAAACACGGGCCCGGAGATTAGGAACGACCTCTACAAATGATGCCCCTTTACCGGACGGATGGTTCATGAAAGCCCGCTGATCGTTCGCAGAATGGAGCGGCAGGCCCCGGCTACGTGCATCGATAAGCAATCAACAAAAGCGTAGAGAGCGCCACCGATCCCTTTATTCTACCACAATATGGGGTGCTACTTCGAAGGTAAGGCTCACTTTGGAAGATAACCAAGTAAGTTCGACCCCAGCTCAGTCCGTGCATCGTGCGTTAGATGATTTGTCACACCCGGGCTGGGTTGGGAGCTCCCCGATCGCGTGGCGCCGTCCGACTTTTGCTCGCAGGAGGGTATCAGGTTGTGTCACGAGTGATTGCCGCATTGGCGGTGCTAACGATTCTAGCTTGACGTGACGAGGAGTTGTTTATGTAGGCAGAAGGTTGCTATTCGCGGATCATGACCTTAGTAACTCCCACATTTCTCAGAATATCTCGGATCAGAATCGTCCAGTAGGTGCTTGCCATCGCTAAAAGGGAAATGAATTTGGTCTGTCTTGGGCCTTTGGAATGCAGGCCTCATTCGTTGAGCTTGATAGCCTATGTCAAAAGCATGCATGCCAACTAATGCTTGTCATCCGTGTTACCTTGACCGCCCTACTATTGAGTTGTGACGCACACTATAAATCGCAGCGGGATCAGAATTACAAAATCCTGCTGCTGGTGGCAAGGGCATCTCCTATCTTCTCTCCTATGCCGAATCCTAACCCCTGGGTACGGCGATGAAATAACTGCTCGGTCGGGCTTAGCTCGAGAGGTATTGACAATGTTTGCTTTTGTGGAACAGATTGAGATTCATCCTGAGCTTTCAATGCTGGTAATATTATCATCGGCTTAGTATTTGTCATGCCTGTGCTTATTTGCTTTTAGTAACTAGTATCCGTAATCTGATGCAATTCGTCATGCGTGATCATATATATGCGGTGGAGCACGGCTAACTAAGCTTAGCAGCTAACTTCATATCTTCTTGCGTTAATTGATCCCCTTGTTTCCGGACAGCGCTCAACCGACCCATTTTCAGCAAGCGTGAGATCATGGCCTCATCCCCGAAGTGGCTGTTATGTTCGAAATCCGGCTCCTGTCCATACGCAACACGCGCCACATCCACCATCATGCGAGCAGTCATGCCCCAAACCCGGTACCGCGCGACCGCGGCGACCTTCTCCTGCTCCTTGAGCTGACTGATAACGTGTTGCTGTTCTTTGCTCTCAGTCTTCGGTTTGGCCACTTCCTCCGCACGAACCGGCACGAAGAATTGATGCACTTGTTTGTTGATTAGCCCCGGGGCACAAATTGAAACCGTACCCTCGCTCCGAGTTTCCCACCGGTGAAAACGGACAATGAAAGAGAGAAACTTACTCCTCCACCGACTCTCATGCCACTCCGTCCACGATCCACGATACCACTCCGGATCGGCATCGGCCTTGACGCGGAGGAAGTCCTGGAACGGGGCGGTAAATACCGCCGCCACCTCTTTGGCATCCAGCCTCGGGATCAACGACACCTCGGGATCAGCGTTCTCGTGCGTGGCGTCATCGTATGAGTGCAGCAAGGCCACACACGGCCGAACCACCAGCTCCGTGCGGGCGAGGTTGGCGGGTAATTCGCAGAGATGCTCCACGCGAAAGGGCGGCGGGAATCTCTGGGGGTCTTGGGGCAGACCAATCTCCTCGTAGGCCTCGCGGCGAGCAGTCTGGAAGGGCGATTCAGTGAGAGCGTCGGCGCGGCCTGTGTTTGTCAACTTTTCATTTCTACTATCTCATCGAGCCCAGTAACAAGAAAAGAAGATACTCACCCCCAGGTAACGCAGCCTGACCCGCATCTTTTCCCGCAGACCCATTAGCATACATATACACATCCATCACCAACACAACACACCAAGGATGGATGATGAACCAAAAATGCAGATACGGCGACTGCAAACTCACAAGAACTCAACGTCTTCGCCCGCATCGTCAACACCACCTTCAACTCCCCCGTCCGATCCGCATACAGCAGCACCAAGACCGCTGCGCGTCGCGACAGCGGCACATGCTCGTAGTTCGAAGGAGGCGGGGTGTAATGTCTGAGGCGGTCGATGGCGGCCTATTCTCGATTTCGAGCCAACAGTTTAGAGTTTAGTATATGCTATCAAGTACTAAGGATTTGGAGTCGTGCGGAGTGAAGCATTGGTCGGTACTGGAGAAATTCCCATCTATAGACAGACAAATGGAATCTCGATAGATGGTGGGCTTCCATTTCCTCCTTGGTTCGGCGGAAGGGGCTAGTGTGCTGTGCTAACACTCAAAGGCAATGGCGTGTATGATACAATGTAGTACATGACATAGTAAGACATACCTGCGAAACGGGATTCAAGCGCGGCATTGTACTCGTACTCAGTAATCTCCCGATCCCACTTGTAGATTGAGACGGAGAGGAGGGTACCCCTAGCGATATTCGTGTGATGTTTTTGCGAGTGTAGTAGTATGTAGGACTAGTAGGTCGGTGGACGAGGCGGGAGAAGGGGTGCATTGCCTAAGTCCTAGATATGCATTTACTGCAAGGGACCAAGGGGATAAGGTAAGCTAGTAAGAGTATAAGTACAAGCTCTAAAAAAAAATGAAAAGTAGAGAAGAGAAAAAAGGTTGCGGGGCTATTAGATAGTATGCATGAGTTGGGGCTGGGCTGCCTTGGCTTGGGATTTTACTCTGTTGGAGGTACGGAATAAGAAGTAGTGGAGGAGGGAGGATGCGAAGTTACTGTACTTCCGGAGTTGAAGGTTGGTTGCCGAGGTTCATGGGTTGTAGCAAGGGAGATTGTCCGAGGGGAGAACCACGGGGTTCTTAGTTTGATTTCCCTGGGATGCAACAATACTTATAACTAAATAAGTTACTTCCTCACAAGATATGATCTCATGGATTGACCCAGCCGATTGGAATATCTCAAACTATGTTCCTTCCAAGTTGTTGTATCATGAAGCCATGCATCCCTGTCCTTTAACACAGAACGGAGTACACCCACAGAACAATCCATCATGTCTATGTATAATTGAAAAACTAACTAACACAAGAGTAGAAAAAGTAGAGTAATATGTCTATATGTCACAGGGTCATCAAATTCGACGCAACGCCCACACAAAAACCAAAACAACAGATCAAGCCAGCTGGCTGCTTTTATTTCTTCTCCGTCTTGGTCGCGGAGGCAGCTTCCTGCGCAGGGCTCTCCTCAACTCTCTCCCCCTCCTTGACGGCCTCGCTGGCCTCGCTGGCCTGCGATGGCGACCGGTACTTGGCGTCATCCTTGTCGTCGTCGATGTCCTCAATATCCTGCGGCGCCGAGACGCCCTTCTCCTCGTTCTCGCTGTTTTGGCTGTTCTCCTCCTCGATCAGCTCCTGCTGCTCCTTGATGACCTCCAGACGCTGCTTGTTGGTGGCCGCGCCCTCGGCGTTGTGCACCTCGAGCTCGATCTCGTGGAAAAGCTCCTCGGGGATGCTGGACAGCACGGACTGCAGCGCCTCGATCTGCGTCGCCATCTCGGCCTCCTTACCACCCTGGGCGTAGACGTAGGCGTTGCTCAGGACGAGCAGGGTGGAGGGCACACCTTGCTTCAGACGCAGGTCCAGCCACACGGATAGATCCTCCCGCAGACGGGCGGGAGACACGCCGTGCGTGCGGATGCCGCGCGACGCGCACGCCATCTGCAGCTCCGGCACGGACAGCGACTCCACGCCTTCGTAGAAGATGGCGCGGTCGTCGCGCTTGATCTGGCGCATGCGGTGGCGGATCGTGTACCGCAGCATGGCGTCCGTGCCGAACGTGTTGAGGTTCATGTACTTGCAGATCCCCACCAGCTGCGGCCGCGACAGGTTGTCCAGCGTGAGGTCGTCCTTGAAGATCTTGCACACCTTGATCACGTCCTCCGGCGTCGGGGATTCGCCCGTGGTCCGGATCTTCTTGAAGAACTCGGTGAACTCCTCGTTCTTCACGGTCGCCGCCGTCACGGGGAGACCCGACTCCCGCAGGGTGTCCTTCAAGAATCCGGAAACCTCCTTCCGGGTGGAGCTGAGCTTCAGGGCCTTTTTCTCGCGGCCCTTTTGGCCTTCGTAGGTGCTGGGCAGCATGTTGGGGAAGAGCTTCAGGGCGACCGGAAGCAGCAATTCGGCGAAAGGAATTATGACGAACATGGAGAAGGGAACGAGACGTCCAAGATCGGTGACGGTTCTGCGAAGCTGTACTCATCCAGGAAATAACGGGATTAGCCAACGGTCAACAGCGAGCCAGCGCGCCGTGGGTTGAACTCTTACCTGGCGATGCTCTCTCCGGCTGAGCTCGTACCCCGCAGCCATCTTCAGTGCAAGCCGGGAACTGATCTTGACCTCAGTGGCCAAGAGCTTCGTGCCGTCCCAGTAGTGCTGGGCTTCCTTCTTAATCTTCTGGCCAATCGTCAACTTCTTCGTCTCTTTCTTCTCGTCGGTCTTCTTGTCGGCATCGGTGCTCTTGGCCGTCGTCAACTCATTGCTCGAGGCCTCGGTGCTCTGATTCTTGCCGGGAACGGCAACGGACTGTTCGGAAGCAGGCACCACTTGCTGGTTAGTGCTCTGCTTGCTGGCGGGCTGCTGCTGCTCCGCAGCGAGCGGCTTCTTAGCCTGTTCGGCATTGAAGCCGGGGGGAGGGAGAGGGTCCGAAGCAGAGGATGTGGAAGAGGTTGGTTCCGTAGCATAGCCGCGCTGATGAGGCACGAGAATCGCAAGGGCGGAGATGTGGGATGGCAGTCCTCTGCCGTTGAGGCGGAGGTTTGCTGCGGTGTTCGCAGCCAAGGCACCGGTCAAACGAGGGCGGACTATGAACCCAGCATGAGATCAGCCATCAGGTTGATTCCAAGGAGGATTATCGGCCGGCCGCATGGTGTGTAGTCGTGGGATACTTACCGACCAGGTTTGATCGCAGCGCACCGCTGCCGCGCATAAGGCTAGCTGACCTCAATGTGACGGACATGGCGGAAATCTAGGAAGTTGAAAAGCTCGGCGTAACGAGCGAAGGCAACAGTAGACACAGCAATGCGAACTTTGTAGTGTGGAGAGTAGTCGGAGCAAAAAAAAACGCACGATCACAACCAGAGGCGATATAGTCGAACCTCAGGGAAGGGAAGATGTCGTCGTAGTGTCGTCGGCGCAGGTATGGAGCAGAGTGGCTACTCACGTGACATCTCCGGTCTTCGGGGATAATTTGGATTTTGTCGCCGCCGAATCGGGAGCTCCGCCTCGCAGCGCTTACTCCGTAAATCCCGAGCGAGTCCGCCTTCCTTCTACTCCGTACAGCCTGAGTATAGGGGAATTTAGTTGATTAGTTGATGTCCAGTCTCTGACTCACCACCGATGCAGGCCATGTAATTGGAGAATATAATCATTGGCTCTAATCACAAGTCATTCAATCATCATAAGAACACTTCCTCTCTACCGTATCTATTTGCTACATCCAGACGCAGAACACAACTCTTACCAAGGGGCAAAACCAGCAATGATCATCGAGAAAGCAGAAAGAAAAGGAACGACTATTAAGTTGGGTATCGAATGCGAAGGACCAGAACTCGAATCAAGGCGCAGATGCTGTGCGGAAATAAAACACTAAAGCATTAACACACCTTCCCCTACCCGCAAGAATCACGATCTCTCTCGCACAGTGGAGTCATCCTTGGCAGCCGTAGCATCCTCAACGCCAGTGGAAGCTGCAGAGGCATCAAGAAGGGGGATCGCATCGATGCCAGCCTTGTTGGGCTCACCATTACCAGCAGTAGCCGATTCGCCGTGGGCTTTCCCAGCGGAGAGTGCGCCTTGGTCTAACGGTAGCAGCATGGGGCTGATTGCTCCCTCGGGAGATGAATGCCACCGCGCTACATCTTTCTTCAGTTCCTCCAGCTCTTTCTGGAAGCGCTTGCCGAAGATGTCGATGTAATAGGTGGCGCCGTTGTGGATACTGAGGATAAAGAGGGCGGTGAGGAAAGCTCCACTGGCCCACCGAGACCAAAACCAAAGGGGGCAAGGGATCATCGTTAGAATCGCATAGAAATATTGAATCATCATGAAAGCAGGAGCTTGCAGAGATTCAGGTAGGCTCAGAACGATTTTGCCGATCCAGGTCTTTGCGTAGGACTTGCGGAGCCAGGTGAAGCTGGTCGGACGCCCGGCAGCGATTTTTTCTGCACGCCGAACCGTTATGAAGCAGTGGTAGGCCGACTGCCAGATTATGTATGGTACAGTGGCCCATCCCATCATCTCGAGGAGGGTGAAATGATCGGGTGAGCCCGGTTCGCTGAACTTGATCGCATAGATGGCCGGGAATCTTGCTTTCAACGTTTCTGCAGATGTCAAATGGACTAAACAATGCAGAGACACTGGCGGCATAATATGAATGAACAAACTAGAAATAGAGCTTAGCAGATGCTCCGAAGGGGGCGAGGTCGAACGCGCGCTTACCTGACCACCTTGTCCATACTGTGGAATACCATGGAGTTGCGCCACATGGCAATGGCCACTGCATTGTTGCCGAAGGTCAGACAGAATGTGCTGATGAACAGTCGCTTCGAACCGGGGAAGACCCAGATGCTCAGCATGCAGAGCATGTTCACAAAGTAACACAAGTCGGCGAGGAAGTAGTGGTATCCTCGCTTGTGGTATCCGTAATATCGGATAGGCATAAAGTAGGCCAACTGTGCGCTGAACCAGATGTAGAAGTACTCCGGCCATCCGCCTAGCAGATAGCCACTGATGAAGATATTGAGGACACCGGCGATGAAGGAGATTTTCTCACGCAATGTCACGGTTGAGGTCGCATTCCATTGTTTACCCAACCTTTCCACGCCATTCTTCATGCGCTGGCGATACTTGTCAAGCTGTTCATCCGCCGTCGGAACCCGTTTCTTCCACTCGCCCACGACGCGTTCTCTAGCGTTCAAAGAGGATGACTTGAGTTTTTCGCGCTGCTTCTTGACCTTCGCCTTCTGCGCATTCAAAGCTTGCTGTAGCTTCTCCAGCCGCTGGGACAAGGAGAAATTGTCAAGCAAGTCGAACACGGTCAGCTGGTCCAGAGCGGGAAACGTCTCCCAGTCGTCATGGTAAGAGAAGGAAGGGTTCCGTGACAGCCGGCCCGGAGATGCTGGCGGAGAGTAGAAAGTATTAGGCGTTCCTGGGGCCTCGTCCGCGTCGGACAGCTCTTCGGCCATCGCTGCTTGCAGGGTAGGAGAGTCGCCGCTGATTAGCGACTCTGTCTTTTGAAATTCTGAGATTCCACTACCCTCCTCCATGATGAGTCTCTGCTGGAAAGAGAAGATTGTAGGACCGTCGCGGTTGTGCGGATAGGGCCGACTGAGAAAACGACCTATAGTTAGCATTCCCATCTTGACTGGCTGCAATCTGGATTTGCCAATGAATACGCAAGCGCGTAGACGACGACCGAAGAATCAAGAGCAGCGTGAAAGTATGGGGTAAGGGGTATTTATGAGCCTGATGCCCGCACGAGCAATGACTTACTGATAGGAAGGGCCAGATGATGCGCGCCCAGGATCGGGGAGACTGATAAGGTAAGGCAGTCCCAACGTTACTCCGATCCAATAGCTGAATGCGGAGAGGAAATTTTGATGAAGAGTTCAACCAGTATGCTTCAGTGCTGAAGGCGCATGATCCGAGCGCCAGTTGTTGATCCAAGGGTTGGAGGGACTTTGGAGAAGAAGAGAAAGAAGGTAAAAGAGTGAGCAGCAAGTGAGAAGGACGAGGGTCTGGGTGTGCACGCGTTGACGTAGCTGGTTGGCCCACTCAAGCTAGTTTCCCGTTTGCTTTGGCGGCCTCAGGCCTTCAAGTTTGACGTGCATCCATTCATCCATCCATGGACTGGTCGCGCTGATCGGTGGAGTTGAAACGGCCCACAAACCAATCGCCAAAGTGCTTGTCCCCACATGGTGGCCCGGAGATTGTGCTGCCTCAGGCCCCAAGATATCCCCTCCTATTACTGGTAAATATACTAAGTTACTACCGTAAGTATAATCAAGCTGGATCAGGCCCTATTAGCAGGCTAGTACTCAACGTTTGATCGGACTGTCTCTCGTCTTCTGAGTGGCTTTCAATGATCAATTAACCTTCAACCTTGTCGTGCTACTACCATATTCGTGTTGCGGGTGACTTCCACCGGCTCGATGGACTGAGTCACCAACTGCCTAGTGCCTGTACAAAGAGCTTTATGATGCTTCAATGAAGATCTTGCTTTCCATCAGAGACTTGTCTACTTCTGACACTGGGTGGTTGCAGATGGGTGAAAGAGTGAATCACCGAGGTTAATTTGACATGGAAAAAAAGTAACCGAGAGAAAGGAATGGTGTCCCAATCGCATCGCCGGATTAAACTACCTCGCTTCGAAATCTTCTTTACATTTCTCTACTTGATTCTTGTTGTAACCTAGCAGCATCACTACTCGCTTCAAATCAAGGAGGGCCCACGCGGAAGTACAACACAAAGAAAGTGTGAGGAAGCTAGCAAGCCAGCGAAGACATACAGACTCCATCACACGGCGAGTTTGTAATATTTACAGCACACACAAGAGGAATCCCCGCCCTCTCTACCATGAACAAAACTCAGTAACCATTATATGGAATGGTTGCCCAGTAACCTGAGGCAGCACCCTGCCCATGCCCACTGGGCGGAGGCGCCACTTGCTGGGCGAAGTACTCTGGTAAACTCTGGGATGTCGTAAACGCACCAGGGTCTCGGCTTGACTTCGAAGGAGCACCCATGTCCGCTGATTCCTTTGGTAACCCACTTTCCAGAGAGCATTCGCGGCTGATCGTCAACGTCGATGCTGGCGAGAGAGAGAAACAAGCGCTTGGACTTGCCGAGCCTTTCTCTGATGTTCCTTGGCTTCTTCCATCAGATTGGTACATTCTCTCCGGGTGCTCTCTGTCTAAGTCTGTTGTCTTCGCTGAACTTGTAGTGAGTGATGTTGTGTGGGAAGTCATATGATTCTGGAGACGTTCTGAGCGCGAATCGTCTGATGGCCCCTGCATCTCAGGAATATGCTCATCAGCCAGCTGAGCCTGATAGACTCGGATTGTGGTTTCGCCACCTGATCGTAAGACATTAGTTCCCGACTTCCATCGAGACGGTCTCAATTTCATTAGTAGTGACTTACTAATCTTTCCATCTAGGTATAATTCCTCCATCTGTCGGACATAAAAGATCTCATCCAGGACTTCCAGTCTTCGTGAAGGTTGAACTTGACGTTTGACATCTTGGGCTGCTTCCTGAAGCTTCTCAGCCGTTATTCCCTTGCTGTCTTTCAGATTGCACAGTATGTGTACAAGCAATTTGATCCGCTCTGCACACCGCCAAGTGTCAGCAGGTGTCCCAAAAGAACATGAGGTGAAATGATCTGCTCACCGCGCTTGAACAGGTGATCAGGCTCTCTGTGTGTTACCCCAGCCGGCCACCAGTTGGGTTTGGTCAGCTCAGGATCCATCCTCTGGGAAGAGGAGGCCGAAGTCCGTCGGCCATTATACGGGTGATTGACCTGCTTGCGGGGCTCTACTAGCTTGATGAAAGCCTTTGCAATCACTCTGCAATTCAGTTGTTGGAATCTGTCGAAGGCCTTCTCGTAATATTGGCGGAGGATGTCTGTCTCTCCTAGTCGAAGGACCGTTGCCCTTGTTGCTGAGTTTGGTTCATTATCCGAAGTCGAAGACGATTCCGTCTGTCTCAGGCTTCGACGGGGGCGCTTGAAGCGCAGAGAAACCAAATCGCAAGGAATGAGGCTCGCGGGTCTTGCCGTTCCTGGTTGAGCCCAGGAAGAGTAAGCCGTGGTGGTGTCAGGGGCCGGCATGTGACCTTTGGGACATTGTCATTATTCCTGCCTCATTCTTTCTCAATCACCTTGACATCCTTCTGACTTACTCGGATGCAAGTGCCATGCTGATGCCACCGACCTGAGGAACTTTGCTTGCACCTCCTCGGTGAATATCTCCCTCTCACTACCTGCAATCGAAGGAGATCCCTCGGAGCGAAGCTGTCCACTATGGTCAATGTACAGAACAGCATAGTGGGAACAGCGCATGGCCGAAGCCAGTCGTTGCATGTCCTATGTGCATCATGTCAGAAAGCCGGATGACCTCTCGTTCCTCTGCAGGGTTGGCGAAGCCCTTACTAAGTGGCTCGACTGAGCAGTCATATTATGGTACGCCGGCAGCTGTTCACGGTCCGACCCTTTAGCTTCCATCAACCGATTCGTTCCATGCAATTCACAGTTTGGACTTGTCATACTTTCAAGAGACAAGGGCCACCTGTGTCCAGTGACGCCGGTTTTCAATGTGTATATGGAAAAGAGCGGCTCGCTTGGAACCCTGAGAAATTATTTGATTGGGTCCGCGGCTATCTCTCTGTGAAGAGCAGCTCTGAGATATTAATCGGCTTGAGATGTATCTTAAGCTCAATCATCAAGGACTCGGGCAACAGGTTATATAGGTGTGAGGTCACTCATATACTAACGGCGAGACTCGACTGAACCTGCTCATCCGGGTCGACGATCGGAAGCGATACGAAGACGGTGCAAAAGTACCTTCCGCAACATTGAATCCCACTGGACCTCTGTCAGTGGGGTTCAGCCCAGCCTGGTGGCGGTTCTGACGTGCAAAACTAATGCAAGGATAACAAATACGCACAGGCAGAGGCCAGACACTATTGCAAGAAACTGTCGTGCTCCGCATGTTATAGCCCGATGCCCATGTAAGCATGGTGCCTTATCAAATCCCCATAAAATTCCCGGTTTGTGTCATTGCGAACCGCACATGCCTGGCTCAGCTCCCTCGACGCCTAAACTAGTACTCTATTGAGTGATGTCGAATGGATGCTTTTGTTCCATTGCATTATGCAAGAGCATACCACCAATATTTGCGAGGTCGCGCCAGAAGCGCACGGCTTGATCAACATTACTCCGTGTCTGGCTGGATTCATAGCTTTGGGAGACAGGCGAGTAAGCTCCAGCCACAAAACCACAAGAAGCTCCGATGCAGTAGCACAGGTACACGGCTGCAGAGCGTCTAGACCTGTGCTACCAAAGTAGAGATAGCTTGAACTAATAATGGGTTCTCATCAGAGACGTACATTCACCGGTCATTCATCACCCCAAGCTTGGATTCGAGATGAGTACGCTTGATTATGATATCCACAATCTAAAAAAGTCAAGCGTCTCGGCCAATCGTCCTCCGAGTTGGCCACTCCTAATGAGTATCTGCGACACCAATGGCGTACGTACCCAGCTGATGTTCGAGGCCAAAATAGCTTGCATCGCCCAGCAGTTGACGCGCTATTTCAAGCAGTGAAGATCACATGGCATCGGAAAGTACTAAAATCCCACAACCGGAAATCAATGATAGGCTGCTGATGTCAATGTCCTGGTTGCATGATGGCGATACAACAAGTTGCCATTCCCATACAGGAACAGTATTATTCATTGACAGTTGCCCAACTCTAGTTCTAACTTTCCACCAGTGGGAATGATTCCATGCTTTAGGCCACTCCAAACTAGCTTTGCTGATGGTTTCGATTCAATCTCTGCCCTGGGAGCTAGTGCGCTTATTGCGGAGGTTGGGTGTCAGTGCGAGCTCGTAGCCTGACCGCGGATCGCACTGATCCTCTGCTCCATTTGCTTTCATAGCGAGCTCAGCAACAAAGTTTTAACTGTGATGCGAAGTCCCTTGGTGGCGCACGGATCAGTCCTCACTTTCCCGATAGGCTTGTTTTGTCTCGAACCTGTATAGCCTGGATGCTTCAGATCTTATCCGCTGGAATGCTTTCCAGACAGACAACTGGGGCAACCTCAAGGCCACGAATTGAAGCAGCATTCAGTTGCCTTCAATCCCATTGTTTCCGATAACAATTCAATGCAACAGTAGTCGCGGATCTGGCATCCGCCTATGACGATTGGCCCAAAGCTCTTTCACCGATCCTGCAGTCAGAACAGTCAGGGGAGGTAGCAAACAAACAGACCCCTTGGAAAGATGATTGCCGACCCACTTGCAGGCTGAAAGTGTTGTAACAGTTGGTACGAAGACTCCTTAGTCAATTTTGCAGTCTATTTAGTACCTACTATGCTAATGCTGCAACTACCAACCAGATCGAGAGACCCTATTGATGCAACAGGGAAGATAACGGCCGCCGTGACTCGGATGCCATGCGGGGAAAATTTGGCGGCAAATCAACTCCCCCTCCCCCGTTGCTCGTTTTCTCTTCCTCTGCTCAAGCAAACAAATCGCCACTCGGTCAGGCGCGTGTCGCTTCAAGAGGCCATGAAGTGCGATTGCCGTTATAGGAGAGGTGCAGTCGGCAAAACACTCGCGTCTGTACAGAATTATGCGGGATGAGCATTGTTCCAGGATCAGGTGCATTGTGGCTTACCGGGTCAGGATTGCGAGCATTTACGGCACTACACAGACCAGGTGAAGACTACTCCGTACATCACTTCTGAATGACAGTGCCATGTGTCATGATTTTTCCTGCCGCGGCACTGGAATGACTTACCAAGTCATTCCATACGCAATTCAAGTTATGCAAAAGTGACCTGTCTTTCAGTTCGTTAGCGAGAGTCTACCGCTAGACTATCCGCTGCATGAAGGAAAGTGATCAATCCAGCGGTGGTCCACCGCAGCAGATACTCAATCCCGTCTTCGGTGGCTGTCCGGCACTGCCAGCCAGGTCTGTGGCGCTAGATTTTACAGATCCCAAAACTAATCCGGATTAGAGTTTCTGTACACCGATCATTTGATCTGTCGACTTGCACTCCACACTCACACAAGATACGGGCCAAAACTGACTATTGACTCCAGGTCGCTTCCAGTTGCGGCTGGCTTCGCCTCTGACCTGAATGCCTACACGCAAGTGGCTGTCCGCGACTCACCTCTGAGTAAGGATGTATTTAGCTAATCCCGGAACAGACTATTGACTTCTAGCTTTCTTGGTACTGGGTCAAATGGCCCGAACCTTCGGTATGCTTGGATCGCCCAGGAACTCCACTCATTTGCCTCCTTCATCGCTTGAAACATGATGGCCAGATTTGACATCAAAGTTCAGCCTCATGAAACGCAAGAGTCAATGGTTAGGGTGGCGGATGCGCTTGCTTTTGCTGATCAGGGTTATTACGGAGCACGTCAAATTAGACGCATCGAAGAGGGGGTTACGGAGTTTAAAGAAATGATAGTTGTGGTCTATCATTGCGCACGGCATCATGCCACACGCTAGCCCCGGTTCAGATCGGATCTTCATGCTCTCCGCAATGACGCTCGGTGTTCTCAACCTGTCTCTATATGTAAGGCTGCTGCAGACACGGCAGCAGCGTTGTCATGATTGACAATCTAAAGAGGAACCTTTCCGTATGGCCATCTACCCTGCGCTCGCTAGTCGAAGCTTTGTCTGGCTCTTACCACTTCAAGAGGGCAGCGCTGGACCAGGGAACATCAATGCTCACGGTTCCATCTTTGCTCACCTGGACTGTCTCCTCCGTCGTAGTGTTCGGCAACCGCACAGGCTTCCCATTCTCCAGCTCATAATTGTACGACCAGCCATCCCAAGTTATTCCTGTGATGGCGTTGCTACCGTTCGCTGTCAGTCGCTGCACTGATACAGTAGTTCCCGGGGAGGCCGATGGCACTTGGAAAACATAACTTGCGTTGGGACGCTGACTGCTCACTTGATCGGTGTAGTTGAACTCTACCAAGTTGATGACAGCAATCCGGGCCAAGGCACCATTTACGTACGCGGCATATGCAGCCTCCGTGTCCCGCTCCAGCGGAAGATTGGCGATCTGGACATCATCCTGCTCGCCGCCCTCGCCGCCGTGGAGCATGGCCGCCACCATGACGTTGCCGTAGTAAGGGGCCTTGGTTCCAATGGTGGTCCTGTTGGTGTCAACCGGCTGCCAGGAGATGTACCGGTAGTTGAGCCCCTGGTGCATGTGGGTACGCCGGATATTCTGTGAGGCACAATAAAGGTTGAAGTCAACGCCCCAGAGCGCTGCACCGAACGAGTTGGATAGTCCCGCGGCGCCTTCGTTGTACAAGGAATTGGTCTCGCCCAGGATATAGGGAATATCTGTGGTCAGGTTCTTTTGTTGGAGGATGGTCGAAACATTGACATGCTGCGCGACACTCTGGACCGTCACCGTATGATTCATTAGTGTCTTCTGCAGTGTAACGCCCGGTTGCGTGGCGCCGCCAATGTAACTACCATTCCAAATCTCCGTCAGTAAAGGGGGGAGCAAACCAACATTTGTACACGTGCGGGAAAGAGGGGGCGAGGGCGTGAAGTAACGCACTTATGCTCCGAGTTCAGGGCGATATTCCTCTTCCTGTCCAGCCCATTCTCCCATGTTACCACGGGATTCAAACTATTGCTGACCCCGGCAAATGAGGGAGCGATATACTTGGCCTCGGCGAACTCGGTCGAGCACGACTCCCGCATCTTCTTCCGGATCGCACTGGTCTTGTTCGTCCACTCATTCACATAGTCCTGCTCCGTCCAGGTGGGCGGCCGCACGGCGCCCTGCGCCGACGTCTTGTACAGATCGGGCTCGTTTCCCAGCTCCCAGAACGCCAGCCGTCCGCCCTCAAGCGCGCGACACACCAGCGGCACTGTCTCCAGCAGCTGCGCGAACTGGGCCGAGGTGTTCCGGCCGAGGTTGAAGCCGTGGATGAACTTGGCGCCCGGCCAGGTGCCGTAGGACTCGAAGAACGAGGGCCCGATCGTCAGGAGTAGCGGGTAGTCGGTGCTGATGCTGGGGACGTAGGTGCCGTTTGTAGCGACGGCGAGGGTTGGGTCGTAGAGGGCAAAGTCCCTGTCGAGGGTTTAGCTCTGACCACTGCAAGAAGCATAAGATTGATCCTCCTCTCGAATCGAGGCGAAGCATTCGACGCATATCTTTTCACAACATTCATGCATCTACATGTTCATCACGGATGAACTTCTCGGGAGGAGAGAAAAAGAAAGTAGTTAAGACATACTGCGTGTTCCCTCCCACACGGATATAGGGCTTGACCCCCTCCAACTCCGCCAGATTATCCAACAACTGATTCGAAAAGGTGTTGGGATGCGTTCGGTTTCCTTTTGTGGGGGGGTGGGGGGTGGGGTTAGCAACTTGACATAATCTCTTTGGGATGACAAGCGAGATGCAAAGTACGGACGGAGTACATGCACTTCAATCCCACCATCTCATGCTTCCATCTTCTGCCCCTCAGACGCAATCACCAAGCACTGCAGTACAGTACACCCTACCCCCTTACCACCACCACCACCACAATGCACAAACCTTTTGGGGAGAAAAAGAATGTCAAGAGATAAAATAAGACCATCCATACCTGCATAATCCGGGAAGAACACAAACTCAATCGAGAACGAGACAAAGGGATGCAAAACCGGCAGACCTGCGGATTCGGGCACAGAGGGACTCACGACCACCGCGCTGGTGTTGTTGGATGCAGAGGTGATAGTAGCAGTAGTAGGAGCGGCGGTAGTACTAGTGATGTGGCTCAGTGCCGCGAGGGCTGCCGCTGTGATTATGCGGCGGTTGTGGAGGATGATCATTCTTCTGGGGTTGATTTGTTGTGTACTTGCGGTATGTATAAGTTAGGACCTGTTGGTTAAGGGTATGGAATACTCGGTGACTAAGTTACTAGTCTGAGTGTACTGTACTTTCGATTTTGCTCAGTCGCTCCTAATATGTAGATGTGATGATATTTGTACTACTAACTCCACATCAAGAGGGAGTCACCCGTCGCGGGATTTATATAGCTTGCGACAATGCAGTCGGAGTCTTGGAGGTAAAAGAGGGGGTCGATTCACATCTCCTGATGACTGTCGTGTCGATGTAACTCTGCAGGATCGTTAAGAGTGTTATTGGCGGAGATGAGGACGGAGTTCTTCCGGGGGCCAGGAATCGATGGAAGCTGGAGATGAAAGGATTTGCGGGGATGGCGGGGATGGACGAGAGTCGATGTACTGCTGGTATCGTAAGATTCGGACTTCTCGCCGTGATCGGAGCAAAAGTTGAGCATTCATGCCAGAAACCCCAAAGAGAAAAATCAGAGTGATTAACACCAGAAAGCAGAAGAAAGTCCCATTAATCCGTGGCACAATAAGCTAAAGGCATACTGCTCATAAAGGAAAACAATAGCACAACCAGAGCATGATATATTCTACACATCATATGAAAGTCAAGAAACGCAGGCTGTCCGGTCTTTTCGATTCATCATTTAGTTGTATTTACGGAGCTGCAAGCATCCAATTAGCCTCTCGTCAAGCATAAAACGTCCTGGAAGGGTTCTTACATCAAGGGTCAAGGATTTACTGCTGTTCTCCACCTGATCTCGGTAGATTCCAACCAGTGCTTCACTGTTCTGAAAGAGTCCGTTCTTCAAACTAATGACGATGAACTGCATACCCGGAGCAGCGTGGTCATGGATGTAGTTGGCGATTCGCGCAACATTGGTGTTGTCGAGCGCGGCATCCACCTCGTCCAGCACGAAGAAGGGAGACGGTTGGTAGGAATGAATCGCGAACAGTAGCGCCAAAGCGGCCATGGTCTTCTCTCCTCCAGAAAGATGCTCCATATCCCGGAAACGCTTGAGCGGGGGCATGGCGTGGTACTTAATGCCGTCCAGGTAGGGCTCATCGGAGTCCTCGATATCCAGGTAACTGTCACCATGTTAGCAGAAGCTCAATGAGAATAAAAATAGGATGGAGACGTACGCTTGTCCACCGAGTGGGTAATTGGCACTCTTCGTCAACTCGCGGTAGATAGGGCCGATTTGCTCGGAGATGTGAGAGAAGGCCTTGTTGAAGAGGTCCGACCGCTGGCGCATCACGTCTTCAAACTCGTCTTTCGCCTTGCGAGCACGCTTCCGGGCATCTTCAAAGTCCTTCTCTGTGGCTCGAAGCTTGTTCTCCACGCTCTCCAACCGCTCCATAGCGCGTGAATTAGGTGCCATCTTATCGAGCTCGCTGTTGAGAGACCGGACCTTCTCGAGCAGTTCCTCTTCCAGCTTCTCATCATTCTCCTGTATTCCCAATGAGTGAAGTGCTCCGCAGACCCAGATCTAGACCACTTACCTCTTTGAGTGTATCTCCAAGAGAATCAAAGTCAACCTCGATGCCATAGTCCTGAATAGTAAGTGTATCACCACCACCGTTGGCATCTTCGTCCACATCCATAGCGTCTGGATCCGCCGCTTGCACCAAGTCATCAATGGGAAGCTGATCCAGAGGGTTGGAGTCTTCCGTAAGCGGAATATCAATATCTTCCAGCTTGCAACGTCGGAGAAGGGCGTATCGACTGGAAGAGTTGCGTTGAATTTCTGCCTCAAGGGCATTAACGTTCTTTATCGTGCCCTCAACCTCTCTGGTGCGTTTTTGGAGCTCTCTACGGTGATGTGCCAGGTTCTCACCCGACTGAGCATACGCCTCCTCCTGCTCTTCAAGTCGTTTATGAAGAATGTCCAGCTCTTCGTTGTACTGGTCCATCTGGTTTCGGATGCGCCCCTGTTCAGCCTGAAGCTCCCGAATCAGCCCCTCGTCGCGTTCACGCTGTACCTTGAGGCTAGCAACTCGCTCGATCGTAGCCTGCAGTCGCTGCCTTTCAAAGCTCAACTGATTTTCAATTCTGCTCTTCTGCGTCGTAAACTCGAGTTTCTTCTGAGCTGCCTCCTCCTGTAACGATCCCTGTTGAATTTCGTACTCGCGGATGTTGGCATATCCCAGACGCTTGCAGAATTTCTTGTACACTTCGTTCTCCACGCTGCTGACCTTCTGCTGGGATGCAGCAATGGTTTCATCGAGGTCTTGTAACGATTCCTCGCGCTCGGACAACTTCGGCCGCATATCTTGCAGCTGACCCCGGACAAATTCCAGTTCGCGATGCTTGCTTTCGAGGTTTCTTTCAAGTGCTTTGAGCTCGTCCCGAGCATACGCAAGACGTTGCTCGAGACCAACAAGATCACCTTGCAGCGTCTCCTCTTCAGTGCCGCGGCGATGGCCCTTGGGTAGGCTGGCTAGGTCAGCCAATAGCTTGTCCTTGAGCTTGTACAAGTTCTCCACTTCCGAGTCCTCCCAGCGCTTAGAATGCTGTTGAGGTCCTTTGCCACCAGTCATCAAGCCGCCTTTGTGAATGACAGTGCCATCCAGAGTGACGGCCTTGGCATCCACGTTCCGCTCATAGCACAGATATTTGGCGGTTGTTAAATCATCGCAGACGATTGCATTTCCGCATGCGTAGCTGATAGCTCTGGCGACCGAATCGTCATAGTCAATCGTCTCGATCGCAGGACGCATTCCACGATGTAGGCCTTTGAGGTTTGAGTTAAAGGCTTTGACCTGAATTGTCTCCAGTGGGATAAAGGTAGCCTGGCCTGCTCTTTGGTCGCGAAGATGTTGGATGCATTCCTTCGCGGTCTTCTCGTTGTCAACGACAATCGCGTCGAAGTGCCGACCAAGAACAGTACTCACTGCCTCGGAGTACTTCTTCTGCTTGGGCTTGCAAAGGTCACTGACACGACCCTTGACCCCGGGGAAAATGCGCTTCAGCGTGGAAATCAATTCCTTGGCTCTGATCTCTCTTTCAGACTGCTTCCTGCCATCATCTGCGTCTAACAGCTTCTTCAGGACGACTTGCAACTTCTCCTCCAACTCCGTTCGCATCCGAGAAACACGCAAACGTTCAGAGGTCGCAGCATTGAGTTCCTTCTTCTTCTCATCGATATCCTCGGAAGTCGTCTTGACTGTGTCGTTGAGGGAGCTCTTGCGCTCGGCCAGAGTCTGGGTCTCAGATTCCAACGTCTTGAATTGCCACTCGGCCCCTTCGACTTTACTCTTGAGGCTGTTCAAAGCCTCGGCTTCAGTCTTCCGCTGACGGCGCAGGTTGTCGAGATTCAGTTGCTCGGCAGAGGATCTCTTGCTAACCTCCTCTTTAAGCTTCTCATACTCTTGCAAATCAGCCTCACTCAATTGACCGCCTTGTTTGCTCATAGTCTTCTGCCATTCCGCCTCCCATTGCGCCTGGGCTTTCTGGACGATCTTGAGGTCCGTCTCTAGCTGTTTCACATTTGCGGACTGGGAGTCCTTCTCCCGCGTAATTTCTGCAATACGAGAAGCAAAGCGTTCGACCTTCTTCCTGGTGATGTCGATCTTCTCATCAACGGGGACGAGTGCGTTGGCAGCCTCTTTGATGTCCTTCCTCTTCTTTACAATGTTCCTCTCCGCCTGGGCAACATCCCTACCGACCATGGCGTGGCTTTTCTTGGCTTCCTCCACATTCTTCTCATACTTTTCAACCCCGCGACGGAATTCCTTCAATTCGTCCTGGTATTTCAAGATATCAGCACTGGATTCATCGATCAGGCGCTGGAAGTGGAAAAGCTTCCACAGAATGTGCGTGATGATCGCCTGGTCGCGTTCCTCAGCCTTCCTCGCGTAGTTCTCCGCTTCCCGCTTTTGTTCCTGGTACTGTTTGATTTCCGAGTTGATACCCCTGCGGCGGTTGAGCTGCACGGTCTGGGATTCCGCTGCCTCCTCAGCCTCCGCCTTCAGACGCTCGTACTCTGCCTTGTACTCCAGACTGCCCGAGATCTGCTCGATCAGCCGCGTCAGATCCTTGGGAGACTGCGATGCGATGGCTTCGACGTCACCCTGGAAGACGAGGAAGTTGCGCGCCTTGATCAAGATGTTCTCGGCCTCGAGCGCTTCGTTGTACTGCTGCGCGGTAACAATGCGATTGTTGATCCGGTACTCGCTGACACCCTGGCTGGTGATGGACCGCCGCCATTGCTGCTCCTCGCCCGCATCGTCCTCGTACACGGCCATGACCCATGCAGTGCGGGGGTCGTTCGATCCGGTCGGGTCCTGGGACTGGTCGCCATCGAGTTCATCTTCGGGCTGTTCCTCCCCATCCGCCGCCCCGTCGATGGCGTTGCCGTTTGCATCCACCTTGGAGGTACGCAAGACACGACCGCGGTAGACTAGGTCGCGGAGGTTCGTAGATCGTAGATGGGACGATTTGATGCCGAGAACGAACGAGATAGCATCCATCCTGATGAAATTGATACAATCAGCTCAAGTTTCCCCACGCGATAGATGTTCCGCGCAGGTGTTATTCCGCGGAAGTGGGAACGCACGAATTCGACTTGCCAGACCCGTTGGGCCCGATGATGGATGTGAAGTACGCATCTCCAAAGAGGAGGGTGTGATGACCCTTGTACGATTTGAAGTCTGATGTGGAAGTCAGTCGGCGACATAGCGCTTCAGGATGGGGTTCGGCGTACTAAAAAGCTCGAGACGGATGAGCTTCCCCATTTTGCGACAGAGGGGTCGCGTTGCAGCGACTGTGCGCGAGACGGATTCAGAAAATGCAGGGGTACTGGATGCAGAGATATGGAGGAGCTGCGCCCACCGCAAAATGGGACGAAGGCTGGATTAGCCCGGCTGCACGGAGCAAGTGTGGAGGGGCGCGCGCAGCATTCACTACTTGGGGTTATCTGGAAGTCGCGTCACGGACGGTTGATTGGGAGGAGGGGAAGACGCGCTGCGGAGAGGGTCACGTGGTTCCCATATTTACTCCAACAATTTCCCCGGAGTAAACTAATCACACATCCTCAGCAATCTTTACAAACGACAGTCTTAAAAAGCTAGAGTTTGCAATATGTACATGGCAACTGAGAAGCAGCAGCAGGGCTAAGAAGTAATGCTGCAAGAGGAACATTAGCCCCCAAGATAGTGGTACACAAGTGATGAACAGGTTTCCAAAGTAATCAGACATCAGAAGAGGGATATCGTAGCAAACTGAGACTTCACATCTAGCGTCTTATAGTCACAGGGTTACCAATGACCAAAAAGTCCGGCGAGACGAACCCAGCGGAATCCATGCGGAATTCACCCTTCTGGCCATCCACTTCCACAAGGATAAAGTCCTCGCCGGTGAACAACTGGCGAACAGAGCGGAACAGCTTGTAGAAAATCATACTCATCTTCTTGCCGGGTTCCCTGAAGAAACTCACTTGTGAGCTCTGCTGGATTGTGCCCTTCCTACCAGCAGCATCAGGTGACATCACCAAGCGCCGCGCAAAGGCAATCTGGTGAGGTAGAGCGTCGAATTCATAGGGTTTGCGGAATGGGATGATGCTGCGGACGGTGAAGCGAATATAGGTCGCGCCATTCTTGTTGACGGCTTTGACAGCCCTAATCAGTTTGTTGGTCTTGGACATGAATACGGTGCCCATGACGCTCATCATGACACAGATACCACCAAACGTGACCTTCTGCCACATGGGGAGAGGTACGATGGGGTCGCGGAAGGTGATATTAGAATTATACACCGAGTAAGCAAAGCAAAAGACGGTGATACCGTAAGCACCTAGAATGTAGCTGCGCTGCGAGGGTGCCTTGAAAAGCAACAGCTCTCCCGAAGGCTCATGTGCGACTTTTTGTGTTAACCTGCCAAAGCCCCCCTGCCGTCTGCCCGCGAATTTCAAGGTATCTTCGGCCGGTTGCTGGACCTTAGGCTGCGCGACGGGCTTCTTGGCCTTGACGGCAGCCTTTGCGCGAGGAGCACTGTACGAGAAGAACCGCCATACTGGACTAGAGATCTGGTGGTTGGGAGAGAAGGCACTCCGAGGACATTGCTGGCAGAATGCCCGGAAAGCAGAAGGTCTGGCAGCAAACATGGCCGGTTTCAGACTCGAGTGGTAGCCCCTACAGCATCAGGAAAGACCCCGAACAATTAGCCTAGAAAATCTAGAGTCAACAAGAGCGCAATTGAGCTTACCTGAGATCATTCACAGCAGGTCGGCGATGGAGCTTGTGAATGCGCAACTCCGTTTAACCCCGTTGTTATCCGCGGCAGAAAAATGTTCCCGTCCGGGCCATCGGTGAGATTCCCAACAACTTCAACATCACCGGACTTGACTTTCCCCTCGTCGCGACGCCATTGCCCCCGGCTCGAATGCCCTGCAGCTATTGAGTACAGATCGCGACTCTCAGTACGATATCCTCGACCTCCTCCAGCTTCTTCCTCATTGTGGTGGTGGGCTCTTTAGTAGTCCGACTCTTGGTTTCCCGGGCTTCCAAGCTGCAGAGCTCGCGCCTTTCTCGAACACCACTTTATCTCCTCACCACTTCAGAGTCGATCCCCATTTCAACCTTATTACCACACAATAAAAGATGGCCTCCAACTTCCCTTTGCGCCGACTTCCGGCCGCTTTTGCCCGTGGCCAGCCCCGGGTTATCAGCATCTCCAAGCGTGAGTTTTCCGCCGACTCCGAAGGGAGAGAACTATCACATCACCATGGGACCGCCTTCTTCCTGTTATACGAGCCTCGAGCTTCAGCTCCAGGCTGAAGCTCAATGGCCCTCCCCGCCTTTCACCTCCTCCTCCTCCCACGCAAACATCACTAACAAGGAACTAATTCCTCCATCTACAGGCCTGAACTCCACCTCCGCCGTCCAGTACCAAAACCCCGCCTATCCCCTCTACCCATCCGTCAGCACACTCCTCCACGAGAAGGGCATCCCGGAGACCGAAATCTCCAAGATCCCCGCCACCGGTCCCAAGGGCCGTCTTCTGAAGGGCGACGTCCTCGCCTACCTCGGCCAGATTCCCGCCGAGTACCCGTCGACCCAAGCCGCGCGCATCGCCCAACTGGGCCACCTGGACCTGAGCAACATCAAGATCGCCGCCGCCGCACCTCCTGCTGAGCCCGTTCCCGCTGCGGCCGTCGAGGCCCCCGTCGTGTCGCGGCCCCCTCCCACCACGCGCGTCGCCGTCCCCATCTCCCTGGCCGCCGTGCTGCATGCCCAGCAGCGTCTCCAGAAGAAGCTGGAGATTACCGTGCCGCTCTCGACCTTCCTGGAGCGCGCCACAGAGCTAGCCAACGAGGATCTCCCGCGCTCCGTGCGGGAGAAGCTCTCCGCCGACGAGCTGTTCGACGAGGTAGTCCTCGGCGCCGAGCCCGCCCGCACCTCCCGTGGCCAGTACTTCCCCGAGTTCAACGTCGAGGAGGAGCAGGAGGTGGTTGCTGCCCCGGTGAAGTCCGTCAAGGAGGATATCATTGACTTCCTGGCCGGGGGCAAGGCCGCCGCCAAGAAGGTCGTTTCCTCCGTCGCGCCGGCTTCGCCGGCGGTCGGTGGCGCCGCCGCTGGGGGCGCCGACAATGTCTTCAGCTTGACGGTCCCCGTTGGTGATGAGAAGCGCGCTCAGGTCTTCTTGGACCGCGTCAAGTCGCTGTTGACGGTGGAGCCGGGTCGGCTTGTTCTATAGATGATTCCTTTTTTTTTTTCTTTTTCTCTTTTTTCAACTCTTCTCTCCTGAAGCCCTTTTTTTCTGTTTCCCTCTTTGTTCTCCTAACCTCGTGCATGCCTTGTTTTGGAATCATGTTTTTCTAAACTCCCTCTGTAGGTACTGATGAGAGTCACTGTTGGGAAGACCTGCTTTCGAAATTTTGTCACCCCACACAGCTAATGCTCGTCAAGTATAGCATACACACACCACGTTCACAAACTCTTACGGGTAATGGAATAAACCTCGGTGCATTTAATGTACTGACTGGTAGTGAGCTGGAATTACCATCATAGAAATATAACTATCTCTTCAAAAGACCATATTTTACCTCTATCTCGTCTTAGATTACACGTCAGTAACAAGCGCCGCTCATCGTGCTTGTATTGCCTGTGGTAGATCTTCCTCCTGATAGCACTTTAACGGTTCATGCGCGGTATGGCTAGATGTATTTTGTATGTTGTTTATATGTCATCTCTTCATCGTTTGTCGATACTAGGATAAGTAGCGAAGGAAAATGAGTTGAAAGTACATCATGCCATGAGGATGAGATGGCAACAATCCCCCACAGGTCGCAGGTCAGGGAAGTACAGAGCCCACCCACACCTCACAAATAAACAACGCCCGGCCTGGTTTCACCTAAGGAACACCATGAGCGCCGCTGCTGAGAAGGTTCACATCTTTTGAATCAAACTGTAACTGTAAATGCGCTTGCTGGAACCCCATGGTTTGTGTAGGACCCGGAGAGAGGACCATACTAGAATAGTAGTGCAGGGGAATAATAGAAGATAGACCATGGGAGAGAAAAGCATGGACCAAAATACACGTCATGAGAATCGAATATAATCCGATCAAGCGCGCAGTGTGCATGGAGAAAAGAAACCGTTGCAGTCGCCCATGTAAATGCCGTCAAATCCACAAGATGCGAGAAATGCCAATGAAGAAAACGTGGGAAAATGACCATCCTTCTGACCGTCCAAGGACATGCCCAGAATCGGAAGAACGCCAACACCCTGAAACGCCAGATCTAATGCATATCGGAAACTGCTAATAAGTAGTCGAGCAGAAAGCTTTGAAGACGAGAAGAGAATCCGAGGCCGTCACCGAATAGTCCCCCATTCGGCTAACTTACTGCCTTCACGGCCGTGCTCTCTGCCTGGTCTTTTGTTGAAAATTTTCCAGAACCGCAAGGTCTCATCGCCAGCACCAGTGACGACAGTTTGACCATCCGGACTCATAGCCAGGTACAGTACACGGAAAGTATGTCCAGTCAATGAGACAATCTGCTCCATGCGAGGGTATTTCCAGATTACGATCTGGTTCTGGCTGTATCCGTGCGTGCTGATAATCTCATCTGAGTTTTTTGACCACGCCAGGTTGCAAACTTGACTGCCCGTATCGACCTCCTTAATCAAAGATCCTGTTGACGTGTTCCAGAATTTGATGGTTCGGTCCGCCGTCCCACCGCCCGATGCTAGGAGATGGTGCTGGTGGGGTGACCATGCGATGGCCTTCACGGCAGCCGTATGGTCGGAAAAGCGATAGAGAGGAGTTTCGTTCAACTTGTCCCAGACCAGTAATTTATTGTCGTTACCGCCAGATGCTAGTTGGCCATCTTCCGTGTTCCATCGGAGACCGCAGACTTCTTGCTTGTGGCCGGATAAGCGACGCAAATATTGATCCGGCGAACGGACATCTCGATGGAAGATCAGGCGATCTCGTGAGCCCGAGGTAAGGATATGGTCGTTCCAGGCTAGAGCTCCAACCCGGTTAGTGTGTCCAATCATCGTTCTTAGACGGCGACATCGCTCTGCGTCCCAGATTTGGACGAGCCCTTTGCCAGTCCCGATCGAAAGATGGGTTCCCTAGAACTAGTCAGCACCGAATACCTTTGCTGATGGATGCCCGGCACCTACCCGCTGAATCCAGCTCACACTCGTGACAGTGTCATCTTTGAGCTCACACAGTTTTGTTACCCTTCCGGTTTGCGAATTCCACATGTAGACCGAATTACCCAGACCAACTCCCAGAACATTACTACTCCCCCAATCCACCAGATTCAGATAAAAGTCATCTTGTAGATCGGGCGCATCAAGCACTTTGTAAGGCACTTTATTAACGTAGCGAGGTTGTTTGCGGGGTGTTTCTAATATACGCTGGCTGTCATATCGAATCGGGGAAAGGCTGTAGAGCTCTGATCGAACGTTCAGGTTGGGACCATGTTGACTTCGAGGAGTCTTGGAAGGCGTCGGATGACCAGATCCAGCGCGGGAGGAAGCGTAGTTGAAGAGGTTTTTATGGGGAGTGGACGGTGTTATACTGGCTGGAGGGAGGTTCGATACGACATGTGACGGAGGCGTATGGGAGCGAGTCTTGTCATTGATTCCGTTCGCAAACCCCAACAGCGGATCGGGTGATAAAGAGTCTAGATCAGCCTGGGGGACAGTGTTTCCGAAGAGCTCACTCCGCAGGACCCGCGAGTACATTCTGTTCGCTTCTTCCGCTGACAGGTCATCATTAGCCAAGGAATCAGCAGTGCGGGTATAGGAGCTTACTCTTTTGGAAATGCAGCTCGGAATGAGGAGTGCGCTTCTTGGATTTAGAAGGGGTGGAGGGACATCCTTCCTCATGAAGGAGGCTGTAGGTTGCCTGGAGGTCTTGCCCTTCGCGGTTGGGAATAAATCTATAAGGCGAAATAGGCACGTTAGCTGGAACTTTTGGGCAATAGCTCTAGATCATGATCGGAAGAGCGTGGGCTGAGCTGGCACGGGGCCCGCATCCTGATTGAACTGACCGGTCGCCGTATACTCGTTGTCGCTTCCGACTTGGGCTAGTTCCAGGTGTTCTCTCGCGAGGACGCCCAGCATCCTCGTAGTCCTTCAAGGCCTTCGCAAGCGCATCGGGATCAATCGGCTCTGAGGTATTTCGACTCTTTGGTGGTCTCCCTTGCGAATCGGGATAGAAGAAGGTCTTCTTCGATGGCATACTAGGGGGTGTTCTTGAGCCCGGAGGGGATGCGATAGACAATGCATTTGCAGCACGTTCTGGCGACTTTCCTCTGCCTGCTGCGCTGCGGGTAGCAGGAGGATCAAACTTCCGGGGGTCGCCCATGGTTGCGAGGGAGGGGGACCCGATCCTCACGAGGTACAGATGGCGGTCGAAAGCGGGATCACAGTCAGATAGGGTCAATGCGACAAGATGCCCACCGTCGACGAGTCGCAAAGGCAGCGGAGTAGCTAGGCGAAGACAATAGTACAACGGGTTGCGCAAAGGTATGAGTAGGTGTGTAGATAGTTAAGCGAGATCAATGGGTACTTTGCAAGTTGGTGGATGTGGTGGGTGTTGACGACAACAGGCGAGTCCTTGTTCTCCGCTGCGGATTAATGAAACCAAATAAACTTGGGTAGATAGACGGCGGGCAGTGAGGATAACGGCGGCAAGTGAAGGGGAACAGAGAGAGTCTCTCACCAGACCCAAGACTGAATTGCGATTATCAAACAGCTTGTGGAGGTCATTTGAGAACGACCCGACCACCTTTGGGTTGGTGAGGTGAAGAAAGGGAATGAGTAAAGGGTTAAGACAAGAAGGTCAGTCAGGTCAGTCAATCCAAGGAAGGGCTGGGTTGGCGGGCAATGGGCGGCGGCGGCGGCGGCGGTCCCTCCCTCCCTCTCTCTCTCTGTTCTGGCTTGTCTCTCTCTGTCTTGCTGTCGCTGGAGCGTTGGAAGAGGATCTTCCTGTTGCAGTCACGCGTCGGGTGCGCTAAACCGGTTCTGGGTCAACACAAGGAGGTTGGCTTGTCTGATCTATTTTACTGAATTGTTCTTTTTCATGAATAATGTCACGAGAAAATCGAGAATAAAAATGTTGACCTTATTAACAGGTCACTCTTCAATCAATCAATCAATCAATCAGCACCGTGGGGTCACTTCATGAGTCGGGTTGGCTGTAGTGGCTGTATGTAGAGTGGGATGGGAAGATGGGGAAGCCTGTCTCCGTCATGTGTTGGTCGCGCGGCTGCATACGATTTAATATTTAATATTTAATTATTATTATTGTTTATCGCCTGCAGCAAAAAGTTTGGTTACCACCGACTACTATCATCTTCCGATAATCCCCCACCACAACAACAACTCAAGCTCTGGTAGTAGATCGAGGCGGCATTGTAGGACAAGATTTGATGTCCTGTCTTTCACTTCATTAATCAATCCACCACTTCTTTGTTGGAGAATGAAACCTGTTGTTCATTGCCGCGAAGCGCCGACCTGGTGGTTGGATCAGGGCGACAGTTATCGAGCGTGCCAGGGCCACGAGCACCAGCAGCGCGACCGCCGCTCATTCCACGCGCCTGCGAAAGAACGCGCGATGGAGGAGCTTGGGCCAGTCCCTCCCTCCAACAGGAGACTTTTCCAATCTGCTAGACCTCTTTTCGGTGTCACAATTGCCGCCGTTTCAATGATGCAGTTGATCTACTCCGTACTCCATACTGAGACCTGAGATACTATGTATACTCCGTATAGTTAGTGCCTGGCCCAAGAATCCGAGCCAACCCACTTGATCCTGGTAGATCAAGGCAGATCCCGACATCTTAATAATCAATATACATAGTAACTAACTCACCCCAGGTTTCGCTTTACACTACCATCGTTAACTATAATCAATCGGGTGCTTCTTTACCTGTAAGCAAAGACTAATGACCACATACAGGCATGTTGTTTAAGTTGTTCGTAATTCTTCTCGTTCATTTCTCTGCAATCCTAGACTATCGAGATTTACAGTTTGGGACCGTAACTAATGGAAGGTCCATCGACTCAGTAATTGAATTTTGTCTCCTTGTGCGGATCTTCATCTGAAGCTTCTATGAACCTTGCGTCCGCCAACTCTGATCGATCATATCGTCCCTACTCGGTACTTCGCGGAAGGCGCGTGGTGTTCGGCCACTGCATGCTTTAAGCGACGCGTGAGGCACGGTTGGTTGCTTCCACAGATGTATTATTGCACCCGACAGGCTGTTCCTTCTTCGGATCCCATCAATACTGCGTGAAACTTAAGAGATTAATGATCCTGGCGTATTCGTAGAGAACTCCAGCAATGCCTTATACTAGGTCATGATCAACCTCCAGCAATGAGTGCTTCCGAATTCTTGGTCAAAGCAGCCCTGATGTCCATTGCACTGATTACCATCATTGCGCTGGGTATAGGCCTCTACTTTGTTGCTGCGGCCTTCAAGACGAACGAGTATGTGATGCGCCAATATACCTGCTCTCTCGAAGACTGACCATTGGATGATGCCAGCCCACAAGTTGGTTTGCTCCCCATCCGCCGATAAGCATTGGTCGGTGGAGCCAAGTCGATTAAGTGGGCGGTCACGCGTATCACGTGAAGACGCGTTTCGACACGCCTTCAGCGACGCATCTATCCAGCATTCAGCTTCCCCGCCAGACTACGGAGTACATCCTTCGTTCATTTAGACAATGGCTGCCAATTTCTTCAGTAACAAAGCTCGGGCAGCAGCAGCTTCAGGGCCTGCTTCTAAGCAGAAGCCAACGGACGGAAAGGAAAGTCGTCAACAGCCATGGGTTGAGAAATAGTAGGCGCCCTCCATCCGGCATTAAAAGTTCCCCTTCCTTGCCTCCCGACGGTGTCTAAGAGCTTCGTGAAGAGGTACCAGAGGAGAGGGGAACTGATACCGAGGTCATTGGTATTAACCATGAGTTAGTCGCCCCAAGACTCTCGATGATGTCGCCGCCCAAGATCACACAACAAAGGTTCTACAACGTACTTTACAAGCTTCCAATGTACGACGGCCTATTATTCCTCTGCTTGCGACTAGATACACTGACGGACTTTGATTTCTAGCTACCTCATATGCTCTTTTATGGCCCTCCCGGTACCGGTAAAACCTCCACCATTCTTGCGCTCGCAAAGTCACTCTTCGGGCCTACCCTCTACCGCTCTCGTATCCTCGAATTGAACGCCTCCGATGAACGTGGTATCGGCATTGTACGCGATAAGATCAAGAACTTCGCTCGTGCTCAACTCAGTCATTCGACGGGCATGGGTGCGGACTATCTTGCCAAGTATCCGTGCCCCCCATTCAAAATTATTATCCTTGATGAGGCAGACAGTATGACCCAGGATGCGCAATCAGCCCTTCGCCGTACCATGGAGCAGTACAGTCGTATCACCCGTTTCTGTCTGGTCTGCAACTACGTGACTCGTATCATCGAACCATTGGCAAGTCGATGCAGCAAGTTCAGATTCAAGGCTTTGGACAATACGGCGGCTGGAGACCGGCTGGTCCAGATCGCCAAGCTTGAGAGCCTTCAATTGGAGGATGGCGTGATTGACAAATTGATCAGCTGCAGCGAAGGTGACTTGCGACGCGCCATAACCTATCTGCAGAGTGCAGCCAAGCTGGTCGGAGCCGGTCGAGCCGAAAAGGTGGACGAAGAGGAAGATACGGAGATGACCGATGAAAGTTCGGAATTAATTACCATCAGAACCATCGAGGAGATCGCCGGTGTCGTCCCTGAAAGCGTGCTAGATGACTTGACAGGGGCTTTGCAACCGAAGAAGGTCGGGTCCTCTTATGATGCTGTTTCAAGGGTGGTGACGGATATTATCGCGGATGGATGGAGCGCCTCGCAGCTCCTCTTGCAGGTATTTGCTTATGCATGAACATTGTTGAAGGTCATACTAACCCGGAGCAGCTATATCGGCGCATGATCTACAACGATGCTATACCGGATATCCAGAAGAATAAGATCGTGACAGTCTTCTCGGAAATGGACCGTCGTTTGGTGGATGGAGCCGACGAGCACCTTACTATACTCGACGTGGCACTCAAGATCTCTGGCATCTTAGGCGGTGCCTAGCTATGAGAACCCGGCCAAAGAACTATTTGCCCAAAACAAACTCCAAGCGACATCGTTTTCCCTACACAGGTCGCGCCAGTAATATATGATAGGAATTGACCTGCCGAGATCGGTCACCTCCGACGGCAAGATGCAGATGATTACAGAAGGTTGGCTGACTGAGGCCAGAGGGATCTGGTACCTTGCATGCATTTACTGGCGGGGGCGCACGGAAGTATACCGCGGAGCCGTCGCTTCGGGAAACAACTTCGACGCAGCTCACTGGACTCGATGCTCTCAAGTGAAGTGAAGCCCAGAATTACGATTGTATGAGATATAACGAACAAGTCAAAAGCATGCTTTGCATCAACTAAGTCGCCGTGGGACCTGCGTATTTGTAAGAACGTCATAACTAAAGTTATCCTCCTCCACTGCCGATTGGGATCTCACGTGCGGCCCGCTTCGTTGCTCACCGGCGAGCCGGACGAGCGCCGGAATACAGTCTACCGCATCAATACAATCCTCTGTATGACTCAATAATACTTAGACTTTCGTTCTCTCCTTGCTCTTGTACCTGTATTCGAGAAAGCGAACATTACACTAGACTTAGAACCCAGCATAGACCGTCGCCGTCATGGCTTCCGACAACTCCGCATCCACCCACACTCCCCGCTATTTGACCGGTGACGCCCCTGGAATCCGCGAATTCTTGGACAAGTTCGACGTTAGTATCCCATGTTTGGCCGACTTGGGCAGTGCAGGAGTATGAGGCTAATCTAACAATCAAGGTGTTCCTGTTCGACTGTGATGGTATGTTCTGTGCAATAGTCTCGGAGGAGAGGCATCGGCGGTTCTACAACAGCCAAAGTCGACTCGACTGACGGTCATCTATCTACCTGCCAGGCGTCCTATGGTCCGGAGACCACCTCTTCCCAGGCACAAACGAGACATTAGATCTGTTGAGAAGCAAGGGTATGGCTGGCTCCTTTTCTGTTTATTTCTGTCCTCTCATCGCGGACCGACAATCTAAACTTCCAAGACAAAGCCGACTGACCCCTCCTCGCATCATCAGGCAAACAAATCGTCTTCGTCACGAACAACAGCACCAAATCGCGTGCCGACTATGTCAAGAAATTGGAGGGATTGGGCATTCCAAGCTCAACAGTACGTTGGATTTTCCGCATCACCTCCATCTCCCGTCCCTCGCAGCCTTCTAAAGCCAATGAATCACAACGATCCCCCGCCTCTAACCACAAAACAAAATATAACCATGTATCCTCAAACAGGAAGAAATCTTCTCCTCCTCCTATAGCGCCTCAATCTACATCTCACGTATCCTGCACCTTCCGGCCGACAAGCGCAAAGTCTTCGTGATTGGCGAAACCGGCATCGAGCAGGAGCTGCGCGCCGAGGGCGTTTCCTATCTGGGTGGGACGGACCCGGCCTACCGCCGCGAGATCGCACCCGAGGACTACAAGCGCATCGCCGCCGGCGACTCGACCCTGCTGGACCCGGAGGTCGGCGTCGTGCTGGTGGGGCTGGACTTCCACATCAACTACCTCAAGCTGGCGCTGGCGTACCACTACATCCGGCGCGGCGCGGTGTTTCTGGCCACGAATATCGACTCCACGCTGCCGAACGCGGGGACCTTGTTCCCGGGGGCCGGGTCGATGAGCGCGCCCCTCATCATGATGCTGGGCGGGCAGGAGCCGGTCTCGCTGGGGAAGCCGAATCAGGCGATGATGGATGCCATTGAGGGCAAGTTTCACTTCGCGAGGGAGCGCGCGTGTATGGTGGGTGACCGCGCCAATACGGATATCAGGTTCGGGATTGAGGGGAAGTTAGGAGGCACGTTGGGGGTGTTGACGGGGGTGTCCAGTAAGGAGGATTTTGTCGCCGGGGAGGTCAGGCCCGCTGCTTATTTGGATAAGTTGGCGGATTTGTTGGAGTGTGAGTGAGTTGGATTTGTCTTGGTGTTTTTGTCTACTACTACCACTTGGGCTTTGTGGCACATGGGTGGTGGGTATTCTTCGGAAACTGAAGGGTATCATTATTTGTCGTTATCCTCTCTATCCGGGAATTGTCTATCTATATGATGTTTACAGGATACCATAGAATCCAGGACAACCACTTATCCTCTTCACAACCTCCCACAATACCAGGCCTACTGGAATGGAGGATCATGAGGATTCAGACCCAGCATCATGGTGCGGGTCATAGTGCGGGTCATCTCTCAGCAAACCCGCCAGCTTCCACAAAGCCAGCATCGCCTTGACGGTGGGCTTATCATCCGGTCTGAAAAACACAGCCGCCTGATCCTCGAACTTCTCACATGCCAGGTCCTCTTCCGTCAACAACCGCGTTAAATCAAACACCGGGACCTTCGAGTCCGTCTGCGGCAGATGGAAGAAACTCGACAGCGGCAGCGGTGCGCTCGTGCGCCGCAGCACCAACACCGCACCGGTAGCCATGCGCGCAATCGGCTCCATCTTCGTTATTGCATCTACCAGCACCTCCTCCGCGAGCACCCCATCGTCTCCTAATTCCTCCACGCGCAGCACCGACGTCCACACCCCCCTCTTCGATGAGTCATTCGGCTGCGTCGCCGCCTTCCGCAGCCGCCGCCCGACCTCCCGCCGCATCATCCGCGTCACGAACTGCGGCATATCCTGGCGCCAGACGCACCGCGCCTGGAACGAATCCGTCAACGGACCAAAGGGCGCCTTCCACCGCTGTGGAAAGATGTGTACTATAGCCGGGATCTTCCGGCCCTTGGACTTCTGGATCGTCTGCGTGAGCGTCGTGAGGAGGGGGAGTCGGTCGATCATTCGGATCAGGTGGTGGGTCGATTGGGTGGTTGACTGCTGCTGCGGCTGCGGCTGCAGCTGCGGCTGCGACTCCTGCGGCGATGACAGAGGGGTTGCGGTGGATGAGGGTGAAGGTGAGGGTGAGGGGGCGGCGGGCATGATCTCAGACGGATGGATGAATAGACTTCCTTCGGGATGCTCGTCGAGACCCCAGCCAGTCAAAAACGCGGCGGGGAAGCGCAGTCCCGTCAATGCGCATTGGCGGACAGGCGTGGCAAGCGCTACGGCCCAGGGATTTGTAGAGAGGTCATCTTCCGGAGGGGGTTTGCTGCGCGCTTTTTTGCGGTGGAGGCGCTCGTAGCCGGGTTTGGGGTTGGTGAGGAGGGGGGATTTGGGGAGGAGGGAGGAGGGAGGAGGTGCGTAGGTGTCATGTTCGGTAGGAGTTGGTGTGGAGGGGGTATCATAAGGAGTGGACGGAGAGGTATTGGATGACGGTTGTTGAGGCTCGTCGGTCAAGGTGGTTAAGCTGCGGTGGTGGTGGTGGTGGTGGTGTAGAACAGGGCCTCGGAGGCTGCTGTTGTTGAATAATTGCCGAAATTGCCGCAAGCGCCATGACGCGTAGGATATACGACCGTGCAGACACTCCATTGTCTCTGCTTGCCGGTAATTTGGGTGTTGGTATGGCTGGACGCAGAGAGGTGTAGGGCTGGTCGAGGTGGAGAAATGTAGAAAAATCCCGCGGAGGTTTTGGAGCTGGCCGACGGCGCGCAAAGGCGGAGTGCTGCTGCGACACATCTCTACTCCTCCTCCGACCACCACCACCATTACTCCACCTCTCTCCTCCGATCTCTTATCTCTTTCTCTCATTGACTCTGATCACCTCATATCCCTCACAATGAACCCCTCTCGCCCGCTGCAGCGAGTGAGCCGCATATTCAGCCGCCCATCGGCCATCCCGGCCCTGTCGCGGAGCTTCACCAGCTCCATCCCGTCGCTATCATCGTCATCAATTGCCCGACCTACGCGTGGATGGACGCCTACACCGTTTGTCACAGAGACAGTAGTAAGTCCCTGTCTTCTACTACCTTTACAGAAAACCACACATCCACTAACGTAAACTTAGGGCGGCGGTTGGCACACATGTACGTTCTACATCTCACTCAACCTGAACCAATACATACAGCAGCCCCAACGCTCTCTCTCTCTCTCTCTCTCTCTCTCTCTCTCTCTCTCTCTCTCTCTCTCTCTCTCTCTCCACGAAAACAACCGACTAACGCCTCAAGCAATCCCTCAGATGACATCTTCTCCCGCCTCCTGAAAGAGCGCATCATCTGCCTCAACGGCGAAGTCGACGAAACCATGTCGGCGTCTATCGTGGCGCAACTATTGTTTCTCGAAGCCGATAACCCTCAGAAGCCGATCCACCTATACATTAACTCGCCAGGAGGGTCTGTTACAGCTGGTGAGGAGCCCTTCCTCCCTCCCCCTCCCCCTCCCCCTCCCATGTTCCTCCTCAGCGAACCCATCCAGCAACCTAGCAACCCAGCAACCCAGTAACCCACAAACTAACCACCGTAAAACCAAATTCTCAGGCCTAGCAATCTATGACACAATGAGCTATATCGCCAGTCCCGTCTCCACCATCTGCGTCGGCCAAGCGGCCTCAATGGGCTCCCTACTGCTCTGCGGCGGCCACCCGGGGAAACGCTACTGTCTCCCGCACTCGTCGATCATGATCCACCAGCCCTCGGGCGGCTACTTCGGACAGGCCAGCGACATCGCCATCCACGCCAAGGAGATCCTGCGCGTGCGCAGCCAGCTCAACCGCATCTACCAGCGCCATCTGACGGGCAAAAAAGTGCTGTCGCTGGATGAGATCGAGAAGCTGATGGAGCGGGATTACTTTATGGGGGCGGCAGAGGCGCTGGAGATGGGGATTGTGGATGAGATTTTGGATCGGAGGGTGGGAAGTGGTGGTGGTGGTGGTGGTGAGAAGGGGGAGGGGAGTAGTGGTGAGGAGTAGAGATACAGAGGGGAGAAACCGTAAAATACCCTTTTTGTTGTTCTTTTGTTGTTGTAGCTGTATGTGATGATGATCATCATCTTATGATTGATGAAACCATGGGAAACGCTCCACTCCCATCTTCTACTTAAATATACACATTCTTTTACCCAATCATACAAGATCATACACCTAAGTACTCTCTCGGACATACTCTCCGATACATGACATATATCATCTCATATTTTATACACAATAGTGAGCTTCTACATCACCCAAGCAAAGCACAATCATTAAACCAAAGTCATTACTTCGCGTCTAAGCACGGCGACATCAGCATCGACCTCAACATCAGCAGCTGGAGCATTACGACTCCTGCGGAATCCGTTCCATTCGCCCGTTGGCACCCACTCGGATCCCGAACCGCTCGCGCAAGAACGCCGCCGTCTGGTCCGAAGGCACATACGGCGCGGTCCTCCGTGCCGTCGCAGGACTATACTGCCACTGCTCGCGTATCAAATCCACCAGTCCCACGTCCATGATCACCGCCTGGCCCGAGGCAAACACGTCCAAGGGGTGGCTATCCCTCGCCGCGGTAGTGGCTCGTGTCAATCCGCTCTCGGCCGGGTCGGCCAGCAACTCGGTCCGTTCGTCAATTTGATAACGGTTGTCATCGAACTCCTCAGCAGGGCGCATCGGCACATGTCCCGCCTGCTCCTCCCGTGCTCGTGGCTCCTCTGTGGACGGAGATCCATCGGTGCCCCGAAGCACCCCCCGCTCCTCCAAATCATGGTCCTGGCCCTGTCCCAACGGAGACGCCAACCCCATAAGCACCCCCGCTATCCCGAAACTACTCCCCGCTCCCCCTGCGGTAGCCGTCGCTGCGGTGCCGGCCTGTGACGGCTGCTGCTGCTGCTGTGCCTCCACAGTCTTAACCCTCTCAACCACCAACGCCAGCATTAACAAATCCAACGCCAGCACTAACACATCGAAAAACAGCAGTCGCAGCCGCGGCACCGGCGCCTTCTGGCCGACAAAATCGATCAACAAGCCCCCGTGCACGTAACCACGGGTCTCCTCGCCGGCCCCCGGCGGCGCGAAGAGCGTATGGCACAACATACAGAACAGATTACTGAGGAATATGGCGCCGACGTATGGCTGGCTGCGGGTCGGGTCGAAGGGAGGTGCTTTCGGGGTGAAGAAGATTAATTGCACGATGGCGCGGAGGGCGAGGAGGATGATGGAGCAACTGCCATGGCGGAAGAGAAAGTTGTTAATATGTAGGGGTACAAACTGGGGCTGTTGAGACCCGGGGGTGGGGGGGGTGGTTTTCCGCGTTTTGTGTCATATGTATATGTGCATGTGTATGTGAGGACGGAGGGGTCTACAATAGGTTGGGAGGAGGGAGAAAGTTGGGGGTAAATAATTAGAGAATGGAACAATGCTCACTCCATATAATAGAGCGCAGAGAGCTCGCAGTATATGAGAATGTCAAGATCACGGAGTAATCGATCGATCAGGGCTATCTTGGCGGTGGATTGGATCTTTCTCATGCGCTCGTCGTTACTGCCGTTGGTGCTGGACGGAGTTCCGGCGACGAGGCCGGACGATAAGCCGGACACGTCAGCGAGGTATTCCGCATCTCGATAGACATCTGAAGTGTTCATAGAGGGTCATGAGGACATGGATGATGGAGGGGCGGTAAGGTAGATGTGGGAATTGGATCTTGGAGGAAAGGGTGGGAAATGAGGAAATGTGAGGATGACGCTGACGGACGGACGGACGGTCGTCAGTCGATCAGGAGAAGTGGAGGTAGGAAGGGAGGGCGGAAGCGGAGGCGGAGGTGTCAATGCAACGGCGTCAGGCGATGGCGGGTTTTCCTCGGTCCGAGCCAGTCGCAGTCACTGCCGCATTTTTATACCGGGATACTACATCACTGGGTTGAATGATAATGAGGTATTTCTTAGAACAGGGAAACTAATGGCTAATCTCTAATCTAATCGACGAAGATGGTCTTGGAGAGGTCGGCGTAGTGCTTGAAGAAGCTGGTGAACAGCCGGATGGAATGGCCAACATCGTAAGTACCGCCGGTCTCGCGGATACTGTGCATGCTGAGCTGAGGGTTTCCCAAATCCAAAGTACGAGCTCCCAGCTTGGCTGACATCATAGGGCCGATGGTACTGCCGCAGCTAGAGTCATTGCGAACGACGAAAAGCTGCAGAGGCACACCCTCACCACCATCCTCGGCGGCCTTGCGAGCAATTTCCTGCAACAGGACAATACCGGGGGAGTTGGTCGCGTAGCGCGCATTGGCGTTGATCTTGATCACAGGCCCCTTGTTGATTTGCGGCCGGTGGTCGTTCTCGTACTTAGGGGAGTAGTTCGGGTGGACTCCGTGGGCCATGTCGGCGGAAAGAAGGAACGAGGTGGAGAGCGTCTGCTCATAAGCGGTAGAGACATCGTCCTCGCTGCTGGTTGTTGACGGAAGCACGGACAGACGACGAATCACGGCAGGAAGCATGTTGGAGTCGGCGCCCTGAGCGGTTCGGCTGCCAATTTCCTCGTGGTCGAACAAAGCAATGAGACGGATGGCCGGCTCATTGTCCAGAGCTGAGGCATCGGCAACAGAGTCAATCAGGCCCACGGTGGCACAGAAAGAGCTGTTTAGATTGTCCAGGCGGGGAGAGAAGATGAACTCATCCAGCAAGCCACCCAGGTTAGACTTTTGCGTATCGAAGAGAATCATCTCAAAGTCGAGAATATCAGCAGGCTTGGCATCAGCTTCGGCGGCAATGAGCTCGACCAGGTATGGGTGGTGACGCTCAGTGATCGCCTTCAAAGGTGAGAATTCTCCCGTCTCCTCCTCAGTGTTCTCAGCCTTACTGGACTCGCTGGCACCGGTGCGGTTAAGCTCGGCGGCCACAAGACCGGCAATGGGGAAGAGCTGGGTCTCCTTGTTGAAGGCGAAGGTTTCCTGGCGGTCGAGGTGGATAGCCAGGGTAGGGATGCGCAGGACTACATAGTCCGTTAGTTGTGTATACCTGAAATCTCAGAGGCAATCCATACTTGGCCGGTCAATCTTGATCAGCTTTTGCACGATAGAGCCGTCGCCGTTGCGCACCATAGCCCGACCCGCAACTCCCAAATCGCGGTCAAACCCTTCAAAGCAGTTAGCACTCGGGGTCCATGATGAGTACCGCGGTGAACGTACATGTGTGCCAGATGCCTCCTCCGTAGGTTTCGACACCCACTTGGATATAGCCCTCTCCGCGCTTGTTGCTAACAGGCTTAACCCGTAGCACGGGGGAATCGGTGTGCGCCCCAATCATGGAGATAGGGTTACCAGGCTGGTCAGTGTCAGTGGCAGTCCACCCTTGTCTAAGATGGAGTGATTGACTAAGCGCATACCTGCCACTTCTTACCAATGGCGAAGGCCACAATGGTAGACTGGTTGCGAGTGACATAGTATTTTCCGCCAGGACGGCAGGTGGACGCCCAGGAATCCTTTTCCTGCGGTGGTATTAGAGATATAGAATTGATTGATGGCTGACAATGCAATAAACATGCCTTGATCTCTTGGAAGCCCGCCTTCACCAGGAGGTCCTTGGAAGATTGGACTGCATGGAAAGCTATATGCAACAACAATGGTCGTGAGTAGAAGATCTTCTCCACCGGGCACAGATTAGGGAAAGTTTACGGGTGGGAGAAGCATTGACATAGGACAAAAAGTCCAGGGCCGGCTGTTTCAGATTCTGAGCAAGCTTGGAAGTCATCTTGGGGGACCTTGGGATCTGGCAGAGACAACCGTGGGGTGGTGCGGAGGAGAGAATAACAGTTAATGTCTCCAGTGCACATGAGATCATGCCAAGGCGGTAAGTTCTGTTAACACTTTTGACAGCTTGAAGCGGGGAAATCTCCCATCGTGCTGGTGGATCGTGCGGAGCCCAGTTCTTATCTGCTACATTACCTGGGCGAGTGAGTCAGGAGATCTCTCTTACTTCCACTGCATTTACCGCTCGCCTTTACAGCTTGCTTCTTGTCGGCAAGACCTAATCGCAGGAAGGAGTGACTATACTTTATTATGCGCAAGCCTCTATAGTTCATCTCGCTGGTGGGTGACCTCGGGAGCTTCAAACATGCGTTTCTTGGGGTTCCTTGGCAGCTCCGCTTGTCTCTGCCTTTCCTCCGGGGAGATGTCGTCTATGTTGGTCTCTTCCTGCTGTTCAATCTCATCCACCAATTCACCGATCTGATCAATCAAGCGGTCCTCCTCCGTTTCATCTGTGACAGGGACCTGGTCCCAGACCGCCTCTTGTCCCGCACTCTGAATTGTGGGCTCCACCTTTTGGACGACCACCGGAGTCTCCTGCACTGATTGAGTGACAGCAGTAGCAGAGGCAGAGGCTTGAATTGCCCGCCCACTGGTTATGCCCACCACGCCCAAGATAGTGAAGGTAAAGCGTGCCAGCATTCGCACCGGAAGCCATACAAGCCACCACAAAGGACCGTAGAGGATCCGTCGAAAGATCAGCCAAGTAATTGTCCCAACCAGAATGTAAAAGGCCGTTTCCAGATACCAAGTGTCCGACTTTTGCGACCGAAGCAGAGAGCTGAGGAGGTTGCGCGACGAGGTGATTAGTGAGTCCAGGTCCGTGTAGGATTCCGACAGCGACGAGAGGGCAGCGGTAGATTGCTCTAAAATCGGGCGAAGCGAAAGTGATTAGCCTTCCAGTGCATTCGTGAACTCCGCAGCGAGAAGATAAACCAACCTAATGTCTCCTGCGCAAACTGACTCCGCGACAATTCGGCCTGCATCAACTGGTGCGTCCTCCGCAGCGCCGCCGTAACATCATTCGACGCGTTCTTCACAATCTCATCCTGCGTCAGCTTCTCGGCAGGCTGTTGAGTCTGCCTGTCGGCGCTCTGGGACCGCGAGAATAGCAGCTCCCTCTCTTTGCGGCGGGCAGTCTCGGCGTTGCGTTTCGCTTGTAGCTGGGCATTGCGAAAGTCCCTTCTTGTTCTGCGCGTGCCAATCGTCAGCATCTGTCCACTACTTCCCTCAGCAGAGGTTCGCCCGAGAATCGAAACACTCTCCCGATTTCCGAAAGGAAGATCAAAGTGATATACCTCTTTAGCTCCTCCGTCAACCTGCCCGCCAGCGCGACGACCCGCTCCCGCTCCGATTCCTTTTCATTATTCAACCCTTTGCGTCGACTCTCAGGACCGGCCTCGAGACCCTCTACCTCCACCCGCAACAACTCCAGTTGATCCTCCGCTCCTTTCAGAAGCGTGTGGATCTCCGTCCCAAGCTCCAAGCGCGCCTCATCACCTTGTCCAATCACTGTCGTGAAGTTCTGCAGCCGAGCCACCAGCGGGTGGATATTGGCCAGTGTGGTCGAGAGCTCTTTCAGCCGAGATTGGAGTTCCGTCAAGGATGACATTGTATTGATTCTGATGACTTTCGGTTGAATACACGGTCAGTCACTCTAGGCGCACAAAAGAAAACTCCCCCAACGCCCAAGAAGAAAAGGACCCAGAAAAGAATTGGAACAAGTCAAGAAATAGACCGAAGAAGCAGTCGAGCGCGTGGAGAAAGGTCAAAAACCGTCGATGTGTCCGCTCCCTCCACGCGATAGATAACAGCGTCATCGGGCTTCCCGCAAGCCACAGCTTTATTCATACCTGAGGCATTCAAGCACCACCCAAAAAAGCCAGCCACCTGTTTGCATCCAAGACAAACACGCACTCTCTCCGCCGGAACCAATCCGATCAAGACCGTTGTGTAGATACAGCCAACAAAAAAAGGCTGATTGGGATACCATCTTGACACCGTTGCGCGCGCAAACACCCACTCTCCCCATCTTTTACCCTTCTCTCCTCGAACCTCCACTCAAGATTCTCTAGGAAGGGACAACCTCATTGTAAGATCCTCAATCCGAACCCCTGCAAGAAAATAAGGAATCCTAAACTAACCCAACCGAACCACAGCACCACACAGCACCTTCCCTCACGTTACCTCACCTCTCTCTCCACCGAAACAACCACCGTGAGATTAATTCAAAATGACTATCCCCCTCGCCACCATCTCCTCCTTCCGCACAACCTTCAACCCTTGGCTCCGCAGCTCCCGCCCCTGTCGCGTGCTGCTCTCTCTTCTCCGCAACCCCTCGACCATCCCGGCCTCGAGCCCCACGCACATCGACATCAAAGTCACGCAGTTGCCGCGGCACTCGACGCAGCCCGCCGAGCTGACGGTCGGGTTCAAGAATGGCAAGGAAGTGAGCATCCCCGTCGGCGAGCGGCAGATGAAGATCGGGGATGTGATTGAGGAGATTGCCCGGGTAGGGCGGGTGATTGAGCGTGAGGAGACGTTGAAGGGTTGATTTCTTTGCCGTTTTGTCTTTGGGGAGTCGGATGTATTTGGGGAGAGGAGGGGCTGCTTGGGGCTGCTAAGGGCTAGAATGGAGGGAGGAGGGATGGCAGCAGCGGGTGTAGTCGGGGCCGCGCGGGGCTTCGTTGAGACTATCGCTTCCATCCTCTCTCCTGCGGATGTGGAGGACGTGTGTGCTCAACCTTATTGCCTCCGGCAGCATGTGTCAGCGCATTCGGGTTCAAGAGGCGCGCGAGCGTTATCCGCAGCGTGAACGCAAGTCGTCCGGACTTGTTTTCGCGACTTGTATTATCTATCATGTTATTTATGGGCATGTGTATATACCAGCTATTAAGTATTCTTGTTTTTCGTGAGACTGTTGGTGGACTCTCCCACGTGTACTATTGACATGGCTCTTGCTACGATAGATTGTCAGAGCAGGTGGTAGATGTTGAAGTAAATGAATCACCCGTAGGTGGGGGAATAAGTGTGTATTTTTAATTTGTACAGATTTAAACAGCAGCACCGGAGATGAAGAACCACTTGTCAACGCTGCCGTCGATGGGAGCAGGAGGAAGGTTCTCACCCTTAGGGATGCTGGCAACCTTGGCGGCGTCAGCGCGCTCAACGCCCTCGTAGACGCTGGTGGCACTAGAAGTGGGTCAGTCACTGCGCCTTTGCAGATGGGAAACATAACAACGTACATGCTGACATCACCCTTGGGGGCCTGGCCGGAGATCAGCTTCTCCCAAGCATCACGGCATTCACGGATGACCTCGAGAGCGTACCTGCAATCGATTAGCGAAACCCTGACGTCAATTGAAGGGGGAGCATACTTCTGGTTCTTGCACTCGCCGGAGAAAGCGAACTGGTTCTCGGGCTTTCCGTCGGGGATCTTGTAGATACGGAACCACTCGTTGGTGGCACGGAGAAGACCGGGGAGGTGACGCTCGACGTCCTCAACGTCGTTCAGCTTGTTGGCAAGGGGGTCGTTGATGTCGATGACGATGACCTTCCAGTCGGTCTCCTCCTCGTCGAGCAGGGCCATGACACCGAGGACCTTGACCTGCTTAACCTGACCGGGGTAGCCGACAAGCTCACCAATCTCGCAGACGTCAAGCGGGTCGTTGTCACCCTTGGCCTTGGTCTCGGGGTGGATGTTGTTGGGGTCTTCCCAGGTCTAGACGAGTCTTAGGACACGGTGCTTCAAGGAGAGATCACAATTTCAGAACATACCTGGGGGAAGGCACCGTAGTTCCAGAGGTAACCCTTGTGGGGGAAGCAGTTACGGACGTAACGGAGCTTGCCCTTCTTCACATCTTGCTTGATGGGGTTGAGGAACTCCTCCTTGGAGATCTGATTGACAACAGGGGGTCAGTTGTGATGGTCGAGGAAGACGACTGTGGCGGGGTATAGGGTCTGTGTACCTCCTGCTTGGCGTTGGTCCAGCGGGGGATCTCAACAACCATGTTGAAGATGTTGTTGGCCTCATCGGCGTAAAGGGGAATGTCGTGGAAGGGAGAAACGGGCTTGCCATCCTTCTCGATGAAGACACGGTGCTCCAGGGTGTTGGCCTGGCCAATCTTGCGGACGGTGTAAGACATGGTGGGCGAGTGTGTGGTAGCGGACACAGAAGAAAAGTGTCTAGCTAGAAGAGCAGTACGGTTTGAAACAGACAAAACCGAAGAACGAAGGGGAGAAGAAGAAGGAGGGAGAGAAGAAGAGGAGGAGGAGGAGGATGAGGCTGCGGCGGGAGGAGGAGGGGGGGAGGGGGCTTGTTTGGTGGGGGGAGCCAGCGTTGCGGATGTGCGACAAACGGACGAACAGCAAGAAGCAGACACTGAGCGGCGGGCGACTATCGGACTCCAGGCGGTGGGCAACCGGAGTGTTGACACGGGTCCTCGACTGACCCCCAAGAACATTGAAATACGAAGTTTGGCTCAATTGACCGGATTGACTTGATGGGAAACAGGTATACGGTGTTTCTGGTCAGAAGGAGGGGTTCAATCAATTGTTATAACTAGTTGCTCAACGCAGGAAAGGATGAAGGGATTAGGAAAGAAAATCGGACGGGAGCAGAAAAAAAAAAAAAAAACCGCCGAACAAAAACAGCCTCGGACATTTCCCTCCTTTCCATCTCGGCAGCGGCTGTCATCGCAGTATCGATGTATGCACCTGAATGTGTCTAACTCCCCTCACTCTATTCTGATCACCTGCATTTGAGGTTATTTTTCGTTGTGGTTCATTTTACCAGGTCAAGAACTTTTTTTGGGTCTAGTGGCAACAGCCTGCAGATGACACCATTTCCTCCCTCTTATTCCTTTTATCGGTGAGGAAGAATACCCTGGCTGGCCTTGGATTGCACCCACTCCACCAGTACCGTTCCACTCCTGGTGTGGATTGTCCTGAGTAGACTTCAATCTTATTCTCGGTTATTCAAATGCCTTCGACCTGAGACTGTGATAGATGAGCATTGAGACTCCTTTGCACTAATTGAAACAGCCTCCAAAGGCTTCAAGTAGCATACCTAATCAATCTTACCAGCATGTGCGCCATTGCCTGTTCAATTCTAACTATTGCTTCTTCCCCCTGCCTTGTCAGCAATTCTTGGCAGGCACTGCTTCGGAACGGAGTAACTCAAGTTCCGCAAATTGTTGTCGATGACTAAGGGGTAGAGCGGCGAAAAACCTTATCATGTATCAGCACGTGATCAGACACTTTTTCGTTCTCCGCCTCCGTCTCGATCTAGAATGTCCATACAAACCATAATCTTCGCTCTTTCTCGCGAGTCGCATATATTCTCGGCTCTACCGTTCCGACATCCCTGACTGAATTATCATCAGACCTTGTATCGACCGAGAAATGCTATGCTAAACGTCCTACGATCCGCCCGCTTCGCAATGACCACGCTTCCTCGTGTCCCAATCCCCGCCAACGGGGTCGACTATCGCGGCAAAGTCGTTCTGGCGCCGATGGTGCGCTCCGGTGAACTTCCCTGTCGTCTACTAGCTCTCAAGTATGGCGCCGACCTCGTCTGGGGTCCTGAGACCATCGACCGCGCTCTGGCAGGCGCCAAGCGCCGCGTGAACCCCCGCAACGGCACCATCGAATTCACCCGCACCCCCTCCAACGGCGGCCGCGTCGAGAAGGCCACCAAGGAGTCCGTCATCTACCGCCTCGACCCTGTCCGCGAGAAGGGCAAACTCATCTTCCAGATCGGTACCGCCACTCCTGACCTCGCCGTCGCCGCCGCCAAGCTCGTCGCCCCCGATGTCGCCGGCATCGATGTGAACTCGGGGTGCCCGAAGCCCTTCAGTACCAGCGGTGGAATGGGTGCAGCCCTCCTCAGAACTCCGGACAAGCTCGTTTCAATCCTCGAAACGCTGGTGCGCGAGGTCGGTACCCCGTACCAGATTGGCATCTCGGTTAAGATCCGGCTCCTGGACAAGCAGGACCCCGAGCCGACGCGAGCGCTGGTCGAGCGACTTGTCAGGACCGGTATCACGGGCCTGACCGTCCACTGCCGCACGCCTCCTATGCGGCCCCGCGAGCGCGCCATTCGTGATCAGCTGCGGATGGTCCGGGACATCTGCCACGAAGCCGGGGTGGCGTGTCTTGTCAACGGCGACGTTGCCAACAAGGACGACGGCCTGGCTCTGATGCAGGAATACGGCGTCGATGGCGCGATGATCGCCACCGCAGCCGAGGCGAACCTGTCCGCCTTCCGCACGGCGGCTGAGGGCGGCCTCCTCCCGTGGAAGGAGATGGTCCGCGACTACATGCAGGCCTGTCTCGAGTGCGAGAACCGTTTCGGCAACACCAAGTACCTCCTGAACATCTTCGTGCCGGGCAAGGCTCCCGAGTCTCACCGCGCCAAAACCGCCCGCACCTACGTCGACACCTGCCTCGCCCTGGGCTTCGAGGACATGATTCCCGCGGCGACCCGCGTCGACGAGATCCTGGGTCTCTCGGCCAAGTCCACCGCAACAACCACAGCCGAGAAGAACGACGACGACCCCGTCAGCAAGGCCGTGCACAACGCCCTCGAGAAGAACGAATCCGCCCGCGCCGCCGGCGGCGCCTCGCGCTCGAAACCCACCTCCCCCGTCCTCTCCCACAGCGCTGGCGGGCCCGTCCGCACCAACTCCATCCCTCGCCCGACGAAGTCAGCGCCCAACAACCCGGCAGAGGTTGATCCGGTCGTCCTTGCTGCTGAAGCTTCTGCTGCTGCTGCTGCACCGAAGGAACTCGCCGCATAGCGGGCCTCATCTGTCGTCGATCCCTGTCCTGCCCTTTCATTCTCTGTCTATCATTCTATTGATGCGGTTACGCCTCCTGATCCCCGTATATTACACTGTTGCAGTTTGTTCCGTTCCCTGCGCTCGCATAACCCGGCGTTGAAGCTCGCTCCTCCTAGCAGGTTGGTGGTTGGTTTGTTGGTTGGTCGGTTGTCTACGCGAACTCATAGATTCCCACTTCATGTTTTTCATAATCAATCAGAGGGGCATCGTTCCTATTGCTTATTTCCTTACCTTATGCTCTCTATCATAGAAAACAAGTAGACAATCTTCCCTCTCCATCATAGGAAGCATAGTAGTAGTCATTTTTCACATGTAAATAACTGTCATTGCGCCGCCAGAGTCCAAGCCTGTTGATTGTGTAAAGGTCTATCTCATACGAACTGTCTCTCTTGCGCAAGTAGTAATAGTAACAAGCATGGTCTTGCACAAGGAGGTGTATGTTGTATGTGTTGTATATGCCCGGGCATTGCCATCGTCGACGTGAAATAGAAAAGCAGCAGCAGCAGCAGTAAAGATACCGCCATGCTTGCGGTACGAAACTCAGATGAGAATCTCCGAAAAATTGAGAAAACTCCGGTCCCAGCGTAACGAAAACGCACAAGACACCATCGGACAGAGGATTAAGGCTTAACCAGAACCGTAGGCGCAACACAGAAAGATACAGCGACCCAAATCAAAAGCGGGGGGATAAAAAAGAATCTCGCTGATGAGAATGCAAGGATTATCTTCCTTGCCTATAACAGGGCAAGAAAGGGTGAGGGTGGTGATTTCTAGAAGCACATGTAATGTGAAACAAAAGCCTTCCCAACCCAAGTGATCAAAATTCACCCCACAGATACACACACAAAACAGGCATCAAAGAATGGTTTAGATACGAAACACATATAACCGGAACGAATCTATCATCGGATAAAACTCCCTTCAACTCGTATGCGAACATCATCAATGCTTCTGCTCCATGTCCGCAAGAACCATGTTCTCCACAGCCTTCATGCCTGCGTCCTCCGCCTTCTTGGATTCAGCCGCATCCTCCCCGGCCACGGCCTGGTCGAGTGCCAACTTCGTCTGGCCGAGCGCGTAGATCTGCTCCTCGATCGTGTCCTTGGTGACCAGGCGGATGACCTCGACCTCGCGAGTCTGGCCCACCCGGTGAGCGCGGTTTTCGGCCTGCACGTCTTCCTGAGGGTTGAAGCTGGAGTCGAAGATGATGACCTTGTTGGCACACGCCAGGTTGATGCCCGCGCCGCCGGCCTTGGTCGACAGCAGAAAGACGGGGATGTCGGTTCGCTCGTGGAAAGCGTCCAGAATAGACTGCCGGTCTTCAACATTGGTGCGGCCGTCGAGACGCACAAAGCCGAGCTGTTCGTGCTCTAGCACATTCTCGAGGATGTCCATCACCATAGTAAATTGCGAGAAGACTAGTGTCCGGTCGCCCTTCTCCTGGAAGCGGCGGAGGAGCTCGCAAAGTTTGGCCACCTTGCCCGAGTCCATCCATTCGTCGTTTTTGAGAGCGAATCGGCTGAGGGCCGGGTATTTGACACACATCGAGTGGCATTCGTAGTCGTTGTAGGCTTGGAGTTCTTCGAAGATGATGTCGGGATTGGATTGGGAAAACTGCTCTTCTTTCAGGCAGGCTTTGGCCATGCGGCTGAGGATCGAGTCGTTGTAGTGGCGTCTGTACAGTAAGGGGTGGATGGCTGCTTGGCGGAGCTTCATGAGGATGTTGGCGGATTTGTTGCCAGTTCTCTTGCCTGCGGCGCGGTCGGCAAGCAGTTTCCGCACCTCCTCCTGCTCATGCTCGTAAATCTTCCTTTGCGCGTCGTTCAGTTCGCAGTACTCGACGTGTGAGTTTTTAGCAGGCAGATCGATAACCTGGTGCTTCTTGCGTCGCAGCACAAAGGGCTTGAGCATCGACTTAGCGCGTTCAATGCGCTGCGCGGAGAGCAGTGCGGAGTGTGACTCGTCGACAGTCTTCGCCTTGTTCGCGAAGATGTGATGGAGCTCGTCCTTGCGCTCTCTGAATACCTTAGGCAGAATGAATCCTAGCAGGGAAGCCAGCTCTTGTAGGTTGTTCTGCAGGGGTGTACCCGTCAGTAGAAGCCTGAAACGTGCCGGAATACGAATCAGCTTCTCGTAAAGTACCGAGGTACTGCTCTTCAGCATGTGTCCCTCGTCGTAAACGCAAACACAGAAATCCATGTTGCGTAAGAAGTGTGCATCGACCTTGCCCTTGGCAATAGTGTAAGTGGTGATGACGACGTTGATGCTGTCCCTGTTGTCCTCGATTGTCTCCCGGATTTCCGCACGCTCAGCCTGACCGGCATAATAAGGCATAACAGAAAGTGTCGGGCAGAATTTTTGGAACTCACGCAGCCAATTCTCAATCGTAGACGCAGGTACAACAATGAGATGTGGCCCCTTGAATCCCTTCTCGTAAAGATGAGCCAAGAAAGCAATAACTTGGCAGGTCTTTCCCAGACCCATATCATCGGCCAAAATACAGCTGAGATTGTGTTCAAACAAGAGCGAGAGCCAGTTGATGCCCACGATCTGGTAATTCTTCATCTTCAAGTCATCGCGCATGATAGAAGGCTGCGAGATGAAGCGTCCTTTGCGCGTGGTGGTCACATCACCAGGCGCAAGCCCATCGCTGTCCTCATCCTGGCTTGCTGGGGTTCCTATACCGGAGTCATGCGACTGAGACTCTCTAGGATCGATGGATACCAGCTCCAACTCTCCATCCTTCTTTCCGAAGATATCCACCCCCCATTTCTTCATCGCATCTGCAATCGGTTTTCCTAGATCTTCGCAGCGCGCGACGAGGGAATCGACGGCATCATAACCCACCCACATATCAACACATTTATCCACGATCTTATCGCCAATTGGCTTGGGCGTTTTGCGGCCTCGCGCCCCTTTCGGTTTTGAGTCTTCCTTGACCGGAGCAGGAACGGCGCGCACCTCGTCCAAAGACCTGAACGGTCTATGCGAGACTACATGCTGTGCAATGTCCTCGGGGATGGCAGCAATATCTGCAAGATCCAAGACGCTGCAAGTATTGAAGAATTTCAGCAATTTGAGATCGAATTGCACGTCACCCACTGCTTCTTCGACATCAGAATCAGAGTCATCGTCGATAATCAAAGCTTCTGGGGACTCCGAACGCTGAGGAGACTCCGGTTTCCGCCCTTGCACCAAGCGACCCGGCTTCCTAGGGGGTGTCTCCGTAACAGATTCCGGGCGAGATGGCGGACGAGATTCAGAGCGCACAGGGCTCGGTGACGAGACCCGAGTCTTGGGCCCGCGCATTAGACGCCTGCGCGGTTTCGCCTCATCTTCCTGCGGTTGCGACGGCTTTTGAGCTGCGAGTGTCCTATGAAGATTCGCCGCGGACCACTTGTCCTGGATTGTTCCCCTCGCCTTGATTTGCTGTTTCGCCGCCGGGGCCGCATTGGACTGACGGGTCGCATTCAGTTCATCCTCTGACGAGGGGTCCTTCCCCTCACCGTTGGCCAGGTAATCTAGGGCATCCTCGTAATTTCCACGCTTCGCCATGAGAGCCTGCACGCAGGACTGCACCGACTTCTGCGGCAAAACCTTGAGCATTCGCGCCACCTTGATTCTAATATTGTAGTCCTCAATGGAGTCAAGGGAGTACTGCGCATCGACTGGTTGGGCGCGCGAAGGGCCGTCCTGTCGAATTTTCTTCACGGCCATCCCTTTCGGCGTGGGGTCCATCTGGGCAGCAGGCCGTTTCGCGGGGTTGTAAATTGCGCCGGCGGTAACCTCCTTGAAGCGATCAATGGCCGATCCCGGGGCCTTGTCGGGGTTGCGCGAGGACTTGGAAAACATCGCTGGTTGAATGTCGGGGTTCTGTAGGGTCGGAGCATCATCATCGGAGGACCCGCCTCGATACGTGGGACCATCATCGTCCAAATCTATCACAGGCGCGCGCTTGGCCGGGCCTGCGGGAGGCGGAGGCCGAAACATAGTGCCGCTGGGGGCCATCAGGCTGGAGAGGCGGCCAGCGTTCGGGGTCGGGCGGGAGGGAGAGGAGGCAGGGCCTAGCGGGGAGGAGGCGGCGACTTGTACAACGGAATTACCCTTCGCAGTATAGGGATTGTCAACCAGCTGGGTCGGTTGTGTGAAACGCTGAGAGGCCGGGGTCAACGATTGGGTGGCCGGGGGGTGGTGATGGTGGTGGGTGACAGGAACGGTGGCAATCGTCTCATATTCGGGATCATCTTTGGTCGGAGTACCAGGAACGACTTTTCTGTCGTTCACAGGAGAATCGGGCACTGAGTCCTCCATGATAAAAGGACTTCCCCAGGGTGAGAGGGAAGATTGAACAAGGTGTTTAGAAAGAAAAGAGGATTGTCGTCATGCGTGAGTGACCGATAGAGAGGGAGGGAATAAGGGAAAAGTAGGCGGGAAGATGAGCAAAACGGAGCAAACGAACTGCTTGCCTCCAACTCTTAGTTTTAAGTTTCGATGCTCTGGGATTTTCTCCGCAAAACGCGCCCAGACGCGATCAATCACGTGAAGTGGCGCTTCAATTAATGTCCAGGAATGGCAGCCCCAGAGTCGAGCTGGAGGCTGTTCGAGGGAGCGCCATAGATGATATTAGGGAAAAGACTCTCTGGGAACTTCAATCGAGGATAACACCCCGATTTGGTCGCATCTCGTGTAGTTCTCTAATTGCTGATATTGTTTGTAATGGAAATGCAGCGAGTGTTTCTTCGAGATCTCTTCCGGCGGGAACCAATCAGCAGCCGAGTTCTGCTGGGTTCCGGGATTCGTTCATCCGCAATTGCATTGAAGACTGTCATCTTGAGACGGGCTGGTTGTTCATTGTTCCATCCTCTATTTTTTTTTTATTTTAAAAAAAAATCAAAATATATTAATACGCAGAGACAAGAGTGTTAAGCTCTGCCTTTGAGCACCCCATTCACTTTCTTCAGTTCTACCCCGACACGTGGACAGGCAACCATTCCACATCACCCTCACCATTACATCAGTATCACAACACCCCCAAACAACACATTTCAATATGTCTGCCCGTCGCAATGTCGAAAAATTCCCAGTCAAGGATAATGTCGCTTCATCAAAGTCCGAGAAGTCCTCTGACTCGGACGTGACCCCTGCAGTTCCCACGTAAGTGTTTCCAATTCGTCCCGAGGGGGAAAACACAGCGCCATATGGCTTCTATTCGGGGTCAGCGACAACTCCGGAGATCGAGCACGGCCGCCTAGACCTCCTGGGCAAGCATATACCAGCAGAGTACAACAGATGGTGAGAAGACGCAGACATTACTGACTCTTAAGTTCAGAAATGTTATCATGAAACTCCTGGGTTTCTCCGCCGCTATGGTAGTGGCGCCTATTGGCATCTACTTCGTCACAGTCGACTACGTCGGAGGTACGTCTTCTTCGAAGCCACCTTATTACGCAAGATGGGAATGATATGATACTAACCGTCTCGCGCAGGAAGTGCAACCGTTGGTGGTATTGTTGCCGCCATCATGGCCAACATCGTCCTCTTCACTTACATCTATGTCGCTTGGAAAGACGACCAAGCTGAGAGAGAGGCCGATGCTAAGCATAAAGAGAAGAAGGCGCAGTAGCGCGTATCTCGAATATGATTTGGTCTTGTTGTCACTATCATTCAATACCAGGTGTTTAAAGCTATGGCGTTCGAGGGCAGCTGCGTGTATGCTATGTATTTTTCATGTGTCTATGGGTGATTGCTCCGAAAAACCAATCTGCAAGTCCTAGTTCGACCGAGATTAGTTTTGATGTTCAGAAGCATACTTTGGTTCGATCATAATAGGCGCAAATACGCTGCTACGCTAGTAGGCTGCTCATCCTGTGGACCAGGCACAGTGGGTGGAATCAAAGGAGTTCACAAAACCAGGGTACAAAGAAAACTGCGCCCTCAGATGCAATTATTTCGGCTTGAAGAAGGGGCCCTGCAGGGAATCATATAGTGGACCAGCTTAACGGCAAAGAGGATGTAGTAATTAAGTCGGGCGTCTCTTGACAAACTCCTCCAAGTCCGCCTTGGTCGCGACGCCGAGCACGAACTTGCGCGACACATCCGTGACAACTGCGAAAGTCTGCTTGGCCCGCGTGGCTCCGCTGGCATCGGTCTCGCTCTCGAAGAACTGCTCCAGCTCCTCCAACGGGGTCTCCATCGTAATCACTTGGTATGTGCCGCGCTTGCGGTTGAACCGTTGCATGGCAGCGGAGACTGAGTCGGTTTCTTTCACAGCGCCTTCCTTCAGTAACTCCTTGAGGCGGGGAATGCTGATGTATCCAAGGAGAGAACGTTTCGTCGAGGAGGTGACGGTAAGGTGTGTGTAGTCACGTTCATACGCCGCGAGTAGGGCAGAGGAGATGGGGTCCTCGGGGGAGACAGACAGGGCCGGGGGAGGGTCGAGATCCTCAACCGTGGCCTAGATTTGCAGGGTCAGTCGACCATGGCGATCTAAAACATGTTTTGTCTTAAGGTTTGCGGTGCACTGACACCACGATATTTGTCCGCCCAGGCGGACTGCGAGACCGGCTGCTGTGCATCCTGCACGAGCTTCTCTTGGGCGAAAGCCTCACTGGCGCTCAAGTAAGAGGCCATGATGTTGGTAGGAGGGGAGAATAGTGGGGAAATGCGAGGGTGAGGGGTCGGCTTGGTTGGTACAGCACAGTTCGGCGACTGCTGCCGGACTAGAATTCCGGGATTAGGCACGGGAATGAACAGGTGAGGTTGATATTGCGTGAGTCAAGCATCCACTCGGCCACTGTCAGGTTGTTAGTGATCGGACCAAATTTCATCGATCACCGAGCGGGCCTGCCGCCAGTTGGTGGGTACAGCGGAGACCAGCGCAAATGAGAATTCCCTTGCGGATGCCTTCACCGCATGACTTACCGTTTTCGAATCAGGATATAACTAAGTACTGTGAGGTTTTATAGTGCTGCAAGAGAGGCATATATCTGGTGAGTACATACTATCAGGAAGCTAGCAATGATGATCTATACAGGCTCCCAGGTGTTCTATGGAGAACATCACTCGTCGTGGCGTTCGTTGCGGACTTGCAGGATAGAATGACCGAGAAAGTGATCCTTGCCAACTTGCAGGCGGCTTGCACATTACCTTACTAAGCACCCTGCATATTGACATTATATATCGTCTATGAGGGCTTCAGAGCCTACTTGGTTGGATTTTCCGCCCTGAATTAGCTATGAAGTACTTGAGAGGTATGGTATTCATAAATGTTCATGACTGAACGATAGAGTACTTATTCTGCCGGCAATATAATGACGAGCAATGGATGAGCCAAAACGAGTTAGCCGCCGTCGGGCCCGGGCTATCGTCCGACGTCATGAACCGGTCGGCACAACCGCCCCGTCAGCAATTGTCCCTTCAGTCACTTCTCACCCCTCTTCAATCCCATCCGGATTTCATCACTGAAGCTCCACATCTTCTTTCCGTGGTCTGCTCTGGTAAGGCATTGTGATTCAGAGTAAAGGGATCAGGAAATACCAGACTGTTGATCAGTACCTCTATTTTCTCTTAACTCCGCTCTATCTCCACCGCTGAGAAGTGGGGTCTCATACCATAGATAAGGAACTAGCCGCCAGTACAGCTTTGTGGTTGTTTTCACCAAGTCAACTCTTGATTCTGAACTCCTAACGTGTTTTTCAGTGCAACTAAATCAGTCTAGCCATCATGCTTCCATCTGAAGACGTGATCGCACAAGCCTTCGTCTCCCAGCTTCCACTGGGACAATCCAGCTCATACGCGCCGGAAATCCAGAAGAAGGAACCATTTCCGGCCTGGAGTGTGATTGAAGACACCAAGAAGAAGGCTACTCGAGAGCTCGATCTTGCGAGCCAGAAGGCCCAAGCCAAAGCTGGCAAGATTGAACCTTGGACCCCCAAGTACTATGCGGCCTGTACTGTCGGCGGGCTACTTGCCTGCGGTCTGACCCACACCGCTGTGACCCCTTTGGACTTGATCAAGTGCCGCCGTCAAGTCGATCCTCTTCTCTACAAGAGCAATCTAGAGGCATTCCGAACAATTCGTGGCGCTGAAGGGCTGCGGGGAGTGTTCACTGGCTGGGGACCAACGTTCTTTGGTTACAGCGTAAGCATAGGAGTCAAGTAAATTCCCCTCCCCCCTTCTTACTAACGTGTTGAAAGGCCCAAGGTGCATTCAAGTATGGCGGGTATGAGTACTTCAAGAAGTTTTATAGTGACCTTGTTGGTATCGAAAACGCGACTCGTTGGAAAACATCCTTGTACCTGGCTGCCAGTGCGTCGGCAGAGCTTATCGCCGATGTAGCTCTCTGTCCTTTTGAAGCCGTCAAAGTGCGCATGCAGACGACCATTCCACCAGATATCCGGTCGACGTTCACTGGTATCTCCAACGTGGTCTCCAAGGAAGGTGTAGCCGGGTAAGCAGTATTAGCTAGCGTCTTGCGTCAGTCAAGTCGCCGGAAGACGGTCGCTAACCTACTCATACACAGTCTATACAAGGGCCTCTATCCCCTGTGGGGACGTCAGATTCCGTATACTATGATGAAGTTTGCGTCCTTTGAGACCATTGTCGAGATGATCTACAATTATCTCCCTGGTCAGAAGTCCGACTACAACAAGGGTGCACAGACTACAGTGGCCTTCACTGGTGGTTACCTGGCTGGTATCCTTTGCGCAGTTGTATCACACCCAGCCGACGTGATGGTCAGCAAGCTGAACGCCAATCGTCAGGCTGGCGAAGCCTTCGGTGCAGCGATGAGCCGCATCTATGGGGATATTGGGTTCCGGGGTCTCTGGAACGGTCTCCCCGTCCGTATTGTCATGATCGGCACTCTGGTAAGCATTCCCTCCTGCTTGATGATGGATGGTGACTGACAGCATATCATGAACAGACCGGACTCCAGTGGATGATGTATGTATTATCTCATGGCCTTTGACCGTCGTCATTTTCTCGAGACAAGAGCTAACCCGTATCAGTTACGATTCGTTCAAGATCTTCATGGGTCTGCCGACGACGGGTGGAGGACCTGCTGCGGAAAAGAAGTAGTGGTGAGGGTTCCATGGGTTGTTGTTCTGCTTCAAGTACATTCCTGATTCTCCACATACTGTAGTTCTGGGATAGGGCAATTAGTATTATCAATGTTGAGTATTCGTACACGATTATGTGTCTGGAACCGCACCGAGGCCGGTGATAAAAACAGGGGCAGGAGGGCACAACTAATCTGTGGCTTGCGGCCTTATCGGCGGACAAACCCGCTTTAGTCACGCATGGAACCAATCAACGCGGGGAGAGCATCTTATCAGCACTTCGACGTCATGGTGCGAGATATTGGAAGTAAATGCAACGATAATTTCGATAATCAGCCATTAGATGCAGCCCTTCAGGTAGGCCTGAGACTAGAAGAAGAGATTAAGCTTTCCATGACCCTTGAAACTCGGGCAGAGAGAGGCCTCTCGAACCGTCGCACTGGCGCTGTGGCTCAGCCGGGCAAGGTAAGGTACTAACTAGTAGTAAGTAGTAGTAGTCATTGCGACACGAGGCCTATATATTGTGACAACCTTATCCCGCCACCACATTTTGAGTCTGACATCAATCCTCTGTTCCGCAACATCGAACACTATTACTTAAGAGTAGCAACTCCTGCCAATTCCATAAATCACTTGCAACAGGTATGTCAATTCACCACTATTGATTGCGCCCGCCTGACATCACCAACCTGTCTTGCTCAACTATCGCATCGCATTTGCGCCATTCGCGCAATCACGCCAGAATTGGACTATACCTGAATTGAACCTAAACTAACCGCCCAACTTCAACCACCAGACCAGAATCCACCACCACCACCACGAACCACGACATTGAATCGGCGCAGCTTCCAGAACACCACAGAGAAATGGGTGAACACGATCCTATTGTATCACACGGCCGAGGAGGTGCGCATTGCCTAAACACCAACAACCCCCTTTCCACCTCCTAAGCCATCTCTTTCTCAATTGTCGAATTGAATGAAACCCGCCTTCCCTCCCATCCAGCATATGCCCCGCCTGGGTTATGCTAACATGCTGACCGTTCATAAACTAAAATCTCAGGCCAAGGCAACATCGGCGCCGACTCCACCGAGTGAGTAGTACACTCCCTTTTTATTCCCTTACACTTCAACCTCCCCAAAAAAAGGAAGAAAAAAGACCACCCCCCTGACTGCTATAACCATGCAGATACGTCGACGCCGCCATAGTTCGTGAAGGCATCTACGGCGACCAAGGCGACGGCGCCTACTCCGCCGGTGTAAGCCTCCTTCTCCTCCTCCCAAAGCTCCAACCATAACTAAACATTTGAAACAAAAGCGCGGCGGAGCAGGCAACATCGGCTCCCCACACGTGCGTCCCACTTCGAAAGTGCCCCACGACGCGGAAGTGATTCCGGAATTGGCGGTGCGACAATCCATTGATGGGGATTATCATACTGGGGTATGTTTTGACCTCTTCTCCCACCTTGCAGTTCTGGGGCGGTCGTGCCCGCCCGAACTAGAATTGAATGGCTGATCTCGCTATTTTTTCCTGCGAATTGCAGCGCGGTGGACAAGGTAACGTTCATCTCGATGAGGAGCACCGGAAGGAGAAGGAGAAGAAGCATCAGCATCGGCATGATCAGTATGAGGGGTTGGCGGATAAGTTGAAGTATAAGCTTTTTGGGCGGAAGTGATGGGGTTTTTTTTGGGGGCGGGTGGTGAGTGTTAATTGTCGGGGGACTGAATGAGTTGCGGAGGGGTATGCTGAAGTTTTAGGGAGGGGGGCTTTTCTTTGGCTGGATATGTTGTGATTTTTCTTGATTCCCTGGTTTGTTAGTACTTTTTTCATCGTTGAGCTCATAGAGAGATAATTTTATCCGGTTATACTGAGCATACCGCATCACGCATGTGCTTTCACCGTAAGTACAACTTACTGACTCTCCGAATCGACACGACGAAGACACCATTATTTGACTAGTAACGTTGCGGAACACAAAATGATTGGATTGGATCAAACCAACTTCTCGTCTCTTGTCCATTATGATAAAAAAAGGATCCGTAGATTCACCATTGGTATCGGGTTCAACGTCAGAATCAATTCGGAATGAAAAGAGGCACGGCGGGGGAGACGCCGTTCGAACAGCATGAAAAGAGAGTATAGCATTCCGTGTATCGTGGTCTCGTCAACCCATCAACCTCATGCGAAGGGAAAAAAGCAAAGTGAAAAGTTAATTACAAGAGAGAACTCGAAACATAACGAATACAAACCCACTCAAGACACCCTTTGACAACAAAACAATCCCATCCCGAGCAAAGTCTGGTCATTTGCTCAAAAGCAAAAAAACAGCAAAGGTCGAAGAGGAAGGAACGTGGTGGGAGGGAATTTCCGTTTGAACGCCGGTTTAGACTTTAGTACACCCAACCAAGTATGAAAAGAGATAAGCGAGAAGAAGATAGAGGGGGCGTGTGAGAAAAAGGAGGAGACAGGTGCGACCACCAGGATCGTCAACCAGAGGGAAATATTCAGTTCTTGCTGAAGCGGCGTTTGAACCAGCTCTTTCGCTTCGAATCGTTGCTCATCTCGGAATCGTTTGTCGCTTTGCGCAAATGACGACGGTTGTTCGCAGCCGTGGGCGGTGGACCACCTCCAACAGGACCTCCAGCGTTGGGATCAATCGCCGAAGGATTGCTGCTGCCAAAGTTGATGCGTCCTCCAGCTGCGGGCTGGCCACCTTCGAGGTTTGGCCCCGCACCGAAGCCCTGAAACCCGACGCTCTCGGCCATTTGCTGCTGCTGATATTGTTGTTGTTGTTGCTGCTGCTGGAACTGATCCATTGAGCTGTTCACCGAACTCGGGTCCGTTGAATTTCCCCAAGCCTCGCCGTTGCTGCCAGACCCTGAGCCAGATGCAGCTGTCACGTTATCATACGATTTCTGGTAAGCGTGCTGCGAATATCCGTTCTGTTCGGTGTTCATCCGTGTTTGGCGTGGTGGTCGCGGTCGGCCGCTGCCGCCGCCCTGATTGTAGGGGTAGTAGTTGTCTGCCTGCCCGTTGCCATTCTCGACGTAGCTGTCGGGTCGCGAGTAGGTGCCACGGCCGTTGGGGTAGCCATTCTGATCGTGATGAGCTCTGCTGGAATGACCTCCGTTGGGCGCTGCGGTGAATCCTGAAATTAGCACAGTGAAACTTTGCCATTGACAGCCCAGCAATGACGATGCGAGATGCATGCCTCCTGGAAGGTGAGGGGAGCGAGCAGTACCTCCATAATAGCTTCCCCGTCGGCTGTACTCTGGCGTTGCGGGTGTTGATTCCTCTGCTGGAGATAGTTAATTTGCCGCCGGAATCAACCTGCCGGAGTAAGGGGGCTTGAACTCACCTGTCCTTGCGTACGAAACAGGTCTACTGCTGTATGTTCCATATATCGCAGCTTCAAAGGAACGGATGGTATCGAGCGGGCGCTCAAATCGCGGGCGCGTCGGATTGGAAAGGTCGGGATCAGCTATTCAGAAACGAGTAGATACGGTCAGTCAAAAGGGTCCCCGCCGGAATGAACGGTGTTGTAAATCGGCAAACGTACTAATGATATTGCCGTACTGGTCCTTGTGCTGCATGGTGCGCAAGGAACCCAGCGTGGACTGCTCGAGGGCAACCGTGTCTGGAGAACATAGTCAGTCGGGAGAGTTGCGCAAAGCCATCCGAGCGGCGCATTGAGTTGAGGAGAGGTGGAGTAAACAAGCTGGGATAGAACGACAGGAAGAAACAAACAGGAAAAGTATTGCGATAAGGGGAAATTCCGGGTAAAAACGTACTAGGTTGCGCTTCGCTCATAGCGACCATCGGATCGGCTTTGGTATGTAGATGACGGCGGTGCTTCTCGTCGGCGGATTCAGTGAGTTGGATTTTCTTGCTGGAATGGCCCGACTGTCCAGATTTATTGGACTTTCCACTAAAACTGTAGCCTCGACTATGCCTGGGAGGCGCGACCGGCTGGGAGGAGGCCATGGTTATTTATCGTCGGGGACGACTGCTTAGCGCCTGATAACCAACAACTGCAGCAGGTTTTCGCAGCGCGCTGTCTTAGCTATGGCGGCCGTTGTGGAGCGCAAGCACGATCCAGGTGGGAACTGCCAAGGAATGGAGGATGATCGCTGGCTGTGATTTCTGTGAGTCTCGGGCCTGTTCAATCGCGGTTTCAGAGCTGCACGACTCAGTTCAGCCAACGAGAGGAGCGAGCGAGCGAAACGTGGGGTATCAAGACCACTTTTTTTTGTTTTGATGTCTGCGGTGCGGAGAGAATCGAACTTCTAATCACGTTCTCGAATGACTCAGGAGCAAGTCTTAATAGCGTCAACGAGCGAAGTGGTGGGGATCGTCGTTTTTAGAGCTCGCAATGAAAGTACGGATTTCAAGTTTCAAGTATCAAAGACTCCACGGACAGGACAATGGATGACTCCTGCAAAGTGATGGGATGGTCCGAGCAGAAAGACGAGCGATTGTGGTCGTCACACCGCGATCGACAGTAGGCAAAAATGACGCCGGGTGCCAAAGTAGTGCGCTGTAGTTTGGTCTTGGAAGGTGAATATTAGAGGGTGTTATATGGTGTTATATGCAGGTTTTGAAGGGGGAGGACTCTCGCGAGGCAATCACACGAATGTCAACAGAGAAACTTATGAAAGAGAAAACAAATCAAAAGCCGAGGGTCACTGAGGGTATTTGACCTACTTGAGAATCGGCCAGTGGTGTTGACGACAGGCGCCACGCAATTAAGAGGGGATCACTTCTAGGATCCGATGGATGAGTGAATTGAGACTCTGCCTATCAGATGGCCGAGAGGACCACTAAAGAGGATCACCGGATCTTCTTTTTCCTTCTTTACAATGCCTGTCTGTCTCCAACACTCTATTAATATTCACTACGGAGTACTCAGATGTGGGTGGTGGGCTCAGCGGGTGGTGAGATCGATATTTTGTGGGATAACTTGAATTATTTCACAATTAATGATGCACAAATGCATCTCTCTCTCTCTCTCTTATCTACCCCGGAAAGCTTCCCTTGACTAGGTGTCCACCACCATCATTATTACCACTTCTATTGTTCTTCCCATTGACCATCTGTTCAGCTTTCATCTTTGAACTCACTGACCACAGTCTACCGTGCCTGTCTCTGGCTTCTTGCACACTTACTCCATCGCCTCCATCGCCAACATTGGCCCGGTAAAAGAAAGACGAGGCCCAGCGTGGGTTTGGGATTGAACTTATCCTTGGAACCATCGGATATCTTCAACAAACCAGGAAGAACCGGATCCCAGACCAAGTCTTACGCAGCTTTTTCCCTCGCCTGGTTCACAGCCGGCCAATCACTTGGGGAGAGAACAGCCCAGCCACTGTCTGCCACTGTATGGAAGAGTCTCGTTGGCTCGAGATTCATGCACTGGCACTGGCACCATGTGTCACCGTAATTCCCACCCCCCAGGGACGAACCTGGTCCAGTTCATCACACTTTATCATAATTGTAAATGCAGACAGACAACGGAGTACTCCCTACAATCGCTGTCTCTCTTGCCGCCTGATCGACCCCTGCCCGTACGTGCACATCAGCAAAGCCGAATCCAGTCAGTCACTGATTCTAGACTGTCGGCAGTAAGCAGATCGTCTGCTGTCGACATCATACTGACTCAAATTTGAGGGTTTCCCTCTCTGTCTCTCTCTCTCTCTCTCATTTTCCACACGAACCACTTGGTCTTTTTCTCTCTCAGATGGTTTTTCCGACCATGTTTTATTTTTGGTCGGGACGGCGGCCACGCTTAGCCTTTTTGTTCCTTAGTGGGCTGGCGTATTCCGTATGCGATACGACGGACGAAGCAGGTCTTGAATGCTTGCAGTGCAGAGAAATCTTTATCCATCCACACCGTTATCAACTAAACTAATTTGAGGAACGTGCACAGCGGATTGTAGCTACTGGGATCCGCAGGCTTCCAATTGGTTTGTTAGGAGCACTAGGAATATGTCTGCCTGTCGCCGTCGCCGTCTCAGTGGATCGGGAAGATGCTGCAGCTCGACCACAGTACGACAGCACTTCACAACCACTCAGTCAATGTGTACTACCCATACCTACGACTATTCTGAGACAACGCCACACGTATCAACCCCTTTGAATTGGTGGTTCTTGGACAGCATTGATTAATTGGACCTATCTTCAGGGATATTGTAATATTAAGTATGGAGTCCTCTGTGGTTTGTGAGTGAGGTTCAAGTTATATCGGTCCCCAGTAGAAGGAGAAAACTCTTACGCCTGGGAAAAGACGAAAGCGACATCAAGGCATGAAAGCCCAAGCAAGGTCGAACTAAGACATCCGGCCCCGTTATAACCTTTCTTTGAGAAACCTATAGCATACTAATGAGCCCTACTGACATACATACCTACTGTAGGTAAAGAATGGATCCTTCCAGAATGGATTGCTCCTCGCCAGCAACCCAGCCCAAGCCGCGCGGGTGACGAGATCGTGCCGATCCCCATCATTTCTTCGGCGGCAGTGGGTCACGCTGGGGCGGGGATGGCGCCTACTTTATTTTCTTATCAAACTCGACATCAAATCAACGCTCTCTGCAAGGAGCCTTTCATTCCAGAACCGTCCTCTCAGCCCTGGTTACTTGGCAATCGCATTGATCATGGCTATATGGTGCCGATGTGATTTTGCAGCTGTAGATCGACACCATCCGCAACGCGTGAGATTGGTGCATGCTGGGCAGTAGTCAACATATATATGCTTACTGTAGGGCCTACCGTAATGATAAGTATGTCCACTAGTATTTTCGATTGTCTTTCATGTCACAATCAATCTGCCGCTTTCCCAACCTTGATTTGAAGTACAATTCATTATCTCATCGTCATTTAGCCATGGACCATGGAAGATGCGACAAGCGGCCCTCCCGAGGAGATCCACAATCCATCAAGCTGGCAGTTCCCCAAAGATGGCTTCGTTGATCCATTATGCAGTGGTTTGATTGGAATTAGACCGACCCGTAACTGCACGACTTGTATTGCCAAGCTTAATTGCGACGCTCTGAAACTGGGCGTACTCAGTCCATCACATATATACCCCTTCCTGATCCCGGCTAAGGAACCTCGAACTTAAGCATATCAGCGGTGATATTCCTTCTCATCACTATCCGGCAGCGAAGAACCTACCGATCTTGGCTTCTAGTCGTCTTCATCGCCCTCAGATTTGGTACTCCAAAAGATGTAAGCAACGCATTCTTGACCTTGATCCTGACCAAGACAGAGACCGCAAACCGCACCAGCCCAACTCCAGGCTAGGAAGATTCCTTTCCGTGGATCCAACCCATCTATGATCTATGCGAGACAATTAAGCCCCTGTGTAGAACTAGAGGAGAGTCTATAGGTAGCTCCCTCGTTTACAATGACAGGCCGACCAGCGAACATGTAAAAACCCTTGTCATTTCCTCAGCTGCACTGCCATCAACACGGAAGGTCACAGAGACGTGAAGTCAGGGAAGGCGATGAGCGGTTGTTGTTGAATGAGCCCAGAGAAGACTTGACGGAAGCGAATTCATGTAGCGCACCGATCAATTCAAGCAGGAGGAAGTGACGAACTATGTTCTGTTCTCTTGAGGTAATATATACGCCGGTGGATTACCAGCTTTTTCATTGAGGGACATTGATTTAGCCGGTAAAGCAAAGTAAGGAGATTATCCTGGCCCCGACTTCTCCTTGCGGCGATCTAGCTGGAAACACCCCAGTCTTCATCGTGAAGGTAATGGGATATAATGAGGGGATATCTGTGATACCTAGGGTACGGGACACAAGGATATCGCATATACAATGAAAGCGCCATGGGGTAGTGGTTGAGAAGGAACATTCCTCGTCAGTAAGGTATGAGCGGCTCGTAGTATGTATCTAAGGTCTGATGGAAACAACATTGAACATCCTGCCAAAGTGAGTTCATTCACGGAGGTAAGCCCAGAGAGTAACTGTATGGTTATAGGAGTCCACATGCTAGTTTGTTTGCTGCCGATAGCTGCTAATCGTTTATCGCAATTCTTATGAGGAGATACAAGGGTGCGCTGTGCAACAGAGGATTGTAAAGGAGTAAACTCACAAGGATTACGGGGGTGGAGGGATAGGAATATCAAGCACTAAGGTCCTCTCTCAGATAGGCATGAATCCTACTCTTGATCAAGGCGATGGCGGACGAGCGACTGAGAGCTGAGTCCCGGTCCGTCAAGGGTCAAATCAATACTCTACGCGTGGAGGAAGCGCACGAGCTGCTACTGACAGCTGCTGCAAAACATGCGACAGCATATCCGATTTATACTCCACAGGAATCGGTCGAGCGCGTGGTTCTCATGGATCACTCCAGGGCCGAGGCCAAACGAGTTCATCTGCGTAAGTTGACTGGAAGGCAGTTTATTGGCATGTGGGCTGGAATTAGAGCTTGTCGGTCATTGTTGCGCATGGGTCGATCGGTGCCGCACGAATATTGGATGTGGCGGCACATGTTTAAATCGAAGCCTAGTTCGTAGCTCTCCGTAAGGCAAAACCGCCGTGTCTGTTCTCCAATAAAAAAATACCCGATACGGTCAAACTACCCGCATATATGCTTGAAATTCAGGATCCGTGGTGTTGAAATGGTATGGATTGTGTTGTTTATGAGCGTCAGGTACATGGGTGTGGGGGAAAGCCATGCTATCGGCCAAGGCACATCAAGAGCTCCCCAGTACCGAAACTGGAGGAAGCCTCTCGTCTAAATGCCAATGGTCCGACAAATCACCATGCTGGAAAAAGAAGAAAGAAGTTCTTTTAATTTAGATTCGTAGGGCTAACCGGCCCTGCCTCTCCCACGAACATTACCAACCCGCCAACTCCATCTCAACATCGGCTCATACCGTCGACTCCTTGCCCGACTGTCTGCGCGAAATAAGATCCGGAGTGCCAACCATCATATCAAAAAAGGGGCGTCATTTAGATGTTGGAGGGGTAGAGCATAACACGGACGGTGGCGCCGAGGGACTTGGGGGGGAGGTTGTGGCGGAACTGAGCGCGGACGACACCGGAGTTTCCTGTTCATTGAACCATTGTTAGTGGCCTCGTCCCTGACACCGCGGCAGCACCGCACTTCTCGCTGCGCATGTATCGATTGTCGTCCTCTTCGCGGATGCTGGTGTTGCGTTGCACGTACCGTGAGGGCGGGTGACCTTGCCCCAGATGACCCGGATGTTGGAGCCACGGACCTCACGCTTAGCCCGGTAGACGAAAGCGACCTTCTTGCCGAGGTAGAAGCTGTAGGTAATCGTCTTAGCGGCCTGTTCTCATGATCCCGGTTTAATCCCAGCCTCTACTCACTTGGCAGCCTCGGTGTTGGTAACACCGTCGATCTGGATCAGACTATATTTCCCACAGTGTCAGACTCCCGTTCTTCCCATGTTGAATATTCCGGCGAGTGGATCGGTACCTGGTGTTGCAGTTGACAGCACGCTTGGAGCGCTGGAAGCTCAGGTGGCGACCCCTAGAAAAGAAATTCGTATTAACCCCGACTGCCCTGATCGTGTCCCATCGCGCTTCGACCCGTAACATAATCCTTGACATGAATTCAACCCTTTCGATGTATCCGGACCGATTGCGCGTTTCGACGGTTGAACGATTTGTGCTAGCAACTTACTTGACGTAGACTGATTGTCGCAAAAGGTCATGTTAGCATTCGGTCTTCTCCAAACGAGCCTCCCTTGTCCGCGCTCTGCCATATGCCGACTTCATATTCCCCATATCACAACAGTGTGGCGGCACCATATCAAAAAGACCGGAGAGATGGACTCACGTCTGTTACCGTTTTCCGAAGGCATTCTGGCGGCGTTTCTCTGAGCAACAGCGGGCAACGCAAACGAAGTCGAAGGAAGGCAGAAATGACCCGCAAAAAGTCGTCCGGGTTGTCGTGGTTGTCGTCGCTTCAATCGGTTACGGGACGACGCACAAGGCCACAATTTGCGAGGTGTGTTCGGTGCGGCTCGCCCTAACCCCAATTGGGACGCTTAGCGAGCTGAACCGCCCAGGGCAAGACGAAGTCCCGTGATGATGGGGAAGATTGGGACGAGATCAAAAGTGCCAAGCCATGGGTAGCACACTAGCCCTGTTGTGGAAGTGATCCGGATTAACTACTTTCTCCAGGATCCGACCCGTATCGACTTTCTGCCCCCATCGTCATCATTTATTATTATCATGATCAGTTTGACATTCCTTCAAACTTCCGCCCTCCCCACCCGGTTATTTTGCCGCCGGCCTACTGTGGTCCGAAGACCTGCCCCTCCCCCTCGAGAGGCTTCCGCTGGTTGATACTCCGTATAGCGGAGGAAGCTCTAGCCTCCGTAGAGCGTCCGGACTCCCAAGCTGACAAAACAGTTTTGCTGCATTCTTTCCCCCGGTGACGGCAACTGACCCCATCAAATCCCATCACAGAGAGGTTGAGCGATTCGGACATAGGCATGTAACCCGCACTTGCATCCCCAACCTGCAGGGAGGAGCAGCAGCAGCAGCAGCAGCAGCAGCCTCTTTTGGAGTTTCAGCATGCATGAGCTTATCTCCTTGATTCTCCAACAAGGTCCTTTGAGAATTTCAAGAAAAGGTCGCGACGACTAGTCTCTTCCTCTGGACCTTTAGCATAGCTTTATTATCTGCTGCTGCCAGGGTAGCGCAACAACTGTACCGGGTGGATTGGATGCATGGGCCTATGAGGGTATGCGGACTTAAAACGGGGATGATGACTTCCTCCAAACTGATCAGACCGGGACACTCATTTGGAAATAAAGCGTACCTTAGCCCCACCAGGAATCGGCAACGAACCTGACATGATGTCCTTCCCCTTCCAAGCACGCCATTACAGCATTCAATATGCTTGCCCTGAGTGTCAACACTTTAAAAACCCTCAGCGTATACCGAGAAAGCATGTGCAACAAGAGGCATGGCAGAAACTGGAGTATGTGGTTCAATAGTGAAGCTGGAACACCACGACGATTGAACTAGATTTCATAGTAGGTGTGATAGGGAGCATAATACTCCGCAAGCCTGACTCGGCATCGTTAGTACCATCTCCGGACTCGACTGGGCCGAAAGTTCGGTTTGATTCACTGCTTCTTCTGCACTACGCCCATTTCACGGGAAAATTAAATCCGTATCAGCCTTTCCTGGATGACAAATTCGCCGATCTGAACCCCACGGTGCTGGTCACCGGAGACGCTCATTCAGGAGTCTCTCACAATCTCCCGTCACTTGCTCTACTACAGCCCCGGACAGCCAATGATCCTTCGCGGCAGCTTCTGGCGCGATCTATACGGGCTGCGTTTGTGGAATAGCCTGAACATCGGTTCAATGCCACGAGTATCATTCTGCTTATCGGGACAGTGCTGAAAATTGGTTGAATATCTTACTAGTATGTAAAATCGGGACTGAAATCAAAATGAAAATGAGGGGCAAACGCAAGCTTTATGTAGACGGGATTCTGTCGATTGTATTCCTGCGTCTTGTTTTTACTGGACGAGATTGTCACGATCTTGTCCTGCAGTGGGATGCGATGGGTCAAATCCAATTCAAAATCCATCGCTTTTTATGTCGAAACAGGCAGGTCACTACCAACTACTGAAGCTGACCCGCATGGTTGAAAGCTCCATCTCACGCAGTGCCTAGCGGATATACATCCCATATACGACGAATTCCCGGAGGGTGCCATCATAACCAATACTTTGCCCTCAACACGAAGTACGAGTAAGAACAAAGAACCATGATAGATCGCAGGTGAAGAGGGTCGGACGAACTATGAATCCTGGCCAAAGCGGGGTGTACCGCAAGTGACTGGAAGATGACATTGTATGCGAGCATCATCCATTTTCAGTGGAGAGGTCAATTGTTCCCCAGATTCAACCGAATGGGCTGAGAGCCAGGGTGGCTTTTCTTTACCATGAGGAGAATTGGGATAGTGCTGATGGGTCTTCTGAGCGGAACGGTCGGGAGTCTTCATTTTAAAGATAGTATCAATTATCAGCTTTGGGGGTAGTTATGTTGCTGTTAGTTACCAAGCAATGATATAATCTCCTAGAGTCATTGCCACAAGGTGGGAACTGGACCGGAGCGAATGGTTTGCTGGAACAGAGGGAATGAATCAACTATAACTATAAAGCGGACAGAAGTTCCATCTCCAAAAGCGATTTCTCGTTTCAACCGAAAGTACATGTAAGACGGAAGGATCCATTGTTGAGGAGAGGAGAATAATCAATCAATCCGAAATACGCGTTTACCTTACAGTTCGGCCTTTGACTTCAGTTACAGCTTTTCTTTCCCTTTCGCTCACCCTCACGGGGTCCCGCGGCAGCATCGACGTAGTGGAAAGCACCAGTGCCCCACCCGGGCTCAATTGCTTGCGCCCGCCCACCTGTTGCGCTTGTTCCAGCAAGCAGCAAAGCAGCAGAGCAGCAGAAGAGAAAGAGAGCAGCTCCCCCTCCGGCCATCGCGCTCTTAAAAACTACTTGCTCCGCCGGAATTGTTGGGAAATTTCCATTAAACCCTTTGAATCTGCTCTCCTACTTCTCTCCTCTCTCTTTTCTTCTATTGTGATTCTAACTGCTCTTCTTACTACTACCTACCCTTCTTATACTCTCCCAATTCCATATCCAACTACCCCTCCCACCCAAAAGAAATAATGGCCAGCACGATAGAGGAACGTCAGAGCGCTGGGTGAGTTTAGTAGTAGTTTGCGACCATTCCCTCACTGACATCACACCCCTTCCTCTCTTCCCCTCCTCTTCCTCCTCTTCTTCCTCCATTTCACATCATTCATCATTGCCCACCGCCCCAAACTGCCACTGCTACGTGAACTTCAAATCTACCACCCACTTCTTACCCGGGCCGGTCGCCAAACACTTTCCCCTCCCCTCAATTCCGTGCTCATCTTTCCTGCCAATTCGTGGTCAGGACAGACAGAAAATCGCCCCGCCGATTCACCTCTTCCACTGTTGATTTTCTGCCGTTTCCGCATCCCCTCCAGATTCCCAGATCGGCATACATCAAATCCCTGCAGCCATCAGTCAATCCCTGCCGACTCTAGAGAAGCTAATATGGATTTCCAACGCAGCACCGCCGAACTCAAAGATGACACCGTCATCGTAGTACTAGGCGCATCGGGAGATCTTGCTAAGAAGAAGACTGTGAGTCACCCTCAGGAGGAAGCAAGCAAAACGGTAAATGTGGGAAAGATGGATTCCAAGCTAACAATTGCCTCAGTTCCCCGCGCTCTTCGGCCTCGTATGTCTCCGATAACGCCCCGATGGTAGTCTCGAGGTTGATCGCAAATACTGACTGCGCCTGTAGTACCGTAACAAGTTTCTGCCCAAGGGCATCAAGATCGTCGGCTATGCCCGGACGAACATGGATCACGAGGAATACCTGAGACGTGTGCGCTCATACATCAAGACCCCCACCAAGGAGATCGAAGAGCAACTGGATAGCTTCTGCCAGTTCTGCAGCTACATCTCCGGCCAGTACGACAAGGATGACTCGTTCATCAACCTCAACAAGCACCTCGAGGAGGTTGAGAAGGGTCAGAAGGAGCAGAACAGAATCTTCTACATGGCACTTCCCCCCAGTGTCTTCACCACTGTTTCCGATCAGCTGAAGCGCAACTGCTACCCTAAGAACGGTGTTGCTCGCATCATCGTGAGTCATCTCCGTCACAAAATGAGTCGAAAAACCAGAAACTTATACCTTCCGTTCGTACCATAGGTCGAGAAGCCCTTCGGCAAGGATCTTCAGAGCTCGCGCGACCTCCAGAAAGCCCTCGACCCCAACTGGAAGGAGGATGAGATCTTCCGTATCGACCACTACTTGGGTAAGGAGATGGTCAAGAACATCCTCATCATGCGCTTCGGAAACGAATTCTTCAACGCCACCTGGAACCGTCACCACATCGATAACGTTCAGGTAAGATCTCTGGCGGTTTCTCGAGCTCTGGTCACTCGCTAAGATACTCTTCGCGGCATAGATCACATTCAAGGAGCCCTTTGGTACTGAGGGTCGTGGTGGTTACTTTGATGAATTCGGTATTATTCGTGATGTCATGCAGAACCACCTTCTGCAGGTCCTGACCCTACTCGCCATGGAGCGCCCCATCTCCTTCTCCGCGGAGGATATCCGTGACGAGAAGGTAAGCGTTGGCTCTAAGATGCATTCTTTGGGAGATCATGACTGACTAAACTTCTCAGGTCCGTGTTCTCCGTGCAATGGACGCCATTGAGCCCAAGAACGTTATTATCGGTCAGTACGGAAAGTCGCTGGACGGCAGCAAGCCCGCCTACAAGGAGGATGAGACTGTTCCCCAGGACTCTCGCTGCCCCACCTTCTGCGCCATGGTGGCCTACATCAAGAACGAGAGATGGGACGGTGTTCCTTTCATTCTGAAGGCCGGAAAAGGTACGCGCATCTTGTTGTCGGAGCCTGAATCGCTATATTGACCCCTTGCAGCCTTGAACGAGCAGAAGACCGAGATCCGCATCCAGTTCCGTGACGTCACGTCTGGTATCTTCAAGGACATTCCCCGCAACGAGCTCGTTATTCGTGTCCAGCCCAACGAGTCCGTTTACATCAAGATGAACTCTAAGCTGCCTGGTCTGTCTATGCAGACCGTGGTGACTGAGCTCGACCTCACCTACCGCCGCCGCTTCTCCGACCTCAAGATTCCCGAGGCCTACGAATCCTTGATTCTCGACGCCCTGAAGGGTGACCACTCCAACTTTGTCCGTGATGATGAGCTGGATGCTAGCTGGAGAATCTTCACCCCTCTTTTGCACTACCTTGACGACAACAAGGAGATCATCCCCATGGAGTACCCCTACGGTATGTGTCCACATGAAATCAGCCAATCCTCCTGGGTGACTACTGACAATTGAGACAGGATCCCGTGGACCCGCCGTCCTGGATGACTTCACGGCGTCTTTCGGCTACAAGTTCAGCGATGCCGCTGGTTATCAGTGGCCTTTGACCTCCACCCCCAACCGGTTGTAATTAATGACATAGCCTAAGGACCCCCTGAGGTTAAAATCGGGGCATGACGAATGAAGAAGCAAAATGTCAGATTAAGTTATGAAAAAAAATGTTAATGCTACGGGGGCGAGATCTATGGCAAGACCGGACATGTGGGTTGATATTGGCAGGAAAGCGAGCCAACGGTAGTGTTCATCGGTCGGACGGGCAATGACTGGAGTTAGTGTTTACACCCCTGTTTTCTTTCCTTAGAAATGAATGCAGAGCACGTTACGAATGACATGAGTGAGGCCATGGTGTGCGAGATCCAGTAGAATAGGTAGCTTTGCATCCGGCGGGCTGTCACAGAACGGCAGGATTTGCCGGAATCAGCGGGCGACATTCCCAGGTAAATGGCCGCGACCCATCAAAGATCTAGAATCTCACCACCCTCTTAGGCATCTCTGATTGGCAAGTAGACCGCATGCCATGCTTCGGACGAATGAGTTGGGCTGCGGCAAGGGAGGCTGACTGAGATCGAACAGTTCCCGAGATGATTCTCAGATGGACCCTAGGACAAGCGAAGAGAAATCCCCACTATAGAGTGAGGATCACAATTTCAAGCAGCTGTCAATCGCCATGACCGTTCGAGCCCTTGTCCCAAGAGGGTTAGGGGCTAGAATGTTCGCGTAGGCACAGAGGCTGGTATTCAGGGACGACCAAGGGGTTGGTTGGTGGGTGGAGAGGAAAATGCAATGACTTCGGAGAAGAATCCTTCAATCGCAGGTCGCGTGTCTTGATCTGGACCAGTTCGCAATTGAATATATGAATAGTAGCAGTAGTGGGTCTCTTCTCCTCTTTGGCGGCCGATAAGACCACAACGACGGGCCGGGGGCCCGCATGCGTCGTCGTTCCTCTTGTACCTCTTGTTCCTTTTTGTTCCTGTTGTGCCCGCCCTGTTTTGCGCCGCGCCGCCCTCTTTCCTGCGCTTCACAGCCCCCCGACCTTCGTCTTTCTCTCGCCTTCTTCTTTTCCATTCTTCTTTTCTCTTCTTCCTGCTCATTCAACTACACCTAGTGCCCTTCCCAACGAGTGGAGACCATTGACGCCATATCGCGCATCAGACCACGGCCCTCTATTCCCCGCAGCTATACTTACAAAGTTTACTGCTGCTGCCTTTTTTGCTTACCGGAAACTCCGCAACTCTTTCGGCTATTTTCGAATTGACCACGGTCCGTGCAATAAAACCAATCTCATTCCTCCCAACACTGGTTTTTTCCGTTCGATCTTAAGTCTCGGAGCTGGTTCCAAGTCATTGCTCTAGCGTTCGACTGCATACCTCTACCTCACGCGACAGGCGACATTGGTGGATCGTCATCGGAATTGGGTTGGCTCGATATCAGGCACGGAGAAGTGGGCGACCCAACGCCAGTTCATGGAAAGCACTACAAAGCGGGTGAACCCAAGGGACAAGTGCATGCGCGCGCATTCAATTAGGTCGCAGAATGCCACAAGCTGCAAGATGGGTGGGCTCCCCCTCCATTCGAGGTCGAAGAGAATGGGTGCGGATGGTGCTTTTGACTTTCAGTCTGTTGGGCTTACAGTGAGTCTTGGCTGCCCTGAAAACTTTCCTCGGAGCTTCTCTCTGCTGTAGCCTTAGCGGCGGAAACTGGGAATATAGCAATATACTAACTTGCTTCTTGTCACTTGCAGATTCACATGGGGCATTGAGATGACTTGTACGTGTTGGTCCCGTCTACGATAGCCCCCGCAAGCGTTTCTGATTGTTCGCGCGACCTAGATTGCACTCCATATCTACTTCAGCTCGGTCTCACCAAATCCAAGACGTCTCTGGTCTGGATCGCCGGTCCTCTTTCCGGCCTGATAATACAACCGCTCATTGGTGTGATTGCTGATCGGTCTCGCTCAAAATGGGGCCGTCGCAGACCATTCATGATTGTGGGGTCTGTGGTCGTCGCAATGTGTCTGTTGTTGTTGGGATGGACCACGGAGATTGTTAGGATGTTTGTCAAAGACACCGAGAAGGTAATTTATTTGAATTCATTTCTGGCTCGTCGTTCGATGGCTGATTCTATCTTAGGCCAAGGGCACCACGATTGCCATCGCCGTCCTGAGCATTTACGCAGTGGATTTCGCGATCAATGTCGGTACGTACGAACAGAGCCCTTCATTGAGTTTGCCCGGTCTCATCTCCATTCAGTACAAGCGTGTTGTCGTAGCTTGATAGTCGATACGTTGCCGATCCCTCTTCAGCAAACTGGTTCAGCATGGGGTATGTCTCTCCTCCTTCCTTGCAGCCGTAGAGCCGGGAACTAAAGGCGTACAGCGACCCGGATGACGGCTATTGGACAGCTCATTGGCTATGTGATCGGTTCTATCGACACGGTTAAGATCTTTGGCACTGCTTTTGGCGACACGCAATTCAAGCAGATGACCGTCATTGCCGCATTGTCTTTGATAGCAGCAGTGTCTGTTACATCCTACGCAGTGAAGGAGAGAGTCCTGATCACAGCAAGGTAAACTGAACAGCGCAAGGTCTTTATACATATATACATTGACTGATCTCCAATATCAGGGACTCGGATGATAAGGCCGGAGCGCTGCAGGTCATCTCCCAATTGTGGAAGACCACGATGGAGCTCCCACCACGCATCCAGGCCATCTGCTGGGCCCAATTCTGGGCCTGGATCGGTATGACACACACTGCCTTCGACTATGAAGAAGCTATTCTGACGGGGCATCGATAGGCTGGTTTCCGTTTCTGTTCTACAGCACGACATGGGTTGGTGAGACGTACTTCCGATACGAAGTTCCCGAAGATGCGGTACGCCCAAGCGACATGCTAGGAGAAGTGGGTCGAGTCGGCAGTTCGTCGCTCGTTGTCTTCTCATCCATCACACTCTTTGGTGCTATACTCCTGCCGTTTTGCGTTCAGCCACCAGACAACAAACGGCCTCGGTTCACCCCGCGACCACCTCCTGGAATCGCCTCGCTACTCAAGAAGGTCCCCAGCGTCCGTCCGGATTTGCAGACAACGTGGTTGATCTCGCACATTATGTTCGCAGCTACCATGGTTTTTGCACCATTGGCACGGTCGCGCGCTTTTGCTACATTCCTCGTCGCTCTCTGCGGTATCCCGTGGGCCATCAGCTGCTGGGCACCCTTCGCCTTCATGGGTGTTGAGATCAACAAACTAGCCATGAACCCCTCGCCATCATCACGAGTAACCATGATCACCTCTTCCAGCATCCTCTCGGGCGGCTACGGCGATCGAACAGCCACGGACACGGACCTGGATGTTCTTCGGCTCAACCACCACGACTCGGACAGTGACAGCGACGTGGAGGATGGCGGTTCCAGTGTTCCATCAACTGGTGAACTCGCGGGCATCTATCTCGGCGTGTTGAATGTCTACACAACCCTTCCCCAATTTGTGGGCACCTTCATCAGCTGGATCGTGTTCAGTATCTTCGAACCGGGCAGCACCAAGCGTGACGACACCGCGCAGGAATCATCTCAGTGGATGAATCTTGACAAAAGCAGACCAAACGCTATCTCAATTTGTTTATTCATCGGCGCTATCAGCGCCCTGGTGGCTGTAGAGGCCACACGACGGATGCGTCACGTCGCATGATCGTACCATGGGTGCTCGTGATGCTCGTGGGCATCAGTCCTCGCAGGTTTTCCCTGCGTTGGAGAGCCTCCCAGGAACTCCCATCACGAGCATATCGATAATGCGAGCCACTAAATGTACAGAGACCTTTACGACTCGGGCGTCATTTCTGAAACATACGACCTCAATTTATTTTAATACCCCCTAATGCATATTTTGATTCTTTCGTGACGTTCTCAAGCCAAAAGAACAAAACGCAAGCAGCCCCAGCACTGCACTGCACTGCACTGCACGGGCTTGTCCCACAGTTTTCGCATCGGTTGGATTGATACATACGCAACTATCTACATGCTTGTTTATCTTGCCTTCTTCCTCCCACAGACCCTCCACTTGCCTAGACCATATTCACGCATTCATATACCGCGGCATAGGGGGATCATCTACATGAATTCTCTTTTTCTCCCTCTTTCTTTTTACACCGATATACCTCATGTGCATGTCCTTCAGACTCAGAAATATCCCGACACCTTGGAGATTTGTAATAAATACTTTTTCCTTCTGATTCAATTTCCATTTACCTGAAGATCAATCACTAGATTTGTGGTGTGTTTTTCATTATTCTTCTTTCATTTTAAACAAGTTTAGGTTGTTGTTGCGAATCTAGTAGTGCCTTCAAGCGGTAGATATGCATTGACACCACATTATGTTCGGTCAGATAACGCCCTAATCCGTCCTGGATTAAATATGATACAGACCCAGACAGACGTAATGTACATACATAGTAGTATTACTACCTGATACCTACCTATTTAGGTACTCCGTAGTGCTTCCGGAAGAAGAAACAGCGATCCTGATGCGTACTCCCGAAACCACATGACTCCCTATCATCTTATATTATATGGTACTCAATCTACAGCTCAGAAAGGACGAAAGCAGTCCCAAACAGCCCCGAGGATTAGTAATACTGTAAGTCTGACTGAAAGATATGTCAATTACATCACAGCCTGTTTCAAGTACAGTTCCCTGACGAGACAACCCAGACTAGACGGGAAGAGTCAAAGAAGAAGAAGACAATGTGCCGATAGCCCTGGGGGTATGGATGTATGTAGGAGTGACAAAAATACATTAGATAAGGTAAAAGGGTGGTGGGTGGTGGGTGGTGGGTGTCTGGTGGTATGTAACAAACAGGGTAGGAGCAAATCACAGCAGATGCGCGGCGAGGTATATGTGCGGGGAAAGACAGCAGCCAAAATCAAGACAAACAGTCGCAGGAAAAGATTAGGGACCGGAAAGCATAGCATATCACATCTTTTGAAATTCTCGATTGGCGGCATTAAGGCTGAGTGGCGGCTTGCATGTTGCCGGTCAGCTCGGCTACTCTGGCCTTGATGCGAGCAGCGCGGGTTTCGAAACCTGCACGCAAGAACGAAGGATGTTAGAGAGGTGTTCTGGGTGGGTAGATTTCTAGAAGAATGAAGTCACTTACTCTCTTCTTCGCTCGTATTATCGTCACTGGTGTAGTCGTTCTCTTTACGAGCCTCCATCTGGGCGGCTCTCTCAGCCGCGTTCTGGCGGATCTGAGCCCAGCGGTCATAGGACGACGGGGCTGTCTGTAGCGAAGAGACAGGCTCATCAGTCGGGGCATGTGCCGGCGCATCAGTGAACTCTTCGGAGACAGGGGATTCAGGGACGAAAGCCGGCTGCTCTACTAGAGGGCCTTGGTCGAATTGGGAGAATTCTTGATCAGCAGCAGTTCGCTCCTTGGTGTCGATGCGGGAGAGCGCGTCGTACTCGGCTTGGCGGCGGATTTGAGGTTGCCTATCCGGTGATTCAGGAGCTTTAGGAGCCGCCAAAGCAGGATGAGCTTCAACAGCGACCTCAGGTTCCTTCTTGTCGACAACAGGCTCCGTATCCGCTTTCGAGGCCTCCACATTAGCCTTGGTAATCTCTGCGGCTGGCGCCAGTGGTACAGGCTTCTTCTTCAAAGTAATGTTGTTTGCTGGGCGGATTGAATGCTCCTGGGCTGCTCTCGCTCGATCCTCGAGGGCAGCACGAGCTGCTGCAACAGCCGAGCCCGCGGCAGGTGTGACCTTCACCGGCGGCTTCTGTTCAGGCTCACTCTTCTTCTTGATTGTGCCAAACATGTTCTTGAATCCGGTGTTGCCGGTTTTCTTCTTAAGCTTCCGTCCGGACTCGTCTGAATCCATAGATTGCTTGGGAAGAGAGTCCGTCGCCGACAGATCGGCCCCAGCACTGGTACTACCATTCCGGCTGGTGTCAGGATGAGCATCACTGACAGGGACCTCTTTCCTCGCTACTGCGGGTTTCGGAGAACTAGCTGGAGTATCCTTCGGCAGAGGTGGGGGTGCCTGGCGGGTGGTGCTCGGCGCTAGCGAAGTCGGCGTGCTGGGCTGGTCATCAGTCGATTCCTTCACGTCGTCTGCTAGGGAGCCTGTTCCCGCACGGCTGTTGCTCAAGTAAGCAGTGCGATAAGTATTCTTGTCATAGTTGGTCGCCCATTTCATCGCCTGAGATGCCTCGTTCACAATCGACGGTTGCAGGGTCATGATGGAGTTTGTTTTGGTGGAATACCTAGCATCCCGGGGAAGATGTGTTCTGGAGCCACTAGCAGCCTCCTGTTCCTCGCGGTGTCGCTTTTGGAGAGCAGCAGCGGCAGCCTGGATACGAGCATGCTGGTCCGGAGCAATACTAGTCTTGCTTTGCGGTGCCTGATTCTCTGCTCGTTTGTAGGAGTCTTCCATCGAGCTGACCTTCTTGGCCGAGGACTTGCGACGCGTCACCCCCTTCTTCCGAGTTGAAAACCCGAAGAAGCGCTTCTTTTCGACGATGTATGCACCGGGGTCAGGCTCAGGGGCGGCCCCCTTCACCTGTTCTTCCAGCACCAACCATTTAGTATCTTTGATAATGGTTTCGAGCAATGCGCACCGTCCGAAAACCGCTTTCCGGGCTGTCGGTTCTTCTCCCGCCAAGCTACTTATCCAGACCCACCAGAAGGAGTCATCCAGATCTAGAGTGGTAATGCTTGCCAGTTCAGCCGGCTCTGTCAGAGGTTCGTCATTCAGACTGCGTTTGTGCGACTGCGAGCTTTGAACTCGAACTGTAGCCAGAGGAGGGAGGATCTTATCTGGAGGCAGAAGTAAGGGACCACCGGGTCCCTTGAGGGCGGTTTCATCACCGAAGCCTGAAGACATGAAGTCTGCCCACGAAGGGGTTGTGGGTCGGCCCAGATCTCCCGTGCCGGACTGAGGAGCGGATTTCAAGCTACCAAACTCATTCCTCGATAGATTGAAAGCGTTCGCATCGTTGTTTGCAGCCGACTCCAGCGCGCCTCCAAAGCCAAAGTCTTCGAATCTTGACCATGAGGCTTCGTCTCGGGTGGTGTCCGAGTCAGTCGTTGCTGATTGATTAGTTGATGCGATACACTTCAATACACGAAGGCATTCGTCGGTTAGCGCGCGAACAGGGTCATCGAAGCCGGCAAATTCCTGCAGGTGGCGGTCACTGTCCCTGTATTCAAAGTTCTTTGCGCGCCGTAACAGAGCAAATGGTGTTGGGGAGACGGTGTCGACAATCATAACCACCTTCGTTGTCGAGACCTGAAGAAGAGTGGGCGTCTCTGGCGGATATTCCGTTCCTTGGAGTAGGCTCTGGAGAGCAATTGGCAGCGAGGAGATGGAGTTGATTCCGCGCGAGTCTGGAGATAAGGAACGTAGATAAGCAAAAAACAAATGGCTTGTCGCATCCGCTGCACTAAAGAAGAATAAGCTGCCAGAACTTCTCATTCGATAAATGAATCAAAACAAACCTTGCCCAGTTCTTGTAGGCGGCTTCGAAGCCATTGCCTGTATCTGAGTGGTCAAAAGCCCACCATCCAGCATAGCGCGACAGTTTGCGACCACCGAGACCATTCGATTTACCGTGCGCGGCAACAGCAGCAAGCAGGTCGAAGAAGTCGGTGATAATCTTTGCGCGGGCATCTGAATCAACACTGATGGGAAGGAATGTGGAGAATGCATCGCGAGCGAACTGAGAGTCTACATATGGTCAGCTTGAGTGATCCGGGAGCTTAGGAATCCCTTCATAATCGCACCTTGTTCGCCAACCTTGAACAATTCATAAGCCTCCCAAGTCACGACACCCCCCGGGAGTCTGCTCCAACACCATTTTAACACACTGCATATGACCTATCACCGCCGAAAGCAAAGAGTAAGAAACGGGATGTGAAAGCGTGGTCAGGATCAGAGCGATTTCGACTCACAATCGGGTCCGACAGTCGGAGTTCTTGTGCCAATGCCTCTCCGTTCACGGGCGAGCCTTTCTCCACGGACTGATTGAAATAGTTACGAATAAAGGTGCGTGCGGCGCTGGCGTCGGAGCTAGGGCGGAATGGTAGAAGGAGGAAGGGAGTTTGGAGAGCTGTCAAAGGATAAGGAGGTAATGATCAGCAATGAGGAATGCACACAGGGGTGAACTACGAAACCTGGCAAGGCGAGCGGGAGTGGATCACCCGCCACGATGGAGGCATACCTCGTGCTTTCAGCTCTTGAGTGCATCCGTGCAAGAGCTCCTGAACTTCTTCTGGGGCAACCTCGGTGCGCTGCCACGCGTCGGTCCATGTGGGCTTTGCGGGGCCCTTATCCTCTACCTCGGGGGCTTTGGCATTCTTCTTGGAGGTATTAGCATCTTTACTGCGAAAAACGCGAGTAAAGAAAGGCATGCTGAAGAGACACTTTTGTCGCGCCAGATTTTCGGCGGGCGGACGACGCGATCCTCGGCGAAAGACGAACGGAGGATGTGGGAGGGAAGGTGGCTCGGAAGACAATGCTCAACGGCGAAGGCACAAGAGAGGCGTGTAACAGGGGTCCGATTCGAGAAATGCGATAAGAAAGTCGCGAGTGCGATTATGCGACTCTGTCACGAAAGATGTCTAACTATGCCTAGCGGTAGTTCACGATGCAAAATGTGAAGCAAGCGGGAGAAATGATAAACAAGATGGAGGCGCGCTGGATTAAGAGGAAAAGCGACAACCCTCAAGGGGAGCAACGATAGATGCAAGCCCAGTCCCGAAGTAGCGATTCAGATCAGATAGCTCAATCAATGAACAGCGTCTACAGACTGGTCGAATATAGTGAAACTGAAGCGACCGAAAAGAGAGCGGGAAAAATTGGCCGGGGGGGGTACGATAGATAGCTGCAGCAAAAGCCGACCAAGTGTCCAGGAAGGGATCGCCTGCAGGGCGGGAAGCAATCAAGCAGACTCGGACTCGACTGTCACGATGCCACCGCAGCAGCAGCGACAGCAGCAGCCACGATGAAGGAAGTGGGGGGGACGGATGTGAATAGATTGCAGTTCCAACCAGTCAGTGAGGGGGGGAAGAGACGGAGGGGTTGGGTAGGAGAAAAGAAAAGAAACGCAATGCAAAGCAAGAAAAAAAGAAAAGGAATTGTAGGCAGGAGATGGAAGGGAGGTGGGAAGTTGTGGTGATGATGAGGATCGACTGCGGTTGGCGTTTCAGGGGGTGGAAAATAAGTCAGTTCAATAAATTCAGTTCCTCCACTGACAACCCATCCATGGTTCAATTCGAATTAATTGATGAATACATTGTTAATTCAAGTTATCATTACCGACTCACCGTCTCTGAACGTGGATCTGCAAGGCTAGCATGCTTCAGTCTACCTAAAGCCCAGTGCATAGGATGATGCAGTGAAGGGAGCGATACAGTTTTGTCGGTGGCCCGGCTTTGTCTGGGATCATATATATATAATTGTCCCATCATTGCCCATCAACTTCATCATTGTTACCCCAAGTCCGACGGCAGCACAATCTTGGTCAGTAGTGACTATTCTGCTGGACATCCACTGGTGATACAACCGCAATAATCAATCTCAGCTGGATGGAATTGGTGGACAGCGTTCATTCAGTGGCTGATGGTCGAGAATGAGGACAGGTTCTGTGACTGGTCTAAACCCAAAGGGGATGCAGTGAAATGATAAGGTACGGGGACTGAGAAGTGGGTGGGGGGAGGATTTAAGGCAACTTGAGGCCCAAAACCAGGGAGTCTATGTCGACGAACAAATTACCTGGTGCGATAATAAGTTAGTCAACTAACTAAGTAGTTAACTTAACCACCGTACCTAAGCTCCTAGTCAATCCCGATCTTTGACTTGAGGCTGAGCAGACCAGCAGCCAGGCGGTCAGGCCGCCCTGGACCCTGGGCTGAAAGCTCTAGGCTCTGGACCCCTCCAGGATTCACCAACCAGCTCAGCTTGTTCGCTTTCATTCAGCCGAGGTGAAACCGATCCGGTGCAAGTGAGATGATGTCCTCTACTTGGTGTGGTGATGGTTGTGGGTTGGGTCGAGATATCAGCAGCGGTGGTTGCTGATTTGATGGGGAAGTCTACCATTGAGAAGCATTGTGGTTGACAGGATGCAGGGAAAGGCGAGGATGGGGAGAAGGAGCTCGGACAGCATCTTATACTCTGGAGTAAGAAGCTCAGGGGTCTGATCGCGGTGTCAAGGAAGGATATCATGTTGATGGCACTGACAGATGGTCTATAAATAAAGTGGGCGGCAGTTGAGAGCCGCCGTTGGCGAGCGGGTAAAAACCGCCCAGGCCTATCTTTAGAAATAATCTTCTGCATCTCCCGCGTGTTCTTTCCATTCATCTCCTTCCTTTCAGTATCAGCATCAGCATCAGCTTCGACTTCATCGTCTTCTTCAACGTCTTGTTCTTCTTACTCACTCTCATCATAATCATCCTCCTCATTATCGCTGTCCCAATACCCGCGCACTGCGTCTCTCGTTTCCCCGTGGATTTCCCTTGGTTTGGTCGCATTCTTTGACACACAAAAGGTTGGTGTTCCTGAGGCCATCCATCCATCCATCCATCCATCCTTGCATGGGCTGCCTGACTGCCTGGCCTATTCTTCTTCTTGTTCTGTTTCAACTTCCTGAGCCACAACCACAAAAGCCACCTTCCCCCCCCCTTTGTCTGTCTTCGCCGTCACACTTAGTCTTACTTTCACATTTGATATCCACTTCCCTTCCCTTCCCTTCCCCTTCCCCTCCTTCCCTCTTATTCTTACTACTACTTACTGCAACCCACACCCCCCTCCCTCCCACTCCCAAAAATAGCGCTCATTCCAAATCTCACCACCACATCTTTTTTACACCTTCCCTGATCTTCCGTCATTCGTTCTTCTTCCATTATTGTAGAAGTGCTATCCAACGCTTCACCCCATTTTCCCTTTCTCTCCGGATTATCGGTTAAAAAAATTAAATAATAATTTTCTAAACCTGACTGCGACCTGGCTCTCCGGTCGTCGCTCTTTTCCTATTCCCTTTTTCTATTATTGTTATCGTTTTCTTTTATCTCCTCGCATTCTGGAAACTCCTTCGTCAAGCGGCGCTTCATTGAGTTTCAGTTCGCGCCGCTATCTTTCGGACGAACTATTACTCCACCTGGAATTTTTGTAATTGACCTTATCGCCAGGGCCGCAACAACGCGCTCTCATCCCTCATGGGTCGGAGAAAGATCGAGATCAAGGCGATCAAAGATGACCGCAATCGCTCAGTGTAGGTCCCCCCCCCCAATGTCCACTCTGTTGTCTTCCCTGGTGATACTGGCAACACCAGACTATAGAACTGACCTTTGTGTTGGTGTTCAGGACCTTTCTCAAGCGAAAGGGTGGTCTCTTCAAGAAGGCACATGAACTTGCAGTTCTTTGTTCGGTTGATGTCGCTGTCATCATCTTTGGTCACAATAAGAAGCTCTATGAATTCTCGTCTTGTGATATGCGAGAGACGCTCACTCGATATCAATATGTGCGGTGAAACCCTCGAACTGCTTACGGTCATCCCCGAAGCTGACGCGATACGTATTCTGTAGTTCGGTCCTCCTCATGAACACAAAGGTCCCGAAGACTTTAACGGCAAACGCGACGATGACGATGACGAAGATGAGACAACTCCCGCCCCCGAAGACATGCATCCGACACCTCCAAATCCTCCCATGATTCCCGCCCATATCCCCGGTCATCCTGGCTTTCAACATGTCAATCACGCCCCATCAGCCTCTCCACCGATTCCAAATGGGATTCCCTTTGATCCTCGTCATGGTACCCCTCAACCACAAGGTGTCTCGAGACCGTCATCAAGAAATCAATTGCGTCGCGTCAGCTCAAACATGGGTCCTCAACAACATCACGCCACGCCGCCGCCGCCTCCGCCGCCTCCGCAAAATGGATTCACGTACATTCCAAATCCGTCCGTCTACAATCCAGCGGTTGCCCATCCCATGGCTCAGCCTCCTCGACCCGGTCAGTATGCGCATTATGGGCCGCCGGGGCCGCATCATCAGCCTGGGCCCCCCCAGCACCAGCATCAGCCCATGCCGGCCCAGGCAATGCCTCCGCACTCGATGGCGCCTCAACCCATGCCGCAGCATCTCGCACCACATCCACATGCTATGACACCGCAGCCGCCACATATGGCCATATCGCAGGCGCCGCATCATCCGCCCATACCGCAGGTTGCCCAGGCCTTCCTCGCCGAACAAGGACGAGCTTCCATGCCCCCAGCGTTTGCACAGCACGAGCCGCAGCCGCAACCCCCACGGACGGTATCCCTTCCCGAGGCGACCGCTGCAGAGCAGATACCGGGCCAATTGAAGGCAGAGGGAAGTCCTTCGCCCCCGCACCAAAGATCCCTATCGTCCAAGTCGCGCAGTATTTTTACCCCGATCGACGACCGCGGCTCCGTTTTAGCGCGTCACTTTGGTGTAGGCCCGCCCATCTGTGAACCGGGAGAAAATGTTCAGCTGAAGGGAGAGGCTCCGCTGGGAGATTCCACTGATGTAAAGCCACCCAAGCCGCCTGCAGCCAAGGCAGTCAAGGCCGCAAAGGGGCCGCCCCCACGGCCAGCGACCGAAGTTTCGCGTCCCCAGCCTGTAGCGGACTTAAAACCACCTGCACGGACCAATAACGGCCATTTACCCCCTAAGCGCCCGCAGCTAAAGGTGCAGATCCCAAGCGAGAATTCAGATAGAGGCAGTGCGACGGGTGAATCGTCCTCACGCGACTCGGCGGGCAACAAGACATCGACGCCGGCCAAAGCTAATCCGGACACTAATCACTCGGGCGTGGTTCTTCCCCCACCATCGCCATCCGCGGGCGCGATTCTTAGCGCCGGGGCCCAGGGTCCGCCGAACCCTTTCGCCAGACCACCGCCGCCGCCCGGTCCGGCCGCACAGAATAATGCCGCATACAACAACAACAGCAACATCGACACGCCTATCTCTGCCCTCCCTAGTCGATTTGTATCAGACGCGCTCCTACCATCACCTTCCAGTTTCTTTCCAGAGTGGGGATTCAATCGCTCGGGCCCGGACAGCAATATGCTCCCGAGCCCTTTGACGTTTCCCACCCCAGCGGTCCAGTCTGGACCAGGCTTCGGCCGTGAAGACAATGATCAAGAAAAGAAACGCAAGAGCCCTGATAGCGGACCGAGCGCGGAAGGAGTGGTGAAAAAGCCGAAGACGTGATTTTTGTCACATCCTCAAATTGGTGCACTTGACAAAGTTGATGGCCTCTTATCCAAACGGCTGCGTTGTCTCCTCTTGTCCTTGTCACATGTTTTGAATATTGGCATCTATATGGCGTTTGTGCATTTCCAGTCTTTGGTCAATTTCGCAGTTTAGTCCATGTCTCAGTGCGTCTGTCTGTGTGTCACTCTCCTTTTGTTTTAGGGTTGTCTTTCGCAGCAACTTTATACCCCTTTTCCCTTACTTTTTATTGGCCTTTCCGTTCCTTTGTGGTTGTTTCCATCTGGATATATGCTGCGTGGGTGTTGCTCTTTCATGAACTTTTTTTTGGCTCGAAAGAAGACCCTTCCTAGTCCTTAGCTCTCTGACACGCTTCTCTTCCTCATCATCCTGGCGCATATTTCTGGCGATCCAGCGGGGATAAGAGACCTATCCCACCTCCACTTCTGCCAAATGTGCTCCTCTTCCTTTCCTTTCCCTGTGCTCATCCTTGCACTCTAATTCTCCTCTGTGTTTATCCAGGTTTAGGTAGGCTAAACCCTAATATGGTGACAGCAATACTGATACCGATACTGATATTGATATTGACGGTGGCGGTGTCCTGCGGGGTGGCTGATCTTCTTTGCATTTTTTTTTTCGCTCGATTATTTTCATTTTTGTTTGAAAGAATGTACATAAAAGGTGTCTAACTGGATTTGGATGGACATGTCCGATTAGGGGAAAGTGAAATAATTTGACTTTTGCTTGATGCATACATACTCATGGTCGGTCAGAATCAGATCTCGTGTATCATGCTTCCAATCGTTATCAGTATCAGGAACACAAGTATAGACATGATTCTTCGTGTAGTTTCAGTAAGATTCTGAGATAGATATGTGGGTAAATAAGGTAAAACATGAAACTCTCTCGCATGATGCTGGAAATGCTGCTGCCGGTTTTCTCGTGGGAATCAAAGTGCAATGCAATGCAATGAAAAGATGAAGACAGGGGAAAACCACCCCCCTTCCCCTCCTATAATCCGCCATTTCCTTCTTTCACCTCAGGTATATTCAGAAAATGATAATGTAGACCCAGGTTTGCTTTTTGCTTGTGAAGGTTTCAGTGCCCGGGACAAGGAAGGCGGGGGAGGGTAAGGATGAAATATGTTGTAGACATTAAAATGTTGGAGGGATATAAGCTCCGATTTTTGGAGGGGTTTGTTCTAATCCCTGGTGTGAGGGTTATCACACCACTGTTCCGTTCGCTAGGGGTTTCTCTCGCAGGAGGCGATATATGCAGGTAATAGACGGGGCGAGGAGGATCTAAACCTCCTCCTTGGACCTGAGGTCACCGGACCGTTGTTGTTGTTGCTGCTTTTGAGCCTCCAGCACAGCCTTGCGGGCCTTCTCCTGTTCCTCGAGGCCGGTCTTGGCGATGGTGTGATTATTGCTCAGGGTGACGGGCCGGATGAGCAAGCTCAGCGCCAGACCGAGAGCGGCGATGGCGCAGTAGAAGATCCACATGCGGCTGAAGGCGGTCGTGTAGGCGTCGAGGACGACCTGACGCTCGGCCTTGGGCAGAGAGCGCAGGAGATCGCCCTGGGAGCCGCTGAAGGAGGAGGCAATGGTGTGGGCGGTTTCGGCGCCGACGGCAGCGGTGATCTGCGGCATGCGGCCGGCGAAGACGTTCTGATAGATGACAGTACCGAGGACGATCGAGATGGCGGCGGAGACCTGCCGCATGAAGCCAAAGGTCGCGGTACCAGCAGCCATATCGGTGGGGTGGATGTTGGCTTGTAGGGCGACGAGCGGCGACTGGAAGAGCGGGCCGGTGCCGATGCCACCGATGATCTGGTAGATGATAATACGCGGCCAGCTGGCGTAGGCCTTCAGGTCGATGAAGAGGCCGTAGCCGATCGTCATCAGGAGAAGACCGCCGATGATGAGCTCGCGGTAGCGGCCCGTCTTCTTAATGACGACGCCTGTGGCTGCGGAGACAAAGGAGAGACTGAGCACGGTCGGAAGCACGTAGACACCGCTGAGGATCGGCGATGCGAGGAGTACCGTCTGAAAGTAGAGAGGGAGGTAGTAGGAGCCTGAGATGAAGACGAAGCTGTGGCAGAAGTTGATCAGGAGCATAAGCACGTTGTGAAAGTTGTTGAACAACCGGATAGGAATCACTGGGTAGCGCGCGATCTTCCATTCGTTGATGAAGGCGACCACCCACGTCACCAAACCGAAAATGATCAAGCAGATCACTGTGGCCGATGCCCATGGGTAGCTGACGCCGCCAAATTCTAGGCCGAAAAGGAACATGAGCGTGCCGCCGATCATGAGGAAGGTGCCTGACCAGTCGATAGAACGCATTCCTGCGAGAAGGGGTACTTTGCTGGCTTCGATCTTGAGGTAGAACACGAGGATGACGAATGAGAAGCCGCCGATGGGCACTAGTCGTCATGTGTTAGTATTGGAAACAGGGTCGGTGGGAAACATAGGGAGTAGGCATACAGTTGATGTAGAAGCACCACCGCCAGGTCACGCTGGTAGTGAAAGCACCACCGATGATAGGACCCAAGGCGCCTGCAATGGCCCAGGTGGAGCCGAAGAGACCATAATACATTGGGCGCTCCCTTGTCGATGGTCAGCCTGCTGAACCGGGCAGCTCTTCCAGGAATGCTGGAAGCTTCGGGCAAGAGTATACTAACCTGACACTGAACAAATCCGTCACGCAAATATTAGCTAAGACGATGATTCCACCGCCACCGGCTCCCTGAATCGCTCTGCCGGCGATGATCATGGGTAGGTTCACAGCCAGCGCGCAGATCAGACTCCCCACCAGGAACAGGAAGTTGGCAATCAGAATGATTTTCTTGCGGCCCCAGACATCACTAATCTTTCCCCAGAGGGGTACACAGGCTGCGTTGGCCAGCATGTAAGAGGAGGCAATCCATGAGTATCCGCCTTCCGATGCATGGAAGTGGTTCGCGATTGTCGGTAGCGCTGTCGAGACGATAGTCTATAGAAGCCAGGAGTCAGTAAATCGCGACATGGTTGCGGAACTAGATCATTTACCATATCTAGAGCTGCCAAGAACAGGGCCAACTATATGTTATAGGTAAGATTAGCGTGCTGCCACGAGTTGCAAATCTGATGCGAGGTGGGGGATATAAAAATCATACGCAGAGAGCCGTCATAACGACCAAGATCTTCTTCTTGCCCAGCTTCTGTGCCTGAGACGGCACCCGGTCCAGCGGTGCGCTGCTCGCAGCAGCGACAGCATGATCTTCTAGCGTCCCATCATCGCCTTTCTCTGTTTCAACGGGAAGTTGGTCGTGTGAGGTGCGTGAGGGGACTTTGACAGCGTCAGGCTTCTCCGCGCCAGCTGTGTAGGAAGAGGAGCTTGCCTCGGATGGTGACATGCTCTCCGCGATCATCGGACCCTTATCGACCGGGGTCTCCTCGGTATGAGGGTGTTGATGATCCGTCATGACTTTGGGGTAAAATTCCCAGGATCGAGGAAAGTCGACGGTGGACCGGAAACGAGAGAAGAGGAAGAGAAAAAGAGGGGAAGAAATAGAACCGCCTCTCGGTTTGGGTGAAGAGAGCAAACCGGGTTGTTTCCCTTTAGTGTTTGAAACTTGACGGGCGACGGTGGCGGGCGAACCCCGACGCTTGCAGAATCCGTGGGATCGGCAGCCTTTTCTGGAACTTTGCGAAGCAATGACTCAATGAGGTATTTGATATTTCTAAGCGTATAGTCAGAATAACTACTAACTCAGAGACTTGGTTTGCTTTTGCTTTTTGGTTATTCTCTCGGTTCTGCCTTTGCTTTTGTTGGCCCTATTTATTTTGTCTGAGGCCGAGACTGAGACACTCATAGTTAAAGCTTCGGAGATAAGCTCGGGATTGTGGCCCTCACCTCGACTTGGTAACGAAAACGCAACAAAAGTAAAAAACAGATTAAAAAAAGAAAAAAGAAAAAAGAAAAAACAGAGAGAAAAATCAAAACTCGACCTGGAACGGTCCCTGAGCCTGGATCCATTCCCGATAGTTTGGAGTGTGGATGGGTCTTTTATACCAAAAGCTCTACCATTGGATCCATCGAACGACTATAGAAGGACGAAAGGGAAAAACCAACCCATGGCAGCTGCAGGGCGGAGAATTGGAATCCACCCCACGAGGCTTGACTCGCCCTTTCGGACGGTCGGAATGTTCCGCCGACGCCGAGCTTCTTTTTATGATGAGTCGAAATGCATGCGAAATGTATGCCTGCCCAACAGGACAGCAAGCAATTCTCACCGCAAACCTTCAGTTATGCGAGTAATGCGAGGCCGAGATCCATGTCTCACTCAGTACGATGCCTCACCGCCTGATCCCTGTGGTAGGTAATGAGCAGGTTTAGACAAGCATTTGTGATGTACAAATGAGCTGTGTTTGTTAGGGATTACCCTCTGCTTATGAGATTTCTATAAGACCGACATCAAGACAATCCGTGCATCCTCAAGGTTCATCACTTATGATGACTCATAGTGTATATTATCAAAGTCCCAAACTGTTTCACTTCACCTCTCGAACTCTGACCTCCGGGCCCTCCTCCCCTATCGCCTTCAACAAGCCAATCCAGCTCTTCTTTGTATCTACCGGTCATCTAAACTGCTGGCACAAAAAAAGAAGATGACTCAATTAGTACTTAGGCGCTTCACACCGCGCCCCCAGAACTAAGGGATGACAGCTTATCGCCTCGTCGGCCACCGTCGGTCAGCGTCTTTTTCGGTATAGACGATCTCGACGATGACTCCTAATCAGCCCTGTAAATATCATTCTAAAGGCGGGGTAGAGATTTCCGGAGTCCCCGACGGACCCTCCAAGTCTGACGGAAGACTAGTAAGATGATATATGATACAACTGACATCCGCATCAGCGGCTGTTCAGTAGTAGCAGTGACTTAGACACAACAGAGGCTCCAGGCTATAACTAGTATCAACTTCCCAAACCGCCCTCGCCCACTCAGCCGTCTTACTCAACACTACTGCCTATCAAGCACCCTGACAATGTCCACCCATCTCGACGAAGCCGCGTCTATCGCTCGTATCTCTCTCCACGATCCGAAGAATTTCAGCATCCAATACTCCCAGACGTTGCATCGCCTGACGATCCTGCAGCACTGGAACATCCCCACGGCCTCCAAGGTCCTGGAACTCGGATGCGGACAGGGAGACTGCACGACTGTTCTTGCCCATGCTGTAGGGGCACAGGGGCAGGTCGTGGCGGTTGATCCAGCGGACTTGGATTATGGTGAGTTTTGAGCCGCCCCTCTCTCTCTCGCGCTTTTCTTATACCTCCTCAATAGGTAGGATTAGTAGCCCAGTTTACCCCTCGCTGCTCTTCCCAGCGAAGGCAAGCCATGAACTCACATTTTCTACAGGAGCCCCATACACACTCGGCCAAGCGCAAGCGCACATCTCGCTGAACCCACTCGGTACCCGAATCACCTGGATCCAACAGACCCCGGTGGACTACCTCGCCTCCCTCTCTCCTCCCTCCCCAGCATCTTCCACACCACCACCACCACCACCACCACCACCACCGCCACCCAACACCGAGAGCGAAACCCCAACCTTCGACGCAACAGTCCTCGCCCACAGCCTCTGGTACTTCGCCTCCCCAGCACTCATCCTATCCACCTTCCGCGCCCTGAAGAAACACAGCAAGCGACTCCTCCTTGCGGAGTGGTCGTTGGTGGCGACGTCTCCCGCCGCGCAACCGCACGTCTTAGCAGCGCTCGCGCAGGCCGCGCTGGAGTGCCGGAAGTCCCAGGGGAGCGAGTCGAATGTCCGCACGGTGCTGGGGCCGAAGCGGCTGACGGAGCTGGCGGTGACGGCGGGGTGGAAGCTGGAGAGCGAGACGCGCGTGCCGTGTGGGGAGGGGTTGTTGGATGGGCAATGGGAGGTCGCGGCGTGTCTTTCTGCTTCTTTTGAGAAGGAGGTGGAGGAGCAGGTGAAGGATGGGAGGGAGCGGGCGGTGGTAATCGCGGCGAGGGATGCGTGTGAGGCGAGCTTGGAGGGGGTGCAGGGGGGGAGGAAGGGGGTTAGGGCTATGGATGTTTGGGTTGCGAGTTTCAGCTGAAAGAATTGAGTGTGTAGAGCCCCGTGACTCACTCGACGATTGCTGGTGATTGTTATTTTTTATTCTTATTTTTATTTTTTATTTTTATTTTATATATATATATATATTTTTTGGGTAACGGACCGAACTTCCAAATTGTTCCCGCGGAAATCGAGTTGGATAGTCGCCAAGTAGTGGATAGAATACTGAGAAATGCTGATTGGTTCTCCAAGGAAGTAATGCCTTTCTTCTTAGTCTTTCTCTATGACCATGAGATGTCACTCTGAAAGAACTCAATAGGGTATATAATGTACACAAATGACACATTGATGAGGTGTCTAACCGACCATCCACCTTCACTCACGGCCGTTCATTCAATCCTGCAACTGAAGAATCTCTGTGCACCATACCATGTTAGCACCCAACACAGTAGAGAACGGGCGTTGAGGCTAAAGGGGGTGGGAAAGATTGTGTGTGCACTCACCTGTCAAAAACTCCTCAAAGCTCACCGTGATATATCCATCCCGATCGTCATCATACCGTTTGAACACATCGGTCATGCGGCGCAAGCTGATGCACGCCTGCACAAACAGGTCAAAGCTCATGCCGTGTTTGCCGTACGTATGCCCGTTCATCTGCCGCCCTTTGCTCTCAAAGGTGATGAACATGACCTGCACAAACCCGGGACTGAGCCGGTAGCCGAAGGCGACCAGCGCGTTCTCGAACTCCGGCAAGCTGATCCGGCCACTCCGATCCACGTCGAACCGATCAAAGAGCTCCCGCCATGCCGCCAGGTACCGCCAAAGGGAGACAAACTCGTCGAAGGAAATGGTCCCGCTGCTGTTCCGATCGAACATGCGAATCATCATCTTGACGGTCTTGGGGTGGAACGAAGTGTAATCGCCGTTCACGAGGGCAGAGCCCAGCTCCAACTCAGTCAGCGCCCCAGAGTGCGAGGAGTTGGCGGCGCGGAACAGGGGGAACAGCTGTTGTGGGTCATCGTCGGGGACCGAGAGCGGAGGAGGGTGGGGGGATTGCGGTGGACGCGATGACGGCGGAGGGCGGTTGCGCACGGGCTGGGAGGGAGGAGGGCCGAAGCCGTAGTTCTGAGGAGGAGGCGAGGGGTGTAATGGGTGCGGACGTTGTTGCACTGGGACGGTCGGCGATCGTCCCCCATGGTGAGCCTGTTGGGCAGACGCTGGGTAGCGCTGCGGGTTGGCGCTCGACGCGCCGGACACTGGGACGCGCGGAGGCACGCCGCTGTTGGAGGGGTGATGGGAGGATTGGCGAGGGGGTCGTTGATGAGTTGAGCTGCTCGTTTGCATGGCACCTAGCATCTGCGCGACCTGTAGTCATATCCTTAACGTCAGAACGGAGCTGCGGGGTAGGAAGGTAGATCAATCTGCATCGTTCGGGTTCCTGCGTACCTGCTCTGGCTCTGCGTGACTGTACTCATGATCCTTACATGTCAGCGACACTAATACAATGTCCTCACCCGACGCATACTGGTTTTTTAACTCACGCTGGCAGTGCATCTGGATTGTAGGACTGGTTGTATGCCATGGCGGCAAAGGCTGACTGACGTAAGGGACGGCGGGCGCGATCTCAAGCGGCGAGCGTCAAGATAAAGCAGCCGGGATTGGGATTCGATTTTCCGAGCACGAGAAAGCAAGATAGAGGTCTATGTGTGAGGAATTTGAAATGGAGAGTGACACTCGATTTGGAGTCGGGGAGATGAAGGAATTAGAAATTAGGCTTCGGCCATTCAGTCTAACGATAGTTGTTAGTGACCAGATTCGTTTTTGCGCGGACCTGCAGAGCGGAGCCGTGGGGCGGCGGTTCAGCAGGAGTCGCCAACGAAATCAGTCACAAAAGGGGGCAGAAGACGTGGTACACCTGTTCAGTTCATTCGTAGAATGTTCATTCGCCGGGGCAGATGATCTGTCAATTGCTTTTATTAAAGAGATGAAACCTTCAGTTATCTGCCTTTTGTGCAAGGCCAGATTCACAAGTTTGTCTGGTCGCTGGAGGGCCAAAGGTTCACCAGCGCGCGAAACGAAGGCAGACCAGGCCGACACGACAAAGACATTCAGCCCTATATTCGACACAGCTTATTTTTGAAGCGGGTGGCCCACGGGTTCCTTTCCTATTTGTGGTGGATCATTCGCAACAGAAGGCATTTGTCCTACTACTAAGTATTTGTACCATACAATCTAGGATGGAATCGCTGATGGGCTGTGTTGCGAACCAGTGGTACACGCTCAAGTCTTCGTGTCAAGGACGGATGCTCAGCCTTGCGATGTCACTCGTACAGACCACGAGACTGGGAAAGTCTAGGCGCAGGCGCCGCCCGTCACGTACCCCCAACCAACTGCTCCAGTCCCTCCTTCTGTTCATTCAAAATAGACGCGATCTCGTTCCAAGCGATGTTCTGCAACCGTTGTCCTTCTGCGCCTGTCGTTAATGCCATTGATTCGCTGTTCTTTGTTAACCAGCAGCTCTGACCGCGGAGAGACCCGAGGCAAACTCACTTTAGATAACCATCGTTCCTCCAACATTTACCATGGGACTCCACCCCTTGATAGGTCGCACTTACCAGGGATCGGCTGCCTTGCTCAGCTGTGCGCGCGAAGAGTTTATACGCCAGCCAAGACAGCCATCGTTCGTAAAATCTACGATATTGCCGCCCGAGTGACGAGGCGCAAAACCCAGGGCTTACGGTATTAATGATCACAGGCACCGTCCCGTCCTCCCTGCGGATCATACCCGCAAGCATTTTGACCATATACTCCAGCAGAAGCTTGGAGATCCCGTACTGTCGGCGACCGATGAAATGGCGGGGATCGTTCAGGTGCTTGAGTAACGGCTCTTCTGTTTGGAGGCTCTGCGCTTTCACCCGAACAAATTGTTGGCTGGAGACAACTGTGAGATGCGTCGGCTGAGTCGGTGACGAGCTACTTCTCAGTTTGGGAAGGAGAAGGGATGCTAAAAGAGATGTCGAGAGAGTGTTGACCTGCAACGTCTCTTCCCATCCTTCCGGAGACACGGTGTAGTCTCGATTCCATAGACCTGCGTTGAGAATTGCAATGTCTAGCTGGTCAACTTCGTCATTCACACGCTCTGCAAAGCTCTTGACGCTCTGAAATCTATTCATTTCTAAATGCCATACTTGCACCACCCCCGGTCGATTGGTGCGTCGCTCAAGCTCTGTTTTGGTCTCTTGGCCCTTTTGCAGGTTGCGACTGCCTATGATGAGCTTGTCCACGCCAAGATTGATGATTTTGAGAGCCGCTTCAAAACCCAGTCCAGATGTTGCCCCGGTCAGGACCACGGTCTTTCCTGCGAAAGATATCCCGCTAGGATCGACAGGAATATAGCGTCGCGACCGGCGAAGGCGAAGTAGTCCTGCCATGATGAAAGTGAAGCAACACAGCAGTAGGACCTTCGGAGCCGTCATCATAAGAATCATGAAGATGTTGTGCTCTGATCTCGAACGCAACTTGAGGAGAAATTTCCAGGATCCTTGACCTCAACAATGAGATTATGAGTACTATTGTGATGGTGATGGCTGCCAGCTGAGATTAGCGTAACCTAACGCCGGACCGGCGCCTGGGCCGCCCCACCGAGTGTCTCTCCGAGACGAACAGAGCAGCAGGAAACGAATACGAGAGTGGACGCGCGCAAGTTCTGCAGTAAAGTCCGAGCGAGGCTGAGTGGATGGATTAAGCGGGTGTTTCTGCAATAAGCTGAGGTCTGCCCCCTAGAAAATTGCCCGGGGTAGTCGATTCAGATTGGCCTTGATGTGGTTCTACAGTAATCCATGTAGAATAGACACAGAAGGCAATCAGTCATGTGAAGATGTGACACTAACCTAAATGAAGCGAGAGCCAATGTGAAAGTATCATACTCGAACACACCCTTTCGCCGCATTCCTCTGGATGCTGCAAGATGGCGAGATCCAGACATGAATTGAAGTCATCGATAGGGAAAGGACAAACAATGCAAACATGCGGAGTGCTCAGCGGCGGTGATTTCTCAGCATTGATACTTGAGCGACTACAACTATCATAGTAGTAGGTCCCGGTCTGCCTCCTACAGATGTTGAAAAGAGCCGAATAAGTCTACCTGGAGAGTCATTTCTATTATCCCCTACGATAGCGGTTTCTGGGTTGCATTATTCATACAATAGACATTCCATCTTGACCAGATTTTAAGTCAGTTTAAATCCATTGTTCCATCCCGCCCAGAGATTAATTCGAGCCACGCTTCTAAATCAACAATCCAGGTTGAGCATTAAAGATGGGCTCGGCGGAGCAAGGGTGCGAGGCTCTCAGAGACGGCCGGACATGGCGCAACTACTTCCCTAAAGGCGACCTTTGGGTGTTCGGATACGGGTAAATTTAGCCGGATGATCCCTGATATTACTGTAGCACCAGTGGCTGACGCAGAGCAGGAGTCTGATTTGGAAGCCACCGCCGCATTACGGTAAGTAGATCAGTCGGATGAGTGCTCAAGCAAAGGCACTACTTTGAATACTCTACTTTTTTCATACCCCCTCAAAGTACAGTCAGGCTGATTCCTTGCTAGACCAGCGCGTCCCCGGCTACATTAATGGCTATGTACGGCGTTTCTGGCAGGTTCGTTGAACAATCGCTCTTCCTTTTTCAGATGCTTGATGCTGGTCGAGCTCCTTAAAGAGCAATTAGGCTGACTGACGAGATATTCTAGGCTAGGTAGGTCGAACTTGCGCAAGAGTCTTGGAGCTAGACTTGTTACAGTCTGAAATCATAGGTCAAGGACTAACAAGTCACATTCAGTAACGACCACCGTGGCACACCCGAGAACCCTGGACGAGTTGTGACAGTGATCGAACGGGACTTCTGGGAAACACTGGATGATCCGGTATGTATTGCTGCTCTTTTCAAGGCTGTTGACACTGTGATATTCACAATGTCCAAATCCCACCTGCTGCCTATTCTCTTATATGAGATGGCTCACTCACAGTTCGAGGCAGCTGGCGCACCTTGAAAGCTCATCGACTGCCACTGTCTGGGGTGCTGCATACCATATCCCTGCTTCCCATGCTGAGGAGGTGCATGATTACCTTGACATCCGAGAAATCAATGGTTACACCGTTCACTACACACCTTTTCACCCTGTCGATACCTCTAAGGAGCCGAACGCAGAGGAATCTACACCGTCTCCGATCGTGTGTATGGTCTATATCGGCCAACCGACCAACCCTCAATTTCTTCGCGACCTGGCCCAACGAGACCAACAAGCCGTGGCCGAGGTGATCAGTCGCAGTCAGGGAAATAGCGGTAAGAATACCGAGTACCTGTACCTTTTAGAAAAGTCGCTCGACGGACTCGGGCTGGGAAGTGCCGATGTGCACGTCACGGATCTGGTGCGACGGGTCAAGGCCCTCGAAGGTGTGGAGGCGGCGGCGGCAGAAGAGGCCAAGGCGGAACGTGATATAGAAGAGGCTCTTCATCATTCCGCTGTAGGTTCCCAATGACGAGATCCACCTGGCAATTGGGTGTGTCGCTGGAGTTACTGCTCCAATCGTCTCACCTTTGGATGTCCTTTCAGGTGCCCCTGGTCTCTTTGAATAGATCGAACTAGAAGAAATACATATGGCGCTAGTACTTCCCTACATCTGTATCGAGGAGTTGAGGCGCGAATGAAGCATCCGAGTATGACTATTTGGGTCACTAGCTCCAACCCCGGTCAGCCAAGATAGTCAAAAGATAAAGGATGACACACGCTAAATCATCCACTCGTAACTCTTGCCAAAGTCAGCGACGCTGCTATCTTAAGCCGGACTTGGAAGACCTTCCCTGTTTAGTCCCGGCTGTTGTGTTTCTCTTGGCCAGGTGCGAGGCAAGGCTCGCAAACGTTGAACCTGCCTGTAAACCAGCAAGGCTCCCATCTGGTGTCTGCTTCCAGTCTTAGAGAATCACAGTACTTCGTTTCACTGTGACTTTGGACGCATTGGCCAAGCTTGGGAGGGTATTTATGTGACACCGACTGGACCTAGATGTTGTCATCGGGATGAAATGGATATTGACAGCCGGACGAAGCCACCTAGGCACAGCGGAGTGGATCCCAAAATAATTTGTTATATTAATTCTACTTCTCACCTGGTAACCGTCAGAGGAAAATCAGGGTGACCCACTGAGCCAGGCGAACTCCCTAAAGACACCAGCTCAGCCCCGGTCCCTTCCCCCTCAAGGCTTCTCATATCAGTCGGAAAGATGCCGACTTGTCCCCGTCGGGGACGGATGTTCCCGTCACTGCAACTCTAGATGGATAGGATGGACTACGCTGGACAGACCGCAGTGGACATCGTGGAACACCAAGCCGGAACCTGTCCCAAGAAAACATCAAGATGTCGCGCTGTGGCTTGAACTGGCCTCGAAGTAGTCTCACTCCAGCTCACGGTCAATGGTCCGGCGCAAGAAACTTGCTAAGCCCGGCGATATGCGTGTCTTAGACAATCGCATATCTTCGGCGCCTCTAGTTCTTGACCAAAAGGCTTAGAGACCCCAATCAACCGCGGCTGGCTTGGATCTAAGAGGCTCGGAGGTCGACTCCTATATGGTTTTGTTCTGATGATAGCGCATAGTAAAGGCACATGCCGCTGCCCATGTGTTCGTCGGGGCATTTCTGCTGTTACCAAGGAAGGTCAATAGACCTGGGCGAGATGGCCAATGATAAAAGGAAGGTGTTCTCCCGGTGTCTGATCTCTACCTTACTTCAGAGCAGCATTTACACGTGTAGTAACTTCCTACTAGTCTTGTATGTGCTCGGCCTGACGAGCGAAAACGTCATTGTACGTGACTAATCTCACCTTTAGCCAGCTACCTAGGCAGCCTATATAACCTTCCAGGTTCCAACTCAACCTCTACCATGCAAGCACTCCTCACCACTCCCGTCTTTTTCTTCCTATTTATCGCAACCACCATGGCTGAAAACCTCACCCGCTACCACACTGCGCCCCCTTCGAACGCGATCATCATATACGACCGTCAAACCCTCAACGACCTGGCTCGAGCCAACGCCGACGGCCTTCTCTGGGACGAAAACGGCGGGTACTACCTCAAGACCGCAGGCAACGAGATCATCGCCGTGGCGGCGGATGCCCTGTGCACGGAGCTGGACGCCGCGCATGCCAGCGCAGCCGCTACTTGGGCCGAGCGCAATCTCAATGGCAACGACAAGGAAGTCGCTGCCGCAGCACCTGCGAGCCAGAAGGATGCTGATGTCACTAAGAGCGGCGCGAACCTCGCTTGCTATCCGCATTGTGCTCGCGGTAAGTGCAGTCACCCGCGCTGCTTTACAAATGCGCTTTGTACGACGTACAACTACTGCCATATATGCTCAGGCTCTTATAAGTATTGTATTTAGATTGAAGGCAATTTCGGGCGTTTGAGAGATTGAGTTCTGGAAATGGTGCTGGGGTGGGGAATGAAAGGAGTTCGTTCGTCCATGGAAGCCAAGTCTGGCTCTCTTAATTCTTTTGTATCTGTTATTTGCTGTCTGCCTGTGATTGAGTCGTTCTCAAGGGGTTAGATTGACGTTACGAAATTTGTTCATTAGTACGACCTGACGTATGAACTTGTCATGTGATGGCAGGCTCTTGTGATGAGCCACTACTCATACCTTTGCACTCCGTGGTCTTCAGTGCCGTGTTAAATCTGCCGTCTGGGGGGAAAAGGCGAGCTATGTAACTGCAGGAATAACACCAGTCAGTCAGGACTTACTTATACTACTTATGATGCAGCTTATCACTTTGAATGTTCAATAGAGCCATCTTTTGATTGTTTTATATCATAAATCTTTCCTACAGCATCCAAGCAGCACTCCTCATAACCAAGCAAGACAGTATTCTTGAAAGCACATTATCTCTCCTATGGCATAATATCACGTGAGTGGTATAGAACCTCTTGACCTTGTGAGCCCGGAGTACAGCTCTCTGATTGGCCGGTCTGGAGTCCGCTGCACCGAAGACCTCCCGAGTCCTTATAACGAACATATTTGGGTGTGCTGCATTAATTTGCAACTGCGGGGTCTCACAGTCACTTATGAGTAAGTTAATATCTATCCTCGATTGAATAACGAGTCTAACTATCAGTTTGGGTCGAGCTGAGCGAGCCTCAAGTTATCAGGCGGACTGTGGTAGCTTCCGAACAACGAAGCGATAAGATAAGGTAACATTCAGAAGAGTACGGAGTAGAACAGCACCAGAAGATGCCGTGCAAAAACCCTTCAGGTCCGATTCTAGTTGTCTGACATTGGGATGTGATATATGCAGGTCGACAGCCAGTTGAGTACTGTGGTCATCGTAGCCAAGGAGTTCTGCAAGATCGACCAACATTCAGAATGTCGTTGCAGATGCATTCAGCTGAGGCCAGTAGCCGTCGTTCTGGATGGATCGTGCATCACTGATTGATTGATAAATTGCTACAATAAACTTGAATAGTACAACGGAATCAAACCCGGAACAGTCAGGATGAACGACCGGGTCAGCAACCTTGCTTTACTTTTCAAGAACCTTTCTCATCTGCTTTCTGCTCGCCCCGAAGGTCCTCCCGCAGCCATTTTGGAGATCCTCAGCCGATGCGCCATGCAATTTTGGCCCCTCCTTGCCAGGTACCAATGAGGAGGAGAACGGAGGCCATCCATCACTTAACTAGCGTCATCCCATCTCATCATGGATAAGTTGCGCATTTGCCTCCCAACCCCTCCTCTCGTTCAGAACTGACCTTTATCACCTACTAACTGCTATACCTACTGTCACCTTACAGTAACTACCTATTCGATCCCTACTACTATCTATACCTCTCGAGTACTAGTACTGCGCTTTCTCTTTCTCTTTCTCTATCACTCATCGGTAAGTCACAATTTACCCCTCCCCCTCACCTTCCCCCGGCCACTTCTGGACCACTTGCATATTCTTAGCCCCAACAAGAATAAAATCGAGGGTCAAAAAAAGAAAAGAGGAAGGAAAAAAAAAAAAAAAGGCAAACATTGCCAGCTTTGCTTCTTGACCAATTTTACCGCGGTGTCAGATTCCTCCTACTCCCTTTTGCCCCCCCGCTTTACCAGCCGCGTTGTCCGTCCTGTGCTCTCCCTCTCTCCCTCTCTTTCTCTGTCATCAGCCAAACTCGCGCTTGCTGCATCTGCCCACTTTTGCTGACTGCAATCTTTTTTTTTTCTCCTAAGATTCAAATTCCCCTCTTCCCATTCCCTTTCCCTCCTCCCCCTCTCTATCTCTTCTCATCTAGGCTTAATAGACGAGTCGACTTGCCACGGTACGTGTCTCTTCATCCTTATCTAGTCTACAGAAGCATGAATGCCGGAAAAGTGCCTCGGAGCGATTGTCGGCAGTCATCGTCTCTTATCTGGCCAAAACCCGGCTGAAGAGGGGATTTTCTGCAGGGTTTCCTCTCCCAGAACAGAAGCCCACTGTCGCAAGCATTCTCTCCACATTTCAGCCTATTCCCCTGAGTCATTCACGTACCCTGACTTCCATTCTTCTTCACTTCTGTCTGTGCTTGTAATTCCTTGGATCTGACCATTTACTCATAATCCCTCCAGAACTCTACCACTCTCACCAGCATGTCTAAGCTTTTCGTTGGGTAAGTCCAAACTATCCCGACTATCTACATTCCGCATGATTGAGAACTAATCTGGTGTAGTGGCCTGGCCTGGCACACCACTGATGCAACCCTCCGCGATGGCTTCCAGAACTTCGGAAACGTCGAGGAAGCTGTTGGTGCCCCTTTCGTTTCTACTTTGTTGTTATCTTAAGCCGCATCATCTCATGAATTCTCTTCCAGGTCGTTGTCAAAGACCATGATACTCTCCGTAGCCGTGGCTTTGGATTCGTCCGATTCGCGACCGACGAGGAGGCCGACAAGGCGATGAATGCTATGAACAACCAGGAGTCAGTAGCCCAATTCAAGTCTCGTTTTTTTCTCGAGTCACTACTTATTCAAAACAGATTTGATGGCCGAATTATCCGGGTCGATAAGGCTTCGGAGCGGCCCCGCGGTGGCCCTGGAGGCGGCGGCGGCGGTTTCCACGGTCGAGGAGGCTACAACCAGCGCGAAGGGGGCAATGGAGGTTACGGTAACCGTGGTGGATACGGTTCGTCAACCATTCCCTCAAGACGAACGATAAGTGCCAGCTAACACAGATATAGGCGGAGGTGGTGGTTACGGTGGTGGCGGCGGTAGTAAGTCTGAGATATCCCTTGATCGCGCCTTTCAATCTTGCTGATGATATGATTATCAGACTGGCGGAGTTCCAACCAGCAGCAGGCTCAGCCGTACGACCCAAGTCAGGCGGATGCTTGAGTGCATGCGCGCGTGCATGTCGAACCCCAGGACCTGTCTTGCCCTTTCCTCCTTCACCTTGACCGTGTTATTCCATGCAATCCCTGCTACCAGCCCCTTGTTTTCAGGCACGGAATGTGAATACGAAGGAACGAAGTCCCGAATCTTTTCATGACGATTTACCTCAAGAATGACTGGAACGATCACTGCCCCTTGCCATGTCCTTTTCTTCTCAAAGCTTTCATCTGTTGTTTCCCCTGGTTATGTCTCCCGATCCGGGGTCCTTCTCTCTCCCACTTTTGCGATTGGTACTTACATCGATGTAATTTGGCCATTATGGGTATTTGATCTTTTGAGCCGATCGTGAGAAATTGCAGAACCGTTGTGCTTCCCAAGAAAAAGACAAGGAAACGTCCCGCAGGTCTATGTCCGGTTTGGACAATCCTCCAGCAGGGAGGAACTTTTCCCTTCTGAAAGCTACTAGAGTCTAGACATTGAGGAAGGTATAGTAACCACCGTACAGCAGTGAAGAACAAGCGCAGTTGCGAACAGGAAACACGAAACAAATTGCTAACTCTATCCGGAAGTCACCACGCAGGGGTTTGATACATAGCAATCTTAAATCAACGGTGCATCGTGCATGGTCGATGCGACTCAGGTGCATCACGACTTGACATGATGATTCATTAAAGTTGTGAGGCCAAGGCAGCCGGAGCAGATTTGGAAGCTTTGCAAGCTTGGCGAGGTGCCATAGCAATGGTCCCCAATTAGAAGGAATCTCTTGAGGTGTGAAGTAGTGTAGGCGAAGGCTGGCAGGAGAAGCAGTTATAAGGAAATCGCTGTTGTGGACAGTATGTGTCTGCAAGGGCTGATCTGTTACTTGGTGCGATCTATACTATATCAAGCAATATGTGCATCTGAACCGCTGTTGGAGGGGATAACTTGGTTCAGTCACTTGTCCAGTGGACTATCACTTTACTATCTTATTTCGACAACTTGGGAGCAAAAATAACACCGTACATCAGTAACACGAAAAGATGAGAACATATCACCTGTAGTTCGCCGCAAGTAGCGGATCCCTCAAAGCGTAGATAATATCAAAGACGACTCAACCTGCAGCGCGCACAGGCCCGCAGGTTGCATTGAAGATATTAGTAGATGAAATACGGGAGGTTGAAGGAGCATTCTTCGCACTTATGAGCGCCTTTAACATACTTCCAAGTGTGTGATCATACTCGTGGTTTTTTACGAGGATTTGTGCCACGCGTTGAACTTCATGCTGGGTGGAGGACCAATCGATCTCGGCCAGCGACGTGTTGGGCTCGGAGCAACAACCTTGTCTCCTCCCAAAGCGGACATGTGCACAGCTTCCAGTCAGAGCCGCAGACATAGCAGAAATCAAATCTACAACATCCCTGCCGTAAGGGACAACTTGTGTGAGCTGGACGGCGAGGCAAAGTCATAAGAAGACTCGACTTACGTGATATGGTTGCAACCTGTTCCTAACTCGATGACATGGCTGCATCGGGAACAGCGCTGCCATCCCTGCTCATTAGCAAGAGCTAGAACAGCTTTGTCCTCTTTCTCTTCATCCTCACGTTCGGTCCCTTGATTTGTGGCCCGTTTACAGAGAGTACAAGTCTCCTGTCCACAAGTCTTGCATGTGCCAATATAACCTTGCACCTGATACGGCGTCAAGTATTGGCCACAGTCTAGCCTGGAACAGTAGGTCTTTTGAGGATCCTCCCGTTCGATTAACTTGTCGTCTAGCTTCTTGCCTTATTTGTGGCCTATATGACCATGGTGCGTGAACGGTGGAATCTTCACGCGGCAACAACGGAGCGGAAGAAGCGATTCATCTGCAAGCGCCTCTCTGACCAGACGGCGGGTGCAGGTGTGATAGTACTGATGTGAATTGGTATACCTCACAGCACGCAACACACTCAGACTTGCCATTGCCAGCGGTCCTTGAAGGCACAGTACCGTACTCAAGAGCCAATGTGGTGCGCGCGGGTAGCAAGGCAGAGAGGTCAGCACTGTCGATCTGTTCAAGGATTCTGGTGGCATCCCGGATCTGTTGCGCAGCGAGGCGTTGTGCTGACTCGCTTTGGGCCTGTTCCTCTTGGGTACCATAGCGAAGAGCCAGCGTCCGGTTGGCAAGCGTCCTGCTTTCTTCCTGAGTAACTAGTGTGATAGCCACGCGGTCATCGTACGTTGCTCAATTAATACCATGGGCCACCTGTTTGTCATGAGTGATTGTAGCGCACTGTTGGATTTGGAACGCCCAGTCCTGTAAAGCCAGTTCTTGGTCAGAGGGTTCATTGTTTGTTGTGCTGCGCTCGGTCTTGCTAATTTCAATCTCTTCCTGCACGTTCATTTAGGACAGGCGCAGGATCAGTTCTTCTGAGTCTTGATTCATGCTTCTGAGGGCAATGGAAGCTCAGAAAATGAGATGCTCATGGATGAAGGAAGTGAAGTCGGAAAAAGAGGGATGAGGAGGTAAATGAGGAGGAAGAGGTGAAGAGGTGAAGAGCATGACTTGTTTGTTGAAGTTGTGTTCATATGCAGATCAACAGACCACCAACGGAAACGAGAAGTTGGTGGCCAAGGGACAATAAGGAAGGATGCCTGTTTAGGAAGGCACCGACTCTGACTCTTACATCGCCGACTGAACGACATCATGCTGAGGCAAGTGGAAGCGATCCGTCTTATTCCTTCCATCTCTTCTTGTACATACGGCGACCACTCAACAATCAATCCCTCCGTCAGCTGTCCAACCCACCATCTGCTTGTTTCCCTCGAACTCATTATCATGTTTACTATTGATCCGCAACATGACACGCCTCAAGGCACCGATGAAAAAGTCAAAGCCTGGATCTTAAAAATGGAACAGGAGCCGCCTAGATTCTACAGAGCAGCTCCCGTACCCCAGGAAGCCACCGAATCGTATCATGACAGACCCAAGAACAAATTCGAGCGCCGCAAGAGAAACCGAACCAAGCACGATCGCTATGACTACAAGGAAGAGAAAGTCCAAAGAAAGCTTGAACGTATCTCAAAGCAGCTCAACCGAGAAATCGCGCGTAATTTTCATGCGCCTAATGTGCCTCAAGAACGGTTAACAGTAAGCCATCTCTATTATTCTACTCTAGTAGAGCTACTATAAAGATGCTAAACCAGGTATAAGATCAACCATCGCCAAGACCTGGGGCTTTTCAAGAACGGAAGAACATCTTCTCCTATCAGATCTGGCAGTAAGATTTCCCAAGAAACGCTCGGCTCTGGCTTGCATGAGTGCATCCTGATTGTGCTTTAGTGCCCACGCTTAGATTTTTGGAGAGAGACTTTCTATCAGGGATACCTCAAAGTCATCTTCTTTCGCAAAATCTGTCTGGGGTCTGCCTCGAACCATTTCGTTTCCATGGCGAAAAAAGCCCAGCTGGTGGTTCGTTACAGCGCTCAGCCGATCATTCGGAGCCCCTGCCACAATCTATCGCGGATAAGCGCAACGGCAATCAGCTAAGTGTTGGTACGAGGTCGACGGTGTTGGATCTTTCCTCAAAACCCGATCTAGAAAGCTATACAGGAAAGCTTCTGAGGATTGACTTCCGTCCACCAACCAATGCTCCCAAATCAGGAAAAGTCTGGACTCTTGAAGATTTGCATTGCTTACTCGGTGAAAGAGAGATTTTCTGGAACTGGGAAAAGGAGGAAGCTCAAGACTCGCAACGCAGCAGAGACTCTTTCGAGAGAGGTTTGTTGAAACACATGCTTTCATCCTCGCCCATCCGAACCGAGATCATAGCAGATATACCACCCAGGAAGATGCAAAGGACTGAAAGAGGATATGCCAATCAGCAGAGCTACAGCAGCCCAGATACCGCATTTCAGCCTGAGAAGGTGGAGGAGGACCAATTACTTCCACAATGCGCAGCTCGACAGCAGGAACCCCCGCGAAAAGTAACCCAAGACTCGACCACCCCGACCAAGTCATTCAAGCAAGATATCTCTTGCAGAGTCCACCAGGGAAACATGCCCAGCAATTCTTACAGCCCCTGTCTTGACGTGGTTTACCTGGATTCTCGCAAAGCACAAATGCTTTTCCGGGGGACACAAAGCAAGCCCGATGCGATCAATGATGATTCCTTTCCCTCCAGTCCCAGCAAAGTGGATCCCGCTGCCCTTGAAGCTGCGTGTGATGCTATCTTGGCCACCGAGCGGGACTTCTTTTTGCCCATTGAGGCGGCTTGCACACGGCGCCGCCGTATGAGTCACAAACCTAAGAAAACGACACGCAAATTGGGGGGTAAGCCGGACAAAAAGCGTCCTGGGGAGACCACCCTTGAGACTAGGCATCGGTACGCCTTCGACGACAGCGTTTGCCCTAACCTCTCAAGCATTACAGGTGATAAAATGAGAACCGACGCAAACGACGTGTTGAGAGATGTGTACATTTGGACACCCTACAACAGTGGTCAGTTCACCAAGGATGAGCAAATGCAAACGCATTCTGGATCTGTGTTGCATGCAGAAGACTGCTTAGACTGCAGGCTGCGACGGAGTCTTGGCCCTATTTACCAACCTACAACAGGCCCGCAGATGGATTGCGGCGACAACCCGAGAGATTTCTGGCAGCGGAGAATGCTGTATTGAGGGCTTGTTGTCAATTCTCACGTTTTGAGCCTCTGATATTTTGTATTTGGTATTCTGACGAACATGGTTTTGCATATGTTGGGGCCAAGCTCGGTTATGTTTGGAAGGGAAATAGCTTGTTGCCACAATTTGCTTGGGAATGTAAGAAGATCACCATGTATTGCTAGTTTCTGTGAGACTCTGATTGCTGTACTTGAAGGAAATAAGAAAATAATCCGAAACAGAACAAGCGTTTTAGAAAGTATGATGCATCAGTCTAGGATTGCGGATTCAGCCCATGACAATCAGATGAGACTGGTCCTCTGAATTCGAGTACTATACCAAATTCGACTGTAGTTCCCTGTCGAGAGTTATTTGAAGGCTGCTGCACCACGGATTACACGCCCTGGGACATGGATTGGCTCACAGGGCATCGTTTCCGTCCATGTATGCCAGTAACTATGGGATATCTGTATGTGATGTCACAAGCTTATAACTGGGCTTGGCTTTTGTTACTTGAATCAATAGATTGAAAACAACCCTAGTTCAAACTCTCCCCTCCCTCTCTTTTGGTCTTCTCCTCAGGGCATGTTGCATGTTCTTTTCCGTCATTGTCCATCGTCCGCGGGACAGAGTGACAATTGCCAGCAGGCGGGCTGCAGTACGATGTATGATGAGCTCATCAATGTAACCTCAGTCGTCTTTCACCGCACGGACAGCCTTACTGGAACTTCCTTGACGCTTGACAGGGCTCTGGGTCAGCGGGGTTATAGAGCGAATCAATCCCCTGACTGAATACGCCAGCCTGCAGGAAAGGATGTGGTAATGCAGCAGGCTTTGCTATCAATCTACGCAGAAAACCATCTGGGCGGGGAGAAGGAGGAGAATCGCATGAGGAACAAGCAGGCAGACATTAGAAGGCATCAAGGCAACAGGCAAGCAACAACCGACAGACCAGATCGACATGTGCTCGTTAGATCCAGTGGACGAATGATCTGGAATGAACTGCGCCAGAAGTACTATGCGTTAGGGCCAGGCTATGCTGCAGCAGGCCTAACCAGGTAGTCGGGACAAACATGCCTGCCAGGGAAGATGTGCATATATGAGGAAATGATTTGCGCACACGGGGGCTGCAGGAACCAGTCCGTCGGAAATGCGTTGGCCTGTTGCACTCGGTCCTTTGCGGAAGATTGTGGAGGAGGAGGGTGATTGGGGGGTACCTTGGACGTGTAGGCTAGAACTGTATCGATTTTCTGGAAACGGTTTGGGTCATTGTTCATGTCCAGAGACCCAAGGGTGGGTTGTCGGGCAGTGATCCAGGCTTAGGGCTGATGTCAAGGACATGCTTATTTTCTTCTTCAATTTCCCGTTTGCTGCTTGACCATTGAGGTGTATTCAGGAACAGTATGATTGAAGCCTAGCCAACATATTGAGCGATCAGTGAATGCCTCGGTTCTTGCCTTTTCAGTTGGGCTCCTCAAGAGTCCCTTTGCTTGTCTATAATGTTCTCATCTTTTTGCTCATGTTGCTGGCTACCCTTGTCTCCCCAGAGACTCGGCTCTAGTGTACCGCGTCTTCGCATCTGAAGACCTGGATGACGGGTCTTAGTCACCGCCAGACTCGTAGGTCAGGCCAGTGTAAGCATGCAGACAATGTGCCCAACTGTTAATGTCGGCAGCGACAGGAGAAGTAAATTCGCTGCCGATCCGGACCCGAGTACCTGGGCCGGACTCGGGGCGAGATCCTTCCGGCTTGCATGTCCATCTTCACTGCATGCAGTGTTTCCTATCCATGAAGTATATGACCTAAGTCTCTGATAGGTCCGTTCTAGCTGTCTAACGCTTCTCGTAAGTTTGAGAGGGATCACATGCCAAGACATACGTGCAGATTTGGTGCTCAACTATCATTGTCTAGTTCAGCCAAACACGAAAAGGAAAAGGTAGTGGACATTCAGCTTGCGGCGTGACTTATGGCTACTTTCTGGTTCGCCATGAATATCTCCGCGGAGAGAAAGAACAAGTAGCGAAATGCTAGGTTGTTTGTCTGTGCATGTAGGGGGCTTGAGAGCCATTGTTCTTCATGACATTGTGTTAGCACAGGGCAATGTAGGCTTGGGCGAACTGACCCTATTCGCAGCAGGGGCTGTGCATTTCGTTCTACGTCTGTGTTAGACGCCGGTGGAGGCGTGACATGAAAGTACGAATACACCTTATATTTTCGTTGCGCTGCGATGCTTGGGTCCAGATGTTGCTGACGTGGATGAGCTTAAACCAACAAGGGAAGGAGTCGTACGATATCACCTTACCTCGACTTCCTTCGAATCGTAAAAGCTAAGTCGTGTCATCAGCCACTTGTTGCATTCAATCAACATGTTTTATTGGCTTGCTGCACGCTGCTGTGTCGAGTTTCCCGGCCGTAGGGGGTTGAAATTTGTCAGGGGCCACGTATGGATTGAGATGGGAATAAAGCGAGTGCCTGGCTTAGCTCAATTGACTTAGCGGAAGTCAAGGGGGGGTAGGAGGACATATTTTACTGACGTGCCTTTGGTGCGGTGAGATATAAAGAGGTCCAGCTAGCGATAGGCAGTCGAGGAAAGAACGCCAGCCACCAAAGGAAAATGTCCAACAATGACTTCCAAGACCTTCCTTCCACTCGAGTATCGGCTGCGCCAGCCTCAACAGCGTTTTCGGCGTCATTGACAGAGAGCAACCTTTCTATTCACGAAGAACAAAGCGAACGGGTTTGTAAGCCCTCTTTCCTCCATTTCTATGACCAAACTGAACAATAATGACTGAAACCTGCCAGCACCGCTGACATGTTCATTCCAGCAAGCTCTTTCCGAGCCTACCGTCCCATCATGGATCGACACTTTGATTGCGGAAGAGCGTATTCATGCCTATCACTCCCAGCTCGGTTCCTCTCTCTGCGAGCTTCCTCTTTTAGCCAACCATGAGACGAAACTAGACACGGAGCAGCAGCTCGCCCAAGCTCAAGGTCCCTATGCTTCTTCTGCCAAGCAACCATCAACTGCTCAGCCCGCTGCTGGCCCTGACAATCACGACCAAGTTCCTATTTCACTGAAACTTTTCGAGAATATGGGATCTCTGGGCCAAGGCAGCATACGCCACGAGAGACCGCTGGAGCGCTTCCTCACGCCTGGATATAGTGACCCGTGCTTTTATACGAAGCCTGCGCTGGCGCAGATAGGAGTCAAACTAGGAAGTATGGAGGATAAGGAGAAAAGAAAGCAATTGGCGAGGGAGAATGTCGAGCTTGCTGTTTCGAGGCGGGTGGACTCCTCGCCCTAAAATTTTGGTAGAGCTTCTCTTCAACTTCTCTTCTATTTGCGAATTGGCAAATCATCTTCTTAGACTTGGTCGAACTCTCCCTATCTGTAATCACCCAGGCAAAACCCTAGATGGAAGCTCGAACTTGGATAAGCCTCGTGGCTGATATATGGGTATACTTCTTCTAAGAACAACAATGCTATGCTATGAAATCGACACAAAAATGAACTAGACGAATGTCCCAAGAGAGACAGTCCTATTGACTTGAAATCGGGGCAGAAGACATCGAATGGTCAGTTCAAATTCAGCACCCCTCCGTCTCCAGCTTCCTCTGTGTTCCTGCAGGGCAGCTCCACGAGAACGGTACATCTTGGTACCATTACCGAGCTCACCGGACGCCAGAACTAGTAGGATGCTGCAATGAACTCACCACCGAAATCAGCGCAAAAATATCCCTATATTCAACATATAAACACCTTCTATCTTGCGCAACTCCGCTCATAGAGGGGAGAGCGCCCCTACAGCGCCGGCTCCCTTGAAGGCGGCCTTGTTGCTTACGACCACCTCAACAGGGTACTTCCACTCCATGAATCTCGTCCAACCTGCAATTGAATCGGATGTCAGAACCACATTCTAATCGGCAATAGGCAACAGCAAAAAGGAAGGGTAACATACTCCAATACGCGCATTTCCGGCCCAAATATTTTCCCACGAACGGCACAAACACCATTGTGAGAAGCATCTCCAACTGCTCGAGACTTTCGCGCCATTCTTCTTCCGCGTCGGAGTAATCTGAGAGGGTGTCGAGGTCGGAGCCAGAGGTGGACTCGGAGGGGAGCGAGGCAATGTCGTCGTCTGAGGCGGAGGAGTAGGAACGGTCGCGGGAAGAGACCATGTAAGCGGAGGTGGTGAGGGAGGGGTTCGAGGCCGAGGGCGAGGCAGACATTCTGGCAAGGATCTGGGGTGTTTTATTGGATGGGTTGAAATGTATATAGTAGCTGGTTTGCGTAGGTATTGAGGAAGGGTGCGGGGACGGAGTGGGAGTCTGTAATGGTGGAATCGTCGGATGTGATAGGTTATTTTTCGGTTCACGAAGTGAAAACTCTTGCCAATCCGAGAAAAATCAAAATCAAGCAGTGGCCTGCCTACCGCTTGAGCAACGAGTTCAGCATGAGCCACTTGGTCGAATGTAGTAGGGATTCGAAGGATAGAGACGGATGGGGCTTGAAGCTCGGCGACGGTAGTCCTGGGTCAGTGACGAATCGGCTTCGGGATGGTCTGATGTAATCATGTCAGGGAACTGAGGCAGCAAGGCAGAAAGGCACAAAGGCAACGAGGCGTCAGTCATGTGCATTCTTGTGTGGCCTGAGAGGCTCACTGACAGTACGGTAATGTAAATACAGCCCTGAGTCACTGTGGAAAGTCACGTGATGTAACCCGCGATAACAGAATCGCCATCAGATCACCTCCCAAACCAGCAACATCTAACGGAGTTTCCAAGAAGATCGACCTCATCATTCTACGAAAAGTATCCTTTCCATCCCTCAATTCTGATTCTCGGACGGTTCTTGTTCTGCCCCGTGTGGACTGAGTCAACATCGAATATCATAAGCGCCGAGCCAATATGGCGGACACTGTACGTCACAAAGCCCGTTTTCCCTTTACCGATCGCCCTCCCACATTTTCTTCATCCATTTCATACCCGCTGTTCTCCCCAAATCACCTCGTCTTGCCCGCCTCAAGCATCCCTCTTTTCCCTTCTCCTGTCGGTCACGTGGTGCTGCTACTCAACGAGCGGTACTTTTCCTGAGACCTTTGCTGTCAGGGCTTTTCTCTTTGTTGGGTTACTATAATTTCGGTGCCCCGCTAACCTGTTGGGCTGTCTCGTTTCCCGACTAGCAGGTCGAACCCAAGCAACGCAAGTCCGTCGCATTCAGTGAAGGAGACGTCATCATGGATACCAACGGCGAAGTCACAGAGACCCCCCAGGTCGAGAAGCCTGTTGAGGCTGGTGAGGGTATGTTTCAGTCTCCTATACCTGGGATGAGTTGCTCCATCTTATCCCGAAAAATCTACCCGACACGCTCAAAGCTCACCTTTTTTTCCCTCTCATGAAAATAGACAAGGCTGTCGACGAAGTCACCGAGCTTTTCAAGGGCTTGTCGAAGAAGAAGAAGACCAAGAAGCCCAAGGACACGGAAGCCGGCGAAGGCGATGAGGCCTCTCCTGCCGCGGATGGCGAGTTCGACCCCACCGCTCTGAAGAAGAAGAAGAAGAAGAAGACCACCAAGAAGGTCGACACCGACGATTTCGAGGCTAAGCTGGCTGAGGCTGGTGTCTCGACCGCCGCCGGTGCTGGCGAGGACAAGGAGGAGGAGGTCCCCGAGGGCGACCACGAGGCCGGTACGGGCATCTGGGCCCACGACGCGACGCAAGCCATCCCCTACTCGCTGCTTGTCTCCCGATTCTTCTCCCTCATTCAGAGCCACCACCCCGACCTGCTGTCCAGCGGCACCAAGTCCTACAAGATCCCCCCGCCCCAGTGTCTGCGTGAAGGTAACCGTCGTACCATTTTCGCCAACATTGCCGATATCTGCAAGCGCATGAAGCGTTCCGACGACCACGTCATGCAATTCCTGTTCGCCGAATTGGGTACCAGCGGTAGTGTGGACGGTTCCCGCCGTCTGGTCATCAAGGGTCGTTTCCAGCAGAAGCAAATTGAGAACGTCTTGAGAAGATATATTGGTATGATTACCCCATTCCTCCGGTTCTGTCTCGCGCACTAAGTCTGCCTACTTACACCTTAACAGTCGAGTATGTCACTTGCAAGACCTGCCGCAGTCCCGACACCGAGCTCAACAAGGGTGAGAACCGTCTATACTTCGTTACCTGTAACTCTTGCGGTTCTCGTCGTTCCGTCGCCGCCATCAAGACTGGTTTCCGTGGACAGGTTGGCCGCAGAAAGAGACAGGGTTAAATGGTTTGAGCTTTGGGGGGATCTTATCTCTTTTTTCTACACTCCTGAGAGGCGCAGAGACAGCAGGGACTGGGAAACAAGGTGGGGGAAAAGCAAGGCAGAATGAGGCGTTTGGCCTCTATCATGGAATCAATGAGTCTTTTGTGTGGCATGTTTCCCATGCTCTTTCTTCTCTATTCATCCCTCTATCTCCTTCTCTTTGCCTCCTCTCTCTACCTCGTGACGGACATGGTTATGATTTCATATTCCCACACCCCCACCCTTTTCTAACTTCTCTCTCGTATACAAAGAACTTCCTTATTCATTCTCTTTCTCCTTTTGGATTATGCATCCCCGTTTGTTCGTGAAAAGCATTATGTCTCCATGTGGATAATGGGAAGTTATGCGGAATGACTATATGTCTCTTGACTGGTCTGGCGGTGGGTTTTCGCTGTTTGAGCGTGCTGGGGGTTTTGTGGAGAAACAGTAAAGGAGATTTGGGAGAATGAGGGAGGACGGTTTCTTCTAGCATGGCATGATAGTTGAATGGAGAATGGACTGGAATGACCTATAATCTGTAGAGCAAAGATTGCATTGATCCTCCAATACTAAGACAGGCCAGTTGCTACTCGGTTGGTCGATTTCTTTATACAAGAAAAATACTAAGTACAAATGCTAATATAAACAAATGCGCATCTCGCAGTACGAAACAAATCCAAACAATCTGGTCTCGCTTCAAACACAAACATATAAGACAGAAGTCGATTCACAATCAAATGTGCAAAACGAAGGCGTCACGAGGTATACAACGATTAAGTTAAGATACAAAAGACACGGAACTAGCGGGGAACCAAGATATATCTCAAAAAAAAAAAAAAAAAAAAAAAAAAAAAAAAAAAAAAAAGGATGTTTGACCAGGAGCTTTCCCGAATGCATGCCTACTACTTCAGGTGCTGGACTTCCCACCGTTGATATGCGCAAGGAAGGAAGACACATTACGGGTCTGCATGTACACCGTGCCAGGGCCGGTAAACCGACAGGCCAGACCCTCTCCGGCACTCCAGTTGGAGATGATGCCGCCGGAGGCGACGCGCTCGATTTTGTATTTGCAGTTCCACGCCACCAGGTGTCCGTTGTTCACGAAGTAGATTTCGTCCTCGGCGAGCTGTAACGGATTTCGAGTGTTAGAGATGTCGACCGGGGGGGTGGGCAGAGAGTCGCTGGCTGGGAGAAGGAGAGAAGGGTGAAGGGACCCAATTGCCTACCTCTTTCTTAACGATGGCGCCGAAGCTCTGCATCCAGAGAATCCCGGCGCCGAATATCCTGTAGACAAAGAACCCCTCGCCGGAGAACACGCCCTTCATGATGCCCTGGGTCTTGTACTCTGTTTTGACGCCACTGGTCGCAGCGAGGAAGGCATCTCGTCCCACAGTCCATTCTTGTTGTCCGTCGATTCGGATAGCGGTGATGTCGCCCAGGACGGAGGGAGCGAGCAGGAGCTCTCCAGGCCCGGTGTAAGTCGAGCGTGCGATCTGGCCGCCTGCGAGGGCTTTCATCCACCCGAAGGAGAGCGAGCCCCTCAGAGAGATTGTAGGCGACATAGCGATCATGATACCTGAACGGTAGGGCTAGTGTGTTAGTATCGATCCGACTTGGATATGTCATTCATGAACGGGGGTCAGATAGACAGACCAGGTCTGGCCTGCAGCGGACACCCCATAGCTAATTGGATGGTCAGGAGACTGTTGGTGTCCCGATGACTGATCCTGTAGCTGCCACCATTGAAGGTCCCCACGTCGTCGATGTCAGTGGACGATGCGCCGATAAAGTTAGCAGAAGCCAAAGGACCCGACTTGCTGCCGAGGGACATGTCCGTGTGGGCTCTCGTAAGCGTTGTGCCTGACGGAGGTCTATCTGAGGAGCTTCGAATGGCTGTGTTGGCACCAAACGAGCCGGTATTTTCGGTAGCATATGTCGCTTTCTCGTTCATAGGTGGTGTAGGGGGCTTGTTCTCGCCATGTGAATGCGCCGGCTGCTGAGGTGGCGGCGGAAAAGTGAGATTGGGAGGCGGAAAGCTCGGGGAAGCCTGAGGGGGCGCGTAGGCTGCTCAGAATGCATTAGAAGACCTCTTTCTTGTGTTAGAAGTGGTGACATACTGGGCGCGTTAGAGGGATCTTTGTATGTGACGGTGGTGGATTAGTCGGCGCCGTGCTCGGAAAGATCAAGTACTATAGGACAGACGTACAAGCGAACGAGCCCTGGCTCGGCGGGGGCCGATATGCAAATTGTTCAGACATGATTATTGTTTATACGACTTAAAACTGCAGGGTATCTACACAGCAATTCTTAGCACGGTTTAGTTGATAGAAGGGTCAGACTGCGAACCTCGGAAGAGAACGCGCTCGACTTACCAATGCAACTCTGCGTTTGGGGGCAATAACAGCTCTGGCGATTGGCGATGAGCGGGGTAAATAGGCGAAGTCCCAGTGTTATATTCTCAGCTGCGGCGCTGGTTCGGTCAAATAAGCTGCTCTGCTCTTCCAGAGAAACAGAAGTCGTTAGGGCATTTGAAGAGAATAGGGAAGTCGCAGTATGAGAGATCGGCCCGAGGAGAAAAGGCAATGCCATCTTTTTAAGTAATTTTTCGCTCCAGAGATCATATGAATGGGAAGGGAGCTTGAGACGCGGCCCTTGAGGCCGGACCAAGCAGCACTACTGCATGGTGATCTTCTCGGCGCTTAGAGGACGTATCCGACAATGCGTGTGGTTGAATTTGGTGTGGCACAGAGACCTTGCCCCTGTCATTGGCGGATGCTTGGGCGCTTCGAGGGAAACTCAACTCCACTGCATGTTCCGATGCTGAAGCTGAAGAGGATAGGTCTCGTATTGACGGCTTAAGCACAAACGACGTTCCAAAACGTGGTGGATGGTTGAAGATGGGAGGATGCTATACGGCGGGGGGGGTATACAAAAACCCCGCACAAATACACACCCATCAATTAGTACTGACTCAGCCACCCATTTCTACCTACTAATGTTGCTTAAAATCCTCAACGGCAGTTACTTTCTATTGTCTTCGCCTTTCTCTGTGCCTTGCTCCAGCAATGCTAACAGATCCAAGCGGCCTTTACTTTGGGCATGGTCAAATACCGTCATGCCATTGTCGTCCGTCCGGAACAGGTCTGGCTTCTTGTCAAGTAGCAGACGAATGACTGCTTCGCCTGCGTGGTACCAGACCGCTGTGATTAATGGAGTACAGCCAGAATCATCCTGCGCATTGACATTGGCTCCATGGCTCAGCAGCAACTGGACCATCTCTTCATGATCATCTGCCACCGCATAGATCAAAGGTGTCCTGCCGTCCGCACAAACGGTCTCAATATCCCCTTGCCCTCGTCTCAAAAGCAACTTCGTGATGATCACTTGGTTGTGGCGCACAGCCGTGTGCAAGGCACTGAATCCCAAGTCATCCTTAGTATCAGGATCCGCCCCATAATCGAGAAGTAATTGAGCCAGCTGCTCTTCGCCCCGGATAACCGCCATCGACAATGGGGTCATTTTGTTTGACTTTGAGCTTAAATTTGCGTCTGCCCCGTTGAGAAGCAGTGACCGGGTGGCTTCTATGCTGGCGGAACCAACAAGTTCTATAAGTGGTGAGTACCCTTCAAACTCCCGAGTATTGATGTCAGCTCCGTGCCGGATCAACGTTTGAATCGCAAAGTCTGCATTGCACTCTGCTGCAAACACGAAGGCCTTCTGCATCAAAGCCCCATACTCTTGGCCGACCTCAGACCATTTTACTAGAATCCAATGCGCTAGAGCAGTCTGTGAATGTTGAATTGCCCACCTGAGGCACAATCTGTCTTCCTCGCCTGGCACTTGTCTCTCGAAATTGATGTCCATGCCGTGTGTAAGCCATCCTAATATGGTTTCTTGAGCCAGCTCCTGCTCATCTTTTCCGAAACCTGTCGGACAGATAAGGTCTTGACTTGCTATTGATATTGGAGACCCAGCAGTCAAGGACAGTCGGTGCTGCTGAGCACCGTTCCGCGCAGTATGCGCAGTGCTTTCCCGAGGATCTGCCGGAAGGTAAAGGACCTTGGTCGCGCCTAGTGCCTCTAAAGAAGGGATAGCCGAGTGGTTGGGAGCTTTATTCTTGAGTATGTGCCACGCGATCCAGCCAAGTTGACGCGAGAATCGTGCCCACCATGCTTGGTGATCCGCGGAGTCCATCCAACCCGAGCGCCGCCGGAGCCCTTCGTAGAACTTAGCCCGAACGTCAAACTGTAGAAGTGATCGTACTCTATCACATCCCGCCTGTCGAACTACAGCGTCACTGCGGCCCATGGCCCGTTGGCAGAGGTAGCCGAGCTCGAACACGCTGCGCTCAAACTCCTCTCCTTCGCAACGCTCGCACAGCCACCGAGCAACAGCGAAAGCCCCTTCCCAATCTGCGCCGGCTATCAGCTGTTCAATCTGCATTCTGACACTGCTTGTGTCTGCAGCAAACCTTGGCAGCAAAGGCCTGAGAGTCGGAACAATGCATAGTAATGCGTCCTCCCTGGATCCCAGCTTCTCCTGTGTGAAGCACGTCACGAGAAGATCCAAGCGATCACTGAATGTGTTGAATTTGTTCTGGGACCCTTCGCGAATCTCCACCTTGCCTCCAAAGTCCGCGACTTTATCGAATAATACACTTTGTAGAAACCGTATATATAAGTCCTGGGCGACCATCGTCTCCACTTTGTTCTCTGTTTGCACAACGAGTACACCATGGCTGGTAGAATTCCCGCCTTGAGGGAATCCGAACGACCGGTTTTGAAAGGCGATGGTTTTCGAAGGAACCATATGTGCTTCGGTCTGACGGTGAATCCATTTGTGGAACATTAAGTCTGTTTCTTCCTTCGAAGCTTCCGACTCGTTCAGCCCTACGGCACGGACGAGCCCGGTTCGAAGCCATTTGTCATCAGCTTTGATAAGTGACCATGTCCACAGACCGACTACGGCTTCGAGGACTGTCACATCAACCTGCCATCGCAAGGTGTCCTGCGATCGTTCGAGCTTGACAGGGTATGCTTCGTAGTCCGAAATATGAGAATTGCTGTTGAGAGTTTGGCCCTGAACCAGGAAGTCAAAGTTATGGACGTCCTTGTTGATGTGCTTCCAGTCTGAAAGCAAGTTCATTGTCTCCGTGATCGTCTTTGCCAAGCTGCGCGCTACTTCTCTAATGGGAAGATCATCCCAATCCAGACTTTCATGCCTCGCTCGAGACGTGAGATGGGCTAACTGCGCCCTCGTCTGTATCGCGCTGATACATGCACCAGTGGTTTGTCGTTGACTTTGTGTTGAGCATGTACCCGGTAGCTGGGATGAAGAAGACCGTGACTGCGACGCAGGAGCTGGATTAGCCACCAACTCAAAGACCTGAAGACTCTTGAGATAAAATGTGAAGCAATCCAGCTCTTGCTTTCTGTGGGAGACAAGGTGTCTATTGTGGTCGGAGAACCGATTTTCCTCTGGACCGGTCCTTTTTGTCCTGAGGGAGGCCCTCACGACTGACATCAAAAAGGTCGATCCCACCTGTGCGAGGATGACCGAAGAATGTAGTCCGCGAAAGCCAACAAATTGAGTCACAAACCCGACTACCGTCATGACCACCGTGGACATCAACAATGGTTCCTTCCCGGGGTTCTGGGTGCTTCGGACTGATTTGATGTACATGAGGTCTTTGGTAGCATCCGCACCTGGCCCTTCGTTGACAGCCAGGAAAGCGCCAAACACCTGATCCCCAACACCTTGATCTCCCGGCTGAAGCCAGTATATCTTGCTCGGTACCGTAGGACGAATGTAGCATTTGCTGGAGGAGCGCTCGATGATGAAAGCGCAAAAGAACATCCCGATGCTGAGTAAAATAGATCCCATGAAGAATAGTGGGAAAGCATAGCTGACGACCCGATTCCCATCTTTTTTAAACTGGTCTGGAAACCAAAAGACTGTGATAGCGGAGTAGACGAGCACGCCTAGTATCTGTTGTCAGAATACTACTTGTTCTCTTTGCATCAAAGCGTTTGATCAGCGAAAGTGAAGGCTAATATGCTTACCCACTTGCAATGCAAATCCCAGGGCGGCGGCAGCGTAGAACCAGCCCTGGCTTCTCCGTGCAATGCCCTTGTTGAGAGACAGATTTGGGATGTCCAGCTCAGTAAGAGATTCTTTCTCATCCAGGATCCGACGGCCTTTCCCGGCGACCCAGGCACCGGTTCGGAGCGCTTCATGCAGGGTCCCGATCCTGCAGGCGCGCTGCTGCGTCCTTGGATCCATCTCCTCCCACACCACGATCTCGAGAAGTCGAGGGCGTTCAAGGACTCTAGATACACCGCCGGCGTTAAAGAGCTCAGCAGTGCTCTCCGAGACGCAGGAAAGGAGTTCGTTTTCCGCTTCTCCAGGGCCTTCTTGGGCCCTGCCCACAAAGGCTTTGAGGGATGCGTTTCCGCAGACCCGAATAACGGAGATCACGGCAGTGAGAATACCCAGGGGGGAGACAGCGAAGATAAAACTGTCTAGAATGTTGATTGACTCGGAGAGGTATTGTTTGCTTAGTCGATCTCCGAAGAGGGATATCAGGGGTGCCTAGTGTCATTTGATACTGTTACTACCATGCGCATATATGTGCATGTTCTCCGTGGTTTGTCCACACTTACCAAGTCTGTCGCTAGATCATCGGTGAAGTCATCCCATCCCGTGGCTAGGGCGCTGGGTACGATAGCCAGCAATGCAAATATAGTTAATGCCCGTGACATGAGCGGAGAAGCTGAAACCAAATCACCACGATGCTTAACATTGTACCATAGACTCTCAATGGTCTACCGGCCGCTTCTTGCTTCTAATACTCGAGATATGGAGGGAGCACATGTGGACCCGTCTCAGCCTTGTAGGCGCCATGTTCACAGCCCCATAGAGAGAAGCTGAAGCGCTAACGAGGGTGGTCGGGCGAGCTGGCGGCTACTCTTAAATGCCTATAGGCCATAAGTTCTGTCTCTGGAGACGCTTCTTTTCCCCCACCCCCGCCCCCCCTCTTCAGACAGGTCCAATCTGGGCGAGTCAGGGTGTCTCAGCGTGCCATCCTTGTCTGCGACTTGGTCCTTCCTCCAAACTTGGCTTTTATTTCTGAACATGCTATATGCAAGGGCGAACCCGGAATATTAAGCCTTCTTAGCACTCTTCGAGTCGAATGAGGTAAAATGGCAGATGTTCTTTCGGAGAAAAGCATCAATTAGAGCTGGTCTACGATCACTGCTCTCGGTATTCCTCGGTTTGATCACACATAATTACGGCTTCGGAGAACCTGTCAAGTGCTATTCCAACAGGACTCACTAACTCGCATCGCGAATCAAGAGATTCACAGAGAATTAGAAATATGACTCAAAAAACAACCACCAACGCCAATTCCATGAGCAAACTGAATTGAAGAACACAAGTCACACGAGGATAATCCGCCAATGTTTTCGTATACTTTCTCAAAGTCGCCAACTGCGCGAATAACACTTTAAAAAATGCTGTTCACGATGTTCGAACCGATGGTTGCACCGGCACCGAAGACAGCTAGAGTATTTCGTCAGCAACCAGAGAACATAGAGTAGCATTTGGAAGGACAGTAGCAGTGCTACTTTTTCCGAAGACTACTTACCAGCGTTACCCAGCTTCTTGCCGAACTTCTTGCCCTGTTCCTCGAACTTGCCCTTCTTAGCAGGGTCACCGTCAGGCGTGGAGCCACTCTGGCTCACTTCAAGCGGCATGTTTCCGTAGTTCGTAGGGGGAGGAGACGAGACGGCTTTCTCGTCAACCACATTGACATAGCTGCGGGGGAAGATACCCTCGAGGTTGGTGCGCTCGTTACGACCACGCCACCCTGTAACAGTTTGTTAGTCACAATTGGATTGTCGCCACTGCTAAGTTGGCATGCAGATGTCCTTACAATCGGCGTTCATGTGTTCCAGGACCTGGATACGATCGTGGGGCTGCAGAGCCAAATCGCCGGGATCCGTTGGAGTGTACGCATATAGAGCCGAAGCGATAGACAGCACGGGCGGGGCCTGGGGATAAGCAGGAGGCGGGACGGCCGGGCTGGCGTATGGCTGCGGGGGAGGCTGCGCTTGGTAGGGCGCCTTTTCGTTCAACGAGGCATTGGCAAATTGGTTGGTGGGGGGAGCATAGGGGGCAGGAGACGGTTGTGTTCGAATGGGCAGCGGTGCCACTGGCTGCTGGACGGGTGGTTGCTGAGGAGGCACCGATGATCTACTGCGCTCGTTCTCTTTCGGAAGTTGCGATAAGATTGAGGAGAGTTGTGCACGAGTAATGACCGATGAGTCTACCAGGAATTCGAGCTCCTGCAAGTGTTCATGATATCAGCACTTCAGTATCGAAACGGCCTGGATTCAACCGTGGGGTCCCAAAGTTGGTGAGAAGATTCCACTGACTGATCGGACGTTGCGGAGCGACCGGTTGGTCACAGCCGAGAACAGATCGCCTTGGGATGCCATGACGAACTGTGTGGAGCAAAGACAAGTAAGATAAAGCAACGGATATGAACCGGGAAGAATCAAGTCACAAAGATGATTTGGCTCAAACGAAAGAAAAAATGCTGAAATAAAAGAGCGCACAGAAAGATGGATGCCAGGATGGAGAAGCTGGGAGGCAAATAACAACAGACGATGGATAGATAATGCAGTGTGCCAGTGACTGAATAACGGGAGGCGTGGGCCGCAGGTCTCCAGTTGGTCCCCGCTCCTTACTCAGATTTGGTACCTGAGGCCCCCTCCCGTCTCTTTACCTTCCACTCGAAAAGAGAGCCGAGGGCGGCCTCAGGCCTGTGACTGTTTACAGTAAATTGGCTCCGCCAAAGTTAGCTTGTCTTGTCATTCCAGGCACCATTATTCCCTATCTAGTTCATACTTAGAGTTGGTCGCTAGATGCCAGAAAGGGGCAAGATCAAAGGGTTCCACTTAAAAATCAGTGCTATTCGCATCTGATACCACTGCTCTTGTCGATATCTGCCAAGGTTCAGGACAACCTGTAAGTTCGGAGAAGGTGCATGTCTCGCTTTTCTTCTTGGCCACATAAAAAGGTGCTATTCTTGGAAATTACCTTGTTTGAACTGTTTAAACGCAAGTTTTCACTCTACAAAAATATCATGTGTCTGCTTACTTCATAACGATTGCACATCAAGACACTAGTAATTATATGTATGCATAAGCAAGTATCATGATTCAGGTGATTTTCATGCTACTCAGAATTAGCGTGGATATGATTCAGCGACGAGCTATAATGAGCAACCTGGTGCATATAAGATTCAACCATCTCTTGGAGCAGCAATTCGCTTTATTGGGTTCGATCGGGTGACTGATGGCTTTGCACGGCATTTATATACCAAACAAAAACCGAGCGAGGGGTAGCTGGATATGAAGCTGACAGCTTTAATAGGTCTCTCGAATACTTAGAACCAAACAGCTTCAGTATCTTCACAGATAACTACTACCGAAGGTAGGCAAAGCGCATATGTGTCAAGGAGCAACTAGGGATATTTCTCCGACATAAAACATGTCATTATCAGTAACAGAATGGGTCCGTAAAGGCATGCTTCTCCCGAACACATCTAGCAATAAGGTATACATAGAAGGAGGCGCACATCCTCCAGTTCCCAATATGGACCGAACATGGCGAATTAATCATATAGCCAGTTGATGCACGTTGCAAGCGTCCTCCACGATGAGTGGAAATGTCAATCCGCCCCGTGAAATCGTGGCTTTGTATTAGAACCACCGACGCCAGTAATGAGTCGTGTCAGCAGAAAGAAGACAGCAAGAGGCAACTCCAGCTAAGCGAGAAAGACTCATATTGACTCACGCTGCAATAACTACAGCATGTTTACCTTTTAAAGACGCCGACACTGCCTCGAGGCCCGACGGAGTTAGATAGCCTTAGAAGACCATGATGTCAGCAGCCCTTAATCCTAATTGGGATTAGCGCCCATCGCCCCTCTGACTCCGCCATCGCAAGGGCTCGAGAAGCTTCCGTGGCGGCGATATAAATTCAGCGGGTCTCCAACATCCCTCCTTACGCACATCTCACGCGATCCTTCTCTACCGCCACCTGCTCCTCCTCACCAAAACCACGTTCCCCACCATCCATTTACAACTCATCTCCCACCAACTTTCTCACACACATTCTCAAAATGAGCGACTGGGACTCTGTTACGCGCATTGGAAGCAAGAACCGTGGTGGCCCTGCCATCCGCGAGACCGTCGTCAAGGGCAAGAGTGCTTTGAACGCCGCCCAGCGCCAGGGTCTCGTTATCGGAACCGAGAAGAAGTACGCCACTGGCAATGCTGTAAGTAAACCACCACTTATTTTTCCGCGTCACTGGGCGGTCATTCGCTATCCAGATTAAAATTTGAAAGGAGGGGCAAATCGGACTGACTCTGTGGATTTTAGGCCGGACGCTCCGCTGCCATTGAAGGACAGCACTTGACCAAGGTCGACCGCAGTGACGACATCGTCAAGCCCAAGACTGTCGGCATTCAGGTCGGCGATGCCATCAAGAAGCGCCGTAACGATGAGGGCTACAAGATGACTCAGAAGGAGCTCGCCACCAAGTGCAACACTACTGTCACCGTCATCCAGGACTTCGAGCGCGGTACCGCTACCCCCGACCAGAAGGTCCTCAGTGCCATGGAGCGCGTCCTCAACGTCAAGCTGCGAGGCTCAGATATCGGAGCAGAGAAGTTCCCCAAGAAAAAGTAAATTGACTCGGGGGTGAGCCCGCGACTTTTTCTTCCGGGGAAGTTTTGCTTGAAAGTTTTCCATTTTCTACAATTTCATCTTCTCTCTCCTTATTTAGCCTCCGCTTCACCTTCCAATCGTCTCGGGTTGCCTCTCATCAATTTCGCACCTTCTTCTCTTCTCTACTCGGATGTCACGTCTAACGCACTTTTATTCAATGAGATCTCATGACTCGTTTTTTTCTTCACACCCGCTTTTCTCCTTTGTTTATCTGCTGGTCAGAAGAGCGCTGGCCCCGGTATTCAAGACGGAGTCCATTTTCATTCATCATTCAGAACAAAGACCTTAAGAAGTCATACAGAAAATCATGATTCAGCCTTGTTGGTGGATATTGACTTTTTCCTGGTTTATGCATTTTTCGGGCGAGATAGAATATGTTGCCTAGCAAATTGACCTCGGAATTCGAATGATATGTTCATGAGCAAACTAGCAAACTAGAATTATGAGCAAGAGGAGAGGAAGTCGCAAGCTGTCCAAACAGTAAATCAAAATAAGGTTTCTTTTATTAGGACACACAAAGCGACCAGAAATAGGAAATGGTACCAACTCCGACTTTATCATGGAACAAATGAAATAGAACTCATGCCCTGAAATCGCCTCGAGGTCTTTCTCGTACCGCCGTACCCGGTCTTGCCTTTCTACTTTTGGGAGTATTGTGAAAGAAAAGATGAACTTCGCCTCATGACACATACAAAGGATGCGTAACTGATTTTAAAGAAAATGCATTCCGAACGTCAAATCGCCCTCCTCTACTTCCGCAGCTGCTCCCGCTCGACCTCGTACATGAAGTCAAAGTAAGGCTTGTCGAAGTGGTGCACACGAACGTAACCGTCCTCACCACCGGAGGCGTAGGCGGTACCGGCGGGGTGGACATCGACGGTGTTGAGGGGACCGAAGTGACCCCTGACACGGCCGATCTCGTCCTCGAAGACCTTGTGGTAGAAGCGAGCCTCGAATTTACCCTGGCGAGCGGAGGTCGTGGTGACATCCATGGCGGCCTGACCACCACCCAGAATAACGTAGTCCTTCTTGGGCGTAATCGTGGCGCTGTTCAAGGGAGTGTCGGCAGGGTAGGTCTTGAGAATGGCGAGGTTACGGGAGGACATGAGCTAGAAGGCATGTTAACCAGCTTGCACGTGTCACGGGGAATGTCCAAGTGTGAAAGAAGACCTACCTTGGCGGACTTGTCTTTGGAGGCGGTGATGAAGTGGGTGCGGTCTTGGGAGAATTGAATGTCGTTGATCTGGTGGTCGAACTCGTGGGCCTGGACGTTCTCCAGCTGCTCACCGGTCTGGTTCCAATACCCATGTTAGCAATCATTGCCCTTGTTCCTTTATCCGGAATCCCAGTCTTGTTATGCGCACCTTCTCATCGTACTGGCTGACGCTGCCGTCTTCGTGACCAGCAATGATGTACTTGCCCAGATAACTCCAGCCCGCAACGGTAGCCTTGCTCTCCGTGCAGGTGATCCGCAAGCTGGGCTCGTCGGCCTGGCTCGACAAGTCTTCGCCGTAGCTGATATCGAGGACGGCAATGGTACCCAAGAAACCCATACGCTTCTCTGTCACGGCCAAAAGTCTGCTTCCGTCGGGGCTGAACTCGACCCGCTTCACGGCCGTGGGGAAATCCCACACCTTCACGCACTCGCCGGTCTTGACGTTCCATAGTCGCACGGTGTTGTCTGCCGAGCCCGTCGCCAGGAGAACCGTGTTGGGGCTCACATCGACCGTCCAGATAGCACCCTGGTGTCCGCTGTAGGTACCGAGTCTCTCGCCGTTGGCCGACCACCAGGCGCACACAATTTTATCCTTCGACACGGAGAACAGAAGATCGCCATCGCTGTTGAACTTGATCTGAGTCAGGGCACGTTCCTGTACAGGTGAAAAATGTTAGCGACTACCGTTCCCCCTATCGTTATGTTTTCTGAGTGTTTTCAAGAGGCGCCAGATAAGAGTCTTCGAGCTGGGAGGAGGATGGCAAACGCACATGGCCCGCAAGCAAAATAGGCCTCATCTTGGGCCGACCACGCGATTAGTCTGGGAAAAGGCGATGGAAAGGAAAAGAGCGATAGATCACAGCTGATAGCGTCTGTGACCGGAAGTCGTATAATACCTGCGTGATGAGGCGGAAATCCTTGCGGGGTGCTGGCGGGCTCACCTTTCGTCGGCGTCGTCAGGACTAGTTTGAATTTCATCGCACAGTCCGGGCTCGCGCGCCAAGACTTGCCTGATTGAGCCTGTTCTGTAACGTGGTGACCATACCGGAGAAGTGAGTAATTCCGGTATGGCTCACTATTGCTCACGTGCATGCTCTAACCCTGAGAGCAGTCTTTCAAAAGAGGATTAGTCTTTGTAGTCATGTGATCAAGCAGACCATGCCTCTCCTGGTTTAATTTACGCGCACTAAGCCTAAAGAGAAGCTGCAGTCATGGTCCCTCCAGCCTCACAGCCTGAGGCTCCAACGGCTTTTTTTTCGGGGAAACTTTTCCATGGGAAACAAAGGTAGAACAGGCCGAAAGACTGAAGCCGAGATCAATCGGAACAACAAACTCGAGGGTCAATTGGGCCGGTAATAGAACAATCTAGAGTAGGCAGGCATTTGCTTTGCTTCTGCTGGCGGTTTAGCATGTTTAGCATCAGCTTCATTGCAACCCTTCATTTTTAGGCACTGTGTTTTTGACTGCCTGAATCGATTATTCATCTGGATTATCGGTGGTTTCGCCCCTTTCCCTATCTGCATCTGAGCTGGCCGAGGAAAGCTGCGCTGTGACTCGAACCCAAGCCCAATTCAATGCCGTTCCCCCCCGCCCGTTCGGCTTCGGCGAGTTTACCCCGCTGTGCTGTCAACGCTGAGCGCTCTTATACTCTTTTTCCGAATCAGCTTCACCACAACCCCCGGGCCTCCTTACCTTCCTTCTACCCACGATTACTCTTCTCTGGACGCGGGGCTAGATCTTATCTTCGCTGTGCGTCCTCGTTTGCTCATCGCGGCGTGCTAGGTTTTCCGAGGCTCGTCTCCACACCCTCTGTCCGACGTCCCTTCTCGAGCACCAGACCAGCAGCCATGGCAGCTACCAAGATCGATGGCACCCAGATTGCCAAGAATATTCGCGAGGGATTGAAGACTGAGATCCGCCAGATCCAGGAATCTAACCCCAGATTCAAGCCTAGTCTGGTTATCTTCCAGGGTGCGTCATCACCCCTCATTACCTTCTCCGCACTGTGACCATTCGAATCAGTACTGACTCGACTTGAATTTCTTGTAGTGGGCAACCGATCGGATTCCAGTAAGCCTTCGAACACTAATCTAGTGGAGGATGTTGCGGACGCTAATGCATACCTTCAGGCACTTATGTGCGCATGAAGTTGAAGGCTGCTGAGGAGGTATGTTCTACCATGGCGGAACCAAAGACATCATCATACTAATGGAATTTATCTTCTTACCAGACAAACATCCTCTGCAAAATCATCAATTTTCCCGAGTCCGTTACACAGCCTGAAGTTTTGCAAGAGATCACCAAAGCCAACAATGACCCTTCGGTGCATGGTATCCTGGTCCAGCTGCCCCTCCCCAAGCACTTGTCTGAGCACACTATTACTTCCGCTGTTTCGGACGAGAAGGATGTTGATGGATTCGGTGCGATCAATATTGGCGAGCTGGCTAAGCGAGGTGGCCGGCCCCTTTTCCTTCCTTGCACCCCTAAGGCGGTCATGAAGCTCCTACAGGAGAGCGGCGTCGACCCTGCTGGTAAGGAAGCCGTGGTTCTTGGTCGCAGTGATATCGTCGGAAGCCCCGTCAGCTACTTGCTGAAGAATGCTGATGCAACCGTCACCCTGTGCCACTCGAAAACCCCCGATATCGCTAGAATCGTGAAGAGTGCCGACATTGTTGTTGCCGCCATTGGTCAAACCGAGTTTGTCAAGGGCGAGTGGCTCAAGCCCGGTGCTGTCGTCATTGATGTTGGTATCAACTACAAGGCCGATGCTACTCGCAAGTCTGGACAGCGACTTGTAGGAGATGTTGATTACGAGTCTGCCGTCCAGGTTGCCTCTCAGATCACCCCCGTTCCCGGTGGTGTTGGCCCCATGACGGTGGCCATGCTGCTGGAGAATGTGGTGACTGGGGCTAAGGCATACTTCGAGAAGCAGAAGGATAGACACATCACTCCTCTTCCCATCAAGTTGGCCAGCCCCGTGCCCTCTGATATTGCTATCTCCCGCGCGCAGTATCCCAAACAGATCACCCAGCTCGCTTCGGAAATTGGTATTGCTCCCCACGAGCTCGAACCATATGGCCATACCAAGGCAAAGGTCAGTCTCTCTGTTCTGGACCGCCTATCCCACCGCCGCAATGGCCGGTACATTCTGGTCTGCGGTATCACCCCTACTCCTCTCGGTGAAGGCAAGTCGACTACTACCTTGGGTCTGTCCCAAGCACTTGGTGCTCACCTGAACCGTATTGTGTTCGCCAACGTGCGACAGCCCAGTCAGGGCCCAACCTTCGGTATCAAGGGTGGAGCTGCCGGTGGAGGTTACAGTCAGGTTATCCCGATGGACGAGTTCAACCTGCACTTGACTGGCGACATCCACGCTATCACTGCCGCTAACAACCTTCTTGCGGCCGCCATCGAGACCCGCATGTTCCATGAGGCTACCCAGAAGGATGGCGCCCTCTACAAGCGTTTGGTCCCTGTCAAGAAGGGCAAGCGCGAGTTCCAGCCCATCATGTACCGAAGACTCAAAAAGTTGGGTATTACCAAGACCAACCCAGACGAACTGACGGAGGAAGAAGTCCGCCGATTTGCTCGCCTTGACATCGATCCTGAGACCATCACTTGGCGTCGTGTTCTCGATGTCAACGACCGGCATCTACGCGGAATCACCATTGGGCAGGCACCCACTGAGCGCGGTCTGACGCGCGAGACTGGATTTGATATCTCGGTCGCCAGCGAGTGTATGGCAATTCTTGCTCTGAGCAATAGCCTTGAAGACATGCGCGAGAGACTGGGCCGCATGGTCGTTGCCACCTCCCGGAACGGTGACCCCGTCACTTGCGACGACATTGGTGCCGGTGGAGCTCTTGCGGCTCTCATGAAGGATGCAATCAAGCCCAACTTGATGCAGAGTTTGGAAGGTACCCCTGTGCTGGTTCACGCTGGTCCCTTCGCCAACATCAGTATTGGCGCCAGCTCTGTCATTGCCGACAAATTGGCCCTGAAGCTCGCGGGTACCGAGCCGGATGAGGATCATGATGCCCGCACGGGCTTCGTTGTCACTGAGGCCGGCTTTGACTTCACTATGGGCGGTGAGCGCTTCTTCAACATCAAGTGCCGGTCCTCCGGTCTGTCCCCCGATACTGTAGTCATTGTGGCTACTGTTCGTGCCTTGAAGGTGCACGGTGGCGGTCCTGAGATCACCCCTGGCGCTGCTCTCCCCGAAGTGTACCGGACTGAGAACGTCGATATCTTGCGCAAGGGTTGCATTAACTTGAAAAAGCACATTGAGAATGCCCGCCAGTATGGTGTGCCCGTGGTGGTGGCAATCAACCGCTTTGAGACTGACACAGAGGCTGAGATTGCTGTCATTCGCGAGGAGGCCATTGCGGCCGGCGCGGAGGACGCGGTCCCCGCTAACCACTGGGCCGAGGGCGGAGCCGGTGCAGTGGATCTGGCCAAGAGTGTGCTTGCGGCTAGCTCCAAGCCCAAGGACTTCAAGCTGTTGTATGACCTGGACGGCACCATCCAAGAGCGGATTGAGCGGATCGGCCAGGCTATGTACGGCGCGGAGAAGGTCGAGTTCAGCGAGTTGGCCCAGAAGAAGGTCGACACCTACACTGCCCAAGGCTTTGGCAATCTCCCTATCTGCATTGCGAAGACGCAGTACTCGCTCAGTCACGACCCTGCTCTCAAGGGTGCCCCTACTGGGTTCACCGTCCCCATCCGTGACGTTCGGTTGGCGGTTGGTGGAGGCTATCTGTAAGTACCCCTCTGTTATTTGCTGTCAAGTGGGCCTCTAACTGAACTACTCTTAGGTACGCTCTTGCGGCAGACATTCAGACCATTCCGGGGCTGCCCACTGCCCCTGGCTACTTGAATGTGGATATTGATCCCGAGACTGGGGAGATTGATGGTCTTTTCTAGACGGTCCATCGGTACGGACAATAGACCCACTTTAGGTGTGGGACAACGGGTTCTTGTATAGATTCACTTTTCTCTATTATCTTGTTGATTTTCATGGTTCTGGATGATGATACACCGATATGATGGGCGTAGGAGCATTGGAGGGATCGATAACTTCAACATTAAAAGCGTGGCTCATTCATTAGGGCCGACAAACCTCCGCTCGCAAGCTATAGGATAGATATGCTATCTTCAACAAAATAGAATGGAATCAGAGGCAGATGTGGGTATACACGCGCTACAAAATTTATCATAGTTACTAACAGCCTGTCCGGGTAGCTTCTAACCGAGCACGTGTGGAATTGAATGTACCGAGTCCGGAGAGCGGTGGTGGGTGATGAGTCAGCCCCGAGTCCGGGGAGCGGCAGGCCAAGTCCGGCTAAGCAGCGATTTCGGTGGTTGATGGCCCGGGCGGAGATTTCTCCGTACTTAGTTGTAGTTGTAGTTCAGTGTGTGATGATGAGTAACCGCGGGAAAAAGCAGCGGTTATGATCGGCTGGGCGGCAGAGGACAACAACTTAACCGTACGTACAACCATGGTCAATTGAGGAATGCAACGGTCTCTCAATAGTCCCTGTGTAGTCAGTTCTCTCACAGCCAAGGGTCGAATCAGACAGTTCTATCCGTGTTGTCAGTCACCTGTTGTCACCTTTCAAGCAGGCAGCAGGCAGTTGATAATTTAGGTCAGAGAGAGGTGGAAAATCATGGTAGTATTGCCGAGACCATGAAGCGCTTATGATGCGACGACTCACCGCGGGTCGTTCTCCCTCTATCTGCCTCTCCCTCTTTCTCCGGGGAAGGTTGCCCAGAGTCCGGCTTCGGCGATGACCAGGGGGAGGTCAATCCAACGGTGGGCGGAAAGGGAAAATAATGGGGTAAATGAATGACTGAACAGTCACAGTCACCAGGTCCCGGGGAAGGGCAAAAGGGTTTTTCCTGCTGGGATAAGAGCTGTTGGTCTGCCCTGTCCGTCATCTGGCCTCTCCTTCTTCAATTCCTTCCTGACCATCCTGTTCTTCTGTCTTCCATTCTTCTTTGCAAGAGAACCGACCGGGATCAACCTCCGTTCTGCCCCGTAGATAATCAAGAGTGACCTTGGGTAAGTCCCGTCAAGTGCAGTGCAGAGTGCAAGAAGAAGAAGAAGCTCCGGCTTAACGGCAGCTGCCGAACTTCCCCCACCACCGCCCTCCTTCCATCCGGGCTCTATTCCTCCCTCCCCCCCAAAGTCTCCCTCGACTATCCTTATCCCTCGGGTACTTTCGCGAGTTCCTTTACCCTAGCTTCTCCATTTCGTCCTCTTTCTCAACTTCCCATTACCGAATTGCTAATCCGTGTGGGCAGTTTCCCCGGTCCTCCGTCTTTGCCCACCCCTCCCCAGATATTCGGAACAATTTACTGCGATGTCGTCGTCTGTCCGGTTCACTTCCGCTTTGGCGCGCCGTCCCTTCGCCGCTGCTGTTGCCCCTCCTCTGTCGGCCCCTCGTCGCTTACTTTCTTCTACCTCTTCCTTTTCTTCTCCTACTTCTTCCCCTTCTTCCTCTCTTGCCTCTGCTCGCTCTCTCCGATCCATTGCTTCTGTCTCGCCTCGTGTCTCTACCACTGCTTCTCTCCGCTGGTCCGGTCTTTCTTCTATCAATTTGACTCAATCCCGCACCATGGCTACCGAATTCACCAAGATCAAGGTCAAGAACCCCGTCGTGGAGCTCGACGGTGATGAGGTATGTTGTTTCTCTGGTTTGATGAGCTGTGCATGGGATCTATGCACAACTTTATAGGCGGCTGTGGTACCTCTGCATCGGAAAGTAGTACGCCCTGTCATCATGGCGCACCTGAAAACGCGGGGCAACATAGCCGCGGCTGCATACTTCCCTGCGGCCAAGGACCAAGTTCTCCAATGATTCAGAGCATTGAAAACCCTCTGGATTGTAGATCGCTTGACATGTGCTAACAATGCTCCTAGATGACCCGTATCATCTGGAAGGAAATCAGAGAGAAGGTGAGTCTGCCTCGGCTAACGACGGGCTATGCTCTTACCCGTGATCTCCCGCACTTGCATGCTAACATGGACCCGCTTCTATAGTTGATCCTGCCGTAAGTGACGATCCCTCTCCGAGACAGAGGTATGCGGACAGTCCATTGAGACAATTGTGTCTAGTTACCTTGACATCGACCTCAAGTACTACGATCTCGTAGGTACCCCTCTGTGATTCAGTATAGGCAGCACCCGGTCATTGGAGGCTGACATTCGTGCGCAGGGTCTTGAGTACCGTGATCAGACCGACGACAAGGTTACCGTCGAGGCCGCCGAGGCTATCAAGAAGTATGGCGTCGGTGTCAAGTGCGCCACCATCACTCCCGATGAGGCCCGTGTTGAGGAATTCAAGCTGAAGAAGAGTATGTTGTGACTGTACCACTTGAGACTTCCGAACCGGTCTTGCTAATGCACCTTGTCCTGCAGTGTGGCTGTCCCCCAACGGCACCATCCGTAACATCCTGTAAGTCTGAGTCACAAAATAGCCCACTTGATACTTGGCATTAACAATTCCCCAGTGGCGGTACCGTGTTCCGTGAGCCCATCATCATCCCCGCCATCCCTCGTCTTGTTCCCGGATGGACCAAGCCCATCATCATCGGCCGCCACGCTTTCGGTGACCAGTACCGTGCTACCGACCGCGTCATCCCCGGCCCCGGAAAGCTCGAGCTTGTCTACACCCCTGCCGGCGGTGAGGCCGAGACCATCAAGGTTTACGATTTCCAGGGCGGTGGTATTGCCCAGACCCAGTACAACACCGATGACTCCATCCGCGGATTCGCCCATGCCAGTTTCCAGATGGCCCTGCTCAAGGGTCTTCCCCTGTACATGAGCACTAAGAACACCATCCTGAAGAAGTACGATGGTCGTTTCAAGGACATCTTCCAGGAGATCTACGAGTCTACCTACCAGAAGGACTTCGAGGCCAAGAACATCTGGTACGAGCACCGTCTCATTGACGACATGGTCGCTCAGATGATCAAGAGCGAGGGTGGCTTCGTCATGGCTCTCAAGAGTGAGTTCTGCCGTTCTGGAATCCTTCGATACCGGGACTAACGAGATTGCTAGACTACGATGGTGATGTTCAGTCCGACATTGTCGCTCAGGGCTTCGGCTCCCTTGGTCTGATGACCTCTACTCTGGCCACCCCTACCGGTGAGGCTTTCGAGTCTGAGGCTGCTCACGGTACTGTCACTCGCCACTACCGCGAGCACCAGAAGGGCCGTGAGACTTCCACCAACCCCATTGCCTCTATCTTCGCCTGGACTCGCGGTCTGATCCAGCGTGGCAAGGTCGACGAGACCCCCGAGGTTGTAGCCTTTGCTGAGGAGCTCGAGAAGGCCTGCATTGACGTTGTCAACGAGGAGGGTATCATGACCAAGGACTTGGCTCTGGCCTGTGGCCGCAAGGAGCGCGAGGCCTGGGTTACCACCCGCGAGTACATGGCTGCCGTTGAGCGCCGCCTCAAGTCTAACCTCAAGGCTCGCCTGTAAACTCTTTTCTTTTTCGTCTTGCATCATTTTTGGACATTGTTTAGCGTGCGGCTTATAAGGCTGGTTTGTGATTTCTAGTTTTTTGGAACGAAAGACGACATACCATGGTGACCATATTGTACAGTTCTTGGCTAGGAAGGGACGATTGTTCGAGACCCCTGATCCGAATGCAAGATCAATGATGTATAACATCTATTTCATCTGGATTTATTCTTGGGCCTATGTATAGGCTCTGTCTCCGCGTTGTTCCTACACTTCCCATGTGTTATGATGAAAAATATGTACATGCCAATCCGATGAATGGAATATGCCTGCTGACAACCATAATATTCTGAAAATTCTGCCCTCTTCTTGAAAAATTTGGGGTAGCATTCTGCTAAGCCAAACCTACCAAGCAATAAGCCCTCTGTTGGCCGGACTGGGCAAATCTGGTGATGACCGCCTGCCGAACCGTGGGTAACACCAAGCGGGACTGGAGCGACTCTTCGCTGTTCTAGTTTCCCCGCCAGGCCTTGACGCAAGTGAATGTTGCTACATTCATGTATCTACCCCTCCTGCTAATGTGGGAGCTTGCCACCATCAAGATGTCTAAATTTCGGGGTTTTCAACCATTTCACCTGTTCCTGCACAACTACACTCCATCCCAGACACCACACTCATAGGTGTGATTGCGATCACAGCGATATTATCCTAAGTAGGCCCACGCCCAACGCACGACAACCACGCCGACTGCTCCGGGCGACGACGGAGAGGGACTGGGTGCTGGTGCTCGCCGTGATCGCCCGCCCGATTACCAAGCGACACCATGTATACCGTGCCAATTGCGATCATCTTCCTCACCTTGACATGCCTTTTGGTTGCGTTGCGTGTATTTACGCGACTGCGTGTGGTGCAGAAACCGGGCTGTGATGATCTCCTTATCGTTCTTGCGCTGGTTCGTATTTCTGTGTCCCTCTTACAGCCTCAGCTGATGAGAATTTATAGTTGGCAGACATTGCGTTCTTCGTCTTCTTGGTTTTTGGTAAGACTATCTTTCCTAGGTCGTTTTCAGTGGACCCCGTCGTTCCAATAGCATCGTTCGTTTTCACTGATATCTGTTGTTCTCGCTGGCATCTGTCGTTTTACGATGTCTGTCATTTCTACCGGCAGACCAGAGACTAATTTCGATACAGAGATTCGAAACGGCTTAGCAAAGAACCAGAAACTCCTCAGCCCACAGGTTGTACGCAATCAACTCATGGTAACACACGCCTTTCTTGAAATCAGCTTAAGCGCTATTCTGACCACCAAGAACAGGCTCTCTACATTACGATCCCGCTCTACAACCTCTCTCTCACCTTGACGAAATTGTCGCTCGTATTTCTGTATAAACGTCTCTTTCCAACGAAGTACTATCAGATCATCCTCGCAATCACATTATTTTTCGTCGTCACCACCGGCCTGTGGATGATTTTCAGTGCGGTCTTTTTCTGCATTCCCGTTCACGCATTCTGGGACACGTCGATGCCTCGCACCTGCCTCTCGGAGGCCGTCGTTTGGTGTCTGAACGCCGCGTTTCAGATCTCTACGGACCTGCTTCTCGTCGTTCTCCCGATGCCCTTGGTTATACGGTTGCAAATTCCGAAGCGGCAGAAGGTGGCACTTATCTTCATCTTTGCGCTGGGATTCTTGTGCGTCTACACCTATATATATTTGTTGATCGTGTTTCACGTAGCTAATTCCTAGTGTATAGTGTGTGCGCAATGAGTATAATCCGGCTCACTACGATTATCAGACTCGTCAAAACACAGGACTTCACAGAGGGCAACGGCCTGGCCGCGACATGGTCTTTCATCGAATGCAACGTCGCCATTATCTGTGCCTGTCTGCAGCCCCTTCGCCCGTTCATCATCCGCTTCTTCCCCCGCCTGATGCCCTCTCGCGTGCGCTCCGACCATCCGCGCGAGAAGCACTCAGGTCCCAGCGGGGGCGCCAGTACGGTCGGCTACCACGGAAACCCATTCGGTCCGACCAGCACAAGCTACGTCACCAGCGTCGCGGGCACGTTTTCCCTGGACAGTCTGAGCTTGGGGGATGCTCAGCATAATCATTCTGCTGGGACAGCGAATGGAATCCAGGTTGTGCAGGAGTTGCGGTGGGATTCTTATTCTGCCGAGGCGCGGCGGAAGTCGGTGCAGTCCGGCGATTCGTCTACCGGCGTCTGAGATGCGGTGGTTGAGAGGTTTTGGAGTGTTTTGACTTTTCTGATGATACCAATTTCTCCCAATGTTGGGTTGCTATCGGGTTTGGTAGTGGAGATCTCGACTATGTGTCGCTGTGACATCTGAACTTGAATTCGAAAGTAAGAGATGATTTACGGGGATGTGCGAGATAATTGCAGTCAGAGGTGGTTGGTTTTGGCGCCGTTGGGTTGGGTTAATGACTTTACTATGTCATGGCTCTCTGCTTCGCAGCATCTTGGCTAGTTCTGCTGTAGTTGGATCCGAGATATCCTCAACCGCCTATGTTTTATCATGGTGAACAGCGATAGCGCTAGCTTTTTTTACATCTGCTCAATCAACACATTAGCCTGCAGATCACGCCAACTGCACAGCCTCAGGCATTTCAGGACAGTTACCTCAGCAAAGGCAAGTTCAGGACATCTACGAACTAGGGTGAATTGTAGACACAATCCGAATGCACGATGCGGGTATCGTTTCACGGAAGAAAATAAATCAGGTAGAAGAGCCCGTTCACCCCCTCGACAAGATCACCAGTCCTGCTCCTTTCGCTTTAGTCTCGGTAAAATAAGAGTTTGCCGCTAACTAATGCAAGGATGTAAAACAATGTAGGATGGAGGTATCCGACGGTCCCTGGCGCACTCGTCTCTTATTAAGATCCGCGTGGTCTAGATCTAAATCGAGTATGGTTGGTTTACCTTTTGCCGATTGAGGCTTAAGATGAAGAGGGGTGAGGAAAAAAGGATTGTTAGCCCAGCAACCGCAGTGTGGTGACGTGATGCCAATTGATCGACAGCTTTATACTTCACGATCCCATCGAATGAGAAGGCTTGGATGACTCTCCCCGGTCCGGTTTGCCGATCACTGAGGCGGTGAGCCAGCTATTTAGCTGTTCTTCCGTACCTTTTATCGCGACTCTTAGTAACGTTATCGATCTAACTACTTACATCCTCAACACAGATATTCACCTCCTCCACGCCAAGATTTGATCAAGTATAACCTCACTCACGAGTCCTATGCCATAGCCGCCCCCCTCCCCCCAACCCCATTCGATTCTCCCCCCAGATCCACCCCAAAATGTCCTCAGAACCAGTCCTCCGCATAACCAGCTCCATCCAAATCAACGCCCCCCTCGACGCCGTCTGGGCCGCGCTGACTGACACCTCCACCTGGTGCAACTGGAATCGCTTCGTGCCCGGCGTGACGATCCGCGAGCAGCCCACCACTACAGATAACTATACTGAAACACCTGCTGCTACAACCACCCCTACCATCATCCAAAACGAAACCCTCAGAAAGAACACCCGCCTAACCTTCCACGTCAACATGCACCCTTCCACCACAACCTCCGCCACCGAATCCCTCCAAAAAGTTGATAATCATGTTGGTTTGGTTGTCACGGAGTGCATTCCCCCTTCTCCTTCTCCCCCTTCTTCCGCTGCTTCCGCTGCACCCTCCTCCTCCTCCAACTCAGTAGCAGAATCAACTCCAACCCCCCGTACAGCAAGAATCACCTGGGCAAACGACCCAAGCTTCCAGGGACGGGTGATGGCGTCGCTGCTTTCGGCGGAGAGGACACATGAGCTTGTGGAGAGGGTGGAAGTGGTTTCAACACACCCGGAAGGGGAACAGCGGAGGGTGGTGACGGAGGTGACGAATTGGGAGGTGCAGGGCGGGGTGTTGGCGTATGTGGTGAAGTGGATGTTTGGGGGGAGGTTGGAGGAGAATTTTGGGATTTGGGTGAAGGATCTAAGGGATTTTGTTGAACAAGCGGGAGGAGAGGGTAGAGGGGGCAGTGGTTGATGGGTGATTGTTGTTAGGGAGGTAGGTAGGTATTTAGAACGAAGAGGGGAATACTGTGTATACTACATATCTGGTAGGTGAAAGGTTGGGGATGTTTGATTTGTGGGTAAGTACAGTATGTACTGTATGTATATGGCCCTCACGTGTATGTGGTTGTGTGAACGTAGATTTTTGTTAGCATTTAGCAATTAGCAGTACTGTGGTAGGAGGTGTACTACTAGTAGTATATGTGGAAAGGTCAAGCATGGAAAACTTTTGCTTGTTGCTTGTGGCTTAAGCTTGTATAAGTTACTCAATGTCAGTCAGTGACATCACAAAGGAACTGGCGGGATCGGCTAAAATAACCCCCCAGACCGTCGTCGCCGACCACAAGGCCGAGTTCGCCTCTTATGCGGAGCACTTCGACGCCTGGTCCGAGCAGACCAGTGGCACGCATCAGTTGATGGCGTGGATGGCGCTTGAGAGTCGGAGGGCTTCGGCGCTAACTTGCAGCACTATAATCCTAGCATCGATGATAATTGAAGGTCGCCAGTACCTTCCAGCTCCCTGCGCTGTGGAAGCTCAGGGCGCAGTTGGTGTTTGGCGTGCCGGAGGGTGAGCCGCCGCCGCCGGAGGAGAAGAAGCCCTTGGAGGAGCTGATTCGCGTGGTGGGACAGGATAGTAGTGATTGAGGGGGTTAAGGATAGAGGGGAAGAAGGTAGATCACGATGACTCGACAGAGTAATAGATCTATTTTTGGCCGGTCGAGGCGGGGTATGAGGGCTTATCTGGTGTACATATATATCGTAGTGACGGCAGGTCAACCAAAGACTTGATTAGTTGAAACACAGTCCAAGGCTGATGACGGACGATCAGGAATGCCAGTGATTTGATAGTCAAAAGCCCAATACGCACTGTACCTCCTACCGAAGGCTATCGCAACCTGGGGTTGGCGACCGTTGGCCTTGGCATGGGGCTGTGTACCCATAGATCTGGATATTCAATGCCACTCTTGTTGAGTCCGGACGGCGAAAAGGCGAAAGCACAACTAAGCAATTGTACCCCGGACCGGCGCGCGCGATTCGCCATCGTAATTGCTTGTTGCTCTATCCCTGCCGCGCCAAAGGCCACGAATCCCCCCCGAGACGACATATTGTCAGGTGATCCGAGGCTCTGACTTACGTACCCCTGTGTAGGAACGTCCTCGGGGACAGGAACAATATTAATTGATTTCTGGGCATCTGGGTGGAATACTCGAGGTACAGTACGTGTGAAGCCTGATGAATCCCTCGATCTCGCGAGGTGGACCGGTGGATACGACTCTATGGAGGACATGAATCACTCCGGGCCAGGTCGTTCTTTAAACCCACTGTTTCTCATGACCCAGAGACCGAATCCGCCCTACCTACCGTGTTAGGAAGAGCGGGTGGAGCGCGTGTGATGGCGGCCAATTTCCATGAGTCCATGGCAGATGAAGACCCACGTGGGGGTGGAGATTGGCTGTCGAAGGCGACCACCAGCGGACAGGCCTCGAACGGGGATATGGGTCAGACGGTCGCAAGGAGATACTGGATAGGTGGGGGGGAGGAGGGAAGGGGGGGAAGAGCTATTATTTGTTTCGAACTCTCATGCTCATTTTTATTAGCATACGACTGCCGGGGAAGGCAGCGTGCAGATGCGCGGTAGGGACGGGGAAATTGGATGGTCTGCAGCCGAAGGGGCAGCATGCAGAGAGAGGATGGAGCAGTCGGAGGTCGATGCGCAGGCCGGGGCGTCGAGATAAGATCCCTGGGCTGGGCCGAATGGAAACAAGCAAGCGCTGAGGCTGGCCGGCACTAGTAACGATACTATTGGAACAAGTCGTTCAACCTGATGCTTTCTGGCCTTCTCCTGTCAGGCGGGCTTTTGGTCTGCTTTTATGTCACAACGTAAACTAGGTCGATTAGCGCGATTTCGCCAGTTGCGAGGTGTTCGTCATGGTGTCTGCAGTGGAGAATCAGAGAGTTGGGATCAGCAACAGATGAATAATAGAAAAGCGAAGCATGAAGGAAGGGAGGAAGAAGATTTGACAGCCGTTCGGAGTGGAGTTTGAGAGAGAGAGAGAGAGAGACTCTGCTGCACCGCACGAACTGCACCAAATACACGCGGATTGCCCAATCCAGCCAACCGGAGGCAAGGCTCTAGTCTTGTTTTGGTATAGTGTCCGTACTGACAGCTGGAAATGGCTTAGTGTCGACCGTCTCCGGTCTTCTCCCTGTCTTTCTTCGGTCCATTTCGGTCATCTTCCCTTCCTTACGGCCATTTCCGTTGGCCTCCAGGTACAAATGAGGTACAGCCTCGTATTCTGAGCATGATAAGGAACAATCCATCCTATTGAGTGGAGTAGTGCATTGAAGATGCGAGTTGAAGAATAGAAGAAGCGAGAAAAAGTCGAGTAGTCATCCCGAGTAACACAAATGCTCTGCAACTGCGAAGACAGAAAGAAGAAGATTAAAAGAGAGAAAAAAAAAAGAAAAAAGCAAAAAAAAAGAAAATTAAACAATTCAAAAATCAATTAAGAAAAAGAGCCATGTGCGGAGCCGGACCCTCTCTCTTTTTCTCTCTCTCTCTCTCTTTCGAGCTATGGCTTTATTAAACTACTGTGTACGGAGTACTCCATACTACTAGCCAGGTGGTACTCCGTAGATTAGCTGGACTGTCCATGCGACGGTAACTTGACAGTAGCAATCGAAGGGACGCGCGGTGACTCTATGCTAGTCTATGGTTCTGCCATCTCAATTAAGCTCCTTCTCTCCCCAATGAACCCCCCTCCCCCCCGTCGATCCTCTGTTTCTCAATCAATGGATGGATCCTTTCTTTAACCTCCCCCATTTTCCGTTGCAACAATCATAATTAATTCATTTTCGCTCTTGTGGTTTTTTTCGCCTCTTTTCTCCCTTTCTCTTTCGCCTCTTTTCTCGTCTCGATTTCCTCGTCCTTCATTCCCTTCAATGATGTCTATTCGGCTCACCACCTCTATTCAATCCTTGCAACAATCGATGCCAAAGTGACTCATTACGTGGAATTCTTCTTCCCGGGAATCATTCCAACGTCCTCCGTACTGCATTTGACTTTCCTTGGAGTCCGACGTCATCTCGACGAGATCGCCACCAGTCATCGTCCACCATTTCTATAGCACTGCAGCTACATATAACTTTCTCCATCCACCCCGTCTCTGCAGCATTTGCGGAACTGTACAATAGGCGGGTCTGCCTCTTATTCGCAACTATCGTTCTTCTCTCTCCATCCTATACACAGCCTACATATATACTTGACATCTTCATAACCTTCCTCATACGCGAGTTGCCGCTCTTGCCGGACTCGTCGCATCCGGCTTTGTTTTCTGATTTGCGACTCAGAAGAAAGACTCACAAGAACCACCACCATGGCGATCTCACACATGCCTGTTCGGCTTTCTGTACGCACTCAGAATGAGGGTGCTCAGACTCCTTGCTCGACCGTGCTGCCTGGCCTTACTCCGCCCGTGACCCCCACTGTCGACGATGACAGTCTCTCTGGCAGCGAGGTTACCGTACATTCCAACTCCTCCAGCCCCCTTCTCTCCCCGGTGGATGCAAACCCGGAGGAATCGATCAAGGATGTCTCTGAGCCGAAACAATTCACCGACAATCTAGAGTATCAATATGATCCCAAGGGACGTCCGGTCGAATTTGGCCGTGGCGTCTGGAGCGTTGTCTACAAAGCGTCCTCTTTTCCTGCCGTCAAATCGGGTCTTCTGACCCCTCCGAGTTCCCCAGCCTTCAAAGGCCGGGTGGTGGCTGTCAAGTCGCCTGTGAGACGGGATGCGCATTCCGTCCTTGATGCAGAAGCCCGCGCACTGACCCAAATCAGCCGCGTAGCAGGCGCGGAGCATCACATTGTACCCTTCCATGGGTACATTTCCGAGTCGCATTCCATTGTTATGTCCGCCGTTCCGCTCGCACTGTCGACCTACATTCAGGACAAGGCCGCCACTGCACAGAAGAATCGATCCACGCAGACCATGTTCGACCCGGTTTCAGGTATGGTCCAGTGGCGCGTCTTGGCTGAGAAGCTCATCGCCGGCCTCGCCTGGTTGCACCGGGGACCGCAAATGGTGCATGGTGATATCAAACCCCACAATATCCTACTGCGATTACGTTCACCCGGCGGCCAAGAGCTCGATTTGGACTCGGACTCGTTCCCTTACGAGCCGCTGTTTGCCGATTTTTCGTCTGCGCACCCGATTGCGAGCCCCTCCTCACCCGAACAGTGCATGGGCACAGCCCTAACCGCGCTGACGCCGCCATTCGCGGCTCCGGAATTACTCTGCGTCTCCTCCTTGACGTCACCGGACGTCGCGCCCACCCCCGAATCTGATGTTTTCTCTCTGGCCGTCAGTCTTCTTGCCGCGGCCACTGGCGATCTTCTTCTCTATCCCGGCGCCAGCAATTTGCAGCGCCTGGCCATGGCTCGCGAGGGTCATCGGGTGATCGACTTTGCCCGCTCGGGCCCTAATGGTTCGCGGGTTCCTCGCGCGGGAGTTGTCGAGCAGATTATTAAGCCTGCCATCGCCAAGGACCCGAGTCAGCGCGTCTACCCGGCTGACTGGCTGCATCTCGCTGAATCCGTTCATTGATGATGACATCCGCCTGCCAACTCAACATATCTCGGTCATTTCTTGATTTTTTCCGACCTTCCATCTTCTCACTTTTCCTTCATTTTCCCTTTGTCTCATCCTCCCCATTATATGGCTGGGTCCTTCTTATTCTACTTCTCTTTCTTCTGCCATACTTCTTTTCTCTCAAACCCCGCCGCCTTTTCTCCCCTTCCGGCTTTTCTGCGGCCCCGATCATTTTAATTCGTCCTTTCGCTTCGACCATACACATTATAAAAGATACCCTGTTTTTAGAAATTAGATCCGCGGGATCGACGAGACATTCTGATCCCGCGCATGTTGTGTTTTTTCTTCATCTTACATGTCTGTCTTTCTCATGTCGCATGAACTTGGTCACTAGAACCTCAACTTCATCATTCGCTGATATGTATTATCAACTTTCTATATTTTATTTCATCTCTTACTGAAATGACTTTTCCTCTCAACGAGGGGGCTTTATATACTCTTTTCTCTATTTCCAATTCTAATGGTCTAACTCTATGAAGTCTCACGACGTTATTGGTATATCAAACCAGTTCTCTTAATGTGAACTTTTCTTTCACCAGTGTAAACCTGCAGAGCTTGCCGCAGTACGTTATCTGCAGATTCTGAAATCGTAGGCTCATCGTAGATTAAGGGCCCATGTAGATATTTCCCTCGTGCGTACAACAGTGGGATACCCGTCGTGAGGTTGGTGGCCCGCCCGTCTTGCATGCTCTCCCTGCATAGTGAACTCTCAAATAAGCTCACACGGGGACAGTTGGAGGCGCGTCGTTCAGTAGTGGATCGTCAAGCCGCTCTCGTGAAATCATTGAGACTACAAGGCACAAACCCTCACGACAGATCCTTCGTCAGTGCGGAGGACAAACACAACCGCAAGCGTCTCTAAGAAGACTGGAGAGAAGCTTCCGACGGCCAAATGAAGGCCGAAACGATAACTTCTCAAAGTAGACTGGGGAGATTTCCGGTAGTCAGATCAAAGTCGCAATGATCAAAGTGGTGAGCGGAAATATGAGTGGAGATTGTCTCTTGTCCATGGAGTGAGAATCCGTAGGTATGATATGTCAGGTGGCTGGGTAGATCACCCGGAGGTATGCCGTAGTGAACGCCGGGGAAGGTGGTGGGGGTAGGGGGGTGGCCGCCACATGTATGAATCTGGCAGTTCATCCCTCTTCGTTGCGGCGGCAGATGGTGGCATTGCATAGTACCTGCTTGATGCTGTGAACGAAACCTTCACAGGAAGAGCTAGCCGCTGCGCTCGACGGCTGATTGACGTTCGATTCGCCTGTCAATTTTCTTTCCTTTCTTTTGAGATTCTTGGTCTCCTTCTGTCTTTGGTCTTGCTAGCCGATACGGTGGCTAAGAGTGCAGCAGGGCTTAGTGTAACCTTTTATGGGATTCAAGGTCGGAACCAACACGTGCTACTGTTAGTGTGGCGCCAAGGGCTCGATTGAGTTGCGTGATCGACGGACGCTGCTCGTAAGTCGCATAAGCAATACAAATATCCCACAAAACTGAGCAGGAGACGCCCTGCATGCGGACATCTGTGAGGTCGTAGTCAAGATTCTCCTGATAGCACACGGCGGGGTCGGGCTCGGTGGTAGTGGCGCCGCCGCCGCCGGGGTTTGCGGCGGGGATGACGGTCTTGGGCAGGGAGTCAAAGTCGGGCTTTGGAGTGCGTACTGCGTGCTGCGCCAGGCTGGGGATGGCGCGCACGCAGTCGTTGGTCGATCGGCCGGGGAAGATCAATGATAGCATCTCATCGAAGGTGAGCTCTTTCCGGCCGCGATATTGGGCAAGACTGAATGCTTCAAACAAGTCGAAGGCCTCCTTGCGTGCGTCGATGTCTAGGGAGTAGTACTTTTCCGCCACGGGGGAGTTCGAGTCCGGTTCAAAGTAGACTATGCTGCACTTGTCCCCCCGTGGGTATGTTTCATGGGTTTCGATGAGGAGCGGTTCAAAGGGCCGGCGATCCCAGGAAAGTACAGCCGGCATGTCATTGAAAGGCCGGCAGCGGATGTCATCATGCATAGACCGCACCTGAGGCGTGTGTTTCGTCTGAAGTTTGTCAATATCGTCGTCAATGGCTTGCTTCAAGGTAGCCATCTCCGAAACGAGCGGCTCCAGGTCCGCACGGGTGGTGGTTGCGCGAGCGGCTAGACGGGCCACACTCTTGCTCAATTCATCAACCTGCACATACTTCCTGGTTATCTGTGACTTGAGGCTTGCTTCGCCGTTGTCAATGTTGATCCGAGTGATGGCGCGGCCGCGAGCCAGCGAGGCTTCACGATAACCGGCTTCGTCGGGCGACATGTTATCAGGCTTTTGGATTGTCTCGAGCAGACTTGAATGAAGATCGGTCAAGATGCGAGGCTCGTAAGGAGCCAACTTGTGGGGAAAGCGACCAAGGTGACCAACATCTGGGGCAGTAACTAAAGGAGGGAAATCACGGCCAGGAATAGGCGCAAAGCCCCTTGCCGATGCTTCTTCGGTAACACGGCGACGTTCGTCCTTAACGTAAGTGAAACCTTTGACGTGAACCCAATAGTTATCTTCGCGGTGTGTAGCAACCTCGATGTTGTGCAGAGCGACGCTCTCAGTAAAGAGGGCGCATCGTTTGCGCTGGCCGGCATCGCGGGGGACCATGGATTTAGCATCCTCCTGAGGCAGCGTAGCCAACAGACGAACAGCTCCGTATGTATGAAAGCCTACTTGCCGCAGGCATTCTTCCATAAATCTAGACACAAATCGGCTTCCAGTCTTGTGATCCCTCTTCGTGACTGGGCTCGGCAAGTTGGCGAGCACCAGCAAGGTATCATTACGGGGTAGTGGGCCGCTATTATCAATATTCTCAGGTCCCTGCTCCGGGAAGTGTTCTGACAGAAACTTGTCCCAGAAAATAATATCATAGGGATTTGTCTCGACCACTTTGTAGCACTCCCGGCCCTTGGCTATTGGGTCCAGGAATTGACCCCAGAGCTTTAAGTCGGGCTCCAGCATGACATGCCGACGCGGACGGAGGAATTCATTGAGTTGCGAAGAGAAAAGCCCAGGACCTGGCCATAGATCGAGAATATCCATTGGCGCATTGCGACGGAGAAAAGGTGCGATGCGCTGCAGAATATGATCTAAGAGAACATCTATGATTAGGGTCGATGCAATCATATGATGGGTTGTAATAGACGCAACTAACCACCAAGCTCTGGACTGACTATGTTTGCTTCCTTTATGAAGCTTTTCACCCTTCCTTTTCCCTTTAAGCAATCCGCAAGAATCTGCGTCACAGGATACCTAGAGTCGGCGCCCCATCGCACCTGAGATTCCTTGTGTCTGCTCGCACGTGCTGCGGCCTCCCTCACCGATTTCATCATACGAGGGCCTAATTTCGCCATCTGTGAGATCTTCCGACGCGATCATCACCTGATGAACGGTATGAAATGCTGGTGGCGATGGTAATGGGTTGCGTGAAGCGGAGGCCAAAAGGAGAAAAAGATTTGGGGAAGTTTTATGGCGGCGGCAGTTCTGCTCACCGAAGATCTTATCTCTCCTCTTTCACCTCCGCCGGCCGGCCTCTTGTTCTCCTTCTTCCGCATTTCTATCACCCTGTCGTCTTTCATTTCATGGGGAGAAATCTCGAAGAAGTATGAAAAACAACATTAAAGCTACTCATCAAGGTTCAACTGTGCATAGTCCCTCGCTCATCGCTTTGCTTGAAGGGTAGACGACCGGTCATGATGGCCGCCCACCTACCCCCAACAGCCGGTGCGGGGGCCTCCCCTCCACAGAGCGTCGAGTCTATCACTCGTTTGGCGCAGGATTATGAATACAACCCTTCCGTTCCTCTACGGTACTGGCTGCGCACGGCCTCAACACTCATCCGAGAGGTACGTACGGTACTAGCTTGACTATGCTGGCGAGAAACTGACCCAGACACCCTTCCCGGCAGGCCCGTATCTACGAACAAGAACAACACGAAGAACAAGCCTACCTACTTCTGTTCCGACATGCTCAGCTCGTGCTGGTCAACCTAGCTGAACATCCGGAGGCCAAAGATGAGAAAAATCGCAAAGCTTTGGTGGAGGCTGAGAAGGAGGTGAAACGAAACCTGAAGGTCCTTGAGACTCTCAAGCCCCGCATCACCAAGCGCTACGAACGCTACACCCAGTTGATGCGCGAAAGACAACAACGCGCCTCCGCCACAGCCAATTCTACACCTCTGGGAATTCACCGGCAACAGCCTCAAGATCCTGCGCTAGCCGGAGTCGCAAAACCGTTGGAGGCTGGGGAGAATCGCGACCTGGCCGTGAAGCTGGCTCGTACGGAGATCAGTCGCAGAGCTACGGTTCGCAAGGCAATTCGTCAAGCTGGTATCTCTCCAGAAGAGGAGCAAACTCGCCGTGCAGCAGGGGTCTGGGGCGACTGGGAGCATGCTCTGCGGAAGGATGCCGATGATGATTTGAGCCAGCGCATTCACAATGTGCGACTAAGGATGGATGGTGGTCTGCAGGCGGACCTTCGTGCACCGAATAACATAAAACACACACCTGCATCCCATCCGGCCGCGCCTGGCAGCAGCACAACCTACAAGTACCCAAGTGTTCCTCGTCAGAGGCCTCTAGATACTGTTTCAACATCAGCTCAAAACGAGCTGCATGGACTCTTTACGCCCGCTCCGGTAGTTCCTGCACTGCCGCCTAAAGAACTGCCGCAAGACACTCAGCTTGAAAGACCACCTCAACCGCCTCGTCCAGACAAGCTCTCCCTGCTATCCACGCCAGCTCTATTGCCAACAGTTCCTGCAAAGGTACGACCAACCCCTGACAGCGAAACACGCACGGACCTAGATCCTTCCAGCTTTACGTTCAAGCCGTCCGCTTACCTGGAGAATGGCACGCCACTACGGACTCTATTCCTCCCGCCTGAGCTACGAACACACTTCCTCTCTTTGGCCGCACCCAATACACAACGCAACCTAGAAACGTGTGGGATACTATGCGGCACATTGATCTCAAATGCACTTTTCGTATCGCGACTCCTGATTCCGGAGCAGACTGCCACGTCAGATACGTGCGAAACAGTAAACGAGACAGCCATCTTCGATTACTGTGATTCGGAAGACCTGATGGTGCTGGGCTGGATTCACACGCACCCGACGCAGACATGTTTTATGAGCTCACGCGATCTACACACTCACTGCGGATATCAGGTAATGCTCCCGGAGAGCATTGCCATCGTATGCGCACCGAGCAAGATGCCAGACTGGGGTGTTTTTCGATTGACGGACCCGCCTGGCTTGAAGACGGTGCTCAATTGCACGCAGCCGGGCCTATTTCATCCACATGGAGAAGCAAATATATATACCGATGCTCTTCGCCCAGGGCATGTATTTGAGGCCAAGGGCCTGGAGTTTGAGACTGTCGATCTCCGTCCCAATGGGTCCAGCTTTTAGTATGCATCATCTAGCGATTAAGCCTACAACGAAGAAGTTTGAGCTTTAGAGATACATTGTTCAGTGTGATTTGGTTGGCTGCCGACCGTCGGCCTGTAAGATCGAGACTTGGCCAATTTAGCGCCTTGATTCCGTCCCAGCATAATTGTCGTTACCGCCTTGCTCTGCATCGACTCCGACACAAGAGCAGCTAAATTTGCAATGTCCTCGTTGGATTTACGCAAGGGTACTTTTATCTCGATAGGGACGCACCGCCTGCTCGCCACGGTCAGTGGTGTTGATCGATCTACTGACAGTCCCTTGGTGATCTTCATCTCTGGCGCAGGGGAGTGGCTTCGTCCTACTGCGCTGTCGCACGTCGAGTGGGCACCTTTGCGACGATTCTGCTCTACCACCGGACTGGACTGGGTCGCAGCGAAGATGCCCCAGACCCGATGATCCATCGTGCCACTACGGCTGCCCAAGAACTGCAAATCTTACTTACTCAAGCACACCTGTCGCCTCCTTACCTTGTTGTCGGCCATTCCTATGGAGCGATCATAGCACGTGAATTCCTTCATCTATGTCCTCAAGCAGTGATCGGGATGGTTGTCGCGGATGGCTCCACGGAGCGACAACCTGAGCTCTTGCAAGATCCTGATCTCGACCTCGCTGCTGTACAAGGCGATTTGAGTTTTGCACGGGTGACTGGTTTGCGAACGAATGCGCAACTCACGCGCGATGAGTGGCGGGCGCGAGCAAGGGACATTGCCCGTGGGCGACGGACCCGGGCAGTGGAGGCCGGGGAGATGGTCGAGGTGTGTCAGACACTGGGCGCGAAAGAGCAGTATCGGCATCAGGCATTAGGGCAGAAGCCACTGTCGGTGGTCCGGTGTCGCGGGTCGCTCGACTACAGGAAGATCTACGAAGCGAGCGTGGCCGCGGGAAATGGCAGCGAGACGCAGCAAAAGGCATTTGAGCGCCTGTTCGAGCGCTGGGATGGAGTGGATCAAGCGATGCAAGAAGATCAGCTTCAATTGTCGAGTCAAAGCCGCCTGGTGTATTTGGAAGGTTGTGGGCATCATATCCATCTGCTGCGACCGGAGGTAATTGCTGAAGAAGTGCGATGAGTGACGGAAAGAGTCTTATCAGACAGGGGTTGAATACAGGATTGCTGTGCGTTTGGCGAGATGATGAGCGAGATGATGAGGTGATGGTGATGGTGGAGTGGAGATGTCATGCTGATGAGAACAACCGGATTTGCTCGAGATTTGACAGAATATTCACTATAGCGCGGGCGCATCAGTAGAATCGTAGATTCCAGCTGTCACATCTTGCTTCCACATCCATTACACTCATCTCTGAAGAAAGGAAAGATAATGACTATTCACTACTCTTGCTTGCCGACGCCGACAGTTGAAATCCACTAATCCTGATCGGGCATCCCCAGGCTTGGCATTGCTTGTCGCATTTCATCTTCTCTTCTTCTCTCTTCTTCTTCTCCCTCATCTTCCGCAATACTCTTTCCCTTCTCTCTTCTTCCTTTCTCCATCCGACGCTGATTTTCCGCGTTGGATCATACTTTGTTCTCGTCCGGTCGCAAGATTCTGGCGCTTCCTATCCAGAAATCTGTCTGCCCGCATCGCTCAAGTTGCTTCCCTGTAGCTGGTTGAGTCCCGCTTCGTGCAACCGCGTGAGTGAGTCTCTTCCCTTCCTCTACGCCTCGATCCGTCCAGCATATAAGTGGCTCGCGCACTTCCGGGCTTCGTTCTGGTCGCATGTTATCTTCCAAGATAGCAGTGTGTAATTCCGGTGGCCCCCGCCGCATCTGCACGTGCTCCACTTCTTGGAGTGAATTGTGGCCTGGCACTACTGTCGTCTGACCGTAGCTGTTTGATGTCACGATGCCGTTGAAACATGCGATGCAGACTGAATACAATTCAAATCACCTAGTCTGGTCGCATTTACAAATAAGCCAAGTTCTATTACTGACTGGGAGGCCAGATCTACAGGCTTCTCCAATATCAGCTACAACACTTCACCATAACCACCCACCATGCCGTTGGAAGCGAAGGAAATCGAGCTTAAGGCCAAGGCCTTGACTAAGGCGGCCACCCAGAACGAGCCGGCCGCCAATATCGTCTCTCTGCTCAAAGAACTACAACAAGGCGTCAAAGCGACGGAGGATCTGCTGCGCTCGACGCGCGTGGGTATCATTGTCAACAAGTTCAAGCAGCACAAGGCGCCCGAGGTGGCCCGCCTGTCGAGCGAAATCGTATCGAAGTGGCGCAACGAAGTCAACAAGCAGAAGGCAGGCGCATCGCCCGGCCCTAGCCAGCGCTCGAGCAGTTCCCCCCGGCCCACGCCCAATGGCACCGCCGCCTCAACGCCCTCGGATAAGACATCGAAGCTATCCGTGCCGCCGGATAAACGCACGTGGAAGGCAGACGGGGTGGACGTGAACCAGACCTCCAACCGGATTCGCGACAGCTGCATCGGGCTGATGTACGACGGTCTGTGTTTCGGCTCGATGGAAGCGCCGCGCACGGTGCTGGCCAAGGCCTCCCAGGTGGAGACGGCGGCGTTCAGCGCCTTTGGGCCGGAGACCAAGGAACAGTACCGCACCAAGATCCGCAGTTTGTACCAAAACCTGAAGAACAAGTCGAACCCGATGCTGCGGGTGCGGGTGCTGAGCGGGGAGGTGACGGCGGAGCATTTTGTGAAGATGACGCACGACGAGCTGCGGTCGGCAGAGCAGCAGGAGCGCGACCGCAAGATCCAGAAGGAGAACATGGACAAGGCGATGGTGGCGCAGGCGGAGCGCAGTATTAGTACCAGTCTGCAGTGTGGAAAGTGTGGCCAGCGCAAGGTGACCTATACCGAGGCGCAGACGCGCAGTGCGGATGAACCGATGACCCTATTTTGTACTTGTATGAATTGTGGAAAATCATGGCGGCAGTAGCCGTTTCCTATGCCTATTTTTGGTGCATGTGTTTACCTGGGTGCATGTGTTTACTCTTGTTCTATATCTTATCTGCGACTGGAGGCGGCGTGGAGTTTTTATTTTCTGGTTGATCCAAAAACATGGATGTTTTTTCTTTTTACGATGTGGTTGACAGCTATTATGTCATCGTTCATAAGCAGCAACATAGACTGCACTGACAATAATGCACTATCAACGTCATTCACCTTTCATAGACTTGATCAGGGAGCACCATAACAATATGAGGTCCTCTTAACCCTGCAGCTGTAGTAATTGAGCTTGATTCATCTCATCCTATCGCAATTGAACATCATTGGACTTTCTTACTAAACCACCTACTAGCCACTCTATCTCAACCACTCTCTATCTCAACTGCTCTTATCTTGACCACCTCTATCCTTATTAAATCTCAACTGAATAATACTACTACACAGAGCACAAAACCCCCCGACACCCACCACAAAATGCCCCCCGAATCGGTATCAAAACTTCAGCAGATCCTCCAAAGAACCCACACCTTCCTAACCCACCTCACCACCCAAGCCCCCCTAACCCCAACACTCCTCTCGAACTTCAGCCCGGACATTCGCATCCACGAGCACGGGCTCCCCTCCCTTGCCCCGTTCCTGGGGAGGGATTACATCGGCCTCGACGCAGCGAAGGAGTACTTTGAGTGTATGGGCTCTCACCTCCGGTACGAGGAGATGCGGTTCGAGGAGGAGGCGGATTGGGTGGTGGATGTGGCGAGGGGGGTGGTGGTCGTGCGCGGCTGGGCGCGGTTTTTGGCACGGGGAAGTGGGCAGGGCTGGGAGGAGGGGTTTGTTTATCGGTTACGGTTGGGGGCAGTTCAGGAGCAGGATGTGGGGGAGGGGGAGGTGAAAGTGAAGGAGTATTTAGTTTGGGCGGATACGGGGGCGGCGTATTTGGCTTTGAGGGGGGAGTTAAAATGAGGGCAAGGAGGAGGGAAAGGAGGGAGAGAGGGTGTAGGGGGGTTTTTTGCACATGAGTGTGGCATGTTGCTGTTGGGATGAGGTTAAATGCGGAGGTTGATTTATATTGAGATGCGAGGGATTAATTATGTGGAGTGATCAACAATGGTATGCAAAGAGATGATCCGGAGATTTTGATGCACTCGTGTGAGACCAAGAAGCCATACTAAGCCCAGCTACCTTCCTACCTACCTACCTATCTACCACTGCTACGCGCGAGATCCCAGTCAATCCAAGCAACATTGCCCGCCTTACCCTCAGGAGTCAAAAACACCTTCTCCAACGAATCGTACCTCTCATACCCCTTCGCATCCAACAACACAGCAACCCCGCCCTCGATGCGGCCGGTGGCATTGAAGCCCGGCCCGTAGGCACGGTACTCCGCCATTAGCGTCTGGTTGGCCGCCCATCGGTCCTCCCAGTTAATGTATCCAGACGGCTCGATGCTGCCGTCTTCGTAGCTGTTCACAAAGATGGACCGGTGCAGGGAGTTCCAGGGCCGTCCCAGCGCACACTGGCCCTTGATCTCCGACACCAGGGAGGAGTTGGCGGCATGAACGGTTGAGTCCACGATGTACACGCCATAGTTATTCTCAAACGTCGTGTTGGTCCCCTTCCAGGCAGTCACGCCGCCACCGCACGACCTCAGGAGAATCGAGGACGATTGGATCCAGGCGGTGCCAAAGCCATACAGAAAGTCAGTTTGACCGGCAATGACGGACTCGTGGAAGTATGCGTTGCCGAGCTTGCCAATATAGACCTGGTGGGCAGCGTTAGTGGATTCATGTAACCAGTGTATGGCGAGCACGTACGGTGTCCTGGTAGGAGTAGAAGCCAGAGTAGTAGAAGCCTCCGTTGGCGCGACTGAAGCTGATTGCATGGGCAGGCCCGTCGCTGTACTCCGCCCACAGGTTGCGGAAGTCGATATTATACACCCGGAAATCGATGTTGCCAAACGGCGTGTCCGCAGGAACGGGATAACCCGTGGTACCCGACCCAGTCAGGCTGGCATCCAGAGTAGGCGCGACGATCAGCACACTGGAATAGACATTGTCCACCGACTGGCCTGTGTTGTCTTGGTTGGCAGCAGCCCAAGTGATGGTGACGCGATTGCGTGTGGGATCAGTAAGAGCGCTGCGATCGGGCTGTTGGCCCAGCAAAGTGACAGGACCCGGACGCGTAAGGTTAAGCTGCTCGTGGTAGGTTCCTGCGAGCACCAGGATCGTGTGAGAGGAATTGTCGTTGGGAAGGGAGGCGAATGCAGCCTGAATAGACGTGAATTGAGCAGCCGGATGAGAAGAGTTGGACACAATGATCGTGCCCTCAGGGCACTTCAAACTTGTCTGGCATGTCTCACGAGTAGCTGTCGACAGACGCGGCTGGAGAGCAGCTGAGTGCACAAGGAGCACGTGCAGGAGAAGTAGAAGACCGCGATAGAGAAGCATCGTGACTGGGGTGTTATCCCTGAATCTGCTGACCCCGGCGGTTCTCCTCACCGCATCTTATATGTGGAGGCGCAAATCCGGGGTTATAGAAAAGAGGGCGCCGTCAAGCTTCGGCGCCCCCTCTACCCCAGAGCACGGCTGGGGAAGACGGAGAAATCAGTCTGAGACGGACAATTGCATTCCGCCTGTCAGGGCGGCTTTGGGAATGGCGGCATGAGAGTCGAGCCTCGCGGTTGGTGGAGGAGCTGGTCTCCCGGATAGCGTGCAGAATGACGAGATTGAGTTGAGTGAAAATGAGCTCATAGACGCACACAGTCAATATCGGATATTGGTCGTTGCGGGAGAATCCTTAAGAGTGAGGGGAAGAGGCGGCGAGGCGGCTTATACAATGCGGGGTTATAGCCCCATCAGGCAATGGTCGATGATTCAGGACTGCTCGCAGTCAAGGCGAACCTTTGTGGAGATTTCTCAGCTCGTCTCATTTCGGTGACAAGAACTGGAGACCTGGAGGCTCGAGTGGTCGTTGCTGCAAAACCACAGCTTAGCATTCTTCAAGGTTACCTTCGCTGTGATAAAAATCTCGGTCGATGACCGCATCTCACCACGCGATACTTCATTGTGCAGACTAAAAAACCCATTCTGTCCGCAGTCAACCTAGGGACAAGTGCTGTACAGTCGTCAGTCACTTCTGAAAATCACTTCAACCATAGCAGTGGAGGTGGCGCTTATCATCTCGCGCACAAGAGGCGACCCACCACAGAAGATCACTCGAAACCGAACATGTCGAGTGTGTTAATGAGACCAAAAGGAGATCATTGAGGTCATATAGCAGATAGAGAGTCCTGTTACGGAGGCGATGCCGAACCACAGCAGAGAGTGTGTTGTGAATGAATGAAGCAATGGCGTCCTGTCGAAGTCAAAACAGCAAACTGCTGCAGCCTAAGGCATCAAGAACGTCAGCTGGCGGTAATGTTGACAACAGCTTCATCTCTCACTCTCGTCAGCACAATCCTGCCGATAAATGTCATTGATTTTACACTCGGACATTCTCACTATCTCCACTCGCGAGCATAGTTGCAAGTCTGATTCCAGAGTAAAAGCGACGACAGCCCCATCAGGATGGCGCACGCAAACCTCGTCGAAGTGGACTCCCTGGAGGCTGTCCTCTTGGTTGACAATGACCTCGACCCAATGTCGACCATCGCCCCCGATACAGTCCAAGTCTCAGGCCTCATGCGTACGCTAGCCACGCACTCCCCGCACGAGATCTCGGACCGCGGGGATGCGCACAAGGAGCTCCAGATGGAAGATATCTGCTGTGCCGCGCATGGATTATCCATTCTCGTGGTATGCTCTTCCAATTCTTCCCATAGCCCAGAGTTTCCCGAATCATGGGCAGCATTTAACCATGCGACAGACTGCTACTAAGAACGGAAAAAGTCATACGATGCTCTTCGACGCCGGACCCGAAGGTGGAGTCTGGGAGCGCAACGTAAAGCGACTCCGACAAGACTTATCTTCCGTGGAGCTGGTACAGCTATCGCATTGGCATCGAGACCACTCGGGTAGAAGTGTGCTCTCTGAGGATTAAAGCAGCGATGCTAACAATATCAAGGGGGCCTGGTTCGAGCTATCCAACTGATCACGGATGCTCGAAAAGCACAAAGCACTCCAGGCGAACTCATCGTCGACCTGCACCCGCACCGCCCCGACTTCAGAGGCATGGCAATCGGAGACAAGATCATCTCTCTCCAGGCTGATCCAACGTTCGAAGAATTGCAGGCAGCGGGCGGGACCATAGACAAACGAGCGGACGGGCATACAGTTCTCGATGACTATTTCTTCATCTCAGGCGAGGTTCCCCGGCGGACCTCATATGAGACTGGCCTGAGAGGTGGAATGCGATTCGATCAAGAGGAGGATGACTGGTTCTCCGATGAGGTTATTGCCGATGAACGGTTCCTGATGTGCAACCTCAAAGGTACTTTTCACTTTCCTGAGTTTGAGAAGCAGGGGCTCACCGGAACCAGGGAAGGGAATCGTCATGTTCACCGCGTGCAGTCATGCTGGAGTGGTCAACTGTGCACGACATGCAGTTGAGATGCTTGGTGATTCTGTGCCTCTCCATGCGGTTGTCGGGGGCTTTCATCTCGCGACTAGCGACGCGACTCAGACCGAGAACACAGTCAAGGATCTGAAGAAGCTCGATCCAGCTGTTGTTTTGCCCGGACACTGTTCCGGATGGAGGGCCAAGTTTGCGATCGAGAGACTCATGCCGGGCACGCTGGTTCCGTGCTCCGTAGGTATGAGGATTTCGTTCTAGCAGTATGCATCTGGTTACTAGACGGTCGTTCCAGCACTGCTGCTTCCTTTGTCAATTGCCGAGGCGATGTTCAGCCAATATGCGTTTGCGGTTTGTACGGACAGGTGTGAGTTAGGGCAAAGATAGAAGTATACGACCGGGAATGATATATCATAGCCATGACTCGGAATGGGGATTCTGCTGTGGTCGAGTCGATGGTCTTTTGGCGGAACCTCATCTATGAGAATAGAAAAGAAAGCAAAACTACTAGTCGTCATGCTCCTGCGGTATATCTGGCACGGCATACAGCGGATTATATGTGTATCCAATCTTATCATCATCCGGTGTGGTTCTGCAGTGGTGACCACCCAAGTCTCTTCTACCTAACAATTTATAAATAATGAGGCGATATTAAGTGCACAAGACAAAACAATCTTCAACTTGAAGTTACCAAGCAGCCTAAATCCGTCAGCGAATCTTTTCATTATCATATTCTCTGTAGACTACCAACCATGCTCAACCCATCTTGAAAGACAACTTGAAAAGAGTCAATGGTATGGCATAGTCCTCGGCTAAGTAATAGCTAAGCGTCTCCTCACCACCTTCACAAGACCTATAGTATATAATGCACAACAACCACCCACCTACAACCTCACCACCTTGACTCTCGTATGGGCTACAACCATTTCCCATAACCCCAGCACGAACAAGCCCCCCGGCCAACCTCCATACCAACCGCACGCCAACCAACCCCGAAGCCCATGCAACAACATAACACCCGCATTCCAGATAACATCATCCCTTCCCCACAGTACAAGGCAAACATGTGGAAACCTGGCACCCAGATTCTAGGCCCAAGGCGAGCAGCTGCGACATCCTCAGCTATTTTCTGGCCCCATGCCAACCGCGTTCCTCAGCATGTCAGATTCGGATTCGGATCCGGATTCGGATGCAGAGTCTATAGTACTTGTTACGCTAAACATTGCTTATGCAAGATTGATATGATTCTCGGCTGCTGCACATTACTAACTTCAGCATACTGCGGAGAATACGGAGTACAACCTGGATGAAATATCTCTCTACCTCCTCAAAATAAAGTTACTAAAACATTGAACTAAGCCAAACCCCTTATCAAATCCTAAATCAATTGCAAGGTCACTCTTTTCTTCTTCCCTGAAGATCCTACATGCCAGATGCACGAAAGATGCAAAAGTCTTGGTGAGATGTGCTGGTGTGGGGTTCTTTTTTTTTCTTGGGATATACTCTATTTGGTGGGTGCTTGTCTTGGATGAGAGGGTGAGGGAAGTTATATGGATGGTGGTGGCTTAGCTGGGAGGACACGTATGCTTGCTTTTTTTTTTTTCCGAATGTTGGCATTATAGGATAACTAGAGGAAAGGTGGGTTGTGTGATTGGAATGCGTGGCCGGGAAGTATATAGTCGAAACGTGCATCATGCAGCGCTTTACAGCAACTTTTTCCCTTGAAGTTGCTTACTGCAGGATTGCTGGTTGTGTGTGTGTGTGGATTGTTCACGTAGGTTGGGGGGGTGATGATCTACATGAGGCTGAACCTGAGGTTTTGTGAGCACAAAGTTTTAGTTATGGTTAATATGGTTCTAGTCAATTGGCGGGGATACTGCCAAGTTGCCTGTTGCAAGGGAATGAAGGATCTATATCCCATACGTGTATAGATTCCTTATTCCAAAGTCTACATCGAGGAGTGCATGAATCCTGTCCCTGAAGCCTGTTGGGATAGGTACAGTCCGGATTGCTGACCATCCGCATCTCGGGAGATTCTCGCGCCTTCAGTGCAGTTACTCTGTTGAGCCAGAGGGCTACCTTACCGATACGGTGGTCACACAAACCCACTCTGAATCTGGCAGATTGACAGCCAGGAGGAAGATACAGCAGCAGCCAGACTGTCTTCCCCCTTCTTCGCTGCGCCAAGACAATAATGGAGGGAGGAATGCACGGCAGGTCTTGGCGGGCGATCGTGCGGAGGGAGGAGGGGAAAAAAAGGGGGGGCGGGGTTGGACGGGGTGGAGGATGATGATTCAGATATGGATTCCATGGAGGTGGAGGAGAAGGGCAAGGAGTGGGTATGATGCTCCTTCTTCTCCATGGGTTTATTCTTGATTATCTGGAGTTCTGGTGATGGTGTAGGTTAGCGGTGCCAAGAAAGTGTATAGAATCGACCCCCTGATGATAGTCCAAGACATCCGCGAATGGCAAATTGGAGTCACCCCTTCCTTGTTTCTCATCGGCATGACATGCACAGTCAGAAAGCAACGAAAGCAGACAAGTGTTTCATGCCAAGCTGTAGTCGTCCTCCCCAGCACTCATGCTCATCACTTGCCGCCAGAGTGAGATTGACTTCGGAACCGCAGGATTGGCAAGTTGAAGCGACTCCCGCAACTCATAAGGCAGTTAGAGTGAATTTAGTTCCCCTTTCGACAACAATTGTCCTCAAGTGGCTTTTCGTCCCAAGATTCAGTCAGTCCCTAAATTTAGTGCCAGAGACTATGCGATTGAGTCGGGGAATCCGACCTATCCGAACCCAGGTTTCGATTCACAGTGTGTTCGATTCGAAATCCAGGTCTTCCCGTAGTAAGGGATGAGAATCTCGCCAAGATATGCCTTGCTGGTCCCTCTGCACATCGCCATGCTTGGCGGCCATTGACCGACGTGACTATTGGCTTGGAGCGGAGGAGCGAGTAATTGGTGGATGCTAGTCGGGTGATTTTCTGAGCTTGGTGGGGGACTTGTACGACCTCGAGTTGATATCTTAGTGCTCTGGGTAAGAAACGACGCGGACGAGAAAAGGTGTATGAAAGAATAGGTAAGATTCATGGGAGCAACATTGCTGAAGCTAGGATCAGATAGACAGCTGCGCCGCATGATAGATGCGATGCCATGCTGCCTTAATCGGCCTTGGCGAATGACGCATTACCCCTGATGTGCAGGCGATCCCTCTCATTTGTTGATTTCATACTATGCACAGTACGGAGGCATAAGGGATCGTATGAACAAATTAGCCCAGAGCCAGGATCGATGTGCTAGGAGACCGTATGATGGTCGTGACTGTCGCGGCTACTTGTGTAGTGCGTACTGCGTAATACTGGACATGACTCCACGAGTCGATCGATATACTTACTCCAGTCCGGTGTCTCACGAAGCGAGGTAAACAAACCCAAAACGGGAATAAGGGTATAATGAAAGCAGACTAAGAGCCTAAGAGGACGAGAACAGCGAACCGACTGACATCATATGCACAATTGCACATAGCGATCGACCCACGACAGCCCCGGGAATGAACGAACGGGTCTCTCTCCCCCTTTTTCACTTGTCTGCTCGAAATCAAGCGTTGCCGGCCGCCCAAGTTTGGATCATGCAACATCTAAGGAGGTGAGGGGAGAAGAACAAAGAGCCACAACCAACCCAATGCGGTGCTATGCACGGGGGAAGGATATATCCGGATATGATACCGCAGGGATACGGACGCTGAAACCGAGTGAAACGAGACGAGACCTGTCTGATGCGGTGACAGACTGACTTTCTGCTGACTTGCAGTTGCAGAAGCCAGATACAATCAAGGAATCTGGCTGCAGTCTGCACCCGATTCTTGGGCCCTAACCTCGTCTCTTAGAGTCGAATGGTCGTGTCTGGAGGCGATTTGCCTCCGTGCAGATTAGGATTTTGCGGGGAGGGAAAATCAGTGCCATCCATGTAGGAGATCCCTTGGCATCGATATCGGATCTGATCACTGAGGGGAAGAATATACTGTGTATGCTATTCCCTTGAGTAGACAGTAGTAGTTATACACAGGGCGGGATAGTTATAATGAATGGGAGAAATCCGGATAGGTTCCTCGTAGAACTACCTACTAGTAGGCTCAAGACTCTTTCCGATCCTGCCCTGCCCTACCTTATGAGCCTACCCATGCCTTCTTGATTCCGAACAATATGCCGAGTCAATAAAATCACGCACCCTCCTTCAGCCTTACAATGGACAAAATCGCTGGAGCCCGACGCTGCAGCAGCGACCCTGCTGGTTCGGGAAAATTATTCGACTTCGAAGCAAAACATCGCCGAATCTCCAAGTCCAAGCAGGGTCTAGGGCCGGCGAACCATGGCTCAAGGACGGTGAAAGCACGTCGTGTGCGATCAACCATGGGTCATCCTGCAGGATAAAAGAAGGAGGATGGGGGAACGAGCAGTTCTCATTGAACGGATTTGCATATCTCAACCAACATGGCTGACTGGTGGACTTGTCTCGAACAGACCGTGAACGGCAGACGGTGCCGAATTCCGTGAGGGTCGGGTTGGCCGAGAGGATTGCGACCCTGACTGCATTGTGCCGAGGAGAAAACCCCGAGCTGCCACCCACACTAACTATCGAACTATGAGCGAATTTCCCTCCCACCAACGCAATCAATACTACTAATCATATACCCCCCAATGCATTGTCAATCCCCAGTCGGCTCCCCGCTTTGGGAATAACCACACGCGATAAGCCAAGAAGCTGCCGACTTACCGTCCTCCGACCAGACTAGAAAGACAACTCACGGTCGCATTGATGACGAAGAGTCCATTCGAGAATCAGCCATGATTCACTCGGTCGCTTTGGGCTAGAAGACCCTTTTTGGTGAGAAATGGTTTTCACATCTCAACTCTCAGGCCTCTCCTACTCGCCGTCTTACGGGATTTACCGTGCAAGGCGCACAGCACACCTTCCACCATCCTCTCAACTCCCAAGACTGCAGTCTCAGGCGAGCAAAGGATTTCTCCACAAGCCAAAAAGCCTGAGGAGGAGCCCGTAGTCAGACCTGCCAGGCACGGCCCATAATTCCCCGAATTCGGCCTCGGACTAAACCCGATCCAATCTCCCAATTCCCCGCCCCGACAGCCTCGAAAGCGACTAGAGATGAGGGACATACGCACCCACGGAAAAATTATTCTTGCCGTCGATAGTAGCATCTACCCTTATCAGACAAGTGTGTTGGTTGGTGCGTCTCATCTATCTGCATGCTGCAGCCGACTATTGGCGTCCTCAAATCGTCCCGGTGGGCTGCCACCGTGGCAGGGTGTCCCCTTGTTTCTTGACTAAGACCAGTCCATCCCGTCGCGGAGACTAGAGACCGGAGCCCTGGAGCCTGGAGACTGGGTACATGCAGAAATGAGGCGGGATCAGGAACAAGACAGAGAAAAATCACGCACGCATGGCGGCAACCTCCTCCGACTTGTCATCTGCCCTCCGGAAAGATGGAAGAATAGTAAACAATAATAGCCTGGGACAAGGGAATCGGATTGCCCTCTGGCAGGGTGATGGTCCGCCAACGTCGCAGTAGTTCCGAGACGTTTGGTCGATTTCCCCATCAGGGTACGGAGTAACTAAGGTTGAGCTGAGATGTCAGAAAGCTGGAGAGGTAGATTGGGGAATATGGTCGCCTAGGTAGCTTGTCCAACTAGGCTAGTGGTCTGGCAGCTAGACTATCTTACTCCGTATTCTACCAGGACGTAATGAGCTATACTGCTGTGGTAGTAGTGGTAGCTGCGGCGGTCGATATCCATCCAGCGTCTCTCGTTTGCACGGTTTCTCCAACATTGGCATTGGCTGCTCAGACTGGGAACGGCTAAGCCCATTAATAATTGGAAATGAGACGACTGACTGACGGTTGGTGTGGGATGGGTTTCCCGATGAACAGTCGGAGTTCCCGTCCGTGGGGGCAATCCAGAGGCTACAGAGCCCTACTGTATTTGTCGGAACGTGAATCTGCCTCTCGTGTGTCTCAGGTCTTTCCTGTCGAGGGTGACATATCCTCTTCATGGCCAAAGGCATAAATCCCCTTGTGCAGAAATCTGGGACGAATAGGAAGGCTTGGAAAATCTGCACGCTGTGACGCGGTGCAGCGGAAAAACCAGGAGATAGGGAGATGTGCTCGTGTTATGCGAGATGCCAAATCAAACCACCAGATAGAGGACCTATGGTTGCTGTTATTGTTGTGTCGTCAGTTGCTAGTCAAGGCTTTACCTCCCAAGCCTCCTCGGGTGAAGGCGCAAACGACGCCCACGACGACGACGACTACACCAGACTGGCTGCCAGACAAACTGACTAGACTACTTCAAACCCGACAAAAAAATCCCTCACCCAGATCCTCCTCGATGAGACAGCTTGGCGCGGGCGATCGCCCGGTGGAGAGAGATTTGAGCGAAAAAAGCGAAGTAGTAGTGCCGTAGTGACCAGTGGGCACTAGCCACTAGTCCATCAATCATCAGTTCCATTTGGGGGCGCTAATGGGCTGTTCCTCAATTAACGCCGGTGAAGATGGGAGCACGACCTGTCCCGTTCCTGGTCGGTGTGATTTAGTTCGATGGGGAGGGTCCCTCTTCGCTGGACTCTAGTCACCCTAGCCTCAGTCACTACTGTAGGTACCAGAGAGCCAAGAGTAAATCTACTGTGGGCTGGCCGCCTTCTCTCCGTCTCTCTCCACGGTCGGTCGCGATCGTAATCGTGAGAGGGTACCCAGTAGGCAAGAGGCATCTCAGCCGAGGCTTACTGGTGGACAATGGCAACTGTGTCCATCTTGTCTCGCTCCGTTTGATATCCTTGAAGAGCCATAGGGCCAGACACTCGATGACAATGCCATACAGGATTGAGGTGCGCTGATGCAGGGCAAACCGGTTGGATCGACTGTATTAAATTACTCAATAGATACATAATTGCCGAATCGGGTATGATGTATTACCTCTGTCTAGTCTTGTCTTGAATGGGGATTGGCGCTACTATTTGTTTCCATTTCCTCGGAGATGGGTGGTGAACGGACACCACGCACACACTTTTCCTCTCTCATACAACAACATAATAGAAAGGACGGGAGGGCGATTGAGAGGGAAAATTTCCCGAGAAGAGAAGGCGAGAGCGACCAAAGTCGCATTAATTATTCGCAAATTGCCCCAGTCAAATCAATAGTCAATGGCAATCCGTCATCCCACACAGACCAATTTCCTTCCCCCCCCCCTCCCCTCTCCAATCCCCCTTCCGTTTCCCCCATTCATTTCACCTTCAGCCCTCTTATTTTGCCTTTGTCTTTGTAGTCAGTGTGTCAGGAAGGATTCCGGATTGATTTCTCTTACCCGATAGGATCTCTTATCGGACAATCGGGCAAGATATGACGTCGTGGGCGGTTTTGCCTCTGTGGAAAGGTTCTCAGACCCCTCTCCAGCGAATAATGCCACCTGCCGACTTCCGACAGGACTCGCCTACTGTCTTTTCGCCTCCCCCTCCTCCCCTCCTTGTTCTCCTCACCCAACCTGAACCCACCACACGCCCATCTCCCCGAACTCGGGCGGCAACAAGCCACGCTGATTCGACTGGAATGCAACTAGCAGACTCCAAGACCCAGTAAAAGAAGGATTCTAGAAAACTTCGAGAAGCGGCAAATCTGCGGTCAGAAAAGCAAGCTGCCCGCCTGCCCGATCTGCCCCTCACTTGGGCCATGCCGTCGGTGCTTCTGGTGGCGACCGGATTGCCCGAGAGAGTAAGGCGTGGCCCCGGCCTCTTCTCTCGGATGGAGAAATGCCCAGAGACTCCAGAGAGAGAGGATGGGGGAGATTTCTCCCGGTGGGCAAACGAGCGAGATAAGAGTCGTTACTATGGATGCTTTGGGCCTTAGCTCGGTCTCTAGTCGGCCGCTAAGGACTTACTCCGACTTTTGGTTTAGCCTACTCCGGACTCTCGCACCACTCTCAGTCACCGTGGAATAGCCTCAATTATGGCTCCATGCGGGATATAATGTCGCTCGTTATGAGGGACCGCGTCGTCACTCGGCGCGATCGCGCTTGAGGGTCGCCGACGAGGCGCGCGATCTACTGCGTACAATCACCATGCCCGTAGTAGATGCATCTGGATCTCGAAAGTGGGAGTCATCTATCTTCATCACCGGCTTGGTAGAGCGGGGAGCGACTCTTGCAGTGGTGTCTGTTGAACGAGTTTAATTCCTCACGTGTCGTCACTCTGTATGTCGGACGTCGTCTGCCATGGAGGGCCGTTCCTTTGTGTAGTAGGGCCTCAGGCTCAGAATACCCCAAAGGCATAGAACACCCATGGAAGCGTCCATACATCTGTCAGAGACCTGTTTCAACCATCCATCCATCTACCGGCATTCAAATGCCTCACGTGCTGCTGGGTGAAGAGCCTGACGCATCCCGCATCAGCCCGCTCAGACACCACCAATTCATTGCATCTGATTGACAAGCTTTGGCTGGCTGGATTGAAAGAACAGTAAGAACAATGAAGAGACACCCTCGCTCGCATCCCACCCGCTGGTTCAGGGTCGACCTGACATCCCGACCGAAACCACTTGTTCCACGGTTGGATGTGGAGAGCTTGTTTTGGGCTAGGTAAATTTTGCCGCAGCCTCTAGATTACACTAGGGCCCAGGTACCTTGTCCTAGGTGGGAACCAGTAACAGGTACCAGGTACACTTTCGTTGCCCGTATCCACGCAGTATCGGGACGATACCGCTAAGTTATCGGCGACGGCCAGCACCGCTAATGCCACATCGCCCATTTACCAGGCAATGCGCACACACCACGCCCCAAACTCCACCCGGACGGGGGAAACAGGAGTTGGATTATTGCGGGAACTTAACTTACCCAGTACTACGATATGATGTTGCCCGGCCACTTTACCAGAACCACAATTGGGGCTAGCTGCCAGCATCATCCCGGAGGAGTCATGGTGAGACTCGAGTGTACTCCGTACTGTACAGACTGGAGTAGTTACTTTGTACTTTTTGAGTAAATACCTTCATTGGAGCTAATTTGGAGCTACCCAAGCTAGCTACTCGGTCTGGATAGCTTCCTACCTCGATGGGGTATGTAGCTCTCTTCCTTTGCCTCGTTCTCGTTTCTGGTCTCTCCACCCGTCCACCTTCCGATGACTCCATAATCCATCTGAAGATTCGTAGCTACTAAGACATGTTTGTCATAACTCAGAGGACTGTGAGCTCGACTCCAGGTTAGGTAGGAGAGTAGCTCGCACCGAGCTATGCTATCTCAGCTGACCGGTGCGGATCCGACCTATCCATCCAATGCTCCAGACTCTCCCCTCTCTCCCCTCTTTCTCCAGACTGTCTCAAGACAAGAGAGACCAAAAGAGGGTCTAATCAAATCAAGTTGAAATCCTCTCATTCAATTTTCTCCCTCCATTTCCCCCCAGGAATACTACTCCATGTGGTAGGTGCCTTTCCCCGGGGGGGACCCAAACAAGAATCAAATGGCTGGGAAGAGTGAGAGGAGGAGGGGGGGGGGGGGGGGAAAGGATTCTTGGCTGACGTTGGTTACATGCTGCCTTTCTGTCCCCCGTCCATAGGCTGGCTACCTTAGTATTCTAAAAACAAAACCTACCTCTTGCTACCTCTTCAACCTTCCCCGGTGATAGATGCGACCAGGCCGGGCAACGGTAAGATGAGACAATGAAACCATCAAGTTCCTGACTGATAACTTGCTTTTTATGTTTGGAGCTCTGATGGCATCGTTACGCAGTGTGATGACTGCCCATGAAATTCTGCGGCTGAATGAGCAATGAAGGAAAAAAGGGACGTGCACGGACGGATGGCGTCTGAACGGGAAAGTGAGGAAAGGTTAACTACTACCTACAGTAGTAAGGTACCTAGTACCTAGTACGTACCGAGCGGACTGTGTAACGACCACTTATTCCGTACACTCCGACAATGATTCGGCAAAGGATAGGATCAGATAGCACACAACCTTAGTACCTACGGAATATACATACACACACATCATCCTATAGCGAGCGGCTGTATACCTTTGAAACAAGGGAGACGGGAACCGAATCTGGGAAGGGGAGAAGAACATCCATGGGGCTTGCTTCATGACCAGTGATCGGGAATTTTGACCCTCCCTTTTCCTCCTCCGTAGATACTCCGTAAACATTCTATCATTCTTTCCTGATTGGAGGATTTCATCGTTTGTTGGTTAACATCTGGCTTAGAGGAGTAGGTGGATTTGAGCTTGAATGGTCCGGACGCGGTTAATGCTTTCGAAAACCCACCATTGTATATTGTACTAGTGACCAGGTTCTAACATCAGCATCCGTGGGATGCCGCTTGCTCCCGGGGGAGAGGCGCAGAGGAGACGTCAACGGCACCTCATAGCAAAGGCTGGAAGTGATTCCGCGGCGCGGTTTTGAACCCCCGGAGTGAGTTGAGCATCAGCATCAGCATGAGCATAAGCCCGTGGCAAATTTGGCCGCTTAGAGGGAGAACTCTTTGCTTATGCTTGAGGCGATCCATCGCCTGGTATCTTAGGTAAACTGCTAGACTATCCTGTGTGTACTGTGAAGTTACTACATGAGGCCCGTGACTATATATTCCCGACCGACTGCGGACCGGTATGGCAGTAGTGACACTTATTCAGTACTAACTTGAACATCACTGGCATCAGCAAACTTTACCATAGTAGTGTTGTGGTAAATGCGTGCCAGCCTCTGCGGTCCGGGCCTCTGAGATACTAAGTATCAAGTCTTAGTGTAGGCATCATTTTGTCTTCTCGGGCGAGACGAGTCTGGAAGTCTCAATCCATTGACAACGGCACGTAGTTGAGGGGGACGGGTAGTCGGACGGAGTTGTGCCTCAGGCCTGAGATGCCCAGCTATCAGATATTCGATGTGTTTAGAGTAGTCTGACTTGAATAGGTAAGTAATCGACGCATTTCGCCAGACCCGGCAGAGTAACTACTATGATAGTTAACCTTGAGAGCATTGGGTTAGGGCCGAAAGTATGTCCTGGTAGGCCGGTACAAGATTGAGTATGTACGAGATCCAACGTCCACCGATCCCCGAATATCCGCGAGTATGTGCGTGAGTAGGTACGGGAGTACTGTACAGCACTCTAAGCGAGGGACCTATTAGCAATTGGTAGGCCGAATGAGGCGTGATCATCAATCGGATCATCCCTCCGTTTAGATGACGATATCAGTACTTCAGCTAGTCGGTCAACGATGCGCTTGGGGATACTATATGCCAAGCATTGGTATCACCTTGATGGGTTACCATAGACTCATAGTTGCCAAGGACTGAATTTTGTGAGAGAGGCTCGGCACAAGGTAGTAGTAGAGTTGCTCAATAGATGCTGATAGTAGATCTTCTGTCTGGGGTCAGGTGAGGCTTGGCATACAGGTTCTGTATGTACTGAACTGAGTCCCATGTTCCAACACATCCGAACCCTCTAAGACAAGCCTTATGCGCGAGGGGAAGGAAGCTTACTTTCACTTTGGTACTTTGGTTGGGTCTGAGAAGTCGAGACCTGAAGAGAAATGAGCATGAGGATGACCCTTGCTTGACTGAGGTTGACCGTGGTCCAGACTATCACAAGAGCGGGTCGGTCGGTTGATCAGTCGGTCGGCCGACGAGAAAAAAAGAAAGAGACGTTTACTGGAACACTGGAACACCGGGAATTCTTCTCACAGTCAGACGACGATCTGGGGCAAGATGAGGAGGAGGTACTGTGTGTGGGTGCGCCCGGTGCGGAGAAGATCCCTCCTGTGCCAGGCGGGCTACGTGGTGGTTGCTCTCGTTGTCTCCGCGGTGCTCCGTAATATGCCATGCATGCAGGAAGGCAAAGAGGCGATGGGATCCATCTCAAATCTTCCAATTGGAGATGCTCTGCTTGTTTCGTGCGCTGGATGATGATTTTCAGTCTCTAAGTTGTGGATGGCGGTATTTCCCTTGTTTTGGGGAGAACTCTGTCACGGAGTGACATTGACACGGACTTACTAATGTATTGAATCGAGTTGACTGAGTTAAAGATCACGCCAAGTGTACTGTGCATATGGTCGGAAGGTGAGGTAGCTATACTGCTATACTGTGTAGTGTGTACGGGTATGCTGGCTGGCTGGACCGGGCTTCTTCCTCTACGTACTGTGTACATCGCTTGAACACCGCATCTATACAACCCGCCCGGTTTAAGGCTAGACACTACGTACAGGCATTGAATCAAGTTGTGGTCATGCATGCATCATCGCCAATCAAACGACCACCTGTCAACCAGGTGGGCGTCGTACAGAGATCAGGACCAAAGTCCCAAACGAGCAAAGCAATATGCGGACCGGCAAATAAATGTCGCAACGTGGGATCATAACGAGCGCTGCCGACAGCGAACTACCACTTTCTTCGATCGCGAATCTGGAAAGAGACGAGATAACCAGAGAGTATAACTGATTAGCATCGATTAACCAGTCTCATGCATATTAGGAATTCATGCACGCGACAACAGCATGAAGTCACCAGGTGACTGAAAACAGCGAATGCTAGATTGCTATGTTGAATGAATCGTCACGGCAAATGCCATAGTCCTGACGGTGACTACGCAGTACTATCGGGGCTCATTTCTGACTGACTTGGAGTATGCTTTGACGTTAATTGACTCCGTACTAGTCAGATCGTGAGGTCGACGGCTGCATCATCATCCCTCCACCACTAGTTCGGCTACGTCCAGTAACGATCCTACGAGAATGGCCATAACTGATGACGACGGTATGTTCTCTGAGGATGGTCAGTAGAGTACGGAGTAGTACTTCCGTGCTAACTATGTATCTACAGTGTACATATTAATAGCTACGTAGCTACATAGCTACATTGATACTACACACTAACAGCACCAGCTTGAGGTCGGGCGGAGTCGTATCCCGGCCCTTTCAGCCATTAACAGGTCAAGATGACGCTCCCAGGATGGGGGGTGGGTCCCGAATCATTGCCCCCCATCCCCACGACTAAGAGGGAGGTGCATGAAACTCAATCAGGGCGGGCACGATTCGATTGGATGGTCGTAGTAACGCCAATTTGAGAGAAACAGAGTGGAGAGAGTTCAAGTTACTGGAAGGCTGAAGCCCAGTCGTCACACGGCTCCCAGGATGTGTTGAATGGAGGGAACGAGCAGGTGTGGCCGATCGCCTTTTCCTGAGCTTGGTGTGAGGGACCTATTTAGTCGTCTAGGGCGAGAAGTACTAGGAGAAACGAGCAACCTGCTGCATCGTCCGTCCTTTTGGAGGAAGCGGAAAAGCCGATTGTGGGCTGGTGGACTCCATAGCCCTGAGGACCAGCCCGCCTTTCGAACGGAAGGACGTGGGGACAAGATCCAACTGGTGCGTAGGCGGAAGATAACGCGAGGTGATTCGAAGATGTAATAGCCATTGATAACGAATGATGGACCAGACATAGTTGATGATTCCGATGACATAAGGTGAATCGTGGTTGTCCCTGACACTCGATGCCGCCTTCAATCATTTACAACCCCTTTCCCCGGAAACATCACGAACGACCATGTCAGAGAACAAAAGGACCGAAAAGGGTGCCAGACAGGCGAGATCATTGGTATGAGACCATTGTCATCAAACTTGCCCAGGATGATGTCAATGTAATTTCATCGGGGATGATAAGTGGGAGATGAGCATCATCATCATCGCGCGCGAGCTCACGGACCGTAAATTGTTTTGGGCGGATTTTGGCCCTGCATGGCCGGAATGGGTATCGTCTGAGTTCTTGGAAACCGCCCCCCCCCTTGCGTTCCCCGTTTGGCTTCAGCTCGTGGTTCCCCCAAGATCGGGTAGGACGGCCCTGAGCGACTGCGGTGCGGGTGGCATTTGAGAGTGGGAAGTATTTTCACCGAGCTGGCTGCGTAGCGTTGGCTACAGTAGGAGTAGTAGGAGTAGTAGGAGTAGTAGGAGTAGTAGGAGTAGTAGGAGTTGTAGTATAGTAGTATCGGTAGTTGTAGGTACGTAGGTAGTAACTAGTTAGGTAGTTAGTAGCTAGCCTGCTGACTCAGGTTTGTTTGTTTTGTATGTTGATTTTGTTGTTCTTGTCTCGCTCTCTCTCTCTCTCTCGCTCGCTCCAGCTGTATGTCTCTCTTGCTGTCCTTCACTTTCATCCCATGCTGCAAGGGAACGACAGGACTATGGAGCCCTGTCATGGGCCTGCACAGAAGAGCATTAAAGAGAGGGGGGATGTGCATATTATTATTACATTCAAGGGCTAATGCCATTATACACATAATCAATTTATCATTGTAGCTCAACTAGCAGTCGCAAGCTCCTAAGAGATAGCATTTCAATGAGGTGATAATTATTACCATCATCAAACGTGTGCGGTTTCTCCTCTAGTCCTTTACTGGTGACGGACTGATGAGGACGAGAACCAAAAATCGCGCATAGTAAATCAGGATAGAGACAGAGAGAGAGAGATGGGAACAGCAAAGACAAGACCAAGACAAGAGGGAAAATTAACGAGGGCCACACACTACGGAGCACACTCTACAGTACAACAACCCGCACGCGGCAAGAAGGGCTGGGCTGGCTGCCGCGACGAGAGAGAGATGGTCGATACCGTCCGTACAGTACGGAAAATCCTGTTTCTCCTCTGATTTGCCCACGCACCCAGCCCAATGGGAAGCATATCCTACGTCTGCGTCTTGCATCTGCGAGCCCGACTCTGGCCGACAGAGCCGTTCGGCACGACCGTAATAATACCAGCTGCATACCAGAAGATCCTAGTCAAGTGTATGAGAGATGCGGGCGAGGCGGACGGTCGGAGGGTATTGGGACGGTAAATCCGAGAAGGTTTACATTTTCGTTCCTATCCATCCGTCGGACTTCACACGCCTTCTATCGTAAGCTGGGATGGGGAGTGATAGGAGGGTGGAGGCAAACTCGGCACAGGTCTGCCGGTTACTGAGTGAGTGAGTGTATGTATGAGAGACAATAGACGACGGGCGTCAAGATGCCGTACCATTCATCCTTCTCTCACTCGCCTCAATGGGTTAAGTCAGAAATTTTCTGTTCCATCGCTTAAGACTAGATTCAAAGGGGCAAACTTGAATCCCCACCTCCATCACCGGGGACATGCACTGGGGAAGGGGAAGAAGAAGATGGAAGAAGAGATTGGAGGTGGAAAGACTAATGACCTACTCCATAGGTCGGTCGGTATGCAAACTTCCTAACGATGCGTGCCGTTAAGGCAAAGTGTGTGTGAGGCGAACTTGGAGAGAGACTGAGAGAGACCCAGTTTGAGAAAACCTTTACCTTACCAGGGACAGTGGCAGTATTGAGTGGTAAGTGAGTGGTTACTGTTCCCGGCCAAGACTAGAACCAAGAAGGCTAAATTCAAAATGGTAAGCAGGAAAAATAAAAGAGAGAGAAAAAAAAGGAAAAAGAAAAAATCAAAACTCATTTTACGGAACCGGGAAAATAATCGACTAAATTCAAAAAAAAAAATCTAGGAAGGCAAAAAAAAAAAAAAAAAAAAAAAAAAGCGCAGGCAGGATGACGCGAAATGAAGAGGACGGGAAAGAGTGAAACCGACAAGACGTGTTTGTCCTGGTCCCGTGCAATCGCAAGCCCACCCTCCCCCAGAATATTAAAGAGTACATTCTCCCTCCCTTCCATCCCCCTCTCT